TGCTGCTGCTGCTGCTGCTGCTGTTGAGGAACGGTAGCGTAGTAATATGTGTTGTTATTATTGTCAGTGGCGACATTGATATTGTAGTCGGACGCTTGAGGGTATTGCGCTAGGTATTGGCTGTTGTGGTTATAACTGATGGAATTGCTCTGGCTGTGGTGGTGGTTGTGGTTACGGCCGCCTCGGACTTTGCGAGGAGGAGTCATTGCAAAGGCAGCGAGGGAGTATGGATTCGTCGTGAGGTGAAGATATTGCGTGGAGGCGAGCAGCTAGCTGTGAGCGTCGGTTCGCGGCAGGGATGGTGTAGCCAGAAGTTGCCGCCTGAGGCTGCGCTGCTTTCTTACCCTGCGAATAATCCACTCGCCGCAGAGGTCTGGACTCTCGCCCGAGCCAGACCAGCCAGTCATCCCATCCTGCACTACTGTTGACTATGCAGCCCCTCGCGAGAATCCCCTCGTTTCCCTACATAATTCGCAACTACAGTGCCCAAGGTATGTCTGGTCCAAGGCAAAACAAAAGTCGCCATTCTGTGGTGCTTCCTGCCGTGGAACTCCTGCATCGCCATCCTCCCTCCTCACGCCTCCGTCATGCTAATCACGACACTACCTAGACAACCACCTGCTTGCTTGCTTCACACGGCCTGCGCATGGCTATGGCTGCAGCCTGCACTCAGCTTATCCTGAAGAACTCGCAGAGCGATGCGGAACTAAACTGAGTCTGCCGGCGACAACAAAAATTACGTAGTTCTCGTAAGCATGGCGCCACCTCCAGAAGACCGGCAAACATCCTCCTCCTCGAGCGACGTCGATATTCCCTACGAGGGACAGTACTCCGACGACACTTCTCCGCCGGAAACCTCGGATCTCTCAAACCTCACGCGGTCAGTGAGAGCTCGCAAAGCTGAGTATATCCGACAGCGCTCGATCCGCATCAAGGTGGGAACGTGGAATGTCGCCGCCATTGCTGGCACAGAGAAAGAGATTGGAAATTGGTTCGTCGAAGGAAAGGATTTAATCCACCATTTCGCTGGCCCAGGCCAAGAACATGACCATTCGAGACACAAAATATCATCCGAGACGCACAATCTCGGCCCCTCGCGGGAGAAGTCCGAAGAGCATTCGACCTCTGAGTACGGCCTATATGTGCTAGGGCTGCAAGAGATAGTCGACCTGTCGTCGCCGTCCGTAACGCTGAGTCCCTTCAATGACCCGGCTCCGTCGAATCGCTGGAAAGAGTTTGTTCGGGAGGCGCTTCCTGCTGGTTATCAACTGGTCGCCGAGTCTCAATTAGTAGGGCTATTGCTCTTGGTGTACGCCGCTCCCAATGTTGCGCCAACAATTTCATCGGTGAGCTCAACCACTGTTGGCACAGGTTTGATGGGGATGGGAAATAAGGGAGCTACAATCACTCGTCTCGTACTGGGAGAAACTACACGGCTTGTCTTTGTCAATTGCCATCTCGCAGCAGGCTCCGATAAGGGCAGCCTTGAACGACGGAATTGGGATGCTTCTCAAATTGTCGGGCGCACACGGTTCCATCCTATCGGGCCAGACCACGAGCTCTATGGCGAGCTGAACGAAACCATTGCCAGTGCAGATTTTGCATTTTGGTTCGGCGATCTCAACTACCGCCTTGATGATATCCCGGGCGATGATGTTCGCCGTTTGCTCATATTGCACACTCAAAATGAGTATGATGCAAAACACAGGAACAGAAAGAAGCCCGATATCGAGCTTCCATCCCCTATCCTAGTTGTAGATGCTGAATCTGAAACCTCTCCTTCAGCATCCGACGATGGGGACGACGCCAGGAAGAAAACTTCTGATCAAATTACAGAAAATTTGAACAAGTCTGCAAATATACTAGAGGCCCAAAGCCAGCAGCAGCAGTCATATGTCTCTACGGCGATAGTAGAGGCCATAGATCCGAGCCATGATCCATCGTCTCTCCTGACGACGCTAAATTCTCTATTAAGTCACGATCAGCTCCGGATCCAGCAACTGAAGAAGAAAGCATTTCATGAGGGATGGAGAGAAGGCGAAATTCATTTTTTGCCCACCTATAAATATGATGTGGGAAGTGTTGCTATTTTTGATACAAGTGAAAAGCAAAGAGGGCCGAGCTGGTGTGACCGTATACTATATAGATCGAAGCAGGACCGTCTAAATTACGAAAAGGGAGTTCAGGAAACTGAGCAGTCGCGCAGAAGAGACGAAGAGATGCAGGCTCGGGGCATAGACAAGGCTGCCGAGGATGAAAATGTTCTGTTTGATTATAATCCTGAAACAGATGGCGCAAATGAGGACGAATATAGAGAAGACCAGGACCATACTTCTCAGTATTCGTCTGACCCCGAGGCGAAGGCCGTTGACGTCGAGGATACGATCAAGTTAATGCATTATACGTCTCACCAGGGGATACTCTCCTCGGATCACAAGCCGCTGGACGCCGTTTTTGTGATAACCTATGATGCCGTCATTCCAGATCTGAGGCGGACGGTCTACCAAGATGTCGCGAAAGAACTGGACAAGGCTGAAAACGAAGCCCGACCCGAGGTGACTGTAGTGGTCGATCATCACGTCGAAAACGCAGAGGAAACAGTTCGCGACGTAGCATATGATCAGAACGCGATCTACTTTGGCGGGGTGCCCTACGGTGTTCCGGTCAGTAGATCTGTGACCATTGCCAATACCGGAAGTGTGCCTGCCACCTTCTGTTTCGCGTCAAGAGTTTTGGTTGGAGACACCGTCACAGAGTCGAAAAGTGATCAAGTGCCATGGATGGAAATCCGAGTGGATTGGCCTCCGAATGAGAAGAAGAAGGACGAGAAGAAGGAGCGCTCACAGCCAAAGACGTACACTTTTGCACCGGGCGATTCAGCGAATGCGGAAGTGATTGCATGTGTGAAAGACCTAGATTATGTGCGAGCCCTAAACGCCGGCAAAGCCAAGGTTGAGGACATTTTAATACTACGAATAACCGGAGGCAGAGATCACTTCATCCCGGCTTATGGAAGATGGCTACCAACTTGCTTTGGCCGATCACTGGATGAGCTCACGCATATCCCGGAGGCTGGGGTGCGTAGTTTAGGTACCACCATCTCTACAGACACCAAAATGGCTGAAGGGGGCATTAGATTATCGGCGCCCCGGGAATTATTCCGCCTGACAGAAGCAATCTCGCGTCTTACGGAACAAGCTGTTGCTGAGTGGAGCATGATGAAGGGAGAGTCCAGTGATGAAACACCCCCTTGGCTCTCTCCAGATGGCGGGCTTGGGTGGCCGTTCAGTCACGAATCCTGGACGCTTCGCGGCGCTGAGGAACGAGCACCTTTATTGTTTAACGTCCGTGAGGCCCTAGATATCGGAAGTTCCTTGAGCTCAATCTTTCCACCCGAAGTATCATCACTGCCTCGGTTAGAAATTCTCGCCGAAACCCTCATCTCCTTCTTACAATCTCTCAAGGACGGAATCATCAAACCTGAGATGTGGAAAAGCATGGAGCAGCAATTGATAGCGCGAGAGAAATCCAAGGAGCACTGGCGTTCCCCAGAAGAAATCCAGGCCTGGGTGCTGGACAGTCTTGCGCCATCCCCAGTGCATAGTGTATCATTTACATTCTTGACCTTCATGCTGAATCAAATCATCAACGAAGTTGCCCCGGCCTCGAACCAGACAGCTCTACCGCCGATGCTTCAGCCTCCATCATCCCCATCGCAAACCGACCCGAACATCCCGCCCGAAAAAGCCGCCCCCAGCATCTCATCACCGACTCGTCGAGCACGCACTCTAACCCTTAGCTCTTCCTGGTCGTCTTCCACCATCACCAAAGACCCCAACAACAATAACGGCAGTAGCAGTAATAGCAGCAGCAGCAGCAATAATAAACCCAAAGAGAACCCGATAGAACTCGATAAACCGGCAGATAGAAGACGACATGACGTGGAAACGAAACTATCAAGCATTTTTTCCAGTGTAATGATATCGCCCTCTGCGTCGCCGCCTACAAAGGAGAAGGAGCGGCGACTGTGGGATGAACGGAAAAGACTCGTTGTGGAGGCCTTTATACAACCAGTTAGGACGCCTAATTTGGATCAAATGGCTGCAACGGGTTAATAGAGTAGGGTAATTAATTACATAATTACATGGATGGTGTGGAGGAGTTTATTGTTGGGTGTTTCAGGTCTATACTATATGGTATGGTGTTTATGTTATTGTTTTTTTTGGTTTTCTTTCTTTTTGCAACTCTTTGCTATCTACCCTATCTATACACATTTTATATAAGAACATACCATGCTGGTTGAAATATTTTGAATCTCATCATCCTACGTAGGTCAAAATATGTATATACACCTCAAAGTTCAGGACTCGATGTTCAGTTCGCTTTATCGCTTGCAATGATGAAGGAATTGTATGACTATGCAACAGGAACAAAGTCATCAGGTCGTACGTAATCATGCAATCTCATCTATCAGCCCCTTCCTTTTTTTTTTTTTGGTTTACAGCTGCTTTTAAGCTGCACTGCCTTGCGATGAATGGGTGGCCATATATCGGCGCTCAGACCGCGAAGACGGAGGTTGTGCCTGAGATTGTTTGCCTTTGGCCTTGCGCCTAGCTTTTCCAGTCATCAACAATGCTATGATGTTCTGCAAACAAAAGGAAGCCGCTCGACCTGGCATTGAGGCGAGATAATTGATCATTTTAACCGGAATGACGACTGTTGCGTATGCCCAATCTGAAAGAATGCCTACCAAGCTATGGCGATTGTCGTTAGCTGATCGTTGAGCTGCGGCAGCCAGTGCTATAGCATCACCGGCTTGGGCTTCTATTTGATTCATTCGAGTGTCTATTTGGAAAGCCATCGTGGCTGTCCTTTTCTCGTAGCGTCGCACTGCTCGGTTGAGGGCCTCAAACTCCGGTTGAAAACTTTGTCGCACCTCGGCTATGATTTGTGCAACCCTTTCCTGTTTCATACTTTGTGGTTCTGAAGCGCCGTCCAGCGCTGAAGCCGAGTTGGTGGCAGCTGTCTCCACCTTGTTTGCTACATATGCCTCCAGATCTTCTAATCTTATAGCAAAGTCCAAGATCTTATTATGGTCCATTCTCCCATCTTCATCATCTTCGTCACTTGCGGCTGCCACCACTCGCTGTAGGTAGAGTGTCCGGCCCTGTACCATTCGCAACAAATGCGCGAACGGACGAATCTCCGCAGCGAGAAGGAAAATGGTAAGATTGTAATTGGAAACCAGCCCTTCAGATGGACGAGAAAGTGCACCTCTCACGGCATGTAATAGCCAAGCGCCAATTAAAGGAAATACGAAGCATGATATCAAAGCAGCAAGCTCGTGCATATGAAGCTCTCTCATGGCTGCCTGGGATGTATGTTCTAGCTCCTTTCGCTCCGCTTGTTTGGAAGCATGCGAGGTTGAGTTGCTGTCACCCTCTTCATTGTCTTCTTCCACTATTACACCACTATCGCTCAGGATGGTCTCGGGTGGCGGCTGGCGAACTTCTTGGGCTGAGCGATACCAGTTCCTAGAATACGTTAATATTCTAGACAAAAGAGATCACCAAAGGAAAAAAAATTATCTCACCATGGTAGCCTCACAGACCAGTTCAAAAATATAGCAGCCAGAATCAACAATGTTGCGTCTGTCACAAAGGCACTTCCATCGTGGAAAAACAACCCTCCCACCGCCGGCAATAAAGCTAATGCGAGCGGTGCAGATTGCCAGTGGGAGTCATGGTTCGATTCAGTAACGCGAGTTGCCCCTCTTGGCCCGGCCTTTGCACGCGGGAACAGTAGGTCGTCCGTAGAATCTCGAATAGATTGTCGGGCTTCGGAGACGGTATCGGAGAGGACTGAATTACGCCTGAGCTTGGAAAAAGAAGGCCTACTTTCTGAGAATGTCGTAGCTCTTCCCAGAGGCCGCTGCCGTAAATTCGATGCCGAACCCACGTTGACTCCGGTTTGGAAGGAGGCATGTTGTTCTGGCGGTGATCGCGTTTCTGACATGATGTACGTCATATCATGGCTAGCAGTATATAGCTGTGCGGTGGTGCCGGGGAGTCATTAGCATAATGCACTGGGCAGACAGGAAAAAACCAAAGAGACAGGTTGCAGATCACGAATCAGGCCTTATTGACTAGTATGGTCATCCACAACCAGGTTGTCAAGACGCAGAAACAGGAGAAGGCGAAAACAAGCAAGCCTCCGCTTACCTAAGGCAGTTACCCCAGAGTGGGGCCCATGAACCTTTCCTCTTTCGGAGTCCTCGGCGTTACGTCACGACCAGACAGACTCGAATTGCTTCGTATTTTTGTTTGTTTTGTTTGTTTGCTTGGAGACATTGTATAACATACAAGACTGTGTACGCGATCTTTTTTTGTCCCATTTGACTGCTGCCAAGCTCGAACTGAGATCTATCGTGATAACTTTAGATAACCGACCTTCAACTAGCTTTTGGCTAATTACATAGTGCCCGCTCAGGCTCAGGAGTCAGCACACGCACTCTCCATCGCATGCTAGCCATAGTATGCCATGGCTAATCTTCTGACACTACCTGTAGAGACTCAACTTGAAATCTATCAAAATCTGAACAACATCGACGATGCTCTCCATCTTGCCCGCGTCTGCAAGCTCCTAAACAATGTTTTTGAGACTCCCCCAAATCGCCTCAATATCCTACGGTGCATCATTGTGCGTTTGATTATTGCCTATGGAGGTTACTAGTTCATGAACTAAACATCTTTCCACAGCAAAATGCGCCCCAGCACAAGAACGACCTGCAGCTACACGAGAGTGAAGCCTGCTTTGCGGCCTTTGTAGACAATTTCGATAACCTGCGGGTGCCGAGCGACCATAGACGTCCATTCTACCCAGGCCTAACCATAGTCAGCTCCGAAACCACCACTTTGTCCGCTGGGATCGTGTGGTCCATTGTTTGTCGATGGCATGCTATGAAATTCCTCTTCGACCTCTATTGCGATTCCACTATCCGTCCGGAGTTTCTCCGTTCTATGATTCCCTACGTGGCGGATGGATTACCTCAAACTAACCGATGGAAGATTAATGTGGCATACGAGGTCCCGCTCTCGCTGCCTTCATGCCAGGACCTCGAATCCCTTCGAGCTTCTGAAAAGCAACGAGCTTACGAGCGCTTTTATCGAGCTTTGTGTTCACATTGGCGGTTACTGAATAGAATTTGGGCCCTACGAATCTCACGATACTGGACGCCAGAAGCGAAGAGCGCGGTATTTGCTCAATCCTGGAAAAGTTGGGTAGATGATTCTACACGTGAATCTCTACAAGAGAAATTCGAGGCCATCGAGGTGATTGACTACGTGTGGGACTTTCTAGCACGGAAAACATTCCCAAATCCTGATCGACTTTCTGCTTGGCTCCGTGGCGACATGGAAATGCAAGAATTACAAGATCCACCAGAGTCAGCAGCCGATAATTGGCTGTACTTCTTTCACACAACAAAGCATTATCTTCGTCCCCCACATATTATCGAGCTCTTGAATCATGTGTGGAATCCAGGAAGGAGAGCATTGGAACAACCAGCCTATGTGCACAGCCTAGGTTTGTTTTACTTTCCCGGAGAGGTGCACCCTGAAGGCGTGCAGAACGACAATGGTGTATTTATGATTCAGGAACCACCAGGGATTTTCTTCCTGTTTAATTGGATCGAACTAGCTGGTATATATCGGCTTCTTGACACGTCGACTGGAGAGCTGTGGAAACATTATAGGTATCGCCATTGGGTTAATGATCTTAGAGGCCGAGTACTCTTTTCACCCGAGCCCGACGATCGATTGCTGGAACGTATAAGAAAATTGGAAAAGTGACAGCACATATATGGATGATAATGTTGAATGCTTGCAGAGCTCGCTTATGAGTTGTACGTATATCAGCATCCAGTAATTATTCAATATTTCCACGGCCGATTGTGTCTTCAGACGATGATTTATATCACTTTGTTCTCAGATGAACAGGAAAATTCTCAACTTCGGAGAAGAAAGACATTGGATATTCCTTTCTCCTCTAGCCTTTTTTTTTTTGAAGAATACTTACTAGCAGAGTCAAGTCATAGATGCTTTTCTCACCGCGTTAAACAATTGGGACTAGTTGAGCACTGTTTTGAGAGGTTTTTATATACTTTTTACCACTTTTACATCTCTTTACTAGATTGTAAGATAGAAAATAGGCTTAATAAATAATTAAAAATTGAATAGTATTTTTGTATATCATACGATTATTATAACTTTGATACAATTATACAGCTTTCTCAATATAATGTAGAGAAGCATAATACTTATCTTATATATGAATTGTATTTCAATAGCCCCTCAAATTTGAAAGTATTTGTAACTCCGCTATCCAATAGTATTGCGGTCTTTAATTACCTATAATTCAGCACAAGATAACACATGCCGAGTGAAACGTCTATTTTCCGGGACAAACTGTCCCGGATGTTCAGGTCAATTTGCCTCGGAATCGGTGATGGTATTACAATGTGGAATAGTATACATGCACATTGAAACGAGTAAAGTTCTGGTATCTTTCCCGCTTTCTGATTTGTCAAGCTGATGTACATGCCAACTGGCAGGTCCCAATTTTTGGGACATGCAAGCGTTTCTAGGTAGGCTGATCGGCGACGCAGTGATTTATCACCTCACGGGGGCTATTTGTCTTGTGAAGCAAGGCTTCCAACCCTTTTCACACTCAGGAAGTGCCCATTTAACCATCCATTCAGACGTGAGAACCTCCTTAGCAGAAGGGCGACTTTCAGGCCTGAATGAAAGCATTGACCTGAGCATGGAGAAAAGGGCATCCCTTCCGCTTGTCGAGGCTGCTGCACACCGTCGTCGAAACGGTCCTCATATGATCGATACGACCCTCGATTTATCGGCTTCCCATCCTCGCTGAACTTATTTCGCCGCGCCTCCCATTTGTTCCACCACTCAGGGGGCAGAATGCCAAGTGCATCAACATGCTCGCAGGTTATATCATCCTCAGTCGCCAAAAATCCTTCAAACAGCGGACTTTGCCCAATAATATCCCATATCGAGCAGGCGAGCGACCAGATATCTGAGGGGAAAGAAAGCGGTTTAGCTGCTTCAAAGCGGGTCTCCGGGGCCTGGTTCACAAGAGGAGTGTGAGACTCGAATTCTTTTTCTCCTTTGCAGGAGAGAAGGCCTCGCCACAGTCGGAGAGTAGAATTTTAGCTTCTGAAAGTCGAAGTTTCCCACTTACTTCTCCGAGCCAGATTGGTAGGATACCGTGGGATGGGACACACCGAGGAAGCTCTTCGCCGTCGAAACGGGGACCTTGGATCTTGAAAGTGTCCAAGATGAAAGGTATCATAGCTTCCCCCGGAATATCTCGCAAGAGCTGTCAAATCATCTCATTAATCATAATCAAAATCAATAAATTAGCTTGACTATCATTAACTACTCGACAATCAAAATTTGTAAGCGCCGGGAAGTGGGTCCGAGACCCGCGTTCCTGAGCATCTTGTCTTAATCTTCTGAGTTAACCTAAAAGGCTAAAACTGAGGACGAAGTGGAGCTTCATATTTGAGCACCTACCAGTTTCGAGACAAAGACTTCATATTACGGACTAAAAATGAAAACTAAATCGAATAATCTGTACGGGCTAGATCATGCCATACTTAATGTGACGGTTCCTCCCGAAAGTATGTGGATGAATATGGGATATTGGAAGGTATGTACGCCTGAATAGAAGGGGTTACTATTGATATTGAAGTTATCGTCTTAGAACACGACTTTGTTTCAAGGCGCTTGTCAAGCTCTTCTTGATCAAGTACTGATTATGGCCGGGCTTCTCGGCCAACATGAGTCATCAGCTGTCACTCCAACGTCTCTGTCTTCCTTCATCAAAATCATTGATGTTGGATTTGGGTGTGGCGACCAGTCGCTATACTTGACAAGGAAACTCCATCGAACAATGAAGCCGTCTGAGAACACCGTTGCCCTGTCATCGATTGATCCTAGCAATGACGGTGATGGTGCGCCTAGCTTGACATCAGACCACAAAATTCACCCTCTCTTCGATTCATACGTAGGAATCAACATAACGCCTTCCCAGGTAGAAATTGCACAAAGGCGTCTTCTAGCTTCCGGCGATGAGTCTACGCTTCCTTCGCCATCGACACAAAAGGTGGAAGTTTTCTTAGCTGATGCTGGTAATCCCGCATCTTGGGATACTAAGCTTAAGGAAGCCGTCTACAGCGAGTTCACTCAAAATACAGAGCAGAACACCCAGCCAGCAATGGAGATGCAAACATGGTTATTGGCCCTGGATACGCTATATCATTTCAAGCCGTCTCGTATGCCATTATTTGAATGTGCATATAAAGACATGCAGGCTTCAATCATGGCATTTGACTTGCTCATGTCTGACAACGCTTCCCTTTGGGACAGATTCCGACTGCGATTGATGTGTCTCTTTACGGGTATTCCTTATTCCAACTTCATGACCAAAAAGGAATACAAAGCCATGTTAACCCTTGCAGGGTACGAGCATAGCATGATTGAAATGCAAGATATCTCAGAGCACGTTTTCTCAGGGATTGCAAACTACATACGGACAAAGGAAGCTGAGCTGGGAGTATATGGAATGACTCTGGGTAAATTCAAAGCCGCAGGGAATGCATTTGGCTGGTGGGCTACAACTGGTGTGGTAAAAGGGTTTGTCGTAGTAGCTCATAGAAATGAACTGCAATGATTTTGTAATACGCTAGTGAGCATCCACAAATGTTGGAATGAAAGACTCGAGTATGTTCAAGAGCCCTCGGAAGAGAATTCATTTTCTGCAATTTCCCATGGCACCTCGACTCCCAGGCTCGTTGCAACTCTCATCGCCGATACAACGCACCCCTCCAAAAGCACCATCCCATCCCAGCACCAAGCACCAACAAGCCAAACATTGCCGTTTCCATTACGCCATAATGGCTCTGTCTTTGGCAATGTCGACTCGCTTTGACCTGTGGTAAAGATATCATTAACAATCTCTCTGCTTTTTGGAGTACGTAAAACTCTTGCTAGCCGAGTGCGATGAATAACTTTGTCAGGGTTAATATGGGAAATTGGAAAACTGGTTACTAGGAGAGATAGCTGTTCGTGTGTGGCTTCAGTAGACGAGGAATCGGAAGAAATGTGCATTATTTGTGGCTGATCGTGTGCATTAAACCTTTGAAGCGACTGCGAGCAATCAGCAATAACGGATGTATCGTGATGGACTACTATCTCTCCCCGGACAACAGGAATAACACTCATAGATTCACGCAGAGGTTCGAATATGGCGCCGACAACGTCAGGGGTCACAGCCATGATAACGTGATCGAAATAGGAAGAATGATGTTTTTCGTTAAAATCAGTCCAAGTGAGCTGGACTTGTGTGCCGAAGCTCTTGACTGATGTTGCCATTGCCCCAAGGTTGACCACCAGCTCCTTGGACAATTTGGATTGGACTTCCTGTACGCCACCGATGACAGTATAGTGCGGTTGTCGATAGGTCTTTTTTGCGTATTCTATAGCATCAAGAGCCGGAAAATCAAGTAATGCATCATGAGAACAAGTCGTTACGCTTGACATGAGTGGCAATATATAGTTCTTGACGAAGTGCCGCGGCAACCGGATTCGTTCGACATACATCCGAAGAGTCTCCTCCGAGTTCGACGAAGAAGCCAGTCTTGGCTTAACAACAAAGCAACATGCGGTAAACCAAAAATAGCACACTGCTAAATATATGATTTGTATGATCCATTCCATATATCCACTGCTTGCAAGTCGAATTGGAGGTAATCGATGGTTGCTCGAAGAGTGCAAAAAGTAGGGACGAGACTTTTCCCCATTAACGGTCAAACGACTAGACAAGGAATAAAGGAACTTTTGTGTAATGCAGCCGACCCCAAGATAATCGTACATCTTTTTCAGGTTAATGTGGAAACCCCCGTCCAAGGCACGCATGGGTATATCGACACGAGTAGGATGGCCGTCTATGGAAGGTATCGTATGCGAGGCGGAGTCTAGAGACAGTTGATCTTGCTATCGTAATTTATCAGTGAGCGTTGCACAAATAGAAGGGGTAGAGGGCCAGGGTCAGCAAATACCATCTCGAATATTTGCACTTCATATCTGCATTGTTTGTCTCTTTGGATCAGGTAGGCAGACACCAGGCCTGCCATACCCGAGCCGACGACGGCGACTTTTTTCTTTGAGGGCTTTTGTTGAGTCATTTCAACCTGTGTTACCGAGAGACTGTTCAGTTGTTAGAGCAGGGTGATACGGGGGGGCGCCTCATGATCATCATGGTCTTTGATCACCCAATCACATGCTGGCGGAAAGAGTGGGCCTCGGGAGCTAAATCGGGCGGGGGCGTGATATATTATGCCGATCAGATCAGAACTTTAATAATGGAGTATCAGATCCACTTCAAGGGATAACCCTTGACTACGAAGTATCCGTACATTCCAGGTACGTCATTCACTGAGATAAGAAATTATATTTGAATACGTATCTGGCCAAGTATATAGAGAAAAAACCTAGTACCTATTAGCATTTAAGAGAAAAGCCACCAACTCCTATAACACACTGTACTGCGTATTATATTGCGATATTAGATAGTTGTCAATTGACTCAAAAATAACAAATGAAATTGGGAGATATATCCACTAGAAAAAGTCCTCGGAATCTGGTTATTTCTATCACGGACTATTCATTGTTCTTCGATTGGCAGTAGCTTGCATTCGTCGCATCGCTTCACGATGAAGATCCTGCATGTTTCCGTGTCGCATTCGTTCTGCAATTGAATTATGTAGATTTTCAGATGCCATGATACGTTGGCTCCTTGCAGCCTGCGCTCTTCGCTGTTGCTCCATTAATTCATTCTGAGCAATATCCACTTCGAGCATAGGTTTGTGTTTGGTCATGTCTTCCTGAATTGATTCACGCCAGGCAGCCATGGTGGTTATTTTTGGTTTGCTGGGTTCTCGCGAAAGTCGAGCAGCAGCTGAGTTTCGGCGGTTGACGGGTGACCTGTGTGCTTCCGAATCCATGCCCACTGGAGACATTGCTTTCTGTTGTAGTAGAGCCCGTCTCTGGGTTAACGGCATATCGTCGTCTTCAACCAAGCTTAGCTGACTTCCTGGACGTGACTCGTGGCTCTCTTCTATATTAGACTGCCTCGATGTGCTCCGTGGGACCCAGGAGTCCCGTGTCAGCGATATTGACGAAAACCGAGCCTGCAACATCTTTTCCCGCTGCGCCATCAAAGAGAACGATTCTTCTTCAATGACTTGCCCCACGGAATGCCTAGTTTCAGTCTTTTGTATGGGTGATGTCGAAACTGTTGTACTTAAAAATGGACTTGAGACGCTGCGCAAGCCCCCAAGTGTGGCCCTAGTGGGCGGTGGTGAACGATTCCGAGAACGAAGCAGAGCGGGCGAACTTGGAGCAACTATTTCTGGGGTGGGACTAAGTGGAGGTGCTGTGAGAGACTGGTCGACGACTAATTGTTTCGTTTTGACATCACCGGCCGACTGTCTAGAAATGCTTGATGCCGACCGTTGATCAGTGGCTCGTGAAATATTTTCGGAATGTGACGTCGGTTTTTCATTTGCAGGAGGTGGTGTAGCCGTCAGAGCGGTCTGCTTTAACTCCTCTATATTCAACGGGGCAGCTATTTCCATATCTTCTGGTGAAAGTGATTGCTCAGTGTCTGCGACGGGTTCTGCGAGAGGCTCGGGTTCAGGAGCATCCGCATGAGAAAGATGTTTTGCCCATTCATTTGTACGGTATGACATTACTACCGGAGACACATGACTAGGAAGTTTTCTGACAACTTCGGATGTGAGGCTTTCCATATTACGAGCGCTAGACTTCGACTTCGAACTCGATAGAGTCGTAGGTTTCCCAGCATTCGCACCATTTTCTAAAGTCGTTTCTGTAGTCTTCGAAGGGGTACCTGTAACTGGGGCCAAAGATAGAGCTTTAATAGGTAAAACAGATGTGACGCCATCGATGGTATGGCGACGTCTTTCAGGTACTACCACTAAGCCTCCGTCCACTTTCTCAGCCTCAGTTGGTGCTTTTTCTTCTATCGATGGTGAAATTTTCGTCTTAATCTCAGATTGGCTTGTGTCATGGCTAGCAGCCTTAGTCTCATCACCAAGGACTGTCAGCTGTGGATTTTTTCGGTCAGTGTTTTTTGCTAAAGATTCCTCTTGATCTTCGTTCGGGATCGGTTCAGTATTGTCATGCAGATGGATTTCTATCTCAATGCTCTGGCTTTCCTCCATAAACGAGCCAGCTTCACTGTCCGCTATTCCCTGGCTAGATGCTGTGGAGATCACTGGAGAAGCCGGGACAAGCATTTCATTTGAGTCTGTTTGCATAAGCCGGCTTCTCCTATTTGTATTATTCCGATGTGATAGTAGACGGAATAATGATGCTGCCGATAACCTTCTGGACATGCGGACAGAAGCCGTATCTGCATCATCGACGATAGCCTGAATAGAGTGATCATCATCATCATTTCTTGGATTGCTTTCATTGGGGACTTTGAAAGGAAGTGGCGTGACACGGGGAGGTGGTGGAGTTTCTGATGACAATCCCGAATCTTGGTCGACTCTCTGCTCGAAATCATTATGAGCGGTAGCAAGCTGCTCATCTGCATCAGGGTCTGCAGTGCAATCCGTTGCTTTCTGGTCGGCGATTTCATCCTTTTCGATCTCGTGACCATCAACTATATGCTGGCGTCCACTTTCAACTGTGTCTTTGTCTATGAGTGTGTCGTTCGTCGACGTAGGGAGATCAGTCATCTCCACCGAATTATCAGGGACTTCAATCAATTCCTCTGTGATTGAATGCGCCTTATGTGTTTCTGAGACTGGAGTCTGGACCGCTGTAGAATCGCTCTTGGGCATATCGCCATACATCGCTTCCCAACGGGCCAGATCATTTTCTTTCTTCTCCTCGAGTGCTCGACCCAATTCCAATTCGGCCTCATCCTTCCTCCTTCTTTCTTCTGCTGATATTTCTTCTTGCTTCTTCCGTCGTTCCCTGATTAATTTCCAAAGCCTGAATTGAGATAACAACCCAAGCAAATAGACGACGACGGTGACAGCAAGCTCGACACGGATGCCCCGAGTGACGGGGTAAGTTGATGTACTAGATGGGAAAAGATTGTCATTTAGACCTGTATTGAAACCTCGTTAATTCAAATAGCCCGGCGTAAATAATGCATTGGTTGGTGATACACACCCCAAATGTACAGCCAAAACTCTTTCCATCCTGCTCGGCTGAAGCAATCGATCCCTAAGACGGCAGCTGTACTTCCAGCGAAAGCGGTTGATGCTATCAACGCATATGGCCTTGTATAAGAACTGAACGAGAGAGCATAAAAGGCAATACAGAAAGCCCCGATAAAAGCCCCCCTCGTATTTGAAGTGGCTAGAAGACCTCCTTTTTTCACCGAAAGAAGCCACATGCTTAAGCAGAATCCCCCCAAGAGGCAGCCAAGGCCTTCGGTCAACTCTTTGAACATCAGTGACAACGCTCCGAGTATAACACCGGTGAAGAATGCAGCCACAAAGTATGCCCCTTGTACCGCATTTGAGACCGGGGGAATCATCACATACTCAATCAAGACCTGAACAAACATTTCAGCGTAAATAAGAAATGTGCATAGCAAGAGAGAGGCTACTTACGATGACCGACAAACTTGTAAGGAAAGCAGCAGATAAAAAGACATGTAACCTGATGTAAGAAACATGAGCATTTACTCGATTTTTGACCGCTAATCAACGTACCACTGGCTCTTAATGCCTACCAGACTGTAAGCTAAGCCTGTTATTATCAATACCACTCCACTTATCCCTATGGCGGGCGTTATAGTAGGTTTAATAGGCAGGACATCGCCATAAATTGTGCCTAGGTCTGTTAGAACAGGTTGTCCATTGCTTCGGATGTTGACTAACCGTTGTTTGTGTTTGTATTTGAGTTTGAGGGGGAAAGCTCCAAAGTAGGTTGGGGATTGGATATATCTGTGTGGATATCTATCATTGACGTCGACGAAGAGGAGTTATGCGAGTCGGCATAAGATGAGCACGCTGTTGACAATGGAATTGAAGCAGTTGTCTGCGTCGTGGTCTGCGCATCTTGTATGCCTGAGGTCGCCGAAACGTCTCGCTTTCGCGCGAAAGTTGCGCCAACAGCAGGGTCTGCAGCAAGACATGATAACAAAAGTAGGAGAGGGAGGACACGGCAATGATTCATTGTGTAGAGATAGTTTATAATATCAAACGAAAACTATGTATGATTGAAGAGTAAGACGGACTAGACGCGTCTATACTGCCGGTCGAAACATTTGGTCATAGGTTCATTTCCCGAGGTTTTATTTCAAGCTGCAAAAGAAAGCCCAGGCCAAGATTGCACGTTCCTTCAAATTTGCTTGGGGCAAGAAAATCTCAGATGATAATGGCGCCGGTAGCTAGTCATGGAAAATGACAGGAGGCCAGATTGGCTGGACTGTCAGAGAGAGTCTGTATCTGCCATCTGGGTGTAGTAAACCCAATAGAGAGTCCAGCCCAGCCACAAATTTTCTCCCCTGAGCATTGACTGTTTCTAAGAATTGACTCGGGGAACGAGGGGCAGCCAGCCCGATCTCACGTAAGGGGAGAGATACGATGTGCATGACGTGTATGGTCGAGGACTGCCTGTTCATCGACATTATGGAGCATGGGCCATGGCCGTAACTTGGTCGAGCTCCCAAAAGTCAAGTTTTTACCCTTTTCAAGCATGGAAACCTGCCATTCCACAGGCTGGGAGATCCCCTGAGCGAAGATGGACTAATCTCACAACAAATGCATTTCTTTGCTGATGGCACATTGCGCCTTGGAAATATCTGCTGCACCAACAACAACAATGTGACCGGTCCAAATTGAAACTAATCAATAGACCGGCATTGCCAAGAGACGCGGTAGCGAAATATAATGCGCGTTCGAATTAATCGGAGGCGCTATGGGAAATAGACGAAGGCTGCTAGTTAGTTACTTGTCACATCTCGAATTGAATAGAGGCACGTAAATCGTAACACGTAAGTTACGTCCAGGGCCCGGCCATCTCATGCGCTAGTGCGTGCTAAAGGCAACTAGATGCTGCAGCTGTGCATGGGCGAATCGGCGTCGTTACTCGATTTCGCCTTTCGGTGACTAGGTAGTTTGAGAGACGAGCAGATAATCTCGGAATAACCACGAGATGGCCCTAGCTGTAGACAAAGGACATTGTGGACCTTGGAGTTGGGGCTGTATGATAACTCCGGGATTTGCTCCCCTATACATTTTCTAGTTATCATTAGTGCTGTGCTACTCTGAGGACTTGCTCGGCATTGCTCGTATCCTTACATCTGATCGACAGGATGAGTATGTACTTAAAGCTGCTGGACATCTCCTCTCGCGGGGCATGCACGCGCTGCCAATTTGCGTTTCCAACAACGCACTGGCAAAACAGCGGCAAGACGGCGTGCTTTGGACCACTGGAGTTCCGCTTCAGTGATTGCAAATGTCGCACAGTTTTAGTGAGTCGATAAATCAATCTGCAAATCACCTAGCATGAATGTTTGAACGCAATACCACCAACTTGGATGAAGTAGATGTAAGAAGAGAAGCAAGGAATCTAACGATCAATGTCGACTTAATTCCGCTTTACCTATTCCGGCTTAGTCCTGATAAGATCGCGCGTAGTTCGTATCGAACGCGGTCACCCTGAATCAATCGTAACTGCCTGCTGCATCCTCATCGCTCGCTCATCGATCGACCAATCAATTGTTTTCTCGCAAGTTCTAACAAAATATATCTTCTGTATACTTCACCATGCAGGCAATCCGATCGTCTCTGCGCACCCGCGCCGCCGCCTCCGCCACCACTGCTCGATCTTTCAGCTCATCACCAGCTCACTCCGTTGCGCGCATCATCATCACCGGACGCCTAGCCGCCGAGCCCGAGATTTCAGCCACTTCAACCGGTCAGGATGTCATCAAGTATGCTGTAGGAACTTCGTACGGACCAAAGGACAACCGTCAAACGAGCTGGTTCCGTGTCGCCAGCTTCCAGCCAGAGGGCCCTGGCCGCGACTACCTGTTGAATCTGCCTAAGGGGTAAGCTTATGCACGCTTGCCGGAATTGCTCGTACGATAAGAAGGAACGAGGCTAAACAGCTCTTGCAATTGGTTTACAGAACTCTAGTCTATGTCGAAGGTGATGCCAGCATGCGCGTATACGATGACGCCGAGGGCAAGAAAACATCCAACTTGAGCATTGTCCAGAGTTCGTCTTTTCCCTTTTGTACCTGAATAGATTGAAGGCTGAAACTTAACTTTTTCTTTTTCTCTTGTTCAAAAGGAACCCTCGAAGTCCTCAAGCGTCCCAACCCGACCAACGGTGATGAAACCCAGTGAAATTGTTACCATATCGCAATACGGGACAATCTATCCAAATATGTGTCGGTCAGGAAATGTCAGGGAAACTCATAAACACTCGATCTCATGATCACTTATTCGTCTTTGATCGAGCAGCCATGCCGTCAAAAGGCAGTCTTGCAATTGATCACATTTCCCCAGACGGCTAGATCTCGCACAACATCTTTTACTACACGTTGGAATATGGGCAATTACTCGTATGAGTTGGTAGACCTAGGAAGTTACGATGTTATAATTATACCCCGTGGAAGATTTTCTGTATGTTTAGGTGACAGTGCTAGTGACCTGTGCGACTAATCTCTTCTCTCGTCTTTTCTTGACTTGGAACTTTATAATTCTTACTATTGAGGTCTGGTATTACAGTCTACTTGCTTGTCCAACTTCTTAGCTCTGTGCATTCGGTTACAAAATAATAATGAATGTCCATTTGTCTAAACAAGCGAGTTTAGAAGAGAGGAAACCTGATTAAAGATCCAGCGTCTTTTTCTGGAAGCATGAATTATGCACAGTAATACATAGAAACGAAATGAGTAGTCATAATTATCATTAAACGTTGCAATCGTCTTTCGGATGTATGCTGCCAACAACCATGGAACCAGGAGTTGGCAGGTGCATCGGGCTGCTTGCACTCACTCGCGAACCGGCCGCATGGGTAAGTGTGTCTCCATCAAGGCCACCTGACATAGTCGTGTTTGTATGCGAGGAGCTGACTGATATGGCATTGGTCCCTTTACTTCTGTGATTTCTGTTAGTATTTCTTGCGAAAAATCGAGGGTGGATGAAATATAACAAAAGACATACGTCCGTCTCGAGCCAAGAAGCCAGCTATTACTCTTGGACCGTAACGAGTCGTACCAGGAATCGAGCTTGCCCTCGTAGGAAAATGAAGCTCCACGACTCGAGGACGACGAAGGAAATTTCTTCAGACCAACAACATTGAGGAATGAGCGATACATGTTCGCGGCATCCTGCCCCAGGCCAAAGAAGGCAAATATCAACACACTCAAAGCACTTGGAATCCAACGATCGTATTTGACGGTGCCATGGGTTTGAACTTTTGTGATCGTCCCCAGGGCAGCGCCATGCAACGTCTTCCAGGAGTACGGTTGTAGCGGAATCATGGCTATAATGTTGGTGTAGAAGACGAAGGTTTGCAGAGGCAAGATGATTAGAATCATGAGTGCAGAGAGACCGAAGAGTCTTGTGAACCGTTGGCTCGACAGCTTGTTTCTTGATTCACCAAGTATCGTAGAAAACTCCGACTTGTACTTGACGAGGCGAACGATAATAAGTACTAGATGATTGTTACTAAATACCTCGAGACTTTGTGCATAATATATCAAGTCACAGCTTACCACAGTAACAAGCAGCACCAATGCAAATAACGGGAGGCCATGCAAACGACAATGCAATGGTAGGCCAGCTTTGATCAAAAGATGCATTGCATCCAGTGATAGCAAAGATGTAGTATCGGCCTCCTTGAACGACGAAATGGGCTATCATGGCCAGAACCGGCAGCCCTATGCAAAAAATGACGTTGAAGGCCTTGTTGCGCAGTCGTTGAGCTCGAGTAGGCACCAGAGCGGCGTTATCGACATCCATCACTATGGCAAGGCTGCGGAAGATGCACAGTAAGGCTCCCGGCATACCTACTTGCGATGCGATGCTGAGTTTGACTTGGACATCGCAGTACCCGTAGCCATTCCACCATGACTCGACATCGTCAGTCGGCCAGATCAGAGCATTAATTATGTTGATAATATCACTGTATATGACAAATGCGACTAGGAAAGAGGCACCCCAATTGCGGTTTGACAAATGCCATGCTATTGGAGGAATGCATAGCATCAGAGCCAAGAGTGACAGTGCCGGAGCAAGAATCGCCAGCATCGATCGATGATTGAGATTGTCTGCAGTATCCATATTTTCATGCTTCACCTTGAATATGCGCACGAACAGGGGATTTGGTGTTGGAGGTGATGTTAGCCCAGGCGGCGGCCGAAGAGTTCAGTTGAAGTCGTTCCTTGGAGCAGCACTACATGCTGCAAGACCTGGGGTGGCTCGCCTTTTGTAGGAGCAGCAGCGACCAGAAGAGACGTGAATAAACAGCATGAACGCATTTTGGACCGGTCAATTCTGCATGAATAGACACTTATTGAACGATGTTTGCTGAAGAAGTGCAGAAGACGCTGGGTTGAACGATTGCCGTTTCGGGGCATCAATAGGAGTGGGGGGGGCTTAACAAGGGAACAACAACGCAACATCCGACTGTCTGCAGTTTGCAGATTGCATTATCTGAGCCAATAGCATCATGCTGGTTCAGTTTGTGTGCTTTGGTCTGTGGACGATCCAGCAGGCCTGAAGAATCTGGATCACTCTGTGTCCAGTGTAGCTCCCGTGCTTGTTTGTCGACCCAGGCGAGAGACGAAAGACGAGAGACGAGAGGCATAGCCAGCCGCTTTTTGTAAAGAGACTGCATTGGGATGGAAAATTGCGTTGAAATTGCATTGAGAGGAGCAAGAGTCCTTGCTCAAATCAACAACCACCCCTGTACCAGAGCTCTTCTACGGTTCATGTTCTCAGTATCCGCAGATTCTATAAATCAATCACTAGAACAGTCCTCTCGGCATGTAAATCACTTCATCGTCTGCTCTTTCTGCTTTTTTCTGATTGAGCAGTGGAATGATTAACTATACACAGTGCAGAACTTCTACACTCTTCGACCTCATCAAAGATGACTAAGCATATACAATTCCGTATTCGGTTTAGCGGCTCGACGGAACTCAACATGTCCAGACTAGCCATAAGAGGCTAGCGCACTGATAGCTTCCTTATCTGCTATGGAATTTTTTTTGGCATCTGCCGCCCGCACATCTTCTGTTTGTCCATCGCGAGGAGACAATTCCAACATAGGCTCCTCAATCATGGCGCCAATCAAGCGCAAGGGAGCTACTGGGGAAGACACTGCTACCAAGAACCAGAAGCGCGCCCGTGTCACTTCGGGCGCCCCCAAAGCAGAATCCGGTGCTCAACAAAAGAAAGCCAAGCAAGGAAAAGATGTTTCGAAGGAGACGACTGCTCGACAGCAGGACACCGCGCCCTCCATTCTGCGCGACGAGGAACCGTCATTTCCACGTGGTGGTGGGAGTGTGCTAACCCCCTTAGAGCGCAAGCAAATCCAAATCCAAGCCACTCGAGATGTTCTTTTCGAGCAGAAGAAATCCGGTAAACCGGCCGAAGGATTCGGCGAAGAAGTCTCAGATGCCGACATTGACATGGAGGATGCGGATGCGGATGCGGATAAAAAACCAGTTCCGACTAAGAAGACGCGGAAGTCGAAGAGTAAGAAGGCAGAAGATTCGGAGAGGAATACCAAAGAAGGTGTCCGAGTCGAAGGTCTTAGCTTCAAGGTGCGTTGCCAATCCACCGCTCTTAGCATTCGTAACTAATTTTGCAAAAGCGCTTAACTACGGGGACCATGGTTCTAGGCCAAGTTACTAGCATCAACGCTCATGACATTGGCCTAGCACTTCCCAACAACCTTACAGGCTACGTCCCTCTGACTGCGATTTCCGAATTGTTCGATAAGAAGATCGAAAAGCTTTTGAATGCGGAGGACGAAGAAAGTGATGATGAAGCGGAAGATGATTCTTTGGATCTATCCAATTATTTCTATCTTGGACAGTTCCTCCGTGCCTACGTTACCTCCACTGGAAACGCTACAGATACTGGAGCTGTCAAAAACAAGAAGAGAATCGAGCTCTCCCTCGATCCGCGACAGACAAACTCAGGATTTTCGGACTCCGACCTTGTTGAAGGCACCATGGTGCAAGCTTCCGTGACAAGTGTAGAAGATCACGGATGCGTCATGGATATTGGCCTCGGAGACAAAGGCGTCAAGGGCTTTATGGCTTCTAAGGATGATATTGGCCAATTGACCCTCAAGGAAGGCGCCGTGCTACTCTGCGTGGTCACGAGTTTCAATGCTAGTCGAACCGTATTTCAGCTGTCATCGAAACTACAAACCGCTGCTTCGCTCAAGTCCTGCCTCAAATCTGCACCAACAATCCAAGCTTTCCTTCCTGGAACTGCGGTCGAGATACTTTTGACCGCAGTTGCAGAGAACGGTCTGGCCGGAAAGATTATGGGTCTCCTAGACTCGACTATTGATTTTGTTCACTCTGGAGCAAATTCTGGGTCTTTTGATCTTACCAAAAAGTTTCAGGCTGGTGCAAAGATCAAGGCCAGAATAACCTGTACCTTTCCTGCTTCAGAACCTTTCAAAGTTGGTGCCTCACTATTGGACAATATTCTAGAGTGGAAGAGCATATTACCTTCCCAGGAAAGCTCGGCGCCTTCTGTTGGAACAATATTGAATGCAAAGGTTGTGACAGTTGAGCCTGGACTTGGCCTTTATGTCGAGCTTGCATCTTCCAAGCATCTTGGCTTTGTCCACATCTCGAGGGTTGCCGATGGAACTGTAGAGACAGTATCAGTAGAGCAAGGCCCATTCCGGATTGGCACCACACATAAAGCTCGAATAATTGGCCACAATTCAGTGGACAATCTATACCTTTTAACTTTTGAAAAGAAAGTCATTGAACAGCCCTTTATCCGACTTGAGGATGTTCCCCTTGGTGCGGTAGTCAAAGGCAAGATTGAGAAACTGTTCATTGGCGCAGAGGGAATAGACGGAATTATCCTGTCAATCGCAGATGGTATTACTGGCTTGGTGCCACTAATGCACTTCGCCGATACAGTTCTACAACATCCGGAGAAAAAGTTTCGGGAAGGACTTACCGTTTCTGCTCGCGTTTTGTCAGTCAATCTAGAAAAGCGACAGATGCGGCTCACGCTGAAAAAGAGTCTGCTCAATAGCGAGTCTGCCATTTGGAAAGACTACAACGACATTGTTCCTGGAAATCAGTCTCCGGGAACACTTGTCAACATACAACCACACGGTGCAACTGTCCAATTCTACGGCACTGTTAGAGGTTTCCTGCCTGTCTCTGAAATGAGTGAGGCTTTTATTAAAGATCCATCTCAACATTTTAGAAAGGGCCAAGTTGTCAATGTTCATGCTCTTAGTGTTGATGCAGCCTCAGGAAAACTTGTAGTCTCTTGCAAAGACCCGTCAGGGTCTGCTGAGGCTTACAGAGAGGCTTTCAATGAGATCCATCCAGGAATCTCCGTCACCGGCACTGTATTTGAGAAATCAAGTGATGATGTACTCCTAAAGCTCGAGAAATACGGTGTTACGGCAAGGCTCAGCGCTACCCACCTTGTTGATGGTGACGCTTCGAAAGTAGCATCAGCATTCTCCAAGATACGAGTTGGTCAGAAGCTGTCGGATCTTTTGGTTCTTGAAGCTAAACGAGTTCACCGATTGATCAGAGTAACTCATAAACCAAGTCTCAGAAAGGCTTTGAAACAGAACGCTCTTCCGGCAAAATTCGAGGAACTCCAAGAGGGCACAGAGGTCACGGGTTTTGTGAGGGGAATATCGTCGCATGGAGTCTTTGTCGAGTACCTCGGGGGGCTCAATGCCTTGTTGCCCAAACGTCTCATCGATGACGAACATCTGAACAAACCCGACTTTGGGTTGCAAACATCTCAAGCGCTGTCTGCAACTGTCCACCAGATTGACGAAGACCATCAGCGCTTCACATTGACCATGCGCCCATCAGAGCGGCCAGCAGCTAGCCGACAGGAATCATCGCACGGAAAGCCGCTTCCAGGAAATGATCAGTTGTCAAATCCGATTGACAATACCGTCCATTCAATGAATGATTTTACTGTCGGAAAAGTCACCAAGGCAAGGATTGCATCTATCAAGGAAACGCAAATCAATGTTGTTCTTGCAGATAATGTGCAGGGACGCATCGATGTCTCGGAAGTTTTTGATCGTTGGGAAGATATCAAGGACCGAAAGCAGCCCTTACGTACTTTCCGAGTCAAGGAAGTTCTCTCTGTGCGCATTTTAGGAGTTCACGATGCCCGCAGCCATAGATTCCTCCCCATCAGTCATCGGACAAGCAAGCATCCAGTGTTTGAGCTATCGGCAAAACCAAGCTACGTCGCTGCTGAAGACCAAAACGCATTGACTCTGGAACAAGTCAAAGCTGGCTCTCAAATGATTGGTTATGTCAATAATATCGCTGATGATTTTCTCTGGGTCAGTATCTCACCGAACGTTCGGGGCCGTTTGCGCGCTATCGATCTCAGCGACGACTTGTCTACGCTAGCCGACCTAGAAAACAACTTCCCTATTGGCTCTGCTCTGAAAGTTCGTGTTGCGGGTGTTGATTTGGATAAAGGACATTTGGATCTTTCAGTGAAGCAAGAATCGGCCCGAGAGTTGTCAATTGACAAACTGTCAAAGGGCATGATTTTGCCTGGACGAGTAACTAAAGTCACAGAGAAACAGGTCATCATGCAGCTAAGCGATAACATTGTCGGTGCTGTCAGTCTCATGAACATGGCTGATGATTATTCCAAAATCGACACGACAGTCTATAAGAAGAACGAAATCCTTCGTGCCTGCATCGTTGATATCGATGGGCCTAACAAGAAAATTTACCTTTCTTTGCGACCATCAAGGGTTTTGAGTTCCTCACTGCCTGTTCAAGACCGAGAGATTACATCCATGAACCAATTGAAGGTCAACGATATTGTCCGGGGATTCGTTCGCAAAGTTGCTGATAATGGTTTATTTGTGACATTGGGTCATAATGTTTCGGCTTATGTCCGTATTTCAGATTTGTCCGATTCATATCTGAAAGAATGGAAAGACGAGTTCCAGGCAGATCAATTAGTCAAAGGAAGAGTCATCCTTGTGGATCCAGAGAATCAGAAGCTGCAACTGAGCCTCAAAGAATCTGTCTTAGACCCAAAATACAAGACCCCGATCACTATTCGCGATCTGAAACCTGGTCAAATAGTGACAGGAAAAGTGCGAAAGGTGGAGGATTTCGGTGCTTTTATCGTGATAGATGGCTCGGCTAATGTGAGCGGCCTCTGCCATCGAAGCCAAATGGCCGAGCAGAACATTGAAGACGCAAGGAAACTCTTTGAGGCCGGCGATATTGTCAAGGCAAAGATCTTGAAGATCGATTTAAAACAAGAAAAGATATCTTTTGGGCTCAAGGCATCCTATTTTGGGGACGAAGAAGGCTCGGATGACAGTGATGAAGATGTTTCCATGGATGATGAAGCCGGAGGTGTGCAACTCGAGAGTGACGACGACGGCGATGGGGATATATCTATTGGCAGTGTTGATGTGGTAAATGATAGTGACGTTGAATCGGAGTCAAGCGATGAAGAAGACGCCGTGACAAAAGCTAAAGACGATAAGGGAGGACTTGACGTTGGTGGTTTCGACTGGACGGGCGATGCAGGGCTGTCAGGGGCTTCAAAGATCGTTGACCGTGGAAACACTGGTGAAGATGGTAGTTCTAATAAGAAGAAGCGCAATCGCAAACCAGAGATCCAAGTTGACCAGACTGGCGACCTGGACACGCGGGGTCCACAGTCTGTGGCTGACTATGAACGACTCTTGCTAGGAGAGCCTGACTCTTCGATCCTGTGGCTACAATACATGGCATTCCAGCTAGAATTGAGCGAGGTAGACAAGGCAAGGGAGATTGGCGAACGTGCTATTCGTTCAATCAGTATCGGTCAAGATACCGAGAAGCTGAACATCTGGGTGGCGTTACTCAACCTCGAGAACACCTATGGTACGGATGACAGCCTGGACGAAGTTTTCAAGAAGGCCTGCCAGTATAATGATACTCAAGAGATATATGAGCGACTGATCAGCATCTTTATTCAGTCCGGAAAGAATGAGGTATGTTAAATGTGCTACTTTCTATGTGAAGAAAACATCAACTAATCTTTCTCTAATTTAATTTACAGAAAGCCGATGAGTTGTTCCAGACGGCGCTCAAAAAGAAAGTCTATTCGTCACAGAAATTCTTCATTAATTACGCTACCTTCCTTTTCGATACCCTGTCTAGCCCTGAACGAGGCCGTGAACTTCTTCCCCGTGCCATGCAGTCATTGCCTTCTAATACTCATGTTGATGTCACCTGCAAATTCATTCAACTCGAATTCCGATCGCCAAACGGTGATGTAGAAAGGGGCCGCACTCTATTTGAAGGTCTCCTTTCATCATTCCCCAAGCGCACCGATCTATGGAACGTTCTGCTTGACTTGGAAATGAAACATGGCGACGCCGAACAAGTCCGACAGGTCTTCCAGCGTGTTCTAGGTATCAGCGCTACTCCCAAGATACAATCAAAGAAAAAGGGGTCTATTCTTTCCGCGGTATCGACTGAATCGCAGAAGAAACTGAAGCCCAAGCAGGCCCGTTTCTTCTTCAAGAAGTGGCTGGATTTCGAGGTCAAACTGGCTGCTGCTGAAGGCGGCAATGAAAAGATGGTGGAGGAAGTCAAGGCCAGAGCAGCTGACTATGTGAACTCTCTGAACGGAGAGTAGAATGATTGCCGTTGTTTATTAGAAGTGTGCTTAAAAGTTCTTTTTGTTTGTCTGTTTTCTGGGATTCGGAACATATGAAAGCGTTTGTATATATATTCTTCAAGAGTCCTAAGGGTTAGTACATCTAATGCACACATTTAGTTCAGTAACAAGACGTTTACTAGATTCCAATTGTATTGATATCGAATACCTAGTTCACACTGAGATGTCGCTCTAGGTTAGTACCATCAATACCCATGAATGTCCTAAATATGTTGCATACCTAGGTACATCGGCCAATATTGAAGGAAGATAGGTGAGGTCTTCCATTGGCTCGAGGACGTTCTGGTACCATTTTCTTTAATAGGAAGGAAATTCTTATCAGATCAACCTAGTCTTTCATGCGCATATAAATGCTGGATGCTGTTCCAAGTTGAATCACAATAAAAAAAATTGCATAACATTTTCAACATGGCTGAATATCGTCATCTGTCTATCGGACATCCCCAATGGCCCTCGTGCAACAGCTTCCAAGTTTTCCCTTGTTGGTATCAATAAATAGCCACTCCAAACAGTTCCTTAACAACCTCCCCCGAGATACACGGCGTGTGCCCATGACCTGAGACATCAGTCTGCATCCACCCTTGACGGGTCTCCTGTTCCTTGCCTCGAGCTTTTGCCACCCGGATGTTCGGCCGGAGCAGTATCGGGACCGGATTCTGAGCGTGGGCGAGGTTATTGATGCTCCGGGTTTGACTAGAAAGTCTATTGATTACTTTGCCGGTACATTTTTATGCCCGAGACCTTGTTTAACCAGACTATACCTAAATTTTTGGTGTATACAGCGAAATATGGCGCTCCCCCAGGGGATCGTCGTCTTTCGCCTCTATTATTCGAGTCGCATTCCCAGCTAGCCAAAAAGGCAGTCTTTCATATTTGTGGCTGGGATCCTCGACGCTACGAGGCATTTCTATTAAGTGATATCTTGGAGGAGAATAGGATGGACACGAAGAAGTATGTCTACCCTGGTTTGCCGCATGGGTTTTGGACGACGTGCCCAGATCTGGAGGTATCGAGGAAGTGGGAGGAGGAATTGGTGGAGGGTGTCAAGTTTTTACTTTCCTAGCTAGGTATATACGTACGATTTTGAAGGTGGAAACGGTATTAGAAACTATGGATACTGTGAGAAGTAGAACAGAATCAAAAAGGAACATGATGCCAGATTTCCCAGGTTGCATCTAGCAACAATAGATTCAGCTGCAAAGTATACTGACAGAAGATGGCTGCTATTGCCCTCTCTTCGCAGCCATCAATCGTCTGTATTCCTCCACAATACTCTTTCGTTCTTCGGCAAGCTCCTCTCTCCTCCGCAAACTTCCAGCATTGGCAGGAATATTCGCAACATCCACTTCGGCACCGTCAGCACCGCGACGGATTCTGAAAATCTCGCGTGGTTTAGCCAGTGATTCCGGAGGCGCTTGAACCACTTCTAGCGGATTGATAGGTTTTGCTGTTCGCTCGCGAGTATTGAGTTTAGCCCAAGGGTCGTCATCGTCATCATCCTCGTCATCGTCATCGTTATCTTTGCCGTGCTTCCTCTTCTTCTTCTTGGATGACGACTGTGTAGTCTTTTTCTTCGACTTGACTTTCCCAGCTTCAACCTGCCATTCTTTCCATAACTCTGCAAGTTCATCATCCTGTGCCTCTCTTAATTCCCTCTCTTCGGCCTCCTTTGCTTTGATGCGAGCTTCTTCCTCACGCCAGCCTTTTTGAAGTTTTCGGAGATGTTTCTCATGCTTTGTAATACGCTCCTCACGGATCTTCGAAAGATTATCAGACTGAGTTGTGCGTTGTGACTTTTTCATCGAGGAAAGAGGCATTGCTTGATCGACACGCGCGGCAAAATCAGACAGTTTCTCGCCAGGGAGAATCTTGATAGCTGCGGCGTTGTCTTTGGCTGCAGATTTGGAGGTAGTCGTCGTTGTATCCTTATCTTCTACTCCTCCTCCTCCTCCTCCTCCTCCTTCTCCGCCGCGCTTACGCTTCTTGCTCTGCGGTTTCCCATTGCCGTCATCCAGTCCAGACGGTATCTTCCCCAGTTGTTGGAAGCGCATCAAACGTGAGAATGCACGAGGAGTATCGTCTGCCCATTTCGGGTTCTTATTATTGGGCTTTTTGTTGCTTTCGCTATCTTTACTTTTGTTGTTGGCCCCTTTCTTCGTTGCATTGCTCGGTGTCTTGCCTTTGTTAACTGGCAATGGCTTGGCTATGGTTGTGGGAGGGAGGTCGTAGGTCCTGCAATTGGTATTCAGCGGGGTGAACATCATATTTAACAGAATTTTTCCAGAAACTTACGACTCGTCCTTTTGCCGTCTTTTATGTTTGTGAGGCATATTGAAGGCGTGTGTGATGGATGTTTTGGAAGGTTGCTGCGGATGGGAAAAACCGACGATAATTTTGCCTTTGCGCTATCGCTATCGGGATCCTTATCGTTATCGTTATCGTCTCCTCATCGGCCCGCTTACATCACCTCGGTTTATACGCCCATTATTGAATAGCAGATTCTCTTATCCGGTGGTATTTCGCAATCGACAGCTTGAAGAAAAAAGGGGTGCCATCGGGCTCGGTTAGGAAAAGGTCCGTGCAGCTGACAGACAAAAGCATTCTGATTCCGAGCGTGTTACGGTGAGATGAGTAGGTAACAAGGCTTCCTTATTTTGTCCTGCATTTTTGCGCAATGATGTAAGTCGGCTCGACACTCGACTGCTGACACCCCTTTTACTGACCCTAACCTAGAGGCGTAATTGAGTTTATAACGCTTCTATGCGGAATAGTTGTCTCGTTCTTCTCAGAGGACTTGTTCGATATATGGAACGACGAGAATGGGCTTGTGAATTGGCCAACGGCCCTTACGAAGGACGTTTTGCCCGTACCATGTCATTCTCACAATGATTATACCCGGCCAATGCCTCTAGTCTCTGCTCTTAAAGCAGGATGTGTCGGCGTCGAGGCTGATGTGTGGCTTATCGATGAAGAACTGTACATTGCTCACACGAGACCAAAAGTCACCCACGGCCGTACCCTGGGATCTCTCTATGTAAATCCGCTGATGAGCCTATTGGAGGAACGAAATTCAGCAATAAATCAGACATTGCACGGCGTATTTGAAACAGACCCGGATCAGAACCTTGTTCTATTAATTGATTTTAAGACAAATGGCGCCGACACCCTCCCATACGTCATATCTCATCTGTCACCATTGCGAGATAGAGGCTATTTAACCCACTGGAATGGGGCCAAGGTTGTCAATCGACCTATCACGGTAGTTGCGACTGGCAGCGCGCCATTCGAACTCTTGACCGCGAACTCAACGTATCGTGATATCTTTTATGATGCACCTCTTGAGCTAATGGAAGATGGTGAGCCAAAACCTGTACAACGAGCACGATCAGCCCGGAGAAAAGAAGAAGGCCAGGGTTCTTCCGGAACACCAAGTGCCGTCCATCTCGGCACATACAATCCATCTAATAGCTATTATGCATCGGGATCCTATGACAGATCCATTAGATTCCCATGGAAATTTTACATCACCTCCAACCAGTTAAATCGAATTCGAGCCCAGATAAACGAAGCGCACCGACGAGGGCTCAAGGTTCGCTATTGGTCCACACCAAGTTGGCCACGGAACCTTCGAAATCATATCTGGAGTGTCCTCGTGCGAGAAGGTGCCGACCTACTGAATGTTGATGATTTGGAGAGTGCGATAAAAGGGCACTGGTGGTCCAACAACGAGGGGAGATAATCTGAAACAATGTTCCTGGGTTTCCCTATAACTGGTAATCAAATAAACTTTCCTGCCATAAAATTCAAATAGAATATATATTGCTATGACTTGAGATAATTCCACATACATAGGTATACCCTTTCCTCGCTTTACACAGGCTGGGTGACATTTACAGACAAAACAATGCTTCTTCACCGAATTCTCGGGCAATGCTTCCTTCTTTGCGAATCACGTTTCCAAGCCACTCTCGAGCAGCTTCGAGATCCATGGCCCCGAACTTCACTAAAACAAATCCTGCCCGAACACGAGCCGCAGTCCATGTGACTTTGTCTTGGTTTTTGGAAGGTTCTGTTGCAGCCGATGTTGATGACCAGTTGCGACCACCAATACGTGGCTGCGAGCTAAATGTATCCATAAAAAAGGCGCCCAACTGATCAAACATCGGACCGTAAAGGATCAATGTACCAAAAACGCCATGTGGATATGTTCTTTCACGGATCAATCCACCAGACTCGTGGATTTTATCACCTTCTTTCGATTGGGGATCCACTTCATCGTCTAGAACAATAGAGTCACGCAACAACAACCGTCTTTTGCCAGTTATTTTATCTTCGGACCACACCTCATTGCGGCCTTTCCATATTTGAAAGTCCCAGTTTTCTCCACGCGCGCTTCGACCCTGGGTCACCCAATCCAGAATGCAAAGACTGCTTCTATTCTCTCCTTTTTGAGACCCGTCAATGGTAAACACCTGGATCTGTTCATACCGGCTATTCTTGAAAGGGGCGGACGGGTCAACAAGATAGCAAAGGCCGGCCTGGCTTCCAATACGAACGTCAAGCGTCTGACGACTCATGTCGTCGTCCATCACAGAATTGTTGCTGCTTGAGCGTCGTCCATCTGGTGCCGTTTTGTAGATCTTGGTGCTTCCTTGCGGTGTAGTAACTACCAAGCGCACACGGGGATCAAGAGTAATCGATACATCAATGTGATCGCCCGGAAGAAGACCGCCACCATAGGTTAAAAGATACAGATGGACTGGTTTTGTGGCGTCTTTTCCTGCGAGAGCTTTATCAGGGGTAAAGCTTGGGACACGAGACAGAAGTTTCAGAGGATATTTGTATGTCAGAGTCGTCAATGTCGGGATAGATGGAGGTAATAGTGAGAGCACAGCCTCGCCTTTCCCGGGACTTGCGACAGTCGCAGCAAATGGGGATTTAAATGCCATGTTTCTGGTTTCCTCCCCAGCGCTTTGATCTGAACTCTGCTTTGAACAAGATTTCAACAGGAAATGGAATTGATCGAATTGAATTTCTGCATGGCTATACTATAATCATGCCCTTTGACCATTCAAGAATAGATTTACATCCTCGGGGTCTTGTTTCTCTTTTCCTTGGTTACTCGAGCCGTCTTGTCTGTCAAATGATAGCGATCTTGGTTTCTCGTGATTATTGATACCAACTGGCGCTATTCCACAAACAGCCACAAGCAGGGCTTAGGGCAAGGCGGATCAGGTGCCTTTATCGATACGCAATTATCGTGTTTTCGCGCTAAGCTGCATGGGTCGACAGTCTGGCCAATCACGCTCTGGCAAGTGCGGACTGCCGCTTGCCTTGGAGTTTGTGGTCGCGCGTAAGGAAGGAACGGCACCTCCCATCATCGCCAGAATTCCACCTCGAGGCCTCGAGAGGGGAAAGCACATGTTTTTTGGGTTGGTGTTCTCTCTATCTACTCCCTCGCGGCCTGGATTCTAACTTCTTCTGTGCAAGACGATTTAACAATTCTTATTCCCAGCGATATCAACTGCATATTTACCGCGTTTCTACTACCCGTTCGGGACGCGTGCGACGCCCGTCGTCCCCCTCTTCTTTCACGTATCTTCATCGCCTTCACCCTTCTACCAAATATAGAAAGCACGCACTCAGCCGAAGTCTCTGGTGCGCCAGAATCTAGCAAATCATGGACATTTCCGACTCAAGGTCCTCTGACGGCGAGCAAAATGGCGATACCTCCAGCAGGCGCAAATCCGGACGTGCAGTGAGGAAACCACAACTTTTCTCCCAGGATGTCCACAGTTTAGGTGCCAACACCGCCGAGAAAAGAAAGCGGACTGGACAGAATGAAGATGAGGAAAATGGCGACGAGGAAAACGAAGAAGACTCCGAGCCAGAAGACGATTCCGAAGACGAAGATCCAGACGAGGAGGAAGAGAAAGAGCGCAGAAGAGCGGCGCGGAGAGCAGCGAATAAACGCAGACAAAACCCACAAAGCAATGCGAAATCATCGTCGTCGCGCGCCACTAAAAAAGCAAAGACCAAAAACGCAGGCAAATCACTTGCAATACGCCCAGCAACCAACGGCAAGCAAAAGAAGAAAGCGGCTTCAAAAAAGAGAACTGCTCCACCGAGACCAATCTTCCATGCTACTTCAGAAGGTCTATTTGGTAATACTTCTTCTTTCTATTTTCGATGTCTGCAAATGCTAATGCCTATCTCAAGCCGATATTTTCGACCGAGGGAAAGACGCCGAAACCGTTGTGGAGGAATGGTTGTCCAAATACGAAAAAGACCCGGTCGAGGGCCTACGCACGCTATTCAACATGTTCCTTCAGTGTACAGGTGCTGACTTGTCCGTGGACACTGCGGATGTGACGGACGAGGACCATTGGCCCCAGCGTATACAAGACCTGCAAGAGGCTCATCTCGATACCGAGCCTTCGGATTATCCACTTATATCTAAGGACAAGAGGTTTCGCAACTTCCGAGCCATCATCGTGGACTTTTGCGATACCTGGGTTGAAAGTCTCCACCGCTCCTCCCTGCTGTATAATTCATTTGCTCCTGGCCTAAAGGCTGAGATATGGCTCAATATAATGTCTAGCTCTGGTAATAGAGCTTTCAGACATACGGCGACTATATTCTCCATATCAATCACCACCGCCTTGTGTGATATTGCTGAAGAGGTAGCCTCTGCAATTTCTACCTCTCGCAAGCAACTGGAAGGCGAGAAGAGGAAGAAGCAGGCGAACAAAGGCAGGATCACTACCATCCAAAATACAATTCAAGAGAACGAAGAAAAATTAGAGGCAATAGAAACCCTTCTCAAAGAGGCTTTCGACACTATGTGGGTGCATCGGTACCGGGATGTCGACTACAAAATTCGCAGTGAATGCTTCCTTGGTTTAGCTCGATGGATCCAGACGCACAGAGAAATGTTTTTCGACCCCCAGTACGTGCGATATCTCGGTTGGGGTCTCTCGGACTCGGTTACTCAGGTCCGTGCAGCTGTGGTTTCGCAACTTCGCCAAATTTATGAAATCAAGATTAGCATCGCTACTCTTCGGACTTTCACCGGTCGATTTCTCCGTCGGCTAGTTGAGATGGCTCTTAGGGACACCGACAGCAATGTGCGCGCCTCAACTGTGGAATTGCTCGGGTTCATTAGAAACCAGGGGTTGATGGAAAACGCCGAAATCGATCAAGTTGGCCAACTAGTGTTCGATGCAGAACCTCGTATTCGTAAAGCAGCCGGCCGTTTCTTCGCTGCAAATCTTGAAGAAATCTTTGAGACTCATACTGAGGAAATGGCAGAGGACATCAATGAAACCTTTGGCGAGGAAGAGGACGAAGACGATTTCGAGTCTCCTAAGAGATCCTGGATCAAATACAAATGTCTCGCCGATATCCTTCAATCCTATGACGGACAAAGGGATGAACAGGCGGTAGAGCGTCAACATTTGAGCACCGTTGAGGCTTTGTCGGGCGCACCAGTAGAATCACGTTTCTTTCTTGCGACTGAAGCAATTTATCAACATATGGGAGAACTGTCACACTGGCAATCTCTCGCAGGATATCTTCTCTATGATCACTCTCAAATCACAGATTCGCCTCCGCAGGATGAGGTCAGCAACGTGCGGCAGTTTTTCGCATTGGAAGAGGGCCAAGATAGTATTTTACTTGAAGTGTTGGTTTGCGCCGTCAAGCTCCGAATTTTAGAGATTGCCCGATCAGACATAAACAAACGCGGACAAAAAATCAAGTCATTAACTGACAAGATTCCAGAGATGCAAGAAGAGACTGCTCACAATCTTACTCAAATCATCCCACGCCTGTTAAACAAATTTGGTGCCATACCAGAAGCGGCTTCAGCAGTCCTCCGTCTAGAACATCTCGTCGATTTAGATAAAGTTCAGAATCTGCAAAAGAACACAACAGCCTATACATCACTTCTCAATGACATTAATAGGCAGTTTTTGACACATTCTGACCAAGATGTTCTTGCCGAAGCTAGTGTAGCTTTCCTGCACGCTCGAAGCTCGGATGAGATGAAGGAAGCGATGGAAGGCAAAGTCCAGGAACTATGGGACGACATGATTGACACAGTTGGTGCAATCGCTCAAAACAAGGACGTTCAAGCAGGGTCGTCACTTCCTAAAAGTGTCCTGGTCGAAATTGCCAATTCCGTTACTAGGATATCCAATCTAGCAAGTATTGTAGATTGCACTGGCATCATTGAAACGGCTCCCGTTGCTGCAGTCAAGAAACGCAAGCAAAGCTCGGAAGCTCCATTCAACACGCTTATTCACTTTGTGAAACGCGGTCTTCGTGATGAGGAGGGTGATGAGGAGTTGCGAAGCTTAGAGACAGAGTTGATCAGCAACAGCATTAAGACACTGCTCTTTTACTTTATGTGGAAAGTGCAGGCCTTAACCACCGCAGTCAAGTCTGGAAGCGCCAAGTTCAACACTGCATATTTTGAGACGTTGGCGAAGAGTCGGAATGTCTTTGCTGCGACCTTGACAGCCGTCATGCAACAGAGAAAGATACTAGATGACATTCGATACTCTGCAGTGACAACGTTCCTAGATCTACAGACTCTTTTCGGCACATTGCGCAATATCGGAATGCATATTCAGGGTGGTCTAGAGAACGTCGATGAGGATATTCTCTTCCAAGTCCAAGGGCTAGCGCAAGAGATAACGCCCTCGACACAAGTCACCATTTCCAGGTTTCATGACATGGCTGAGCGAGCTTTAGCTAAGAGAATGAAGAAGGAAATTCGTTCATCTGCTGATGATGATGCTCCATTAGAGTCAGCTCAGGATCTGAAAGACCTGCCCTCTGACGATGAGGAGGAAAACGAAGAGCAAGATGAAGATGGTATGGAAGACGAAGCCATTGCTACCGAACGTCTCCGCACCACAATCATCGCTGAACAAAGATTGTGCGAGATTACCGGCAAGATTGTCCTAGCAATCATCGGCCGCGTTATAGACAATTCTGGACCACATCGTGGCAAACTCAAGCAGAAATTACTGGTTAATAAAGCCCTGCTAGGTCACAATTACAAAGAAGTCATTAGGTTCCTGGAAGATCGCAAGGCACGACCCGCTGCTAACGGCAGTAGTCGGTCGAAGGATAGACAAGACGCTGCAGATACCGATAAAGCCGTTCAACTCGATTTATCAAAGAACAATGAACAAGTTGAACTAGAAGACGATCCAATCGAAGATGAAGAAGATGCCAACCCGGCTGTTGAAGAAGATGAAGACGAAGATCTCCGTGCTAGGGATCTGGTCGAAGAGCACATTGACGATGACAACGACGAGGAAGACGGATCAGAGCAAGAACAGAACGGGATTGGAGGAGACGAAGATGAGGATGAAATAATGGGTGACTAGGAGGATCTCTTTTTCTTTTAATTTCTTTGTTTTCTTGTTTCAATTTGCGTGCGTACAATCAAAGGGGGTGGGAAGCATCTCTTCTTATTAGCTTCTATTTTTCTCTTTTCTTTTTTTTTTCTCCCCTTGCGATCTTTTCTTCATATGCCGGTACTAGAAACTGAGGTCTTGCTATTTCTTTCCCTTTCTCTTCTATGTATAATGATAATTCAATTTCAGAAATACCACTCATTGTATCTTGCATCTATGTACGAACAATACACCTACTCAACCTAGACCAACCTATATGGGAAATAATTACGTCACAGCGAACATGTCCCCAAGTATTACACCTAGGTAATTTACGAGATAGGGGAAGAAAGCAGAATGGGCATAAGATTTATGTTTTCATTGAAAACCGAACAACTACATCCGAATATCATAAAAAGAGTCATGTTTTCTTTGCTTTGCTTTGCTTTTTTGTAGTGGGGAAGGGCATCTTCTAAACCAGGAATTGTGGTTCTGTCTCAAAAATGTCTTTGAGTTATTGAAGTTTATGGAAGATTTGACTGGAGGGCAAAAAATATGAACTAAAAGGAGGAAATGAAAGTTCCAATTGAAGAACAAAAAAAAGACAGAAATATGCCTATCATACGATATTTCGATGCGACATCAGAGAATAATAATAATTTAACTTCTAGAAATGCGTGGGGTTACATGATTGTGTATCTTATTTATCGTGCTAACATTAAACCATCGTTAAAGACAAAGGGATCCATTGAGAAATGATGAGGAATAAGGAAGAAAATATAGAAGAAAGGACACGAATGAAAAAACCAATCAAAAATAAGCAGAGGCCTAGGGAGTAGTTATTTGGACCCGAACGCCAAAGGGGGACTTGATGGGTGGATGGTAAATGTTGCTTGACTAGAATAATTAGATTTCCTGGTAGAAGTTGGATTCAGTATCCATCTTCGGAGGTAGCAAAAAGGAGATCCCAGTTCTCTCGTGTTGAGTTGACTCCTCGCTGCAGCGACAGCAATCTAGCATCCGCTTAGTAGAGCGCCTCCTGAATTGCCCAACGGGAGGTTGGTGGACGAAAAATATAACATCACAGAAAAGACTTTCTGAAAATCTTATAATCTTTACATGTCCATTGAGTCGCCACCGCCATTGGCGAAGGTGAAGCCGCCAGGTTGCTGCTGGTTGGTACCGAGAGCGAATCCGGCTTGTGTTTGCTGAGGAGCAATTTCATCGATATCACCACCAGCCTCGTCTTCATCAGAGAAATACTTCTCAATGATGTTATAGGCCTTCATGTAAATCTCCTCATTGGCGTTGTTCTGGCACTCGTGAATCTTCTCCATACCACCGGCTTCTTCAATGAAAAGAGCATAGCGGTTGAGGTTGCCCTCACCAGTCTGTGTGGCCTCCTTGTCCATTTCACCGACCTTGAGAATATTCTCTAGGCCGTCAAGAGCGACTTGAATGATCTTGTTGTCGGGGCACGCAAGGAGATCGCACAAAGGCTTGATGCAGCCTTGGGAAACCAGGTAGCGGATTTGATCTGGTTTCTGTAGACCGCCCGAAGTAGCATTAGAGATAGCCCAGCACGCTTCTTTGCGAGTCTTGAAGTCGCCGTTGGAAAGGAGGTTGATGAGTGGTGGAATGATGTTTGCGTCAACAACAGCTTGGATTTGCACGGAGTTGCCGGCAGTGATGTTAGAGATTGTCCAGCAGGCTTCTTTGCGAATTCCATCCTTGGTAGATCCAAGGAGAGAGAGCAATGCAGGTAGAGCACCGCAGTTGATAATGACTTGGGTTTGAACGTCATCACCGGTGACAATGTTGCCTACCGATCGCAGAGCAGGGGTCTGGACAGAAGTCGAAGCATGGGTAAGGAGCTCCACTAGGCGACGCGGAATTCCGGCTTCAATGACAGCTTGGATCTTGTCGTTAGACCCGTCAGACAAATAGGAAATAGCCCAGCACGCATCAATAAGAACTTCATCATCAAGCATGTAAATTAATTTCGAAAGAACAGGAAGCGCCGGGGAAATCTAATACCAGTGTTAGTTTTAGCTTTTGATTATGTATGATGATACGACTCGGGACTTCGTAGACACATACAGTATTCCAATCTGGTTGTGGGGTTTTGCCGCGGCAAAAGTTGCTCAGGGTCCAGGTAGCGTTGCGTAGCATGCTCATCTTGCGACCGTCGTTGATAAGGGTCAAAAGAGGACGAAGGGCACCGGCAGAGAGAACATAGTCACGGCATTGAGGACTGTCACCAGCGATGTTACCCAGAGCCCAGACAGCTTGTTCGCGCACATCGGGTTCGGGACTGCTAAGGAGCTCAACAAAGATAGGGACAGCACCGGCTTCAATAACAACCTGAGTCTGCTGAGCAGAGCCCGATGCAATATTTGTTAGGGCCCAGGCAGCCTCAAACTGGACCAAGGTGTGAGGGGAGCGTAGAAATTCGACAAAGCGAGACACGACGCCAGTCTCAATAACGCGCTCAATAGGAGGGTTGCGTTCCTTCGAAAGCAACTTCCTAAATTTGGTGGTGGCTTGGATCTGTTCATCAATCTGCTCTGAAAAGACACCTTTGACCATCTCTGGGAGTTCAACGTTCAGCTAATAAAAAAATTTCTGTTAGCCATTTGTAATGTGAGAGAAAAATAGAAATAAAAATAAATCATCAGCCATTCGCGCATGATAGGTGCTGTAAGCCGTATACGTTATACAGCAACGACAACAAGCACTAACAGCGACCGGCTAGCGATGAAGATCCCAAGTATTTTCCGGTGGGCCAACAGACGGCACAAGTTGGGACAACAAAAGGGTGAATGCCGTGACTAACCTCGCCTTCAATAGTACCACCTTCTTCTTCGTCGCTGTCAACGCCGACTTGGCCACCAATGATGCCGCCATCACTGGTTTGAATGCCTCGTCGCTTGGCAAGATTTTCCTCTCGTTTTTGCTTTCGGATCTCAACCTGCTGCTCTTCACGGCGACGACGGAGCTCATCGGGTTTGAACTGGTTCTTGGCCTTGAACTGCGTCCGGCGATGCTCTGGGATGTAACGGTCCGCCATGGTGAATGCACGGGTTTGCCGGTTTATTGTTGTGTGTGTGAGAGTGGGGTAGATAGAGTGTAGAGCCTGAGGGAAGGAGTAGGAGGCAAAAGAAAAGTATTAAATGAAAATGCAGAGTCTGCAAGCCCGATTTTCAGGGTGGTTGTGCCAAAGCAGCGGTGCAGAGACGTGGTTGTCCTGGGTTGAAGTAGAGGGGCGACTGGGCGAGACGAGAAAGAGAGGGGAAGGAGATGTTGACGCTTTCTTTTCCAGCGGTTGCTCTGGTTTTTGGTTTTTGTTTTTGCCAAGAGTTTGCCTCCGTTGCCGCGCGCGTCCGCTGAATAAGCGCCATTGGCGCTGCTTCTAGTAAGTCCTGTCTTCTGCATTGCAAGCTGCTGCTATATAAACTAACAAAATGGACACAAAGCAGCGTATGACAAGGCAATCTAGAGCCACACTTGGCACAGGCGATGGTCTTGCTGGGACAGCCCGAGCAATGCACAGAACGTAGCACGTACCCTGTATCAGTCGCACAGCAAGGCAGCAAGGCAGCAAGGCCGTAAGGCTACAAAATCGCGCACGGGCCAAGCCCGGCCGGCAATTCGGCGCCACAGTTATTCCGCAAGCAGCTAGCTACACGCTAAGCCTCATTCGATTCGATATAAATCCCATTGTATACGACGAGACGCGCCCGAATATAACTTGTACATTATCCAACATTCATGGCGTGACTGGGTGCATGGCCATTCTCGCACTGAAATTAGACCACACGCTGGTTTGTAGTGTGTCAAATTAACCCAAATAACACGGATTTGAGACCATGCCTGCAGCCATACCACCGCGCTTTGTCAGCGTCGACACAGCCAAATCCACCCAGGGACATCATAATTTGATTGGAGTTGTGGTAGATTGTCTTTCAAAGAGCAAGACAGGCGGCACCTCTTTTGTTGTGACATTTACAATCAAAGATGCGGACTATGGCAAGGGAAATCAATCATGGACAGGGTTAAAGATCAAATATTTCAACAATAACGAGCATCGTTTACCTGACCTGAGAGTAAATGACGTGATTCTCTTACGTCGACTAAGGGTAAGTACTACCGGTTAGGGTATACCATATTTTTTTTTCACGCCTGCTAATCCGATTGAAAGGTTCGACCGTATCAGGGATCCTTGCTGGGCATTGCCTCAAATACAGACAATGTCGCATGGGCAGTCTTCCGGCAACCTGAAGAGCGGGCGTCCTTGGCAATTCCAGCATGTAGCCCTGGGTCAAGTGCCCTCAATCTTGAAGAAACAACATATGCGAATTGGCTTCTAGATACTCTCGCCCGTTCCAGATCCAATACTTCGTCAACTCCGGTAGAAAGGCATCGCACAGAACCTTCAACGGATCCCATAGGCGCCAAGCAACAGAACACTGCCGTAGCTAAGAAGAGAGATAGGTTTTCTTTGATCAAAAACCTCTCGATGGACACTTTTGTCGATCTCACCGTGCATGTAGTGAAGACGTGGTATCAGGATGACAGGGTTCATTTATACGTCACTGATTATACTGTGAACAAGTCACTTTTTGACTATCGAGACAAGTCAGACGATGATGCAGATGGAGATGGGGGCACTTTTGGCGATGAATTCGGGTTTATGACTCGCAACACCCGCGAGAAAAGGACTTGGGAGGGGCCCATGGGACGGATGACGGTGCAGGTAACACTGTGGGATCCGCATTCTACGTATGCGAAAGAGAACGTCCGCGAAGATTCCTATGTTGCCCTGAGCAATGTGCGTGTGAAAACAGACAAGATGAATGGCATAATGGAGGGAGTTATGCACACCGACAAGAAGTTCCCCCACAAGCTAGGTATCCGAATCCTCGACGAAGATGATGACGAACCTCGTTTTGCCGACCTCAAGAAGCGAAAGCGAGAATATTGGCGGCAGAATAGAATGAACAAGCGCAAGGTCGCCGAAGACTTTGGAGAAGAAGACGGCGTTCCCAAGAAGAATGCGAAGAAAAGGCGGAAGGAGCAGCTGCGCCAGAAAAAGCAGCAAGAGCAACGGCAGAGGCAGCAGCGGAAGGAAGAGGGCCAGACGGAGATTCCCATCGCGGTGATTTCTGCAAAGGGGCCCAATCCTCACAGTATGCACCTCCCCCCCGGTTCTTTTTGATCTGCATCTGCTGACTGCTGACATCTTCCAAGTCCAAGCAAAGGATCCGTCAAGAGCGTGCCGGAAGCTCTCTGAAATCCTGGCAAACGAGAGCCACAACATATCCCTCCCAGGCAATATTCAATATCGGCTTCCCTTCCAGAATGTGAAGTATCGCACTGTCGTCCGGGTTGTCGATTTCTTCCCGCCTGACATTGCTGATTTCGCGGTTCCGTACAGACCTCGCCGATACTCTGCTCCATCGTCGTCGTCGTCGTCATCATCCGAAAATGAAGATGGAGATGATATCAACCCGCACACGGCTGGGATCAGATGGGAATGGCGTTTCTGCCTCCTCGTGGAGGACGACAAGGCTGCGCCTGGTCAAGCCCGGGATCGCATAAAGCTGTTTGTTAGTGGAGCCGAAGCCGAGTTCTTGCTCAAACTTGATGCTGTAAAGTGAGTATTCCACGTTCTCATTTCAAATTTTCTAAATACTGACAATTTGTATAAAGCTTACGGGAAAACAGAAGCATCTTAAACCGGCTCAAAGAAAAGCTATGCGTTTTATGGGGAGACCTGGAAGAATATAAGAACGCAGGGATGAGAGATGGGCAGCAAAAGGGTCCATCTCAGCGCCCTTTTACATGCTGCGTCAAAGAATATGGCGTCAGATGCACTTGTCAGAGGAAAGCTATTCTTGGTGATGGCGATGATAGTGATAGCAACGGTGTTGTTTTGGGACCTGAACATAACCAGCACTGCCTCGGCTGGGAAAGGAGGTTTGCTCTATTTGGCACTACAATTAATGAATAACGAAACTTTATCTTGAGAAAGTTAAAAACAGTTTTTGGTTAAGACGATGTACATATTAGTTTAAGTCCTAATGTCAGTGTTTCAACGTAATCGAGGTGGACGTCTGGTGTTGTTTCTTTTTTTCCCTTGACTGCACACCGTCGCAACTCTCACCTGAACAAAATACCGAAAAAGATTCGAATCATTTAATACATGAGTAATACCTGAGAAAATACAGAATGTAGAAAAGGAATATGCCAGCACTTCCAAATTAGAAAGCCCATCCCAGTCCTTTTTGCGCCCATAGTACCGAACGCAGCGAGCCAGATGACGCCGCAGTGTTGAACTCGAATCCCATCCATTTTGAAAATAAAGAAGAAAAGATTAAAAGCAAATCAAGATATAAAAAAAAAACAAGTAAAGGAAGCACACAAAAGGGGGTTCAAAAAACACGAAGAATTGCTTAAATCTTGGTGACTTTCACAATTGCAAGGTCAATTCCATGCTGTGCAGGTTCAAAGCGACAGCTGCTACCCCAGTGGCATTCTTTCTTACCAACCTCGCTCTGCGGGCAACGATGTCCGTAGATGCATTTGGGGTCATCGCATGTCATTCCAAAGTGGCATGGTGTCATACGAGCGACAGCGCGCAGAACGTCTTTTTCCTCTTTCGAAAGTTTGTAATCATGATCGTGATAGCAATTCGTATTTGGACATTCTCCAAGTAGATAGAAGAGATTGCAGAGTTTCATCTTCTTGATGCGGCTTAACTCCTCCTTGGAGATGCTTTTAAAGTCCATGCGATCGATTCTCTGGCCAAGCTTATTTCGTTCCACGACAGGCGTTTTTGGAGCCACTGAGGTGTTAGCAGGCTTCAAGGCTTGCAGAGCCACATCGCCAGGATTAGATGCAGTTATCGAAGCCCAGGATGACCAAGACGTCGGAGTGGCAGAGCTAGTCGAGGTGTTGGTGGATGTGCGTGTCAACGAGGCAGATCGCGGATGGGGCGAGAGCATCGCATTCTTAACTGGTGTCTTCGCCGATGTGATTGGGCTTGCCGATATCTTAGTGCCGCGGAAGACATCTGAAAACCGGGTAATGCGGAAAGTGTCCTTTATATTATCCAGCTCCTTGTCGAAAGGGATGCCTTCAATCAGAGATATCCGACCTGTAAGTTCAATATCTTCCATCGTCTCTTGCAAAAGTCGGGTATAACTGTTGTCATGAGAGCATCCTAAGAAGATCTGATGACAGTGGCAGCTATATAAATTAAGCTTCAGTGTTTCTACCCTCATAGTCAGCTTACGCGCCCACGATAATTGTTTTTTTTTTCTTTCTTCCTTTCTCTTTTTGCATCGGGATAAATACCTGTAATCTTATCGTCTGCAGTATTTTTGCCTTGTCCGACATCGATAAAATCAAAGAGCAAGCCGCTCTCATTAAAGCCTCGCACGAAATCATCTATCGCTGATGGCTTATCGATTATGCCGGCCTGATGATACATATTACCCAGGGCTTTCAAATTTGCATAAATATGAACAACCGTCTTTGGTGAGGCGACATTGGGTAAGTTTTCCGAAATGTATTCGTCCATGTCGGCGGCCAGCCTATTCGCAGCGTCTTTACCACCTTGCTCACCAGCACGAATATACTGATCAAGAAACAAGGTTTTATCGCCGTCCAGAAGCACAATAACGAAGGGCTCACGGTCCTTTTGATTTTTTTTTGAGGTGACTCGTTAAAAACAGAAACCCTTTTAGGGGGGGTTGCGAGGTCTGATACTTACCATTATCTTCTTGATCCGTTTAATCTGCTCCATCAGTTCAATTTCATGCAGCTGTATGTCTCGGTTGAAACGTATCTCGCGCTCATGTTCGATTTTAGTCTGATGATAAGCGTCTTCGAGTTCGCTCACTCGTCGCAATAAATCCTAATCCACGTAGCTTCACGTTAGTCTCAAGTTGCCACCGACCGCTGGGGATGTACAGGAATCCACAGGGGAATCATACTTCAATAAGATCATTTTTGCTTAATTCGATGAGCTTCAATTGCTCATAGCGCTTAAAAAGCGCTTGTGCGTGTATGCCCGATATCATTTTGGCGAGCGAACTTGATAGCTGCAGTTGATAGAGGAAGGCCCGGGCGCCAATAATCGCAGGACAGGGTATGCGGGAGCAAAAGACTGCGTAGGCTGTCAGAATCAGTTTCAGCAAGTTCCGGATCCTAATTGGGAGCTGCAAGAAGCGTACATTTGAGGTCAAATCAAGCGCAGAGAGCGTTTTGGGGTGAATTGAAGGAGTTGAGATCCAGTTACTGCTCCGATCAGAGGCTTGACATTTTTTCTCCTTTGGGTCTGGCGCGTCCTTGTGCAAACGGGGAAGGCGGTCAAGCCAAGTTCTGTGGAAAAGTGAAAAAGCGGCTCGGCGGTTGGAGCAGCCAGCCAGCCAATCAGCGCCGAGCGGCCTGGCGCCAAAGAGGCATACGTGGAGAGAAAAGGCGTGACCCCAACCAAGACCTCATATTCTTGCACCTCAGTTGTTGTCTCGTCTTTTGTTTATCTTCCGTACCTGTTTCCCCCCGTCTCTCATTCCTCTGGTCCTGTCTGCGCTCTTGCAGACTTGCCGTTGACACCATGGGTCGCTTCGCTCTCCTATCTCTTGCGCTCTTCTCGCTCCAGGCCATCTTCACAGGAGGTCTCGCAGCAGTAGGTTCTGCCCGTGGGGAGAATGTCAACGCCCATGCACTCGTGGCTGACTTTAGATCTCCGGTGTCCTAGGAATCTCCCGCAGGCGATGAGGCTCCTTCCGCCAAAGCTCTGGCCGTCACCATTGACGCTTCCTTCCCTTCATCGGAGGTCTTTGGCATCAAGCTCGTCAACGGCGAAGTTTCGCAAGCTTTGCTGACAGTCACCAATGACGAGGATGCTCCTGTTACAGTAAACTTCGTTGCAGGAAGTCTTTCGACTCTGACCGAGCCCTTCCAAATTGTTCGCAATCTTTCGGCGGTCACTTATGGAGTCCAGGTGCCAGCGGGCGAGAAGCAGGTCCTGCCTTACAGTCTCACGACTGATATGCATCCTCAGGATCTCCGACTTAGCCTTATCTCGGTTCTTAGCAAGAACGTCACTCAGTTCTTCACTGTTCAGGCTTTCAACGGAACTGTCAGCGTGGTTGAACCAGAAACCAGCATCTTTGATCCTCAGATGTAAGTGTTCCATCTTCTGGTTGTGTTTCGTGCGAATACTAATCTGCCTTAGCATCTTCCTTTACTTCTTCATCCTCGCCTTTTTCGCTGGAATCTTCTACTTCTTCTACACCGTCTGGATTGCGCCATACTTCCCTCAGAAGCGACGTGGCAGAGACACCAAGAAATCCACTGTCACTGCCAAGAAGACAGACTTGGACGCTGCCACCCCTGAGGCTACTACTGTCAGCTCCGCTACCACCTACAACTCTGACTGGATCCCCGCCCACCATATCCAAAAGCCCGAGGCGCGTAAAGTCAAGGGCGCACGTTCCAAGTCTCGCTCTTAGTTCATCTTTGTCGGTGTCATTGGCAGCAGCTTTGGCGGCTCGATTGCCTTTCGGCTGCATAATAAATGCTCACATCGATGATGTACTATTATACAATCTTAACCCCACGGGTTGCTCGGATCGTCGCTGGAAATGAGACACTATCCTGTGCAAAACGCGAGGCGGAATTACCTTCAGAAATTTGTATTATATTATACAGAGAAAACCATCTTTTGACTACCATGTATTACCATAGAAAGTCAAAAGTTCGATTGCGTCGTTCAACCAGAATGAAGAATCTTTCCAACGAACATAGGCATGCTAAAAGCGACTAGAAAATACAATAATTCAATTCAGTAATCTACAACCTTTTCCATGCTTCGTATTCTTTCTCTAAATGCTTTTTGAGCTCCTGGAACTTGTTCCCAAAGTTGCGTGAACATCGCCAGCACTTAAAATCCTCTTTCAAATAACCCTCTCTACCCGGATGACGCCGTTTGTCATCCTGGGCCAACGGGAAGTCGTCAATCTCAACAAAGAATGGCGTTGCAAAACTATTATAATGTTTACGGTGTTTTAACCGATCACTATACCGGTCAACAGACATGACATGGATGTGTAAATGGTTCATGGAAGGATGTGCATGAATCCCCGTCATGATCTCTTTCTCCCAGTCTCTCCCTGGGGGTAATTCATCAACCGGCGGATCTTGTTCCATGGCTTCTCGGCGTGCACTTTCCTGCGACGAGTATTTCCCATATCGTCTTTGTAATTCGCGAGCCGCTAATGCACGTAGCTTTTTCACCTCATTCTGGACCTTGTGCAGAAATTCGACATCCTCAAAGGCATCAAACGGGTGCTCGTAGAACTTGGACGGGTCGCGGGGAAGTAAGAGTAGATGCAGTGACGATTTAGGGTATAGATCGTGAATCGCGACGAAGTCGTCGTTGTAGTAGACCACTACCGACGAGGGGTAGGATTCTGGCCGCTCGATGTAAGACCCCAGGGCATCTCGGGGGTTGGAGAAGAGAGTTTTCTTGTTAGTAGCATCTCCAGTCTCTTTTGGAGTCACAGCGGGTTTCGGCTTTTTGCTCTTAGGGGCCATTAGCTCGGCGACTAGAAATCTGTGTTAGACCCGGCCATGCAACCGACGCATTCTTATGGCAGATATTACACGCATTTCGCTTTCCCATTGTTCCTGGAGGAGCTTCTGTTCCTGTTCCAGTAGCGTTTGGGCTCACAGGTAAATCAGACGTTGGAACTCGAGATGCTGAACTGTGCGCCATGGCCATAGGAGCCAAGAATATGGCAATGTGCATAGGATGATATGGCGATGAGTGAGTATATACAACGAAGACTGACTGAGATCTGCGAGTGGATCCGGAGAACGATGTCATTCCAGATCAGGTCTAGTGCGGGACAAGGCCTTGCTCCGGGGAAGTGAAGAAGGATAACTTAGATGATTTCACTCAACCTTCGCATTGTTGAGATCTGAGCGGGCAGAAGCTGCGTTCAGACCTCTCCACGGGTGTCCTCTGGTGTAGCATTTTCTTTGCTACATAATGGCTCCAAAATCCAAGGGTGGTGCCCGTGGAGGAGGACCAAAACCGGGGACGAAGCAGGCAAAAGCTGCCGCAGAAAAGTCCTCGCAGAACACAAGCACACAACAAACAGAAGGAGAGGCGAAAAAGCCTACGGTAAAGCAGGTGATTGGTGGTGCATCATGGACGGGCAAACTGCCTGTGAATTTGCTCTCGGAGCATTGCCAGAAGCAGAAGTGGGAGAAACCTGAGTACACAATGGTATGGACCAACTGAACGATTGGTTTTTTCCTTTCCTTGAAAACATTGAACGCTAATACACAGCAGAACAAAACCCCAAGTGGTTTTGTCTCAACTGTAATTTTGAGCAGAACAGACCCAAAGACGAGGGAAAAGGTCATACTACCGCCGATGCAAGTACCGCCGGCTCACAAAGCTCTCGCACCCCGGCCTACCGCTCTAGAAGCCAGGCATTTCGCGGCTACCTATGCGCTATTCCGCGTTTGCAGTATGAGAAACATGCAGTTGATGTTGCCCCCGGACTATAGGAAGCTATGGAAGGAAGACTTCCCTACAATGAAAAGCGAAGCAATTGCCGAAAACAAGGCGTGGATGTACGAAGCCGATCCATTCCTAGCCAAGCAGCAACGCGATGCTGCAGCAGTCGAGATGGAGAAGAAGAAAACGGAGCGCGAAAAAGCGCAGGCAAAACTGAAAGAGACTGGTGGTCTAGGCTCCGTTGTTTTGGGTGACAAGAAGACTGGGAGATACTGGTCACAAGCTCCGAAAGTTGAACTCGGAACCAAGATACGACGTGATATCGAAGAGCTCCTACGAGGAAAAGCGGTATGGAATCCATACGGTGTGCGTATACCAGACGCGCAGCGTAGGGCAATCGTTGATGATCTTTCTCGAGTGGGTTTCCGCCGCAGTCATGTTGAAGAAGCTGTTGCGGAGTGCAAGGACCGTGAAGAAGCGCTAGAATGGCTTTTATTATACGTACCAGAAGATGACTTACCACGCTGGAGTCTGCCGGAAGGTTACACTGCCGGTATTACTTTAGCTAGCGGTGACCTTGTACGAGAGTCTAAAATCAAACGTCTTGCTGCGGCAGGTTATCCCTCCGATATATGTGCAATTACCCTCGATAAAGAAGGTGGAAACGAAGAAAAGGCTGCCGAGAGGCTGCAAGATGTCCTTACTCAACATTTACAACATTATTCTCCGCCAGAGGAATTTGAACATGAGGACGCCTGGGCCGAGGAAGTAGTCACGTTAGAGGCTATTTTCGGGGATCGATACAAGAAAATTTCTAAAGCTATATGCGAGATCAAAGGAGATGTTTCCAATCTAGAAAAGCCTGTTTCATTTCGATTTCAAAGGCCGTCGAGTTCATACCCGAGTCACCCTCCAGTGATTTGGGTCCTTGCGGATGATCTTCCGGCTTATATTCGGCTAAGCACCATTCGCCAGGCTGTGCAGTATGCCTTGGAAAACCTAACAGGAGCGCCAATGATATTTAGCCTGGTAGACTGGTTAGAGACAAATCTCCCCGAGGTAATGGAAAATCCTGGTCCGTTGCGAGATATATCTGCTTCGTCCAGCACACCCGTCGAAGGCCAAACAACTGCGTCACAGCTACCCGTCAGATCAGCAGGTAGAAATCCGAAACGCTCTAGATCGCAACTCAGCTCACAATCAGGTGTCGCTTTGCGCCAGGACTGGGAGTCAAAGCAGAAGATGCCGGCCCAAATCGAAATGAACAGGCAACGGCAGTCCTTGCCTGCTTGGGCAATGCAAGAGGCCATTATTCAATGTGTCAATTCGTACCAAGTCACGATTATATCAGGTGAAACTGGTAGTGGCAAAAGTACGCAATCAGTACAATTTGTGCTGGATGATTTACTGAGACGAGACTTGGGGAATGTAGCAAACATCGTCTGCACACAACCACGAAGAATATCTGCTCTTGGACTGGCAGATCGTGTCAGCGATGAGAGATGTTCTTCTGTTGGAGATGAAGTTGGCTATAGTATTCGAGGTGACTCAAAGGTCAAATCTGGCAGGACCAAAATTACCTTCATGACAACTGGTGTCTTACTTCGTAGACTCCAAACAGCGCCTGAGTCAGGCAATGATATCGCAGCTTCACTTTCTGATATCACTCACGTCGTGGTGGACGAAGTTCACGAGAGAAGTCTTGACACCGACTTTCTTCTTGCTCTTTTACGAGATATTTTAAACCGTCGTAAAGACTTGAAGGTTATCCTTATGAGTGCTACTCTAGATGCCGATATTTTCATGCAATATTTTGGTGGACCTTCTCGTGTTGGCCGCGTGAATATACCTGGACGCACATTTCCAGTTGATGATTATTATGTTGATGATATTCTGCGTGAAACTGGTTTCGGCGCCGGAACGTCTATGTCTTCTGAATTTGATGAAGGGGACTTGACGAAGGACTTAAATATAGGGAAGTCTCTCCGAAGCCTCGGGATTGGTATCAACTACGACTTGATCGCTTCAACTGTTCGATACATAGATTCGCAGCTCGGGGACGACGCAGGTGGAATTCTGATATTCCTACCGGGTACCTTGGAAATCGAGAGGTGTCTCAGCGCTATAAGGACGATTCCAAACCTGCATGCATTGCCGCTTCATGCCTCTCTTTTACCGGCAGAACAGAAGCGCGTATTCAATTCGCCTCCCAAAGGGAAACGGAAGGTCATTGCAGCCACCAACGTGGCTGAAACATCCATAACCATTGACGACATCGTCGCCGTGATTGACTCAGGTCGTGTGAAGGAGACCAGCTTCGATACTAAGGATAACGTGGTGAAATTACAAGAAGTGTGGGCGTCACAAGCCGCCTGTAAACAGCGCCGTGGACGAGCTGGCCGTGTCAAGGCCGGAAAATGCTACAAATTGTACACACGCAATGTAGAAACCAACATGTCACCGCGACCTGACCCTGAGATCCGCCGCGTTCCTTTGGAACAATTGTGCCTTTCTGTTGTGGCCATGAATAGCATTCAAGATGCCTCTGACTTCCTTGCCAAGACTCTCACGCCTCCGGAGACATTGGCTGTTGAAGGCGCCCTGAGCCTATTGCATAGCATCGGTGCTTTGGATAATCACAAGCTTACGGCCCTTGGACGTCACATGTCAATGATTCCAGCAGATCTACGCTGTGCAAAACTGATGGTGTACGGCTCGATCTTCAGCTGCGTAGACGCATGTGTGACCATAGCCGCCATCCTCATTGCAAGAAGCCCCTTTGTATCGCCTCGCGAAAAACGGGAAGAAGCTGCTGCTGCACGGGCATCTTTCTCACGCGGTGGAAGCGGTGACCTGCTGACGGATCTCGCAGCATATCAGCAATGGTCCGAAAGATCCAGGTCAGCGGGATACTGGCAAAGCAATGCATGGTGTTCTGAAAACTTCCTATCCCATCAGACCCTTCGAGAAATATCCTCTAATCGCGCACAACTCCTTACGTCACTAAAAGATGCCGGCATCTTGCCCATAGATTACAAAGAGAACAACAGTAATCGCTGGGATCGCAACACAAACAACACCGCCCTTCTCCAAGCGTTAATAGCAGGCGCCTTCAATCCTCAAATAGCTCAAATCAGCTTCCCCGACAAAAAGTTCGCAGCATCCATGGCAGGTACCATTGAACTCGACCCAGACGCCCGGACAATCAAATACTTCAACCGTGAAAACGGTCGAGTCTTTATACACCCCAGCTCAAACCTATTCACCGTTCAAAACTATGCCAATGCGGCTTATGTCAGCTATTTCTCGAAAATGGAAACAAGTAAAGTTTTCATTCGTGAATTAACTCGTATGTTTCCCTTTTTTTTTTTTTCCTTTCCCCCTTTTGTTTGAGGCACTAACATACTAATCAATATCTGCACCACCAGCATTCAACGCCTATTCCCTGCTGCTATTCGCCGGTCCCATAGACCTAGATACCATGGGACGCGGTCTAATCGTGGATGGATGGCTACATCTCCGTGGCTGGGCGCGAATTGGCGTCCTGGTCTCGCGCTTGCGGATGATGCTTGATGATGTTTTGGCAGCGAGGATTGATAATCCGGGCTCTTCCTCTCCCACTTCATCTGCTGAGGGTGTACAGGAGGAATCTCATGAGTCAAAGGTCATTGGACTAGTGACCAAATTGGTTGAGCTTAACGGGTTGGATCAGTAATTACACCGCATCGATGACTTATATATGATTAGGTATTAGTGCTACCACATAGATCACACATATAGATCCTAATCTTGACCTCGAAAGAGGGGTTTCGATGTTTAGACGAATGATGAATTGCGCAATTAAGTTTAAGTCATTGAATTGAAATTGATAACCAGTTTCAATACGAACGGCGAAGCAGATACAATAAGAAAGAGAAGCTTGTACAAAGAGAAACAAGCAGAAGGGAAATAGAATGGTATCTAGTAGCATAGACGAAAGAAAAGAATGAATGTTAGTCCGCTTCTAAACAGCGCGTAAGGAAAAAACAGATAAAAAGATTATGCCCCTAAGTTCCAATACCTTGATAATACTCCGTCAATAAAATAAAAGACCATTAAAAAAGAGAATAAAAAAGAAAACGAGATAAGTACTAAACCATCCTCTCTCCGCCTTGTCATTAATGGAATGATGATGTGCAATGAAAGCTTTAAAACGCCTGTATGAACCCCATGCCCTTGTTTCCGGTGAATTATTTATGCGCCAAGCCGTAATGCGCCAATGTGGTCGTTTAGAATGGAAAGCAGTGTCTGATGAATCGAAAAGGAAAAAGAGAAAAGTAAAGAGCAGTCCTCTATCAACGAAGGTTCTAGAGCTGTTGCTGGTGACGATGCAAATGAAAGTAGCTCCAAAACAAAGATCGCCAATCGGTGCGCACCAAATGGGACTTTTCCCCCTTCTTCTCGAAGGGGTTCATGAGGCATCTAACTTCAAGCTATGCAAACTATATACCAATGCCTTTCGATGGAAGAGTATGGCCTCTTCGAAGCTAAGTCAGCTTCGGGTAGCATGATAAACGGCAAACTGACTGAAAGTCCCATGCAGCTCTTTTGACGTGAATCATATCATACCGTCGTTGCACACAGCTAGGCGAAACGACTGCTCTCTTTAGAGGTTTCGGGGAGGGAGAAGCCTTTGGCCATTTCAGCTTCGACGAACAAGGAAGACCTCTTGAATCGACGGTCCGAATATTTTTCGTAAATAGCGTTGTGGTGTTTTGATGGATTCTCGCAACATTCGAGAACAATGAGTAGAAGTGGATACAATTGCGCATATGTGTAATTTGAGTAATACACATGAGCGTATGACTAACGAAAATCAGTATTAAGATCAAAGGGAAGACTTGCATGTGTTTACTCACCCAATCGCCCTTGTATAGCATCATGCGAGCAAGACAGTGGGCGCCTGCAGAAGTGAAACTTGGCGGGCTGCCAACAAAGCGCTCGTCCATAATAGTCACCTCCAGGAAATACTTGGCTAAGGTCCGTGTATCTAGATCGTAATCATCGGCTTTGCTAATCCGTCGCAGGAAACTCATTGGTCCAGGCCATCCTAACTCGAACTGTAGCATGCTGAGCATGAATCGTTCCGCCTTCAAGATTTCATCGGCGGTATAACCGTGGTCGACCATATACACGATCTCCTGGATGGAAGGGCAGTTGATTTCCTCATATTTAGCGGCGATGAAAATGGCAGTTGCGCCAACCAATTGAAGTTTTCCCAGTGAGACGATTTTGCAAGACAGGAAGCGATCGATGTAATTGACTGAAAGAAACAATGTTTCTGGCAGCAACGAAAACCGGTGGTGGACTTGTACGAGCCAGTCGATCAGAACCGAACGCATGGACCATTGGATTTCTGCCTGGTTTTCCATGTAGTGGGCATTTGGTAGCATCTTGATCTGAGATATCAAGTCAGCAACAACGTTTTGATCAAGTACGTTGAAAGCTAATGATACGTACCTCCATTTCTCGCATGTACTGAAAAATCTCATCACCGTACTCCGCAACCAGACTGGTGTCCCACAGTTCGTCCTCTATATCTTCAGAAGTGCGTGACGATTCAACCAACTGCTTGGCCAAAGCAATCTCTCGCCTTGCTTTCTGGTTGTATTTTGGGAAGAGGACAGTCGCTGCTCCCCCAGTTGTGTTTTCACTTCGAGATCGATAGGACCGTGCTGTTACATAACCGTCATCCTCGTCGTTATAATCTTCATCGTCGTCCCAGTATTCCTCTGGCTCCGATGGTGCAGCCCCGTGATCGGTGCGGCCAAGAGAATCGCGTGGACCGTAGTTTCCGGACTTACGCGTCTCTTCTGGATGCTCTGAAGTTGTATTCTCTAGCAGGGCCCGTTTTGGTGGATCTTGAAGCTGCTCATCTTTTTCTTTTGGCTTGACTTTATCCATGGACTCCTTCTCACCCGGGACGCTGAACTCGACATAAGAGGAAACGTGTTCGCCACTGATAACTTCTTCCGTAGCCTCAGAGGGAACTCTCAGGGTTTCACGCTGTGTAATCGAGTCTATGCCCTGCTTCGTGGCATGTTTCTCGGAGACTGTGGTGGACGGTTTTTCGATAAGGTTGAATCGTTCAGAGTCATCGACAAGAGGCGCTGTTGATGCGGCGACGGTGGGTTTTACCTCAGTTACAACTGAGAGATGATTTCTGAAGACGACGTTGCTGCGTTTGGTAAGTAATTTGCGGGTGTTGCCTGCGTTGTGAGAATCTCCCAGTGGCTGTTTCTCAACATTGTCACCATTTCGGATGCCAGTATTGTTCGAGATAGTTTTGCTTCCCATAACAGACGCAGGACGCTGTGCACGTTGCGAAAGGTTCTTCTTCTCCTGAGCAGATATGCTAGGCTTTGCGAGGGGGATGTTCTTGCCAGTGACGTGGCTGTCATCTTTGCTAGCCCGCACAGGGTTGCTTATATTGCTCACGTCACCAAAAGCTGTGCGTTTGGCAGCATTTCTAAGCCCTCCGTTCTGAAGGGCGGTCGACAGAGCAGGAGTGGACTTGTTGCGTTGATGGATAGTCTTGGTAGGAAAGATACCGATCGGCGCGTTCTCGTCACCACGGACGCGAATCCGTTGAGGCTGTTGAGTCGACGTGTATGGTTAGCAAGATCCTAGCATGTATAACCAGTTGAACATGGACCACCCCTTGTTTGCTTCACCAAGACAGAGCAAGGATAGGAGAAAAGGACAGCAACATGCAGAGGAATCCAAAGCAATGAGCGCATCAAAGTATCAAAAAACATTCCACATACCCTTGCATCCATTGTTGGAGTGGTAATGGATACGATGTTGTGTAGATGGCGGGACAATTGATTGATGTTTATCGCGTAATAACAAATATGGACAGCTTGGTCGTTCCACCAACAACAAGACTTCGCAGTCTAGGGGAGCAAAGGTGACTTTAGACAAGATGAGCCATGTGTTGGTAGATGGGACGCGTAGAGAAAAAAAAGAATAGAATGGAGGTCAATAAAAGATGCCGGTGCAGAAGGAAGATGGATGAGCCTGAGGAAGAGAAAAAGAGGAAGCGAGTGGGTAAACATCAACAAAGGAGGAGGAGGAGAGGCAGGAGGAAGAGCAATGCTTGCTAACAATAAGGTCGAGGCTGCTGGCTGGCTGTCAATCAATGCTGCATTGCAAAGCAGGAGCAGCAATGCAGTATCGACAATAATAGAAGTTTGTTGACATTCACGAATCACGGGGGCAGCCCAGCGACGGCCGCAGCCAATCAAGAAGGAGCGCCCGCCGGCGGCGGCTCCTGCCGTGTTTGTTTTGGGTGTCAACAAAGCTAGCCCGCTTCCGGCCTAGCCCAGAGCGCTGAGGTACGCCGCAGCGTTTGTGTGGTTTGCATTGCCCCATTCACGTGTTTTCAGCGGCCGGTGACATCATCAATCGCGTCCCACCGCTGAGGCCCGGAGAGCTAAAGTTCGCTCTCCCCAGCCCAATATCTGTAAGAGCATGATGGAAATTTCAATCACGATACGCAATGTCTATGCGACCCTCCCAGTATAATTTTTTTGGTATGCGCTTGTCTGTGTGCTTGGGGAGAAATGGTTTGGACCTGAGATGCGAGCCGACGCGTCTCTCGGACCGGCCCGTCACGAAGCCGACGCGGAATCACGTGATGGCTTCTTCAGCGTTTATGCCGTAAACCCGCCTCACTTTTTGGCAGGCAACCGGAACCGTCAGCCTAAGCACCAGAAGAAAAACATCGTTATGCACTTGACTATGTTGCACACCAGTCTCCGGTCAGTCGATCTTGGACTTCTAACAGTCTCTTTATATGTTTGCCTGGGTGTCGACCTATTTTCTGTTTTGTTTTCTCGTCCGACGTGGCAAAGCCACAACCGGTCAACGGTTTCAACGGATCATCAAGCGGACGGAACCAGCGGTGTCGAAAAAAACGAATCCACTTTCTACTGACGACTCACGAGGTGACTTCTCCGAAATTCGCCCAGACCACATCCACATTGCACACAGACGGGGGGGAAAATCGACACCCTGCCAGATTGCTTATTACGAGATCCTTTGTTAGATATCAGTGAGTGTCCGGGACCTTGGTGTCCAACCGCACCCCCGGATGACCAGCGTTTTAGATAGTCCAGACGAGCGGCCATGAACAGAGTTCGACTGTCAAGAAATGGCGATCGCACTATTGAACCATTCGCCGAGAGCGCTCCTCTTTGTAGGCTCGGTTCCCGGCAGGGACCCAAGGGTAAAAAAAGAAATTATCCCCAGCAAGCAATTTGACGGATTTTCAATACGTAGTACTAGCCCTAGGCGGACAACTCATCATCGCAAACTAGGATAAACGGACATCAAATGGACGGCAGGCAATGCGACATCCCAATTAGCGCCGAATCCCAATGCATAATCCAGCGATGCGTGATTTACTCGTAGCATACATTAGCGGAAATTCTGATAAAGAGAGACTCTGTCGCAATCACTTTTTCAATCGTCTGGGTGCCAATTGACAGTCCCAAATCCATGCGCATTGTTGCGCCAGTGCAGGACGGAATCGCAAGTTGTTAGCGAGACCGCTCAACGTGCCGGCGCATTCGTCGCAATAATCGCCACCATACCATACGACGCTGTAGATTGGAACCCTTGTAGATAAAGGGAAGTATATAAGGGCTAGCAACAGCATAATTCCTGTGGAAGCCGGAGCTGTTCTGGTCGGAGAAAAGAGAATGCGCCAATTCCCAAAATCAAAAGTTTAACTGATGCCACGAATTTCGCGATGCTTTTCGCAGATGGCATGCTTCGCCTGGGTTTTTAGATCTCTGCGCAATATCCAGGGTCAAGCGCAATTCCATTTATATTTTTTACTGTCAATAAAAAGTCTTCTGCTCGCTCGAACGCTGGTTTATGTGGTGCACCAGGCACTAAAAGTCCGGCCATGAATATGGCGGGAGTTGGGACCGCAGAAAATTGATGTTAGGTGCCTACAAGTCTAGGAAAGAATGCGCTTAGTAGAAAACACCTCAATATAGAGAGAGTTACACGATATAGTCTACTCTAGATGGATTTTTCTTCATCCACGTATCCAGCAACTCAATCGGCGCAAATCACCTGAGCGCAGTCATGATGACCCCGGGTTACTTAGGGGCCGGATGCGCTGGTTGCGAGCAAATGGTTGGCTCTGGCATTAAATCGGATGGACAGATGAGGAATCCCCCTTCAAATGATACAATCCGGAGAATAATGAAGGAGAAATGCGAAGACCAGCTCTAAGGCTAATCAATTTTGACTGAATGCTGTTGCGACTCAGATTTCCTTCCATCTACGCCGACAATGAGTCAGTCCACGACGGGAGTCCGTGGTGGTGGGAGTCGTAGTACTAGAGAATAAGCATTTATGACCGCAGCGCTGGGATTACTTTCCATATAGCTCTAGAGGCAGTCCGTTTTGTCGTCCGGATCCGATTCCTTACGTGGGTTTACCTTGTCTTTGAGTTTGGTCTCTGCATGCGCCTTTCATCCATGCGATGCTCAGCACAATCGAGTGCGCTACTCAACTCCCCGCAGTAGAGGCACGTTTGGAGAAGCATGGCGATAGGAAATTATAGTTGCATGTCCATTGCAGGCCCAATGCACAGCGTAGCCTAATTAATTATCGTAGAAATGGGCCGGAGGCAACCTGAGTTGTCGGCGACCAGCATGGCACAGGGCCAGGCCGTTTTTCGCTTGAGGTGAAACCTCTCTCGCACCCACCCGACTCCCCCAACTCTCCTCTTTCCCAACCAGCAACCACCCGGTCCTTGTCCACCCCTCTGCCAGTTCGTGTCGACTTCATCCGTGAGAGTCGTCTTGTTAGCAGAGGCTGCTTCTGTCAATAGAAGGTTTGTGGGCTCCGCTCCGCCCATCCTCCTGCTCGATGATCTACCTGCTAACTGCGAGTCCTGCTTCGCAGACCCAACTCGTTGCCAACACCCATCCCCGTCGCCTTTGCTCGCTCCTACCTGCCACATCAAAGGCAGTGCACTAGGCGACTGTGTTCGTCCATAAATTGTTTACAGAGAGGTATGTTGTTGTTTCCTCCCCTAACCCTTTGCCGCCATGTGCCAGGCCCCGGTGCTTTCGGGCAGCCTGAATAGAGGCATGCTTCCTGCTTGACCATCTATTGATTTCACAACTTCGTTTCATTCAAAGGGCTTTGAAAGCCCACTCTCACTTATTCGGCGCCGATTAAACTAACTCTCTGCGGAATCGTGATAGTTCTGTATCCTCTCTTCGTACCGAATTTTCCGCTCTTCCCACCCCCACTCATTGATCCTTCCATCGCACATCCGGCGTTGAAGCAATTCAACCAAAACCCACATCAATCCATCCAGTGGCTCTGTATACTTGTGTCTGAGCTATCTGGAACGCTTCGCCAGTGGCAGCGAGGCAGCCATTCTCGTCGCCCTCTATACCGCTCGCACAGTCATAGTCTGTCCAAGCACAAGGCGCCCAAGGCGCCCCAAGGAATAACACACAAAAGTCATCGCCGTAGAGCGATGAGTACTACTTTGAATCAGGATCACCAAGCTGCAGAGGGCCTTGCAAGTTTGGTGAATAACTACGGCGACATGGATCGGTATCGAGGTGATGTGATACCTCAACAACAGTCGCCCGGAAGCCCCGTACCCAAGAATGTCGCCTTCGAGCTTCTTCTCGATGAGAACTCCAAGATCCGTGCTAGAATTCCTATGCGAGTTCAGATATTCCCACACGATACGACTGACTCTATCGTGACCACCGTCAAAAACTTTTATGGTATCTATGACGGTGTCGCTAGCGGTGTGAGCTTCGAAGATGAGCACGGCACCACGCTCATTGCGAGATATGAAAATTTGAGAAACAACATGACTGTATACGTTCGGGTAATACCTGTGCATAGCTATGCCGATAACTATGAACCACACTATCACGGCGTGGCTCCATTGGATGGTCGCAAGCGTCCCAGTCTTGGAGAGCCCTTTCAGATGGTGCCACCCGCCGGGCAAACACACCCTTATGGCCCCCAATCATCTCGTCCGTTATCGCGCACTCGGAGAACGAGTACTTCTCCTTCTGGAAGGGGTCGACGCAGCGCATCGCAGCACAAAGGCCATACAAGAAACAACATCAAGAGTCGAGGATCTAGTGCACACGGTAGCTTCGTCGAGGACCCGATCGCTGGATATAGCGACAGCGAGGGCGGTCATGGCTCTGTCAGTGGCTCTAGAAAGGCTAGGAGCGAGCAATTTGCGAGCTCTGATATCAGCATGGACAATATTGTTCAGGAAAGCCGTCGCAAAAAGCCCAAGTTTGAGAGCTCGGTATGTTCATGGTAGTAGAGGTTGTCTCTACTCGACACCATATCTAATCATTCTCTTTTTCTAGGAATTGCCGCTTTTTGCACCTCCCCAGGTACCTTTGACGGCGTCGACGTCCTCCATTTCTCCACAACGGCGATCGACAGGTAACGATGGCGAGCCGTCGCCGTTCGCTAGACCTACACATCGTCCCTTCAATACTAGACCTCCGCTGCCATCTCCTCAGAGCTATGGTCATAGCGAGCACGGTTTTGGAAGTACCTCGGCAAAGAACCCCATCTACTCGAATTCGGTTTTTGCAGAGAATGCGACCCGTTTCCGTCCTTCGGCCGGCTCAATCCCAGGTTCTGGCAACCGCCAACCCATCCCTGGGATTCTTCCCACACCAGATCCCACAATCGCCAGTTGTATATCAGATGAGGATGTGGCAATGCAATTGATCCGCCTTGGAGATGCATCAAACTTCTCACACGGCCGCAATTCCACCTCGACGCTGGATGATGCCTTCAGCGGCGCAGCCGATGCCTCCTCGACTGGCGCAACAAGTGATGGAGAGTTCAGCGAGAATGATGAGGACCATGAGCTCCCTGCGCGATCCAGACAACGCGTTGAATCTAGTCCACTGCTCCCTCCTGGTCACATCAAACAGAATTATAAGGGATTAGACGATATTCTTCCCAGCTATGACAGCACCAGCGCTGATGAAGGCGACGAATATCTCCAGAATGGCGACCATATCAAGGATGAATACCACGATGATGATTATGATGGTTCTGATGCGCCTCGTACAAAGAAGCAGAAAGTAAAGTCTGACGGCGTCGCTTCAAGCAAGAGCACCCGCGTTCCAAAATCTGCCCCAATGAAATCTACGAAGAATGGGAAGGTTCGCGCCACCAACGGTACTGTTGCTCGCAAGTCTAAACCAACCCTCCCAACAACTACAGGGCCGAAGAACGAGGTCCCTATACAGACCTTGAGCCCCGCTTCATCACGGAAGACATCTGGGTCAGGCGTCAACTTTCAGCACCAACTTGCTGCGGATGAGGAAGATCTCTCTACAAAACCTCGCTGCCAGCGTTGCCGCAAGAGCAAGAAGGGTTGCGACCGCCAACGACCGTGTGGTAGATGTAAGGACGCAGGAATCGGCATCGAAGGCTGCATCAGCGAGGACGAGGGGAATGGGCGCAAAGGTCGCTATGGCCGGCATATGGGTGTTCCCATAAAGAAATCATCCGAGCCTAATGTAGCAGTCGAAGCGACAGGACTGCCGGTGTCTACGGTTCCATCGGCTTCGACCCTCTCTTCAGTCCTGGGCGATAAGAACAAGAAGCGCAAACGGTAATCATACACTTGCACGCTTTCCAGTCCTTTGTTTAGCGTTTGTTCGTTGTCCTCATATGAATATCGCGAGTGAAGCGTTTTTTCTTTTCTCACCAAAGGTTTGGCTCTGTTGTCCTGGTCATCCCCCGCCATACATTTCCTGGCAATACTTTTCTGCTATTTGTATCGGTATTGCATCCAATCATTCCATTTCGCATATAGTGCATTGCATTCTTTTCCATCCTGTTTATGATCTCTTCGCTTTGCTTCATTGATATGACTCTCACTCATTTGACCCGTCTTTGCATCTCAATGCCTTACTAACTATCCAAGTTCGTCACTGACACATTGCTGCGCGTAACTTTCCTTTCTTTGTGATTATTTACAAGGCTGTGGCAATGACCAAAGTCGTCTAAATTTGAATATCTACATTGGCGTTTCTTTTATTTCTTCTGCTCCCTTTGCAGAATACTGTCACTTTATCTGCTCTTCGTGTTGATCTTGGTGCCTCTTTTGTGAATTTGCCCTTTTTTTCTTCTACTTATTTATTTTCTCAGCTGCGTTATCTGTCGTATTCATATTGCTCTGGGTGTCTCGTTCTGAGTTGTGTTTGGCCGCCAGATGCAAACTCGTGTAGAAAGTCTCATAGGCTTCTACATGTATCGAAGTGTTAGCTACACCTCCTATCTAGTTCTTGTTTTATGTGGTTAGTTCAATGTAGCTTTTGACTATTCAACCGTTTCCGACGTAAGCTGGCAGACGTACCGAGAGATATATATATGTCCCTGGTGGTGTATTCGACATTTGTGCAGCAACTTCTAGAGTTCGATGACACCCAGTATACCTTTCACATGCCCTACCAGCACACTATGTACCTAGACATAATGCTACTTGCAGACAGATTCAATACAAACGTTGCCCTGAAGAACTCGTAGTAGATGAGCCCGATATGTGATTGGACCAAATTAATTACATAAGCGAGCCCCGCGAGTCGTGGTTCCGGATCAGGCCTAGTGGCATCTGCAAACACTGCAAATAAATTGATAAGGCACGCTATCGCGATGCAAGTTTCAAATATTTTTATACCACTTCGCTTCTGCACGAGCACTCGTGCATAACTGGAAGCCCAGCAGCAACATCATCATTGTCATCGTTACGCTTCTACTGACTATTCATACTTTGAGCTTTGCTCTCATTTATTCCATCTCACACTTGACAAATCTCTGCGCGTTAAAAAAGCCCCGCTGGGGAAGATCGATGGTCCTGCCGAAACTACCAGATTCCCCCCTCCTTCTAGGCAGACATTGATCCGACCACAATAAATTAACCGAGATGCCGCCAAAAGCACCTGGACGTGGTGCTCCAGCATCAAGAAGACCAGGTGTCGCTTCAACACGCGACGACGAACCAGGACCGGAACCCGCAAATTCCTCTACTGCGCCAGCAGCAACGTCGCCTTCTACACGCCCGCAGGTCCAGCGTCTACAGTCATTGAATAGGCGTACGCCCGGAGGGAGTATAGGACCTAGAGGATCAGGGCTGGGGCAGCAGCCAAAGCCAGTGCTAAAATTTCAACCACGCACATCAGCTCGACGTGCCAAAGAAGAGCGAGATGCGTTGCAGAAATTGGAAGCAGAGAGGAACCGGCAAAGATTATCAGAAGCAGCAGCAATTCAACGAGCGCAACTAGGAAGGGCTGCAAGAGCACGAGGCACATTCCGTGGACGCGGGGGGACACATGGAGGGTTTGGAGGAAGTAAACGAGGTGCTCGGTTTGACAGTGCTCGACCCAGTATCTCACGCTACAATACACCAACTGGTGGGCAGTCATCTGCGGATCACTCATCGGATGAGGATGAGACGACTCTTAGCATGAACATAGAACACATAAACCTTGACGACGATGATAGCGAAGATGAAGTGGTGAAGGATCGGAAGGGTAAAAAGGCCATCAAGTCCAGGTCCCGAAGGAGCGGGCCACGACCTATTCGCGTGGAGCGACATAAACACGAGGAACGTGTTGTTAGTGTCAATACCGAAGCTAGCTCTACTATTTCGGCGGGATTACGGAGTCAAGACCAGGAAGACGAGGAGTCAGACAATGAGCTGTTCTTGAGCGAAGAGCCTGGAACCAAAGTCAAGCGGGAGCCCACGGACGGCGATGTGTCCATGGCAGATTTGCCCCATGCCCGCGCAGAATTTGACGAGACACCTTTACCCCCGCAGACAGTGAAGGCTAGAAAGCAGGTTGCAATTAGAGATCCTCGAAGCCTGTTACAAACAAAAGAGGAAATTGATGAGTATGATCGGCATCTTGATGATCTCGAAACCCTCAAGGAGATTTTGACCCCCAGTGAACGAGTGCCTGTGAAGAAGGCAGCCGAGGCCACGGAAAATGATGATACAGAACCTAAGCAAGCCGCAAAAGAGGAAAAAGAAGAAGAAGAAGAAGAAGAACAGCCTGATAAGAATGATGGGCGCTTGTTCTTGATTCAGTTCCCGCCATTGACGCCTAATTTAGTTGTCCCCGGCGTCGGAGAGCAAGGGGTGGTGGATCTGGAAGATGAAATCGCCCAGGATGTCGCCACAGGGGGAAACGCCGGCATAGGAGAACCTGAAGTGAAGCGAGAAGCGGACGAAGATGAACAAGAGGACAAGAAAAGAGTCACATTAGAGCCTCCAGGGAAACTCCTGACTGCGACACAGCGGCAGATTCCAGCCGGCCGGGTCGGAAAACTGCATCTTCACAAGTCAGGCCGGGTGACTCTTGACTGGGGTGGGATTTCCTTTGAGATGGACAAGGGGGCGAGTGTGAACTTTGTCCAGGAGGCGTTGATTGCATCGACTCCAGCAACGGATGAAGATGGCGAGGAACGATATGTATGGGCCATGGGGCAACTCAGCGAGAAATTCATTGCTAGCCCAGAGTGGGACAAGCTCTTGTAGTATGCTAGTGCAGTGTATATATTTCATAGAACGCATCCACCTATACATCTATTCGTCTATCCATCAACCCACCCATCTCTGGTATTTACTATCAAGTCAAACCAAAAAAAGGCTGAAGTTAGGGCTCATGCCCTCCGGGGGGTGGGCATAGGGTCACGTGACCCAAGGGCATACGTCATGCAATTTCCCGCCAGGCAAATGTCAATGCCGCTTTGAGCCTAGCGCGCAGTAGCTTATTAGCTTTAAGCCGTCTGGGGCGTGCAGACCCACTGCGCTAAGCCGTGTATGGCAAGGCGTTGACGCGTTTTTTCCTGTTTTGGCGCTAGCCGAAAAGTGTCTGGACTTTTCGACTTTTTGGGCAGAGCTCGAGCGCTCACATTTCCCGGCAGTCGACGGGACGGAGCAACACAGTCTCCCCTAGCTGGACACCATGGTCTGGCTGCCTCAATCTTTTCGCTTCCCACTTCTTCTCTTCCTCGACGCGTCAATGCGGCCGGCGTGTGTTTCCTTGCTGCTTTCTCCCTCGCGAACGACTCGATTGATTCCTTACTTGCTGCGTGATACTGAGCGAAAAATCCATTGACTTGCTACTAATTACCCTCGCGCTACGCCGTCCGTTTACTTAACCCGGTCGTACGCTACCGGCCGACATCAAACCTCTCGTCTTCAAGTTTCAACGAAGTTCGCAAAACAAACTTTGGGAGGAAGTTACCGAATCGTTTCGTCAGTCTTAACTTGCCCGGCCCTGAAGCGAGAACAGCGCAACGACTTCACACAACGACCTTAACGCAGACGGCACTGCCGCGCTGTGCGCGACTCTCGTCTTCTATATATACTCATATATATACACATATACAGATTCGCATGTTAGAGCTACGTCCAGCGCAATGAAGATATTCGCTACCCTTCTATTCCTCCTCTGCTCTGCCGTAGCCGTGGTTGCAACGACAACGTCACAGAGCGAATCCGCGCAACAATCCATCATAATTACCCAGTCAGATGTGGCTATTCATAGCATGGCAGACGACCCGTTGCGCACTCAATCTAATCGGTGGCTGAGTCCATTAATTGGCCTGAAGACCTTCACGGAAGACGTGGGCGCGCGAGTGACCCTTCGCCCTCGTCTGAAAGCGCGAAATGAGGGTACTCTAGGCCAAGCGCCGTGGTACGGGATGGCTTTTGGGCTGGCATGTACCACTCTTGCGGCGTTGATGCTAGGATGATTTCGTTTTTTCATCGTTTTTCTCAGCACATCCATATTACTCTATACACGACCGCGTTTCAGCTTAAATGCTTGGCCTGCTTCTTTCTTTTTTTTTTTCACATTTCACGATGACATCCTACCACAACTACAACTCCGTTTATGCCTTGTCAATAGCCTTCCATACTTGTCACACATAGTCGACTGATAACACAGACGCGCCGGCTACTTTCCCGGCCCTGCCATATACGATACTATATATGCCATTCTATCGACATATCGCACTTACATTGACAGCCGGCGGTAACTGGCTGTATGCTCACTATCCCGATTGTATCACCATCTGAAATTCCCGTCTGAATATATGTTGGGCTTTGTCTGCCTTTGCTTTGCTTGATCGCGCCGGCTATCGTTTACCGAGCGTGCCTTGAGTTTGATGTTTATATATGAAGCTATGTTGATAGATACCGATACCTACCTAATAATAATATATACACCTTTGTATAACTAAAAGACATGTTGTATTTACTCATGACAATAGACCGACGGCCCAGTATAGAAAGTCCAGACCGACTGATTCCCCGGGTTTCCCGCCCCACCTCGAAAGTGCCTCATATACAGTATGTCTGACAGCCTTGCTCAACCATACTTCTGCTTAGCAGTGCTGCGCGAGTCAGAGTTCCTTTTCTTCCCTCCCTCTTTGTCTTGTGATTATATACCACAGTTCGTCTCGCCTACGAAATGACGCGGTGTGACTGTCTTGCTTACCATTGGATTAGTTATTGCATGGCCGATCAAAGTCATCAGACCTACCGACAAGCACGTTCGATAAGAATCGATCATTTTTGACGGATCAGAAGAGTGAAATAGAATATCCAACCATCATATTCTGTTCTTTTACTCCCAACATGGAGTTGTCGTACACCCTAAGCCACGAACTCGGCACCATGTTCGGCTTTCTGGCCGCCTGTATCCTGACTGTAGGAGGATACTACATTATCTGGCAAGGTAGAGAGATTCCTCACTTATGCTCCCATGCGGAGAGACTATTGACGAAAACGATTTCTTTTCTTATAGCACTCCAACGACGAGCTGCTGCCCGCGACGAAGCCCGTCGCAAAGACCTCCATGCGCGCGGCTTCCACCACGAACGAGGCGGCTACCACGACAAAGCGCTGCATCGATACGCCAGTCGCGATCCCATTGCGCAAAGCCAGGGCCAAACACTTGAGTTTCTCACGGAGCCTGCTCAGTATCCGGGCATGATGATGACGAGCAGCGCAGACGATCAAGCGAGCAGCAGTAACAGCAACAACAACAACAACTACGATAAGAACCACAGCTACGCAAACGCGAAAAGCGAGCGTGACGTTGGGGTGTTACCGTGGAATCGTTTCACGGATTATCAAGAGCAACACTACGGTAATAACGGAGCTGGATTGAGGATAGATTCTGCAGTACGGAACCAGAAGAACCAGATTGATAGCGCTGTGAGTGATGAGACGCCGTCGACGATACATGAGATAGGGAATTGGGCAGAGTACAAGTGATCTATTCTGAGAGTGTGTTTCTATTTGATGGTATTTATGAGTCATGACATGAAACTATAGATATAGTTATATTTACATACAGATTGTTTACTTTCTACTTGGTAATTATATATATAGGACTAGCAATAAGGCGTATCAAACCCCCGACTCCACCGCACACTTCCCATAACAACCACCAACAAAGCGAACGCTACGCCCATACTAGCAGCGGCATAAAAATACGCCCATGCAAACCGGCGTCTTTTCGACTTGGTCCCGACTCCAATGGATGTCAACTCGGCAATCCATGTGCTCACCGTCGTAGTCGCGCCGCAAAATCCGTCCATGACCCCCTGCAGCACTTGACAAGATACCAAGATCGACCGCGCAGTTGATTGTAACTCGCTGGTAATACCAGGGAAGAGTGAGTCTCTCGACGACGATGCGGTCGGATCCCATCCGTATAACGACGGCGTCGGAGCACCGATGCCTGATACATGCTGTAAATCGTAACACATACCCAAAACGCCCGTGCCGATAATATTAACCGCAAAGGTACCCAGAGGAAAAACGGGAATGCGCGCGTTCAGCAACAGCGACATATAAAACCGGAAAAGACAGCCAAGAGGTGCAAAGACAATCGCAAATAATGCGTCAGAACGCCACGAGTTGTGCGGTGGCCAAATAGACATTATAACCGCGCCGAGCCAGCATCCCCAGCCTAGGAATACGACGAGTCGGTCTAGCACATTGCGAGTGAATCGGAATGGAACAGTAGGCATCCATGGATCGAGCGCAAGAGCCAGATGAGCCCCAAGATAGAACGCGACTATGCTTAGAGACACGGTGAGAGCTAGCACAGCAACAACGGCCATGAAGCTGTCACCTCTAGGACGCCCGTCAACTATCCCATTTCCTGAAGTAGAAGCAGCCAAAGAAGGATCCGATAAATCATTCGAAAGAGCCAAAAAGACGTCTCTTATAAAACTCGAAAAACTGGTAAATGACCCACAGAAGCCCGTTGTCAATCCGATGTATAGCGGTATTGACTTCTTCACCGTTTTGTGTTTCTTGATCGTTTGTTTATCTTGGCTAGTGGTAGACGCTTGTCGACGTGGTTGTTGAGAAACATCTGCATCCGGTGGTGAGCGACCCCATTCTTCACGGAAGATGTTTCTATCCTCGATGAAGAATCCCATGAGGATGCATCCTCCCACATTGGCCCATAATACCCCCGTTATAACAGGCGCACCGGGAAACTCAGTGAGCGCCTGAAGACCCAGACGCGCCAGGGTACCGAAGATCGCGAAGAAGATGAGGTACGATACAGTGTAGAGTCTCGTTGCCCACGCCGACAGTGGCGGGAGTTCTGCCTTAGAGGGTTGTCGAGGCGATGGTTCAGCACGCTCAACTGGCGGCTCAGATGTGATTTCTGCTAGTGGTATGCCCTCATCATCATGGCCATTGCGGTCTCCTTCTCTTCCCTCACGTTCTTTTCCACTCTGTCCTTCCGCGTCCGACGATTCGACAGGGGGCTGAACACTGAGCTCTGATAGCGGCGCAGCAGCACGTTCTCCGTCCATGGTCTTTTCGATGTCGTCGATCGTGTCTTGCGACATTCTTCCTCCTGCCAAAGTCAACTCGTGTCTGTGTAAATGGAATTGTCGCAAATGTGCCCACCTTTATTACCTCGATCAATAACTCCTCGACTCCGAGAGTCAATGTGAGACTAGGCGCATCAAGGTGTAAGACGAGGCATAATTTAAAGTGTTGTCGCATGAAGATGTTTTCTACCTTCGACTCGCGCGGTTAGTTCTGGCTATATAGCCAATTAGAGCCTACTACCGAGCTTAGGGTGGGGCAATATCATTAAGCAACCGAATCGAGTTAGGTTATGCATGCATAAACACAATGAATATAAGAAAGTTGTCGCCCATGCAACAACAAAAGCTCTCGAGCTTTCTAGACTTCACTTGTAAGATATTCTCCATTATTCAACAAAAATTGATGATGACTGCGCAACGTGGCTACAGTTTCTTCATTCTTCGAAACCCTGCCTAACTAACTACACACACAAAACTGGTACTGATTCTGATCACCTAACTACCTTGCGTGGATAAGAATATGCCAACAAGAAAGGCTTGAAAGAACACCTGCTCAAGTACACAGGGAAATGGCGACTCCACGCTGATGGCATTCACAACGTGTTACGCATCCAAGGCCTCAACATCCTGAAAGCTCACTTTCGCGAAGAAAACACGGTTCCCTACCGGTGCCCAACCTGTTTGAATGTCGTCAATGATTGAGAAAGGTTTATTGGGCATGTTATTTATCGTCAGCATTTCAATAACATCGAGAAAGACATCTCGTGGGGGTCGCGACTACCGTTTTACCCAGAGCCTTACAAGGTATAGCAGCCGAAGGGTACATTCCCATAATTCAGTCTTCCTCTAGGTAAGTTGAAAGGAAATATTTTCTGTCAGTTTTGATGAGGTTAATGAAGGATTTTTTTTCTTCCCCTGTTGATCCAATTAGGGGTGTTTATCTCCAACACAACCCTCTGAAGAATCTTCTAGCTATCATGGCAGTGAGTCGTCAAGTATATCACGAGGCACGTCGAGTCTTCTATCGATACACTACATTCATCCTCCGGTGCAGGGAAGCCCTTCCTGTTTTCCTTGTCGCCATTGGGAAGGAAAACACGCTCCTCCTGAAGTCGATTGAATGGAAGAATGACCTTGGCTCCCGAAAACAACCCCGTAAACATCATAAAGTCACATATAAGACAGAATGAAACCCAATCGCAGCAATTAAAGGGGACCGACTTTTGGACCGATGGTGATCAATACTTAGCCTTAACAGACATTATGTTTCCAAGACTAGTGTATCGGAACAGTCGTCGCCTACTGCGGTTAGATGCTCATGATGTGTTACATACAGATGGCTATGAACGTTATACTTTGATGGTTGACTACTACGAGGACACAGAAATGGCGAAGGTGCGAGGCTTGGTATGAAGTGCGTACACGATACGTCTTAAGGATAATGATACCAAACATATCGCTGCCTTGGAACCGTGCATGTAAAGGCTTGGGTTGGACGCTGAGATAGTCCAACGCGTTGACTAGGTCAAGGATGTATGTTTCTACGGAGTATAGTTGGGTATCAAGAAATGAACAATAAACATATTGCTTTTTTTCGTGCTTTACTTGTTCTCCAAACGACTATAGTACAGATACCAATTCAAACTCAAAACTTTGCAACGAGCAAGAAAGCAGGATAAATTCAAAAACGAAATAACAACTTCAAATGTTCCAGACGAACAAAAACATTTGAAAAAAGCAACACGTAAACTTGAGCGCAGAAACAAGAGGAGACGAGTAGTGTTTAGATTCAAATTCCAATCAATGCATGAGTCTAACAAAACGCAAACGGATAAACAATCAACGAGGACTAACCACATCAACAGGATCAAACAGAGAAAACCAACATGCAAGAAACAAAGTGGAACATTAAAAAAAATCAGATAACAAGGTATCAAGTCAGGTTCGGGCGATGAATAAAATGGTAAAATGAAAGAGAACAAAATCAAAGAATAATAATATTAAAAAGGCAGAGCCAGAATCGAAGAAACACAGGACCAGCCAAGTGTAGAGGATGTTGCCTTCGCTAACCAATCAAAAAAACCGAGAAGACGCACTGACCGGACTCCTGTGTGAGCTCTGATGAAATGAAAACCTGAATGACACCCAAACTGTACGCAGGCAAATGCAAAGAGGGGAATGAAAGGATGAGAAAAGAGAAGCCAGGTGGTGACTACTAGCCAGAGGACCAACTGTGTCATATGTCATAATCGAAAAGACACCATGCCACCCTTGCCAGTCCACCTGTCCAGTCCAAGTTCCGTATTTCCATTTTCCACCCATGACCCAATATGAATCCAAAAACAATAAATGACTTTCAAAGAGAGTAGAGAAACCAATATGCAAGTTTGGAACGAAAATGGTTCGAAATTGCGAGGCCAGTGGCGAGGGCCACATCGTCTTCTGGATTTCTCCACGTGCCACCCAACGCCCTGATACCAAAATGAATGACGATAGAATATTATAACTGTTAAGAATATAACGGTTATCCAAGGCGAAGCGAAGAAATGACAAAGGAAAATATCAGTCCATCATTGCGTGAGACCTTTTTAGTATGCAGTGCCAACACTAGCAAGGCTCTTGGTAGGCATGGGGTGCAAAGGTTGATCTTTGGCAACCGAGTCCTCATAGCCTACCAAGGCCTGCGCATGCAGCTTGAAGGATTCGCCCATAAGCTTAGTGAGTCTATTATCGTTAGCATAATGCCAGAGAATGTTTAAGAGATAAATATGGAAACAAAAAAGAAAGAAAGAAAGCTTACCCCCAAACAACGACACCGTCAAGTATGTTACCCCAGACTCGGGCAACGGTGGAGCTAACCTTGCCAAAAACATCAATGGCATCATCATCAAACAGATTGCGCACCTTGCTGTAAATGGCAATCTCGGCTTCTGTGGCAGGCTCCTCGTCATGTTCCAGGCGGTAGAGCCATAAGCTGAGGATAACCATCAGGTCAAGGCCGCAAAGAGGATGCTCAACGCTCCAATTGGTAGCGGACGTCTTGGCAACCCAATTGATGCCTTGAACGGCAGCAATCTCGATGCATTCGAAGCATTGTTGGATAACATTGTTCATCTCAGGAGACCGCTTCACCTTGTCGCGGGCGACAGTCATGGCCGCAGCGACCTCGTACGATGAGTGGTAACGCAGAGCCTCCTGAACAGATTTGAGGTCAACTGCCAACCGAGCTCGAGTGTTACGATAAATGGCCATGGAGTTGAAAATCAAAGGATGGCCCTTTTGTGGTGTGCTCAGGGGAACCACAATGGTCTCAGCCTCGCAAAGCTCGAGTGAGTTCTCCCAAGTTTCCAACGCAAGACGAAGCTTGTACTCGGTCACAACATCCTGGAGAGCCTCAAAACTGCGCTTGTGGCTCCAGACTTGCAGGAAAAGAGCGTTGATCATGACCCGCGTAGCGAATGCGCTATACCGTGTCTGCTCACCCTGGAACAAACGGTCGTGTGCTTCGCGAATGTTGACCTGGATCACAGTGCTCAAGGTACGCTGCCAAGAGTCTTCGTCGGCCACGTCAAGACTCCACAGTGACTCCGAAGATGGCAATTCCAAGCTGTCGAGTTCGTCCAAGCTCATAGCAGGAGTGTGGTTGAAAGTCAGAGTGAGCATGCCAAAGAAGATGTAGACGGCGTAGTAAGTCCGGCGGCACGACTCATCTTCGATCCACTCTTCGCGTGTAGGCAACCGACCTTCGCGGGCCTCGGTACGAAGCTTCAATTGATAACGATTTCCAGCAACCATCTAGAGGAGGATTAGTGAATAATTAAGATTCGAGGATTGAAAGACAAGGGAAAACTTACATTAGCGAGTAAACTCTTGATTGAGCAAGTCCATTCAAGACCCTTTGGATCCCCACTCCAGCTCTCGAAGACCATGTTCAACAAAGTACTTTGCATGGCCCAGAGGGGACATTTCCGTGAATCGAAGTTATCCTTTTGTTGAAGGAATTGGTTGACGAGGACTTTGGATCCGACATGCAGCATGAATGCGTGTTCCCGTTCAAAAGTGTAGAGTGCACCAATGGACAGTACAGCCAGCAGTAGAGGCGGTGAAGCTTCGGTTGGCCTGAAAGATCCCTGATGCAAGAACGGAAGATGGTGATGGTAGAGATTGAAGTAGGTGGACAGGTACTTGTTCAATGCCGACGTGGACGGAAGCTGGAAGCCCTCTGGTAGAGTCGACAGAGTGTCTGAGTTCTTGATGTTGTCCACGATGCGTTGTCTCTCCATCTCATTGACGAGCTGAGGCGCTTTAGGTAGAGTGAGTGCTTGACTGGGGCCCGGAGACCGGCGGTAATTGACGGGGCTGACGGGGCCGGTCATTGATGGGTAGGGCGATAGCGCGTTGGGAGTTGAGTTGCCGGACATCGGCAAAGAATCCACAAGCGAATGCAGCGAAGGTGCCAGTGCGTCCCGAGCGGACATGTGGCGATCCATCATTGACATTTGATGGGCATGTGAGCCTGCGTCCTGAGAAGTGAAACCGGTCATGGAATGCTTTGTCTCCGTGGGCGAAACCAGAGAATCCCAGGGCATCTGAGGTAGCGTGGCATTGCCGGACAAGTAGGAAGCGTGCTGATCCAGAAGTGAGCCGCGACTCGGCGAGAAGGAGCGGTCAGAACCAGTGCGATCTTGAACGTGGCCGGTGGTGGTGGCGGCGGCAGCAGCCTTATGTTGGAAATCGGTCATCAACATGGCTGCTGTTTCAAGGTCGACCATACCATCACTGCTTGCCTCGATTTGTTCCAGAGTGGCGGGGTCAATGGTAATTGAGGGCTTGGGAGGCGCGGCGGCGGTAGGCGGGCTCTTCTGGGTTCCCGCGTTACCGCCACGCCTGCGTCCTTCGCTGACGAGAGGGATGCCTCCATCCTTAGCATGAACGGTACGGTCATGACGGAGAAGCAGATCTCGCCGCACAAAGGTGCTGCGGCATTTTAAGCATTTGAATGGTCGTTCCTTGGTGTCTGTAGAGTAGAGTAGATTAGTCTTTGTCTGATTCAACGCCCCCATTTTGTCACGCGCAGATTATTGCAAATGAACGAGGGAGGTTAGCTGGCACATACGGGATCGCTCGTGGCGGCTGCGATGTTCGCTGCGACTAAAAGCACGATTGCAAAATTGACACTTGTATTTCTTTTCAGGCGCAGAAGTCTTCTTGGCCGGGGAGTTGGAGGCTGCGGGGGGAGCCGTGGGAGCCATGTCGCCAGCGGGAAGAAGACGAAGCGGGCGGTTATTCTTGTCAATATGTTGAAGGTGACAAAGAACACGGCTGAGGTATGAGCCGTACCGAAGGCGCGCACCGGGTGTGAATGAGGTTTAACGACGTTGAAGAGTCGCGTTGCTGTCTGCTCATTCCTTGGGCGGGGGGGAAAGTTGTGCAAAACTGGGAAACCGGGGAGTGGGTGAGGGGACGGGGAGGGGGGCAGAGAGCAAGTGAAGTCCAGCCGCAGGCGGACGAGGGAATAAATAAACGATTAGATGTAGTAAGAAGCAATCCAAGACTGATTAAGACGAACTGTATACAGCTCTAGTAGACGAGGGGAGGGGGGAGGCGGAAAAGATACGAAGAGAGAAGATGAGATTGAGAGAAGAGGGAATTGGGAGGATGAAAAAGGGAGGAGGACGGCGGCGACGACGAAGAGGAAGGACGAGGGAAGGAAGGGAGGGGAGCGCGCGCGCTGGCAAGAGCGACCGAGTGAGTGTCCGTAAACGACAGAGGGGCGCGCCTTCCCAGCCAAGAACACGCTGGTACGGCTGGTACGCCGGTGTATTTTACGGTAATTAAGATTGGCCCGGCTGGCGCGCGTCTTTGTGTGTCGAGGAGGGGCGGCCAAAAGGGGTGGTGGGGGGCATCGTAATTAATACCAACGCAATACGTGCTGCATACGGAGTGGGCGGCACTCCGGCAGGCGAGAACACGCACACGCACCGCAGGCGCCTGAGGCCACGCACTGCATCGCCCACTAACAACTACTGCTTACAGGCTCTACGTGTCTGTCTGTCTGTCTTCTACGTACTGGACACTCTGCTGGCAGGACAAAACAAGACAACGAGGAAAAGACGACACGTCCATCCCATCCAAGCTGCCGGAATGGAGATATGTTTGCTTTGCCTTGCGCACATCCTTCACCCTACAGGGAATAACCCAAACGCGCCGTCTCGCCGCCCCCCTTCAGCCCACATGGCGGACCTGGCAACCCGTCATCCCGGTACAACGGGTTCCTTGTCTGCTTAGTGTAGAGCTTTAGCTGCATGGGCTGGAGGACTAGACTTGAGGTGATGTATTTTATTTGAATTTTGAAATGCCACTATTTGATTGTGCGTTTACCGAGCTGTGCATTTAAGCCTGATAGTAAGTAATACGGGCTATTATCTATCGTATGCACTCCGTATGATGTGATATAGCCCGGACTTTGTCGAAGATTCAGTGCGCCAGCAGCCAGTGGTGGTCGACACGTAGATATATCTGGAACATTGAATGTGATCGTCCATTTTTTTTCCCTTTCCCCAAGATATCTACACGTACTTGACGTAGACCGTGTATACACTGTCACCATCAGCAATCTTTGGATACCACGGGAGCGGGGCCGCCAGAACCCGAGCCCTAGCAACCGTCCAGCAACAGGCTATACACACGCACTTCTATCTACACTCCACTGCATGTTAACGTACATGCACCAGCCCACCATGCCCCTCCTTCCGGCCCCTCCTTTTGTGGCTGGCTCTTAATTTGTTTGTATGATGGCCCCTTTCGGTCTTCCATCCAGCCCCGACTCTACACTTTCCTAGGAGAACTTAAACAAATGAGGCGTTCAGCAACTGCCAGTTGCAACCCTTCCATAATACTCGGGGTCTCGTGGCCAGACTTATTATCTTTCCAATAATTATACTCCGTCCCAAGACAGCAATCCATGTGATCAATACTGTCATTCGCAACACGACTGACTTCTTAGTGATGACTCGTTGCTAGTATACTAACTACCATCAGCATTGCCCCTCTATATGGCGTAGTTACGTATCTGGGGGTTACTCTCGCCCCTCCCCCTCCGTGATCTATTATTATTATTGCCCCTCCTTCGATGAGCCTGATGAGGCGAGAATAATGGGCTTGGGTTATTATGAAGTTCGCACCGAGCATATCAACCTGGTGGATTCGGGGACCGAGTAGGGAACTCCGGCGATCCCTTGCGGGTGCTACTAATTATGTATGTATGTATGTATGACCATGTATATTTATAAAAAATGCTGCGGCATTGTCCAGCCAGATAATGTTGCAGGAAGGAAGGAGCAGATGATTAAAATTGCGGTCGAAAACAATAGAAATATGAAATATCTGTCCATTGCCAATTGGCCAAATGGCCGAACTATGATCGCGTCCCAAGCTCAAAAGCAAGGGAACCAGTCATAATCGCAGAAATTGAAAAGGCGACCAGTCAGATCAAAGAGCACCAGAAATAGGCCCAAAGAATGTCACCTATGTGGTTCAAAGAAAATGTGGCGCCCGCAGTTCCGTCGGCATATTAAATAAACATCCTCTTGTGCCGTGCTTTACGACGAAAATTAGTACAGTACTACATAAGCCTATGAGATCCTCCTCCCTTGCTCATCGAGTCGGTAGTCGTACCTAACTGCTCAAGGAACCAGGCACTAATTACGGAGTATACGGATCTCGAAGTCAGGACTGGAGCCCGAATTAGGGCTAGAATTCAAGGCACCGAAAGGCAGCGTCCTCGTGACTTGATTACACTGCAAGAACAGCATAGCCATGCCACGTAGCAGCAGTGAACAACCGCCCAACTGGGAATAATGATGCTATCCACAGTTTCTGGTTCTGTTCACCTCAACTTTCAGTGCTCAGGGTTGACGACGATCAGTGGGAAAACTAAGCAAGATACGTAATTATCGACAACCTGTTCACGTGAGTAGTACTATTACGTAGATACGAGTCAACTAACTAACGCAGTTGCTCCATATAAATTGTCAACCCAACAGCGGTGGTAGCTATTCACCGCCTTGAATCATCGTTGTCTTATTTTCTTCAACCACTAGTCTATGCTATGCTGCTATCTATGGATTCTTGAGTCTACTATGAGTATGTGCTTTGTAGTCGGTGTACAAAATGCGTTGATTGGCTGCCAATGCTAGATCCTTATAGGTCCAGACCGTCCAGCCCCTCGGTTTTTCCCGCTGCGCAGCGGACCGTCCCTTCCAAGTCTTAACCGTACTACGTATTCATATCCTTTCCATCCAAAGTGCTGCACTATCATAGAATTACATCTTAGCGAGGAGTAGCCGACTGAGAGGTAACAAATACTCCATGTTTAACTCGGAAGAAAATGTCAAAAGAGAAAAGGAAAAAAAAAAGGAAACGAGCCCGGATCAACGTACTGGGTACCCAGCCAGAAATTGTTTGTGCTGTGCATATGCCGTGTGCGCGGGACCTGACCTTAGCGCATTAATTGTCAATGTCTTGCTATGTTTTTCTTTTCTATGATTATATTTGGTGTTAAATGTCTTTTATTTTCAGACTTGGCTACCAACTCAATCGGTCAGTTTGCAAAACTCCAAGTAGGATGTCGTGACTCGCAACGAACAATGAACCCCTGAAACCACCCTCACCGACATACAAGCACTAGTCAAACAGTGAACAACGTGCGAAGTAGTTAGACACTAAATATCAAACAGAGTCGGTGAACAGCAGTCTGTCTCACTGTGTAGTTATAAAATGCTACTAGTACCTGCGGTGTGGTAGTTATGTATGTATAATAATCTATGGATAGTAATGGCAGTGGGTAGTGGATAAATGTGAGCCTTACTCCGTACTGACCGCTTTTTTCCTGCACGCTGATTTCATTCCGGCGTTGAATTAGATGAATCTGCATGTTAAATCCATACTAACCCAGCAGCTAGATAAGCATGCGTCGATTCGGATCACTATCACTATCACTCTCTTAAGATCAGGCCGGAACACACGAGAATAGAGCAAAAAAAACCCGTTCAAGTAAATATTTGCACCCCATCACCCTTTAATACTTCGTACGCATACGGTGGATCCCCCTTTCCATAAATGATGGAATTTAAAGCACCAAACACCCATCGCTTGAACCCAAACTCTAACCCAGCAACCCTACAGTCGGGTTCAATAATTTCTGAGCGATACGGAATAGTGGGAAGTGGCATTGAATTATAGTTACAGACGGAGAAACCAGCTAGTTGAAATCCTGCAATCAGTCTAGCCTAGCCCGGAAGCTAGAAAAAGAATAAAAGAAAAAGAATCTTCACGGAAGAAAGATGGCGGTTATACCGCCCGATTATTATACGTGTGATTACGGAGCAAGGGTGGATCTTGGTTATTATGTATCATGCAAAAGGATGCAGAATAAAACCGGGTCAACTTTTCGGTACTACAGTTCCACTGTGTCAGTAGGAAAAGGGGCAAGCTTGGAAGGATATCTCGGGGCTTGCCCGGTTCCCCGGCGCCACTGATGCACTAGCTGCATTCCGCTATTCCTGTTGGTTTGATGGAGTCAGTCTACAAATCGAGCTGTCTCAAGATTCAAGAGTTAAGACAAAAGAACAGACAGAGACTAGTTAGGTATGGCATTAACTAGTTATGCCAATGTATATTTACTAAGCGCTAAGCAGTCTACGTCGATCCTATTCCTGTCTAGGGATGTCATTGTCTGTTCTTGAATTTGATATCAAGCCTCAGCGATATCTATTGCCTGACTCTTTCAAGTCGTTCTACGGAGTATATTTTATGTGTCTCGAATTTGAGTCTTTTGATTTGTCTACGGAGAGCATGGCACAATATTATAGAGCAATAGGAAAGTTTTCCTAAATGCTTCATTATTATCGCACTGCCAGCAAACATACTTGTATCACGATCATCTAGATACTTGATCCGGTTCTGGCTTGTTTCAACTCTCGCGTGCTTTTTTTAGGTTTGTTCAGGGTAACTATTTACAAGTAGATACTACATGTCATGTTGACATTTTCATAGACTATTAATCAATGTGTTCTACCTAGATAAAATATAATATATACATAGTAGTAATCTACAATTTAAATACCTGGTTCCCCTCAAACCAAGTCTCACCCACAGTTGCCTGCAACAACTGCTCCTTCGACCACTCCATATCCACAACCAAAAAGTCTGCTTTGAGCCCCTTCTTCAGCCTCCCCGTAATCCTGTCCGCAAAGCATGCGTATGCAGCCCCTGTCGTCGCTGCCGTGAAAGCAGTAACTAGCGGCAAAGCAAAGTTCGGGTTGACTGTCTCCTCCGACTCAGGCAGTCGAGCAGAGCGGCGCGTAGTCGCTATATAGACGTTCGGCAAAGGCTTGAATGGGGCAGTGGGAGAGTCAGAGCCAAACGCCAGCGCGGCACCGCCATCGACAAAATCGCGATATGCGAATGCACGACGACATCGCTCAGGCCCGATCAGAGAAGGCCATGCTCGGAGAATATCAGGGTCTGAATGCACCGGCTGCACCGACGCCGTGACGCCCAGCTTTCCAAGCCGCGCTGCGTCTTCAGCAGTCGTCATTTCGAGATGCTCAATTCGGTGCCGGCCATCGCGGCTACCGTGAGCCTCCAACACATCCAATACCATGTGCACTGCCTTGTCGCCTATGGCATGGAGCGCGCATTGAAGTCCCGCCTTGACCGCGCGACTAACGACAGGCGTCAGTTTTTCCTCTGGCCATAGAGAATCGCATGAGACGCCATTGAGCGTATACGGTTCTAGAAGAGCGGCCGTGCACCCGTCAATAACTCCGTCGCATATGACCTTGATACCCGCAATGCGGAGGTCGGGTGAACTGTCCAAGTTGTACTTGGCATGCAGTTCAATTGCCCTTTCCACTTGTTTGATATCTGTCTCTGAATCCGCCGACGGCACAATCAACCAATGCGCCGCAATTCGCAGACTCAGCTTGCCGTGCGGCTGCTGTTGGCGCAGAACTAAAAGTGTTTCCCACGCATTCTCGTCCATGGCCATATCCACCAGGCCTGTATACCCGGACGCGGTGTATGCGGCAATGGCGGTGCGGAGAGCCTTTAGTTTCTCCTCCATGGAAGCGACACGCGCTAGGTACGGCCAGACTGTGGAAAATACGACGGACTCGGACAAGAGACCCGACGCCTTGCCCTCAGCATCTCGGTGTATAGTGCCACCCTGAGGGTCTGGCATCTCGGCTACTTTGAGCTCCTCCAGGGCCGGGGTATTGCACCAGGTAGAATGGAGATCCTTGGAATCGATGTATATGGGCCGGGAATCAAGATCGTCAATCATTGACGCGAGAGCCTCGTTGTCCGTCATGATCTGCATCCAGCCCTTGCACATGATCCGAGTTAGATGCGGATTCTGTTTGGCATACTGGCTGATTCTGTCGCGGATTTCACCGAGGTCTTTGCAGCCATCCAGGTCTAGTTTTTGAAGTGCTTGCCCCAGGAGCAGGAGGTGCATGTGTCCGTCAATGAAGCCCGGGAGAACGTATTTCTTCTGGAGGTCTCGAACAACAGCGCCATCTTCTCGGGCTTGGGACACCTCTGCATCTGTGGATTTGCCGACGTGGACGATGGTGCCGTCCTTGACCACCATGCATTCCTCGAAGGAGGGCTCTTCTTCCGACCCGTCCCCCGTGAAGAAGCGCCCATTGGTAAAAACTTTAGTGGCCATGGTCTTGGTCTGAGCTTGATCGGCTTTACATCGTGTCGTTGAGTATTTTTTTTTTTTCTTTTCATGCGGGGTTGTATGGCGGCCACATGTGGGGTTGTCTGTCGTATCTCCTTAGCTGAATATGCTACTACCTGCAATGGTCAATTAGCTATCGAGTAAAGGCGAGAAGCTGGACTGGTGAGAAGATGGCATGGGACAAACGGACTCATCTGGCCAAGATGGCAGGATGATGCCCAATTCCAAACTTGGATTCACATGCTATTCTCGTGTGTAGATGCATTGTTCTTCTGAGCATGTAGTATCTAACTATGTGTATAATGCACTTGGGTTATATATTCTCTGAGATAGCGATGCATTGGCAAAGGTTGGAGACTTATGTATAGGTAGGAAAAAGATTTAGAGCGAAGACCAGGCACATCTGGGGACCCCTTGGGCTACGTCTGATCCATGCGTGCATGAGATTTTACTTCTTCTGGACAGAACAGAAGACTATTCTTCGGTATTCGCTTAGAAATTATCCATCGTATACGTACTATACCTAGGTAAGGGCCGGACGATTGATCAAGTGTCTGTGTGCTGGTCATATACTAGTCTACTTTCAAGCAAGCACTCTTAGTGAAGGGAACATGTGTTGCGTACAAGTCAAAACAAGATTTAAGTTAATTATCAGTGAATTTCATGCCTGAACATGTGTTATCTGGCACACGTCAATAACGTCTGCATGGCTGGTAACTTCCACATGATATTTCGCCCTCTATTCGAATGTACGGAATAAGTAATTATATACATCCAACAACCACACTACGAGTCTCAAGAGCACCACACGTATTCCTATTACGGGGTTCAGCATTTTAATAATACTACCTAGGCAAATAACTGGCAATACTGCTTGTCGATCTTGAAAAGGACTCCAAATGCAGACGATCACCTGTCAGTCAGGTTGCGCATGACCGTTGGGGTCGAGCAGCCAAGAACCGACTATACATGACTATTAAATAAAAAAACTACGTCGTACGTAAACTGAACAGTCTAACTATAGCTAAATACCCTGTACTTTGTAGATAGTTATAGTTACATAGTCTATAGTTATCGCCATTTACTTCACTAGTGGCAGTCCGCATTCGATAGCGATCGAAGTAGCACAGAAAGAAAGGCCCGAGTCAGCAACGACTCGGTAACTAACTAACTCGATATTCAACGGGTTCTGGCATTACTCAAGCAAGCAATACATAAAGGCGAACGGAGTGCAGATGGTCACCTACCAGAAAGAGAAAGTCTGCCCGCGGCTCGGATCGCGGTCGGGAGGCTCCGAAGTGCGTGACTCGCCGTTATAAGATGGCTGGATGACCGTTATCAATGATCATGATGCACTCCTCCGTACTAGATAGAAAAGAGTAATATATCTGGCCGGTAGATAAGAGCGTTAGGACTACCAAGTGGTGAGGCGTCGCGCGGGCTGTTCTAGAAAACACCCGGAATGAACCCTATGGTCCCTGGAAATGAATAAATCCTTAATATTAAAGATTAATTAATTAATTACCCAGGAATTAAACCGGCAATAATCGGGGAGTTTTTTCAAATCCGGGCTGTGCAGGCAAAGGAACGCTGTAACCTCAATCGGGTGTTGTTACGTTGGAGAGGTACCAACGATCGCATCCCTGGCTATATCGATAGCAACTTCGGAGCCCTGCGTATTGTCCACACAGTTAAATTTTGCATGGCCATGACGCATGCCATGCGACTCATATATACTACGGAGTACGGAGTATAATACACAGTCAAGCATGTCTAATGTCTAATGGTAATTGCCCATGTCCATGCGTAGTATTCGGTGGCGTAACGAGACGTATCACACACTGTCTGAAGATGCATCAACCTTCACAGTGTGACACATTTGACGTGACGTGACGGGACTGTAGAGACGACTGCAGGCTCCCCCCAAGAGCCCAAGTACATACGGAGTAGAACAGGCGGAGTAATTCTCCGTCGGATGCAGAATCTATATCAAACTATCAGCCTTGGTGCCTCGCTGCCTCAGGAGCGCAACATGCATTCAAAAGAGACAAAAAAAGGCCTCGGGTCTAGACTTGATGATATTATTATTCACTATTCGTTGAGCGAGCTGGCCAATCACAGCCCCAGTAGATGCCCGCCCCCCACAATCCGGTCCCATAGCAACCGGATCCGGAATAGCGTACTTGCATCGCAGCAAATGGGCGAGCAGAGATGCATCTCGACGCTTTTGCTCGCCTTTCGATGTCGGACGCTGTGAAGCGTGTGGGGATCCAGTAAGCAGCTACAAGCAACGACGTACGGATAAAGGATCTGTCAGAAAAAGAGGATTTCAGTTTTACGGGGATTCTGATTCACACTCGTGTCTCACGCCATACGGAGAGAGTAATTAATCTATCTGGATGGATACGCGTCCGTACTGTAATTACATATAATCTCTTTCTGCCGGAAGTGATCTAAGAAACCAGTACGTTCCGAACTGGATATACCTGCAAGTGTATAAACCTATCTATGCCATACTGCCAATCTACCGAGTGCAGACAGGGTTACAAGGTTTCCTGTACGAAGTTCTTTGTTGGCAGTGGCTGACTGTCTGAGTCAGTAGGAAATGCCTCTCATGTTGAGCGCTTCTTCCATTTGTGGCAAACGAAGGGCTTTGTATACCCTTCGCCCATGATTCAGACAACCTCCAGGAAAGGAATCTCAGCTGACCATGCCAGAAACACCGACAACAACTCTGACTCCTGGGGAATATGAAATGAGAAATTAGAAATTAATAAGTGTGCTCAGAGTTCAATGCTGAATATGAAAATACATAAATGTACGGAAGTTACGGTACGGTGGAGCCGTACCGTAACTTCCCAACTCGTAAGTTCTGCCGCGCTTTAGCCCACTTTCGGCCTTGTCTGTTCTCGCCAATTGGCAACCGCCCACCTCCCTCCCTTGTGCCTGCCAGTTCGACACTTCGACTGCTCTTGCCTCTCTGTGGCCGCGAGAGACACGCCTTCCATCCTTCCCTCGTACTCTTCCTCTTCCTCACTCTCACTCTCACTCCTTTCTTGCTCTTTTCCTCCAACTTCCATCTATTCCTTCTGCCGACCTAATCCATGCTGTGAACTCGCTCGCTTCTGGGGAAATTCAGTTCATCGTCGCTCGCCTGAGAGCCAGCCGCCGCCGCCCCTCATTCTTCCCGAAGCGCCCCTGGTACCGTCCCTCCATTTGGCATTTGCAACGCTGCACGTTACTTCACTCAACGGCAACGCAACACAGCAACCGGAATCGCAGCTGACCTTGGATTTGTCTCTCTGTATGCGCGCGCGTATCACTCGTGTTTTCCAAGTCATGAGCCTTCGACTGTCAGATTAGCCCGCCCCAGCTATCTCGCACCCACCTTCTTTCCTTTGCATTTCTTTTGGGATTTTGCCCTTTCCGGGGCGCGAATCATGTATCAAGGAGGAGTGGCAGAGCCCTTGGCTTTGGACGCTCATCCCGGTTTCGCCTTCAAAAAGCCTACTGCCTATGCTGCTGCTTTCCGTTACGACACCGACGAAGAGCGTTCCGACATGGTGACCTCTTCTCCCCTCCGCGTTGGCGGCGGCCGCCAACGGAGTCACTCGTTTCAGAGAGACCTGTCCCAGACTTCTCCGCAGCGCCAAAATTCGCCTAAGAAACTATCAGAGACCCTTCCCGCCGCTCTCTATGTAAAAGCCCTGTATGACTACAACGCGGATGATCGGGCTAGTCTAAGTTTTCGCCAAGGCGATGTTATCCAAGTACTCAATCAACTGGAGACTGGCTGGTGGGACGGCGTTATTGGCAACGTTCGTGGCTGGTTCCCCAGTAATTATTGTACAGTAATCACCAATCCAGATGAGATCGACCATCACACCTCTCACCGGATGATGATGATGACGGCTGATCCCGGTGACACCAGCGCAGAATCAGGTGTCGACGACGACTATGAGGATGACCAAGAAGACGAGTTTAATCTAGAGCATCATTCCCGTGATTCGCAACCCATACTGCCGATTGAAGGCGCCGCTCCACTGGATCAGGAAGAGGCCGCGTTCTGGATTCCTCAAGCTACCTCTGATGGCCAGCTATTTTATTTTAACACCTTGACAGGGACTAGTACCGCCGAGTTGCCCTTGGAGAACCCCATGTTGGCAAATGAGACTGGTCCACGCGATCGCAACAATTTCTTCGTCCCAGATCAGACTCGTCCACCCCCGGAAATGATGGCCCGTGGCGTTGAACACGAAGATGACTACGACGGCTCTGGTTCAGAAGCCGAAGGGGAATCCTTGATGCTGGCCTCGCACGATTCCATTTCTCGGAGACGTCGATCCTTGGTGGATGATGTCTCGCCCGCTACCTCCATGGATTCTCTCAACCCATCACCTGTGACTAAATCATCTCATCATACAAAACGTCCTGGACAAGCCTCCTCTACTTCATTCTCTTCCTCTTACCTCCGTTCCAAGGAATCTGTAGCCACTTCAGCCGCCTCCACCTCCATTTCTAATGGTTCTTCAATTCCACGACACTTTGTAGATGATAGCCCCGGCTCTCGAATTGGATGGGCTGACTTACTTGAAAACATGCGCAATGCCATCGAGGCTTACCGACAAGTTGTCCGCAATGGTGACCGTACCGAATATGTGCGAAAGGCAGAAGATATTTCAGACCATCTTCGCATGTTGCTCGCCGCAGGATCAGACACCACAGACAACCACTCCGGGAGTCCCTCGATCATCTCTCCAAATCGTGCTCTGTACCCACACTTCCGAGACATGATGTCTAAATTTTCTAAGCTAGTATTGTCTTCGCACATTGCTGCTACAGATTGGACAAGTCCCGACTCCGCCGCAAAGTGCTTGCAAGAAGCAGATGGCGTCTGGCAAGGCGTCTCCGGCTACGTTCACGTTGCCAGCCAACAGCGCGGCGACAACATTAATCGCATTGTGCCTGGGTTTGTACTCAACAGTTCCACGGGTGGCCATTGGCAAAACAATGGCATCCGAAATGGCGAGTCCGGTGCTACCTCTTTCCTGGATCCCGATGGCCAAGAATCCAGTCTGGAGCCTTCTGTCCCTCTGGACGGTCCGTTGATTCAACAGGTTGAGTCAATGAGAACAGCCATTGTGCTTAGTGTGAGAAAAGTAGACGAACAGCTGAGAATGGAACAGAAGACTATTACCCCACAACAACATCAAGCGCTAAGCGACTCGATTTGCTTGGCTGCCTTGGACGTCATTGAAAAATACAGACCCTGGATTTCAACTATAGAATCAATTAATCTGGCCCCTCTTGGCACCGGTCTGCAGAATCCACAGCTGGTTGACTTTGGCTTACAGAAGCAGAGGGTTTACGAAACGATTGCTGATCTTGTTCTGAGCTGTCAATATGTTTCTGCACCTCTCGGTGATGAATGGACCGGAATACGACGAGACACGATTGATGATCGTTTGAACAGTGTGCGAAAAGTCGCTCGCCAGTTGGAGACCTCTCTCTCACACATCGGATTTTCTCTGTCTCTCCTTCAAGAACAAATGCCGGAGAAGCCTCTCGATGCCATTGGACAAACTCGCTTTGTTGGTGAAGACAATGTACCCGCTGATTTTCTGGCCAATCGGGAACCAGGCAAACGCAGGGGCACTGCTTCTTCAGCTCAAGCTGCCCCTTCACCACACGGTGGTGGGGATGAAGACAAACAAGTACGCCGGAATAGGGACAAAGCACAACGGTTTTTCGGTCAACCCCCGCCCACCACAATTCAAAGGGGGCCTTTACATGATCCACCGTCTTTACTGGATGAAGCTCCATGGTTCTTGAACTTCGACCAGGAAGGTGAAGTTTTTTATGATATCAAGGGTGATGTTCCTATTCTTAAATGTGGTACACTCGAAGGCTTGGTGGCACAACTGACACGCCATGATAAGTTGGATGCGTCTTTTAATAATACTTTCCTACTCACTTACCGCTCCTTCACTACTGCCTCGGAGCTATTTGATAAGCTCGTACAGAGATTCAGCATCCAGGCTCCCTTCAACTTGACTCAAGACGAACATCGAATGTGGATCGATCGCAAGCAAAAACCCATTCGATTCCGAGTGGTCAATATTCTCAAAACTTGGTTTGAAAATTATTGGATGGAATCGAACGATGAAGCAAACATGAATTTGCTTCGCCAAGTGCATGCTTTCACCAAGGATTCTATTGCAACGACCAAGACCCCGGGATCACCACAGCTCCTCAGCGTCATTGAGCAACGCCTGCGTGGACAAGACACCACAGTCAAAAAGCTAGTCCCTACTCAGAATATGCCGACGCCGGCTCCCATTCTACCTAAGAACATGAAGAAGCTCAAGTTTCTTGACATTGACGCAACAGAATTTGCCAGACAACTCACAATTATTGAATCGAAGTTGTATGGCAAGATTCGCGCAACCGAGTGCTTAAATAAGACATGGCAGAAAAAAGTTGGTCCAGGAGACTCTGAACCGGCTGCAAACGTCAAAGCCTTGATTTTACACTCCAATCAGCTTACCAATTGGGTTGCTGAGATGATTCTTACGCAAGGCGATGTCAAAAAGCGCGTCGTTGTTATCAAGCACTTTGTCAATGTTGCAGATGTAAGATTTGCCCCCTAATGCTGTTTATCGCCAGACGAGTCACTATACTAAACTATTTTTCTTGCTAGAAATGTCGCGCTCTGAATAACTACTCTACACTAACCTCTATCATTTCTGCACTTGGAACTGCACCAATACATCGTCTTGGTCGAACATGGAATCAAGTGAGCGGCCGTACATCGACCGTTCTGGAGCAAATGCGCAAGCTTATGGCGAGCACAAAGAACTTTGGCGAATACAGGGAGACATTACATGCAGCGAATCCGCCATGCATTCCTTTCTTTGGTATGATAAAGCTGGACACGGTGATATTTAATATTGAAATTACTCTGGCTCACAAATTTGCAGGTGTATATCTGACCGACTTGACTTTTATTGAAGACGGTATTCCTTCGCACACGCCATCCGATCTCATTAATTTCAACAAGCGAGCCAAAACTGCCGAAGTCATTCGCGATATCCAGCAATATCAGAACGTCCCGTACCAACTGCAACCGATTCCCGAACTGCAGGATTATATTTTGAGCAATATGCAGGCTGCCGGAGATGTTCACGAAATGTACGACCGCAGCTTAGAAGTGGAGCCCAGAGAACGAGAAGATGAGAAGATTGCTAGGTATGGTAAAAGTGGCACAGACGTGTCTTCAAGTTCATCCATGACTGTTTCATCTTTTATCAACGCTGCTATACGTTGATCTACACCTTATTGACATTTTGCATCTGGCGTCCTTATTTGTTTGTCCCCACTCATTATTCGAGGTGGTTCCCATTACATGCCTTGATTGATTTTCATGATCATGGCACGACTACTATAAAGTCTACTTCACCCATATACAGACATTCACTATTTTGAAATCCATACAAGCGACGAAAAGAGAGAGATTGTTTTAAATTCCCTCTCTTTTTTTTGCTGATATTGATTTCTTCTTGTGATTTCCTCGCTATCCATTCTTATTGTCTGTTATCATCATCCGTGGATCATGCAGGACTAACTTTATTCCCCTTGCGTAGACTGCTTTCCGAATCTGGCTTCCTTTAAAGCTCTTATCAGCGAATATTAGGTGTGTCCATTTCCAATATGAGATACATGCGACGGGAACTACCGGACAACCAATTACAACGACGCATCGTTCGATATCCCTGCCGATAGCGTGGTAGTTTCACGGAATATTGCACAAAGCGATCCTTCAGTGGAGACTGTTTCGTTCGCTGCTTTCAACTTTGTGTGCCCACGGGTCACGAGTCACGACACACAAGTAATGGGCGACTCTGCGGGCGGTCGTGGGGCGATTGGGCCCGGTACTTGATCAGCGCGCCGAATAAACCTTCCCGAGTGAACGTTGCGTGCAACGCTGACCACGTTAGGGCGTTAAAATATTCCTAATCGGGGAAATCTCGGCTCGCCGCACACCGCCCAGCCGATCTCATTACAAGTTTTTGCTCACCGTCTTCTCTATGACGGATCCTACAATGAGCCTGCTGCCTTGATAACCCTTTTGCTCCTTGCAAGTGGAGGTTTTAAACAAATGCCTGCAAAGATATCCACCGACGTCTCCCCACCATCTTCTTTGATCTGGCCGGGTCTTCTTTTAAATCACATGCTCTGGTGGATCAATAGGAACGAGTCTCGGTAATTGGTGATGCGTGAAATTCTTAGTTTTGATTTTGATTATTAAATCTTGTACATACTTCTTGTTGTCGCTGGGCATTTTATACTCATGACCCCTTTTTTTTGAGACTACTCTTCATATATATGCACATATTGACTCTATCATGTCTACGCACATATCATGTTCACTTCTTTGGTCAATATTGGCTTTTTGGGATATGAAATTCGCTTCTTGTGCATCATCTTATGATCGATTTTTCATGCCATATGCCTAGGAAAACACGTTGGAGGTTTGGGCGTTGGGATGATCGGTTGGTTTTGGTATTGGATTATATGGTAGCAGGGATATTATGAATGTCATGTTATGACTTGTTTCAATATCTTTTATACCCACTGTTTGGTGTATTCTTTATATTCTTTTCCCCCTTTGCTTTGAAGGCGAAAGTACTTTTTGACAAGAACACAACCGAGACATAGCAAGACAGAGCTCCTGTGCAGTGTACACGTGCGTAATAATCATTAGTTCTATTTCGAGACTTAACGTGTCTAATATTAGGTACTAGTTGAAGTCTCTCTGAAATTCTGAAAAAGTCCCTTCTTGATATCGGCAGCTACCAGGCCACTGACCTCCTCGGCGACAATCCGATGTCCATCTCGGACAACTTTGGCTATCTGTTGATCCTTCACCGGGTTGCTCCTACTTGCAACACCACCACCGCCACCACCAGTAACAATAGTAGTAGCACTACCATCTGCTCCTCCGACTCCGCCACCTCCACCAATTGCCCGCGCCGCACTCTTCACTTTCTGGCTGAGATCCATTATTTGTTTGCTCCCGTAGTCCCTGGTGGTGAACAGTGGGCTTTGACTCAGTGTTGCCACCCAGTATTTATTCCACAAAAGCGAAAGTAGCTGTGTATCTAGTGTACTCTTGAAATGTGATACTTCAAGGGAATAATATTGAGATGCGTGCGCTCCGAAATCCTCAACCTTATTCAGCGGTATGCTCTGGTATTCATCGTCTTCGGCGGCCTCCTTTGGAGCCGTATAGCCTTCTGGGTATGTGCGAAAGGCACCAATCTCAACTTTGCCAGCAGAGATGGTACGATCCGGATCGATCACGACAGCCACGAAAGGGTCGCTCATTTGTTGCATGGACTGAGTCGAAACGTCGATACCGGACAACCAGCATCCGTATCCCGGGTGACTATGATACCAGCCAACTGCATTCTCCATGCGGCCTGAATCGCGACACGACTGTAGATATTCCACCATATATTCGTTTGCGTCCCCCTGTGCGTTCACTCGGGTTTCTGTACCTTCCACGGGTAGTCTGAAGGCGTCCGTGACAACGAATGTTTCGGCAGCAATATAGCCCTGCATGAGACCCATGACTTCTAATGAGCCCCCCGAGCGCGCATGCATGACCATTTTGAGCAAAGCCACGGCGGAGATCTTGACGTTCTTAAAATATCGCGGGTTGCTGCTCCACGGCTTGGTGTCCGAGAGGGCGTTGTGAGCTGCTGCGTCATATCGGTAGAGGGCGTCACGCCTGGGATCTACGAGTTGGACGACATTCTCGAATTCTGCTCGTCGTGCCCGAGACGACAGTCAGCTTAGGCAAACCAATAAGTCATTGAAGATAGATAGCTGCTGATCATACCCCACGACTGCTGTGCAGCCTGCATTGCGAATGAGAAGTCTGCTGAAGATCAGACCAAGCAAGACTCTTTGTAGCAGCAAAAGCCGAATTCAACCAAGGACTAGGAGCGCTAGCACTGTAGCAGTAGAAATGATTGATATGATAGCTTCATAGGCAACGTTGTTAGGTTGAAGTGGAGCAAGTCGAGTGGGGGGGGGGGGAAACGCCCAGATCTGCGACACCTGAGGCAGCAACGGAGCGGCAGCGGGTAGTTGCCCTGGTAACAGCGGCAAAGCACGCACTTGCCCTGCCGTGAGCAAAGCATCATCGCCATCTCGAGCGAGTGTCGCGCTCCTTTTGTTTGCTGCTATTCCCATCGCATCGCTGGAGTCAATCGCTTCCCACCCCTCCACATGGACCTCAACTTGCTCTGAGCAATCCCAGCATCTGTTTACGAACGAGTCCCTTACGTTATTCGCGATCCACCATTTTGTCTCTCTCCTAGACGGCCGCTGCAGTGGCAGCCACTCTGTGTTTTTCTTTGCTGGCCAAAACCTTCCTTGTTTCGTGCTGTATTTCTGCGTCGAAGATACACAAAGGATTGTGACTGCTCCTCACCACCGTGGCTATGTCGGTCGACACGGGCTACCTGACCACCCAGGTCAACAACATCATCAACCAGCTGCACGGTATATTCGACGATATTGGAGTACCCAATCATGACCGGGAAGCCCGCGAAACCGAAGTAAGCTGTCCGACTTTCTTGCCTGACTATGAAGTCCCATGTCTAACAATTGGCCTGAAGCTCTTCGCAGCTTTATCAGATACATTGAACAATCATCTACGTATTGTCAACACGTGAGTCAAACCTACGGAAAACAAAAACAAACGCCCTTGCTAAAGGGCCATACCTACACAGTGAGAAAGATGAGATGATTACAGAAGCCCAGCGCCTTGTTAAAACAATAAAACAAATGGAAGCATCCCTTGATGACGAGAAAGCAAATGGACAATATGAACTTGATGATAGCGATCTTCAAGTCACTTTTCCGCTAAATCGCTGTATCGTTTTGCTAAAGGAAAAGTACACTGCCATAAGCAGACTGCATCGCGAACGTTATGAGCAAGTAAAAAGTCAGTTGAACCTTTCCTTCTTGTGGTATAGGTGAATGCCCACGCTAATATCCTACAGAATTGGTCGAAGCTCTCGAGTCCTACTCGTCACATTTGGAGGCATCCTTTGTGAAAATTGCCCTGCCACCAACAGCCCCCAACGCATCAATTCCTCCCAACTTTGATCTGTCTCCCTCTTATGTTACGGCATTAGATAATGAGTTCACCCGCGTCTACGAAGAATACAACAAACGAGTCCACCTAGTGAAAGTGACTTCCGAAGATATCATCAAATTATGGGCCGAGCTTGGAACTCCACAGGCGCAGACAGATTCCACCATTGTCAAGTACTACCGCGAGGCTCCTGAGCAGCTTGGTTTGCACGACACCGATCTCGCTAACCTTAAAGGGAAGCGCGAAAAGCTCTTAGATGAGAAAAGGCACCGCGAAAGGAAGTTGAAAGATTTAAAAGCATCGGTAGAAAACTTGTGGGAACGACTTGGAGTTGACGAGCGTGATCAAAAAGCATTCCTTGCCGCTAATCGTGGCTGTGGTCTCCGCACAATCAATGAATTTGAAGAGGAACTTGCCAGGCTAGATGAACTCAAGCGACAGAATCTGCATTTATTTGTTGAAGATGCACGATGTCGCTTACAGGAGCTGTGGGATGGCTTATACTACTCCGAAGAAGAGATGTTAGACTTTACACCTGCCTTTTCTGATGTCTACAGCGACGCCTTGTTAGAAGCGCACGAAGCCGAGATTGCCCGGCTCGAGGCCATCAGAGAACAGCGCGCTCCCACGCTCGATCTCGTCACCAAACACAAAACCTTGATCTCAGAGCGAGACACTCTTGCAGCCTCGAGCCAAGATGCATCACGCCTCATGGCTCGTGGAAACAAGGGAGAGAAACGCGACCCCGGAAAGCTTCTCCGAGAAGAGAAAATGCGCAAGCGGATTGCAAAAGAGCTGCCGAAGGTTGAAGCTGATTTACGAAGGATGCTAGGGAAATGGGAGGACGAATACGGCAGACCTTTCCTGATCCATGGAGAAAGGTATCTCGACGAGCTTACGCCCGTGCCTTCTAAAATCCCACCACGATCCAAGACACCATCTGGACCCCCGCAAAGTGCTAGTAAGTTTAAGCAAGCATCTATCAACGGTGCCGGATCGGTTAGAGGTGGTCCGCCACTTTCTGCAACCAAGACACCAACTGGCACTATGCGACGCAATCCACCACAAGCACCCTCCTTTCCTACTCAACCACAGGTCAAATCCCCTTCGAAGATCCCTGCTCGTGTTCCGCTAAGTAACATGCCCCACGGAAACAACTCTCCTGAACGTCGTCCTCCGCCAACCTCCTATTCTTCCAACACAATGCGAGGAAAGGTACCACCGCGTGCTCCACCACCAAAAATGCGCGACCTCTTCATTGATCCAAATGAAGAAACCACCGCTCCAAGTTACATTATGGAGCCTTCACGAAGTGAAAGCGTAATGTCTACTCGAAGTGTCCGTCCCGTTTCTCTTGAAGATGTCTATGATGACAGGCAGCAACGATCATTCATGAATCATTCCTCCCTGTCACGAAGCAGAGCTGAAATGAGCTCTCAGAGCTCTTCTCAGTCTCTCCAGTCATTAGCATCTAGGGAGATGGCGTACCCTCCAGAGAATCCATACTTGAGCCGTCAGCCACCGCCGCCGCCTACTGCTGCTGCTCCTCAAGCATTGAGACAAATCTCGAATTCGACTGTTCAGACGGCTACATCAGGATCTGAAAACTGGGAAACCTATGATGATGTCTCAGAGCCGGAAGCTGATGCCAGTGATGTCTATTATGCTAAACTTCGTGCAGCTCATGGGAAACGCCTAGCTCCGGACGATCAACGCGAGGAGTCCCTCATCGGTAAAAAGATGAAAGGAATCCGTACAGTGGGGTCTGACGAGCAATTTCTTGAACATAACGGCCAGTTACTTAGAATTGAAGGGAGTGACGGGGGCTGGACTGATGATTTAGATCCGTACTGAACTCACGGAACCGCTACTCAAACAACGTTCACCGATGATATACGAACTTCATGACCATCCATGATTCACGCTTCCTTTCTGGCATTGATAATGATCGTATGACTTATGATCCGGTAGACAAATTTCATCATCCGAATCATTCCACATTTTCAATATCAACATCACCTTCTCCGGTCGTGATGTTTATTAATTTGGCGTAACTTGGGTAATGGAGTCTCCCTGGAACCGAGCACCTGCGGCCTTGTTCTTTTCAACCACCCTAATTCCTCTTCCTTTTAGCATGGACCTTCTTCCTTCTCTTCTCGTCAATATTGGTATGTCTGTGTTTCCCGCTTTGATTCATGTGTATTCATTATTTTCATTGTACTCTTCTTGGGGCGCGTGTGGTATACCTCTTGTTCTCTTTGATTTCTACCTTTAGGTTTTCATTTCTATTTCTTGTTTCTATCTTTTCTCAAGTAATTATGCTTTTTGGGACTCTTCTGTACAGTGTCTTTCGATGTTATTTAATCTACTTCTAACCTGATCACCTAACTCCTCCGAACACTTAATCGTAGGCTCTTTCTTCCTTGTCGTTATTTGCTACCTACTTAGTTGTCATTCTCGGGAAAGAAGCCGGGTTAATTGTAACTAATCAATCGCCGTAGTAGTCTGAGTAGATATAACTAGTCTAAGAGAAAAAGAGACAACGGGTTGAAAATGTATCGATATGTTCGTCCATGTCTATGGATATAGATGTTTTTACAGCCTTCGTCTGTCTGTCTGTCTGTCTATCTATCTATCTTACAAAATCAGAAACCGTCTAGCTAGTATATGATTAATGCAATTTTATCCTCCCCCTTCGTGTTTTCCCATCAATCCCATTCGACTCTCTAGCCTCCGCCAGTCGTCGTATGGTTTCGTTCCTTCCCAGTATCTCCATTGTCTGTGGAGCTCCCGGGCCAGATGCGCCGGCAAGAAGAGCCCAACGAAGGTAGCTGTAAAGCTCCTTTTTAAAAGCCTTGTTGGTATACTGGAGGGAGTCCAGATTTGTACGATGAGTTTCGACATTCCAGTGGCTTTCGGGAACAAGGGTTAGGGTTGTGGCCACGGTGTGCAGAACGGAGATGGGAGATTCTGATGTTCCCAGTTGTAGGTCGTCTTTGCTTTGTAGTGAGTATGGAGTACGAGTGAGAGCCTTTGAGAAAAAGGACCAGTTTCGTTCCAGGAATTGAGTTGGTGTTGTGAAATGGCCACCGTCATGTCGAAGTAGAGATGTCACAGTGTCCTTGATCGATATGCTAGTCACGCAAGGTTAGTCCGACCCGACGAAAAGAAAAGAGTGAACAACAAAAAAGAAAAGGCAAAACAAAACGAAAAAGAAAGGGGGAAAAAAAACATACAACAGACGGGATTCGCTGGTGGTCACCCACCCAACTACTAACCGGCCGGCGTGTGGCTTAAGTACGGCTGAGCGGACGGGAAGCCCTGTTTTCCACACCCTATGGTCGTATGTGCTAGGAGAAACAACCAAAAGGTTTATAACCCGCATGCATCTCTTCATGCTGGCTCAAGAAACAAGAAAGAAAGAAAGAAGACAATGAACATACTTATCTCGAATGTTCCCCCTCTCGCCCACTGCTTCAACGACGTCGTCGATCAATTGTTTGAATTCAGGACCATTTTCGGCCACAGATCGCTTTGCGTGCGCTTTCTGAAGAAACCACATCTTTTCTGGGCTGACGATCGTGTTGCCCTTGGTTATTTTCAGCGTGAACTAAAGACAAAATCAGCACCAGAACAAAGTAAGGCCCCAGGGCAGCAGATGCTATCGTACGATTTTCTCCATATCTTTCAGTGAAAAGACCTCGGATCTCGACGAATGCGACCACCCCAACAAAGCGGCATAGTTGAGGAGCGTGGAAGGCAAGATACCGCTGTCTCTGTAGAACGAAATATCAATGTTTGCGTCGCGTTTACTCAGTTTCTGGCCATTCTGGTCAACCAGAAGGGGTACATGGCCGAACTGAGGTGGCGTCCAGTTGAACGCCTGGTAGAGGGCAACGTGCATTGGAGTCGATGCCAGCCATTCCTATTGACAAATACATTCAGTAAAAACACAGTACAACATCTTGAGGTGCAAAACTCACTGTTCCCCTAATGACATGCGTAATCTCCATGTTGTGGTCATCCACGACATTCGCCAGGTGATATGTAGGATTCCCATCAGACTTCAAGAGAATGGGATCATCGTATACACGATTGACTGTCTTCCAATGCTTCTTCCCACCATCCAGATTCTGCCCCGTCTTTCCAAATACGATGTCATTAAACATCGGGTACCCATCAGCTTTCAACCGAACAACATGTGTTTCACCGTTGGCGGCACGTTCTTCTGCCTCCTCAGGAGGTATATCGATACATTGGCGATCGTATCCGAGCGGAAGACCCGCTTCATTGCGCTGTCTAGCAAGCATATCTAGGCGCTCGGCGCTGCAGAAACAGCGATAAGCATGCCCGGAATGAACGAGGTCATTTGCATGTTTCCGGTAGAAAGATGTTCTCTCTGACTGCAACAGGTTCGTTTAGCAAACTAAAGATGCGGGAATAGGTAAGGAGTTCATACCTGTCGATACGGGCCATATGGACCCCCAACAATGGGTCCTATACATAGTCAGAATGAATGAAATAAGTTTCGTCCCATGCGACCTTGTTACCTTCATCCCATTGTAAGCCGGCCCATTGGAGATCGCTATATAGTCGCTCCTCCGCTCCCGGTATAGTCCTCTTCTGGTCTGTATCTTCAAGGCGCAGGAGGAATTGGCCGCCAGTGCGTCTTGCCAGCAAGTAATTGAACAAAGCCGTTCGAAGGGAGCCGAGATGCAGGTATCCAGTGGGTGAAGGAGCAAAACGCGTCCTGGCGGGCTTGTCTGGGACAAGTTTTTTGTTGTTGCGGACGGAGGGCGGAGATGAGGAGCGGGATGCGACAGAGGAATTGGCTCTACATTGGACACATGTCCAAGAGGGCGGTTTTCGCAAAAAGCTGTGTCGCAGGCCTGTCAGTTTCATCATCCTGCTTGGCAACAGGCGTGATTGTTGGCAGCCACAAGAAACAAAGAGGCAGGTGAAAGTGAATCAATCGTCTTGGAAGGGAAAGCTCCGACTGCAGCGGGCGGTTTTAGCGCGAAAAAATTCCGCCGGGGCCGATCTCATTGAAGATTCATATCTTATCAAAGCTTCAGTTTTTGTCTTCTCCAACACACATGACCCGGGTTTTTTTGGCCTTTTGTGGTTATTGCGTTTGTTATTTTGTTGTCTTCTTTTCCCTCCTTGTGCCACCTTGCATCTCAAGTGAAGCTGTGCTTTTCTAATAGTCGCTCCCGACCATCACCGGTCGACTGAAACCAAAAACAAAGTCCGTCAGAGAACTCAACTATGTGCAAATGCTTCTATTTAACGTTTTCTAACTTGGCTCAACAGTGGAGGGCGCAGGCCATATTGACCTTTATAGTGAGATCTAAATGCGCAGACATTCCAGTTGCCATCTGCCATGTGGGGACTGACTGTGTTCTTCTAGAGGTCCTCGAAGTCGAACGCGGCGCATCGAAGGAAGAAATTCGAAAGGCTTATCGCAAAGTAAGATGGCACATTATTCGCATGCGGCTAGGATTTAACCCATCTAAAATCAGGCGGCGTTAGCGAGCCATCCAGACAAAGTTCCTGAAACCGAGCGAGAAACGGCGGAGATCAGATTCAAAACGGTGCAGCAGGCATATGATATTCTTTACGATGAAGAGAAGCGTTCTCTGTACGACACACATGGCATGGGTGCTTTTGATGGTTCTGGGAATCCCGGAATGGGCGCCGGGACTGATTTAGACGATATACTTGCTCAAATGTTCGGAGGTATGGGGGGGATGGGGGGGATGCCTGGCTACGGCGGAGGAGGACGCCCGCCTAAACCTAGGAAAAGTCCGAACGAAGAGACAAAGTACGAGGTCACACTGGAGGATCTTTACAAGGGCAAGACCGTCAAATTTGCCAGCACAAAAAACGTGATATGTGGACTGTGTAAGGGTAAAGGCGGGAAAGAGAAGGCTACGGCTAAAGAATGCTCTACGTGTGGTGGGCAAGGTTAGATGATTCTTTTTTGATCTGACTGTCAAAATATCTGGCTAGCACGGTGCCTAACTACTGTCTTTTCTTCAGGATACAAGGAAGTCTTGACTCGCCTTGGGCCGATGTTAACATCATCTACTGCTCCTTGCACTGTGTGTGATGGACAAGGAAGCTTTTTCAGTCCAAAAGACAAATGCAAGAAGTGCAAAGGAAAGAAGGTCACAGAAGAGAAGAAAATGCTTGAGATATACATCCCTCGAGGAGCCAAGTAGGTGGTGGAAGCAGATCTTACCATGCTCTGATACGGTTTCAAGACTTTGACTGACGAGACTTATAGGGAAGGAGATTCTGTCACTCTTGAAGGCGAAGCCGACCAAGTACCTGACCAGGAACCAGGCGACATCGTTTTCCACCTTGTTGAGACTGATCATCCAGTTTTTCGTCGAGCGGGTCCGGATTTGACAGCTGATCTTGAAATCACCCTTGCCGAAGCACTAGCCGGCTTCTCCCGCGTGGTTCTCAAGCATCTAGACGGACGAGGCATCGAGCTCACACACCCCAAGAAGCCAGGCGATGTGCTATCACCGGGACAAGTCCTTAAAATACCAGGCGAGGGCATGCCATTCAAAAAGAGCAATGCGCGAGGGGACTTGTACCTGATTGTGGATGTGAAATTCCCCAATGGCAGTTGGGCACCCAGTCCTGCTGTATTGGAAAAACTAAAAGAACTCTTGCCCAAATCGAATCAACCTCCTATTGAAGCCGAAACTGTCGATGAAGTAGACTACGAGTCTGACGCGGATATCGAACAGTTCGGACAAGGCGATCCTCGCGGCGGTTCTGGATGGGAAGAAGATGATGAAGACGGCGAGACGGCGCAGTGCGCGACTCAATAGATAGACGGCGTCTTTCTGTGCTTTGATCTTTTCTCCTTATGCATTACATCGCTTATCACCGTTCAGGCTTCTGCTCATTTGCATTTGGGTTATAGCAACCCATCCGCTGGTTTACTGATGGCGTTCATACATACTGGTAGATTTTGAGGAACCCACTCCATTCTGGTTAAATTGTGTATGCACAGACATGACAAAATGAATTTTATATCCTATTTTTGATTTTGTCGTCTCTAATTTCTTAATTTCGAAGGGATACTCAAGCACGTAAGCTTGCGGGAGGTGTTCATCAAAAAAACGGTCATCACCCATCACCCCTACTATCTAACTGTACTGTGCATTTACTGTCAATAATCAAAAAAAAAAAAAAAAAAAAAAAAAAAAAATTAATCGCTCAAATGTTATAGCTAAACTTGTTCCTGTTTGATTTGGCTTTGAGGTTCAGCAAGTTCAGCCCTAATTCCCCGATTCAGTCAAAATCGGACCATCTCCGGATTTCCGAGGTTCATCGCGGACATGTCTCCGGCCAACGAAAGTATAGCAATTTCACCATCTCTGTTCGCCGACAACCTGTGCGATATTGCGTCTCTTTGTTTGGGGCGTGTGTATAAAATTCGAATTGGTGTTTTTCACTCGTCAGATATATTGGCCTCTATTTAAGCGGTATTCATTGGGGTTGAGAATAAGTCCCTAGGTAAGTGTTATATAAATTTGCCGCAACCCCCGCGTGCCTCCCACGCAGTCAGATATTCACTCAAAACCGCTTATGTTCACCGGCGCGCGGGTTGCTTCCTATATATTTCTTTCGTTTCTCACCTCCTGAATAGACAGCATCGACCTAAGGAAACATACAGTCAGTTTTTTTGAAACGCTGACCATGGCCTGCGGCTCGAAAACCAGCTGCGAGGGCTGCTCATGTAGTGCTCCGCAGCAACCCATCAACATCGAGGATTGCCAGGAAGAGCTGTTGGCTCTACGAAAACGCGCCCAGCAGCTGGAGTCCACTCTCGCAGATCTAAAGATAAATGGAGCATCATCGTCAGCATCCTCGCGAGAACGTCCAGTTCAACTGCGTTCCCGCAAGTGGTTCGGCTCTGACGTCAATCCAGCCATGGAGTCGATCTATGTTGAGCGATACTTGAATTACGGCCTGACTAGGGAAGAGCTGGCCTCGGGAAAGCCCATCATTGGAATCGCCCAGTCCGGGTCCGATTTGGTTCCCTGTAATCGATATCACCTTGAGTTGTCTAAGCGTATCCGTGAAGGCATTCGCACTGCCGGGGGTATCGCATTCGAGTTCCCTATACATCCCATTCAGGAGACTGCTCGAAGACCAACAGCTTGTCTGGACAGAAACCTTGCCTATCTTGGTCTCGTGGAAATTCTATACGGATATCCACTGGACGGCGTGGTTCTACTCACAGGCTGTGATAAGACAACGCCCGCTTGCTTAATGGCCGCGGCTACTATGGTAAGTAGAATCTGGGGTTGGCTTGGCCAATGAAAACATGTCACTCATGATCGTCACCGTCCAGAATATTCCCGCCTTGTGTCTCAATGTTGGACCAATGCTCAATGGCTATATCAAAGGAGACTTGTCAGGTTCGGGAATGGTGATTTGGAAAGGCCGAGAATTATTATCCGCCGGGGAGATCAACCGTGATGAGTTCATCGAATATGTCGCGACTGGGTAAGTACCGCTTGTAGGGACTCTACTTCTGAGGGAGAACACGCTAATATCGGGGACGTGAAAAAAAAAAGGACACCATCCGCTGGTCATTGTAATACGATGGGAACGGCGTCTACTATGAATGCGATGGCAGAAGCATTAGGAATGGCCCTGCCCAATTCCGCGGCTATTCCAGCACCATACCGAGAACGAGCACAATACGCGTATGAGACTGGTAAGCAGATTGTGGAAATGGTTTTGAAAGACAGAAAGCCAAGCGATATTATGACTCGCGAAGCTTTCGAGAATGCAATTGTCGTCAACACAGCCATTGGAGGGAGCACAAACGCTCCCATCCACGTGACGGCTATTGCTAAGCATATGGGAATTAACCTGACAATGGAAGACTGGGATCAGGTCGGATTCGAAGTTCCACTACTACTAAACATGCAGCCTGCAGGTGAATACCTGGGAGAAGACTACTTCCGTGCGGGTGGCCTCCCAGCTATTATGGCCGAGTTGCTGGATGCTGGGAAGCTTCATGCGGATGTTCTCACATGCAATGGACGGACTGTTGCAGATAACGTTCGTGGCAAGCATTCGTGGGATCGTCGAGTCATCAAGGAATATAAAAACCCAATCTTAGACAATGCCGGCTTCCGCCATCTCCGTGGTAGCTTGTTCGATTCAGCAATTATGAAAACCTCGGTCATTTCCAAGGAGTTCCGAGAGAAGTTCCTTGAGAACCCAGATGACCCTGAAGCCTTTGAAGGCGCAGTTGTTGTCTTCGATGGGCCAGAAGACTATCATCAGCGGATCGAAGATGAATCAACACCTGTCGACGAAAAGACACTTCTCATCATCCGTGGTGCCGGCCCCCTTGGATACCCAGGTGCAGCGGAGGTAGTAAACATGCACCCACCTGGTCGACTTTTGAAAAAGGGCATTCATTCACTCCCTTGTATTGGCGATGGAAGACAATCGGGAACTTCAGGCTCGCCCTCCATTCTAAATGCTAGTCCCGAAGCAGCTGCCGGAGGTAATCTCGGTCTTCTTAAGACCGGTGACCGGCTTAGAGTCGATCTTAGGAAACGGCGAGTTGACATTTTGATCTCGGATGACGAATTCAAGAGTAGACGGGAGAAGCTAGAGGCCCAAGGTGGATACCATGGCCCGGAGAGTCACACCCCATGGCAAGAGATCTTCAGAAAGGAAACTGATCAGCTCAGCGAAGGAATGGTGCTACGAGAGGCCTTGAAGTATCAACGTATCGCACAGAAATGGGAAGAGCCGAGGCATAACCACTGAACGGGCGTACTTGATTTCTATTTCCTTTTTCAGCGATAACAGCAGAGATAAAATAGACTGGCATACTTGCTGCACTGGATGAATTGTGTCGGATAAATTATGTATCTCCCCACATCTTCGACTATAGTTAATGTTTAATTGTTTTATACACAACATTGTTGTCACTGACGATCTACATGCAAAATGTGGCAAATGCAACAGGGAAAGCCCCACCAGAATCGGGCGGGGAGAGCTTAGGGCTTACCCCCACTTCCCGAGACTGCCAATCAATGCGCGCTTATTGGCTATTCTCTTATCTACCTCCATTTTTCCGTGAGTATAGACTCCGTACGGAGTCGGTAGTCAACTACAGACTAAGTACAAACTTAGGACGAAAGTCGTCCGATATGACGAAATAACGCATAGCTCACATAAGCGATAGTCAAAAAATGGGTGCTCTCCCCGCAAAGACCCCAGAGTTGTATTTATCAATACCTTGAATAATGGACTTGGCTTGGCCCTCATTCTTGCGGCGCATACTACTTACTACCATATATTAGCAAAAGCTATTACTGGATTACCAGAGCATGCTTGGTACTACGTTCCTCTCTACTGCAGTTTGGCAAATATATTTTGTGCGTGAGGGTGTGTCTTGGCTCTGTTGCTTTGAGCCAGGGAATCACGAGCTAGGAGGTATATGAGAAATGATAGACACTCCGTACTCTGACTAAAACAAGATAGTTAACTCATAACCACTATGCTGTGCTTATCTGCAAGAAGACGGAATCGCAAAGGCCTCCGCGGATTACCTTTAAGAAGATAAGCATTAGAAAGTCAGAAAGATAATATTAGTGCACCGACAGTGTGATATTGAGACATTCCCTGTCGTTAGAGCGGAAAACTCAGGAATGGAAGATGCACCACTCCCTTTCAGGGTACACATTGACCGTCCAAACACTGAAGCCAGGTCCGCAATGCGAAAAAATATCGGGAACAAAGCAAGATAGTTAGGTATCCTAATTCCTTGGAAATTGACTCATTTCCGGTCACACTGCATTTGATACTGGGTCCCCGAAAAATCGATCAATATACGTGTAATTTCTTCTTTTCCTTGGTCGGATGTAAGAGCAAAAATGGCCGCTGATAGAGAATTTTCTTTGTCGGTGAGATGCTACATAGTCCGACAATGATACGAAATAATCCGTTTATAGAAAAAGGAAAATTATTGTATGTAGTTAACTATGTAGTTGAATGGCTCGCAAGATCAGCGCTGCAAGCATGAACATGGGCCCGCACACACGTGTTGGTTTTGGCGAAAATCACCACACCACGTATTACACAGCCAAACATATATGCGGGTAATGTGCAATAGGATGTGCTCCCGCATGTGCCTTATGTTTCGTCAGATGCTCTTTACATGCCTCTCAAGCGTCAAATCTACAAGTCGGTGTGAGGCGGCTCAAAGGGGAAAAGATGTTGGGTACGAATTTCGTACTACGTACCTTGAGGGCTCAAAACGTCGTCGGCACACAGTACTACATCTTCATGCCTGAAGACCCGAATTCGGTGGTTGACTCCGGTACTATTTACTGTTCAGGGTGGGTGGTCCGACTTGATGAATGTTGGAAGTTCAGTAAGGCCAAGGTACGTACTGGTGTGGTGCAGTGGGTCGCTGGCGGGCCGCTCCCATACCTTTAACTTATTCCCCTTCCGGACCATTGACCAGGGTCTAGCCTCAGCCACTCACTTCGGATCCAAAAATTACTTTTACGAGAAAAAAAAAATTTTTTGATGACCAGCGCGCACAGAGCACAATCTGATCCACCACGCGGAAACGAATAATAAATAAATAAACCGTGTCTTTTTTTTTTCCCTTCTATTCTTCCTGGAAATCAGTTAAAAAAATAAAATATAAGCCAGGCAACCGGTATTTTCTTTTCGGCAATCAAATCGTCCAGTCAAATACCCAGATTTGACCATGCTCTCGCAATAGCCCAGGACTCCGGAACAGCCTTCTGCTTGCTCGTAACCTGCCCATCTGGCGGTGACAGTTTTGTCTTTAATCTTTGTTGTGCGCACGGAGTACGCCGTTACCAGGTCGCTGGCTGGCACATAAAACACCCAACCGGCCTGCAGCTTCCGCCCATTCCATTTCTCTCGCCAAGTCTTGAGGTTTCTTGAAAGAAATTATTCTTTCATTCCCCCTTGGCTATTTCTGGGATATATATTTCCCCTTACTTCTTTTACAAATTCCTGTGGCTTTACTGCTTCTATCTCACCTTCACACACAGCCATGTCCGCTCAATAACACCGGTGGCTGTCTCAGCCATTCGCCCTTAAATACCTTGTTTTCCTCTATCATCGTCTGAATCACCATCGAACAATACTGTTAAACACCTACTTCCAACCTTGGAAGGTTACTTGACTGATCGATTTATTGATTCACTCAATTGCTCCGTGTAACTCTTTTTACCCCCGAAAAGAAAGCAAAAAGAGCTTTCCAGCTATGGCTCCCAACATCTTCATATGCCTTCGAAATATTATTTGTCCCTTGTACTGGTTTGAAAAGGGAACTCGTGTCGATGGCCACCCAACCAAGGACGAACACTGGGAGTCTCCAGTGCCAGGCACTTACCGTTACGTACCCGACCGAGGATGGCACCTCATTCGACAGGACGGCGCTGAAGAGGACGAGCAACAGCCTCGACCTGTTGTCTACTGCCGCATCGTCCATCAATATCTTTTCTCCTCGGACATGGAACAGCGCTGCCGCTACCACCGAGTGCAGTTGAGAGAAGGCGAGGAGCCGCAAAGATGTCTCTTCTTCAGACTCGAAGACGGATTCACATGGGTGATCGGCTGGGACTCGCGCGGAAAATTCATACCCGGCCCCTACCGAAAGTGGTGCTACGACAAGGAGGCCCAGATCATGCGACGAATGACCTCCTACGAAGATAGCTCTGCCTCTTCCTCGCCTATGACCTCGCCCATGGCATCTCGAACTAGTAGCGTGGCGTAGCTACTGATGTCACTATATACACGAAATCTTTGCTACGTCGACGTCGGCGCAGCATTCGAGTCAACGTATCATGTTTCATCGCTTCGTTTCATTTTATTTTGATTTGCTTTGGTTCAGCGAGCGAGTTTCTTTGGCATATTCTTCTTGTCTCATAAAGTGAGCGTTTCTTCAATGTTAGTTTTCTGTCTAGATATTTGAGCGATGGCGTTAAGATTTGGAGGGTTTTCAATCCAAGCACAATGGGAAATAGAGCATATAGAGTGGCAGGGTTCGTTCTATGAATACTTATGAATAATCATACCCGAAAAGAATAAAAGGGTTCAAGATTTACCTGCCTCGTAAGATTGGTCTTCGTAAACAATATATCTACAACTTGGGAGACACTCCAACACGTAGCTTCTCCAGTCCCTCTCTAATGTCAGTAGCCATTCCGCCTCGTGGCTTCATCGTGTCTCGCTCAACAAAAACGTGCGTGAAACCACCCACTGCTTTGACCGCATCCTCGCTTTGTTTAAACACTCCCACCTCGTACATCACACTCGACGATCCGAGCTTGACCACCCTCAGACCCAGTTCGAGAACATCGGGATAACCAACTGACGCAAAATAGTCGCAATACGACGAAACCACGAGACCAATCTGGTTGTGCTTGTTGTTGCTACTTCCGCCAGACGAAGAAGAGCTGGGATCAATGCCACAGTGTGTGATGAGATAGTGGTTGATTATTGAGTCGATGAGGAATGCATAGATGCTGTTGTTGAGGTGGCCGTACATGTCATTATCTGACCTGTATGTTATGCGCCTGTTAGTCGCATTATTGCATGCATTTCTGCGTAAGGGATAGATAGACACTGCGCCGGCGATATATACATATTGAACGTACCATCGTGTTCTGTACTCGAGATGAAAGCGATAGTCGCCTCGCGTGCGAAGCTTCTTGGAAGTTATGCCCGACATTATTGCGACTTTGAATTTCCTACGTATGATATTTGGCGAGGATGGGCGCAACAACAAATGTTCGAGGAAGACCATCCGTCGTCGGCTTTGGGGTTTGGAGCAAGCCGAGGTCCGCCTGCAGCCAATCAGAGGGTCGGCATTGACGTCGACTTTGACGTTTTGACATTTCTGGATTTTCTGAGAGCCATTGAGGTTTTTCCTGGAGTACAGACTGTTACTGGATCTTAAGTAGTTGGTTCCTCCACAAAACAACAGGCTAATACCACGCTGCGATGCCATATTGTGCAGGCAAATGGCCCAGATGCCGTAGCGAATCACAACTTCGGCGCTCCTCCCCCGCCACGAACTTTTTTTTTTTCTATGCAAATATATTTTCCATGGGCGTCGGCCAGAGAATAACTCTCCCACTCCTGCAACACGCGCATCGCATATCAACAGCCGCACACGTGAATATCGCATCAGCAGATATTCCGCCGTCGTTCAGCCAAACTGAGTTTTGTATGGCGATGCTCTGCTTGTGGACGATATCGCAAATTACCTGCAGCCGTGATGTCCGCCTCAGAAGCAGCAACAATGACTCTTGAGAGCAGCTCTACTGCTTCCGCTACACCAAGCAGTCCCCCCGAACCCTACTACTTTGAAGGCGGCCTGCGGAGGGTCAAGCCATACTACCATACCTACAACACGTACTGTAAACAGCGATGGCGGGGCAGGACACTGCTGGACATTTTCACCTCGGAGTTTAGAGAACGCACTCCGGAATATTATGTACGTCTTGAGGACATTCAACACCGCTGTTGCTCCTGTTCATGCGCTAATATGAGTGTAGAGAGAAGCTATCGAGGCCGGCTCTGTCCTCCTCAGCGGAAAAGTTGCAACTATAGATACCGTCGTCCCGAACGGCGCGATTGTCTCGCATTCCACTCACCGACACGAACCTCCTGTGACCGGCCTTCCTATAGGTATTATACACGAAGACGAGGGTATGATTGTGATCGACAAGCCTGCCGGGATCCCAGTGCATGGCGCCGGACGCTACTATCACAACTCGATTATCGAGATCTTGAAATCAGAGCGCCCGGGCCTAATACCTCGTCCCTGCAATCGACTTGATAGATTGACGTCGGGCGTGATGTTCCTTGGAAAGACAGCTGAAGCAGCCGACAAGTTCAGTGCCCAACTACGGGAGCGTGGTGTGCAGAAGGAGTACGTGGCGCGGGTTAGCGGACGCTTTCCAGATGGCGTTGTGCTCTGCGACCAGCCCATCATGTCCGTGAGTCCGAAGCTGGGCTTGAACAGAGTGCGGGCTACTGGAAAGGAATGCAGAACGAAGTTCCGTCGATTGGCATACTATCCGCCTCGGAAGACCGTCGAATCCGAAACAACAGCCACGGGCGATGGCCACACAGATCGACCGGCTACACCGCCGTCATCTTTGCAAGAAGATGAAGGCTACAGTATTGTTCACTGCCTGCCATTGACTGGCCGCACGCATCAAATTCGAGTCCATCTCCAGTTTCTGGGATATCCAATTTCCAATGATCCCATATATTGCAACCATCGAGTCTTCGGACCGAGTCTGGGCAAACACGAAGACAGCGCTGAGAACGATGATACCATAATTGATCGACTCTCAAACATGGGGAGGACAGAACTGCCTGACACAACCGCCTACCGCACCCACCTGACATGCCCACCTATTGTACCGCCCGAGACAGACCCAAACGTGGTTGAAGCGATCATGTACCGTGAGCACGAAGCTGCTGTCGACGCCTACCACAAACGGAAGGGTGAAAAACTTTCAGGCGAAGTCTGCGAAGACTGCGGTACACCTCTCTACACAGACCCCGGTGCTCATGAACTCGGCATATACCTACACGCAGTCAGATATTCCGCTAATGATGGCCAATGGAAGTACCAAAGTGCTCTGCCCACATGGGCCGTTCCGCCAAAAGGCATGGAAGGACCGACTGAGATTCCAGATTGGCGTGAGCCTGGCGAAGGGGAGGAATTGATCCTCAATACTGGCTATTCGCCCCGAGAAAATGATAAGTCCAATGACGGAGAGACAAAGGAGGAAGAAGACGTCTTGGCTCTTGTGCGTGGTGTTGGTTTGGTCAACCTTTCCCAAAAGATGAGAAATGGTCAGGATATTGCCACGGTCGTGAATACAGACGAGCAGGAGCAATAGCGCGTCCATTCCCAAATATCAAGTTTTATTTATGGCATCAGATGAGATTATGACACCAGTGCGCGTGCGAAAGAAACATATACCTGGATATGCAGATACTCTCTTTTTTTAATCTAATAGTATAGTTTAATGCAGTCCCAAAAAATTCAAACGAGGAATGTCTAGCTAACTACTAGAGATAAGGGTTGAGACTCAACTCGAGAAATACGCAAGGGGAAAAGAAGAGGTAATGCTCTTGTCTTGTTTATTTTTCATATAAAAACAACAAAGGTCCGGTCTCAATAAAACTCCTCCGAGTCCATTGATCATGGTTTTGTATAAAAAATGTTGTCATTTCCCCAGACCGAGCGTTCCCTCATAAGATATTGTTTATGTCGATCACTCATGCTTTTATTTTTTCTTTCGATGATAACAGGAAATCTTTTCTTTCTAAATTCCCATCCTTCCCAGATCGACCATGGGAAGTAATCATCTTGAAAATTTCTTTTTGTTGGCAAGAAATTTCATTAAATCGCAACACGGTCCCATTCAAATAGATAAACACTCCCCAATCCTTTTCCGAGGACAAAAAAAGCTTGAAAATTGGAAAGCCTGCAACGCGCGAAAACAAGAACAAGGAGAAAATAAGCAAAAGAAATATATCCTGTTCATGATGCATTGCAAATTTATGACTCGGTGGTAACGCGAGCCTTGGCGTTTGTGACCTTGACACCGAGAGCCTTGGCCTTGGCCAGAATGTCGACACGCTTGCGGGAGGAAACGGCGCTGGCGATCCTGTTGTAATTGTTAGTCAAATCCTCGAAAATCGTATAAATCTGCAAAGAAAAGCGACGGATAGAATGGCACATACTCAGCGGCGTAGGTGCGGTTGTGCATGAGGAGAAGCTCGACATCCTTGGGGTTGTGGACAAGGAAGGCCTTGTGGCCGGAGGGCATCAAGTGACGGGTCTTCTTGTTGCTACCGTAACCGATCTGCAGAAAAGGAAAAAAAAAGCGCCGTTAATAATCGCATTCTTTTCAACAGCGACAGCAAATTGATCGATATCGTTTTGGCGTCATCGATTCAACGGGCGCGGCGGGTGCGAGAAACGTACCTTGGGCATGGCAATGGTGCCCTTAAAGCGACGGCGGACACGGTTGTCGATACCCTTGGGCTTGCGCCATGATGAGGGCACACACTGTAGTAACGAATGAGTCCTGCTATCCCTTTTTGTATTCACGATCCGGTCAATCATACCTTGAAGGTGTCGGATTGATGGCGGAAAAAGCGCTTCGTGCCTGCATTCAGAAAACTCCCACATCAGCCGTGTCCTCAACTTCGCTTGTATGAATCCTCTTTCCCCTGGGCTCGATATATTCCCTCGCTTCGGCATCCTTTCAAACGAAAACTTCTAAGAACCATGGACTCGGGTACTAACGCTTCTTCACGATAGGAATGTGAGATTTGGCCGCCATCTGTGAAAAGAAGAATATCTCGTCAATAAAGGCTGTTTATTGAAGTCTTCCACACAAGACAGTGCTTGGCTTGCTTGGGAGCGTACCTCGTCGATTTGTCGTGTATGTCGCTAGCTGGGCGTCGAGCGTTGTCGTGACGGGAGCGAATTTCCAGATCTCGAAAATGGCAGGAGTGCAGTTTCCGCTAGCTCGCTAAGCGAAGTGCGTGCCCTAGACTATGCCCGTTACGGCAGAGCGCGCATTTGGAGCCTCAGGCATCAACACGGGCGGGCATGTGACTTGGAGCCGTCGACTAGTCCTCTTCTGTGCTGCAGCCAATCAGGACTCGAGAACGCCTCTAAACATCGCGTGATCGAGTATATGATTCGTAGGCGTGCAAGTTGGGCAGGAGTAAGTAGTACAAGGCGAAACGCCCATGCCAAAAGCCCGGCAGCGAATGGTTCTTTATTCTTCAGTCGTGCTGGGAAGGGAGACGTACTGACTCGCACGCGAGCTTTCCTTTCATTGCGGGTTTCCACTTTCCTCCCGGACACGCTAGACGCGTCGGGCCCTTCCTTCCTATCTGACCGGACAGCTTGCTTCCGTTTTGCTCGCATCCTCTCTTTCCTCGGTCAACCAGCCTGGCATCGCGGCTCTTCGTCAATCAATCGCGGCCTAATCCACAGGGGCCATATCCAATCGCCTTAACAGACTGCTACGCCGCTTGCTGCTACGCGGGGAATACGGCCATCTGATGATTCGCTAATCCATCCAGCGCCAGCTTCCCCGCTCTTCTAGCAACGATGCCTGCGCGCACTCGCCAATCTCTAACCTCGACGACTGAAGTCGTTGAGCCGGAGGAGGAACAAAGCGGTCTTCACAGGTTGCGGTTCAATGAGCCACTGTCATGGCGCGTGGGAAAATCTGCCATTCCAGTTGCTGATTTGTTGAGCCGTCTTCAAATCCTTGCGCAGGAGTTATCGACTGCGGACCAGGACGACATCGACAAAGGATCGTTGAAAAAGGTTTCTCAAGAACTAGCCAATGGACATCTACTGGCACACAGAGACAAGGGAGTACGAGCTTGGGTCACAAGTTGTATTGTTGACATTTTACGCCTATGCGCCCCAGATGCCCCCTTTACCGGAAACCAATTGAAGGTGCGACAGGACATGGACACGGTATTGTTATGTTATCTGGGAAACATGTGCTAACAGTTGAAAAGGACATATTTACTTGCATCGTCACATCCATCATTCCAGCCCTCGCAGATCCTTCAAATGCCTACAACGTGCAACATATATATGTATTGAATTCACTGGCTGAGGTCAAAAGCATCGTCCTCTTAACCGATTTGGATGCCCCGGATGCTCTTATTCTCCCTCTGTTCTCTTCTTGTTTTGATATAGTGTCAGGTTCTTCGAAAGCTTCTACTGGCGAACAGATTGCGAAGAATGTCGAATACGATATGACCCGTCTGCTTGTGACTGTTATCGATGAATCACCAACGCTGGCACCGGAAGTGGTGGATATAATTATTGCGCAGTTCCTTCGCGTTGATCCACGCGTCTTCGAACAATCGGGAAAGAAAGGGAAAAAGATCGAGATCGACGCAAATCAGGATACGCTCCTCCTTAAAGATTATCCACCGGCTTATGATATGGCCAAAGCTATCTGCCACGCATGCCCCGAAAAGATGACTAGTTATATCAGTCAATACTTCAATAACGTTATCATTGATGCATCTGCGCCGTCTAAAATCTTAAATGGGTCAAAACCGTCGATGGATAGAAGACATAGCTTGGATGACTCAGATGACGAAGCTGAAGACATCAAGGAGCTAGGGAAAGCCCATCGACTCATTAGGGAGCTATGGCGAGCTTGTCCAGATGTATTGCAGAATGTGATTCCGCAGTTGGAGGCGGAATTGTCCGCAGAGTCAGTGTCGCTTCGCCTGCTTGCAACGGAAACTCTTGGTGATCTTGCCGCAGGTATTGGACTATCAGGCCCTCCTCCCCCTCCTCCGATGGACCCTGCGCAACATCCTCCGGTAACGCTGCTGAACTACTCTCAGACGGTACCTCAACCAAATGTTCTACAGGTTCCATTGGCGCCAAAGCCTTTTGCTCAGGCACATTCATCTGCCTACGAGAGTTTTTTGAGTCGTCGTCAAGACAAGTCTTCATCTATCCGCGCTGCATGGACCACCGCCATAGGACGCATTTTGATTACATCTGCTGGTGGATCTGGCCTAAGTGAAAGCGATGAGCAATATATGGTCCGAAGTCTAGCGAATATGCTCCGCGATGCAGATGAAAAGGTTCGACTGGCTGGTGTTGAATCTATTGGATCTATGGGATTCACAGATATCGTGAACAAATTGGGCGTTAGTGGTGGACTTAAATCGGCCGACTCCGTATTAACCATCCTTGCTGAGCGTGTTAAAGACCGCAAACCGGCTGTACGTGATCGTGCCATGAGAGTCTTTGCGAAGATATGGGCGGTTTCTGTTGGCGAGATTGAAGAAGGCAATGAGCAAGTTGTTTCACTCCTCAAAGACGCGCCATCTAAGATTTACGACGCATTTTATACGAATGATCCTGAAATTCAAGCACTCATTGATCGAGTTCAATTTGAATATCTACTTCCTCTTAGCTATCCTCCCGTCAAGTCGAAACAGAGCAAATCAAAAGACGCGGAGGGGACAGTGGATAAAATACGTGTTCAGCGGATTCTCACTCTAATCAAGAGTCTTGATGAAAAGTCCAAGAAGGTGTTCTTTGCATTCCAGAACCGACAATTGAACCTAAGGACGGCCTTGACTATCTATCTGCAGGCCTGTGAAGAATACAATGTAGGCACCTCAATCCTCGCGTGGTCTTTTTCTTTTTCATCTTTTATCTCGACGCAGTCAGCTAATGTCTATGTATCATCTAGGGTGGCATTATAGAAAAGGATGAAGAGCGAGTCAAGGCTCAACTAACTCGCGTAGTTGATGCTATAGCCAAATCGCTACCAGATCAAGCGCGTGTGTCCGCAGATCTTTGGAAATTTGCCAAAGCTCATGACCGAAGGAACTATCAGCTTATACGCTTCGCTATGGCGGCGCAAAGCGACTATCGTACCGTTACAAAAGCCATTAAGGAACTTACTAAGAGGATACAAAGTGGCAGCACGCCGTCTTTGTTAGACACTCTCACCCCATTACTCTATCGTTCGAGCTCACTTGTGTTTAACCGAAGCCATATTCCTGCTATCATGGAATTTTCGCGAACGGACGACAAAGGCCTAGCTCCTTCCGCACAAGAGATGCTGAAAGAAATTTCTTCACACAATCCCGAAGTGTTGGAAGCGCAAGTGCAGGAGATGTGCAAGGACCTGGAAGAGCAAGCGCCGACTGCCAAATCGCCAGATGAATTGGGAGCAGAGGAGATCCTTAAAGCTTGTTCGGGCTTCGCTAAGAAGCTGCCGGAAAAACTTCCCAAAGAAAGGAAGTTCCTGCAAGCACTGAACAGCTATGCGCTATTCAGCTCGTCTCCTCGAGCCGCAAAACATGCCGTATCGATCATCATGGCTATTGCCGACAAGAAGGAGATGTACGCGAAGGATTTAGTACAGAAATGCGTTAAAGACTGCGAGTATGGGTCGACTCACTTTTTGACACGCTTAGCAACACTTGCACAGTTAAATCTCCTTGCGCCCAATGAAGCTGATGCTGAAAGCACTAAAATAACATCTATTGCAGTTGACAAAACACTGCTTATGAACCGATCCAAGCAACCTAATTCGGAATACACTTGGTCAGACGAAATCGACGAGGAGACAAAGGCCAAACAATGGGCGTTGAGAATTATTGTTAATAGACTTCGTGGAAAGGATGGCACATCTGAGGAAGAGTTTCACGAGCTTGCTGAACCAGTCTACAGCATTTTAAATAAGCTTGTTGCCGGCGAGGGTGAAATCTCAAAGAAGAAAGACACACCAGCCACCCAGAAACCTCGCTTGCGTCTCGATGCTGCCAAATTATTGACCAAGTTATCTGCTTCCCATGTCTCGTGTGATAAGATATTGTCTGCGAAAGATTTCAATTCACTGGCTTTAGTTGTGCAGGACCGCCTTCTGCCCGTGAGATCCGGTTTCATTAACTCACTACGGAAGAGATTATCGCAAAATGGTTTCCTCGGTGTTCGTTGGTTTGCGCTACCGTGCCTGCTTGCTTTCGAGCCTAGTACCACCTTGAAGGATAGCACACTTACTTGGCTTCGCTCTCGGGCAGCTATCTTCTCTCGACAAATGCAAGCCAATAAAAACAACAAGGAACAACAACAACCTGTTATGGAATCTGTGTTTGCCCGTCTCCTTTCATTGCTTGCTTATCATCCGGATTATCCTCCTTCTAGTGAAGATAGTGAGACTCGCACAACTGAACTTGCAGACTTCGCTCGATATATTCTATTCTATCTGTCTGCAGTTGCAAACGAGAACAATATCTCGTTAATCTTCCACGTGTCACAACGGGTTAAGCAAACTAGAGACGGCATCAGCAGGTCTGATGAGATAACGACACGACTTCACACGCTTTCGGATCTCGCTCAGGCGACTATTCGTCGATTTGCAGAGATATATGCGCAACAAAACCGGATTGGTGGCGCAACTGGGGGCGCAAGTATTCTTGAGACTTACCCGGGAAAAATGAGGCTTCCTAGCTCGTTATTTGCTGCTATGGCGAGCCATAGAGAAGCACAAGAGGTTGCCGATAAAAACTTCCTTTCGGAAGACATCGAAGATATTCTGGATAGCCTTGTGCGGTCCTGGATGAGACCAAAGAAATCTTCTCAGTCAGCCAACGCCAGCAAAAAGAGAAAGAGTGAACATGCTGATACAAACGGGGAGACCGAAACCAAAAAGGCCCGGAAGAGGTCTTCTACAGTTACCCGAAGAACGTCGACTTCTAACAATACCAAGACTCCTCGCAAGAAGAAGAGGGGCGAAGACGAATGGGGGTCTGATTTCGATGGTGATGAGGAAGACCACGCAGCAGCGCGAAGGCGGAGCGGTCGAGGTGTATCCAAGAAGGTTAGCTATGCCGATCGAGATAGTAGTGAAGACGATCTTGAGATGGCAGAGTATAATCAAGAGGATGAACAACAAGAAGAAAATGACGAAAGTGATGCGGCCGATGGTAGCGAGAACGGCGATAACGAGGAAATGAGTGAAGCCAACGGAAATGAGGAAAAGGGAGAAGAAGATGAAGATGAGGTTGAGAAGGAAAGCCCTGCACCACAGGAAGCGAAGAAGAAGAGTCCACACACGAAAAAGCCGTCTACTCCTGGAAAATCCGCAAAAACTCAGTCTTTACCTGTACGGCGTTCGAGCAGACGCGGATGATAAAATATATCGTACCCTCCTTTCATTACTATTGCATGCCTGCCTCTTTATCTGTATGTTTATGTCAGTAAAATCGAAGAGGGTCAGTCAGGATTTTCCAAGTTGTCATTCATCGAATACCCATCTGTCTTTTTTTTTTTTTTTTTTTTTTTTTTCTTTCTCTTCTCGCGTTCTGTCTGTCTGGTCTGTCTGTGTCAATTTTATATTTACATACTAGTATGGATTGATCCATGTTTGCAAATTACTCTCAATCGATTCATATATGCTTATCACATTTCTATCTCTGTTTCTATTCGCAGGAATAATTTTTACGTCGTGTATGTATGTCCATATCATTATATCATATCGCTCCCTGAGCTTATAACTACATGCCGTCCGTCTACCTAGGTATCTGCCGACTTTCAAAGGATCTCTCTTTCTATTGGAACCGATTAACTCCACAGCTAGCCCATTTCCCAGAATTGTCTGTAAAGTAGATACATCTAGTGAAAATTTGATTTAAAGTGCGAATGAATGGATGGATGGATGGATGCTGAAACTCATACCAAGTTTTAATGGTGTAGGTAGCGTAGGTAGAATTTACATACGGCTTTGATACTCTCCATATGTACTAGGATTGTATGATACTAATAGTAATATCCAGAAAAGAAAGAGAAAGAGGAAGAGAAAAAAAAAAGTCAATGAGTAGAGAGGAAAAAAAAAAGGAAGCATGATAGAAATTTAACATGATTTCTCTAAGGTCGATCGCATTGCATAGCGCTTGAAACAGGGAACAAGCCCTTTTTTGCACCAATTTCCAAATTACAATAGTCACACACACACACACCCAAACACCCTGAATATCATGATTGAATATCGTTTGTCGTTGACGTTATAAAAAGAAAAATCAAAGGCTTTCGTCACCCAGATGCAATAGTTCCTTCCGCGGCTTTTGCAATTCTCCCCTCAACTCGTTCTTTATGTTGCCTGTTCCTTAGATGAACTTCGAAATTTTCAACCGTCATCCCAGGACCGGGTGTATAAAGTTTTCCCGGGCAATCAAGACACCGTATACGAGGGAGGTATTGATATTTCACCTTCGTGTTAGGATATGTTGTATTGGAGGTCGCGACGGGCATCATTGTCGATGTATCGACAGCGGAGTATCGCATTACTTCCTCAAATTTGTCATTGGGATAAGCTTTCCTCAACTTTTCTAATCCGGAGACGAGCCAAGCTGGCGCTGGTGGCTAAATCCTAGTTAGCATACTATAAAATTTCAAAATTATCACCAAAAAAAAATCAATTCGCAAAGAGCGTGATAGACAGATAACTTACGGGTGGCACTCCAGACTGGGGAGGGGGAGGAGCATCAACAGCTCCAATTTGTGATGTCGGAGGGTGATTTTGAGACACACCACCACTGATGCTGCCTGTCCTGCTCGTTGATATATGTTGAGGTTGAGTACTCGGTGGAGGCATTCTGGTCTGAATAGGAGTCGATAACTGAGGTGTATTGCTCTTTGATGCTGATGCCGGTAAGTTGTGGGTTGACATTGACCTGCGATTGCTCATATCTTGAACCAATTGCCTGAGACGGTCTTTGGTAATCTTAAAGGTGACGATGAGTTTTTCTGGTTCTTCTGAACTTTCCTCTCGATAGTCACGCCGTCGTGATACTCTTGTCTCATGATGGTGTGAAAAAGGTTCTGGAGTGGCGGACTGCGCAAAGTTGGCTCGTAAGGCTGCTTGTGCAGCAGATGCCGCCCCTCTCATCCCTCTTGTGCGAGCTGTGCCTTGGGCCAAATGTGTCCCGATAGCCGGAGAGCCAATAGATGAGTCGTCGCTGTCCGACAGATCCGAATCATCCAGCCCATCGCGCTGTCCAGCCACGCCGCGTCTCGTCCTCCCGCTCCCCGATCTTTTGAACAGGTGTGTCTCGTCAAGTGAGGCTGCGCTATTAGGTATCACGGAGGACACGATCATAGTGCGAATGGTTCGTTGTCGATCTTTAAGATCAGGAAGAGCTGGACCGCCACGACGGTTAACCGAACGTTTCTGCCTCCGTTGCTCCCGTGATATCGACACTTCCGTACGTTCAAGCTCGGCGTCATTGAGCTCGTATAAATAGGGAGTGAAATCTTTAGCCGCTTGGAACGGCCGGAATGTAGAGGACATGGGAGAAGGCAAAAAGGCGGTTTTCAGATCTGGATCATCGACAGGTCGACCGTCGAAGGGGTGTGCTGTAATGTACAAGGAACGAGTAAAAAGTTGTACTTGTTCCCGAATTGAATGAGCAATAGCTGTTGTGAATTCCCCCGATAAAGATAAATCGTTGGTCATCTGCAAAGCAAATTCCTCAGGTGAATTATATGGACTATTGATCTCCCATTCGAACTGATCAACTAGAGTATGCTGACCAATGGTGATATTCAATTTGACAAGAATACGCATCTCATCGTTTTTGTAAGCTTCGTATGGCAGATGTGAATCGAGGGGCTCTTCCTCCATGAAGACATGTGGGAAATAATCGCCTATTTGTTCCTGAATGCTTTGCGATATTTGGCGGATGAGGGGAACGCACGTTTCAGGAAGGAGTCCCAAGTCTTCAACGAGCTTTTCAGCGAATAGGTCCGGAGATGTGACTCTGTCATGAAGATTCCATGTAAATGTGTCACGAATCTTGACTTTGTCCCAGTCACAATCCAATCGAATCGGGACCAAGTCCTCCCTAAGTTCACTTTGTGCTTTGAGGTCTTTTCTTGATATTCGCAATTCCCTGGTTTTCCTCCCACCCGGGCGCCGCCGATTAGAAGGATATAGCAGTTGAGGATGTTGATTTCTCAGATCTGTCCGTGGATTGCCGAATCCTTCGTAGCCCACACCGTAGAAGACCGCAGGATTCAGCTGATTTTCGCGACGTAACGCCAGTAGGTAATCTCGTTCCGCCCGCTTTTGCTGAAAAATCTCCTGACTTGTATTGTGGGTAGCTTCTAGAGCGTTGTGTTCAAACTCGCGATATACATACTGCTCAAGGAGGATTTTGTCTACCGGTGTTTCGCGTACAGTGACGGCGGCATTTTCTAATGATGAAGGCGAAATAACAGATCCAGATCGCGACCGTTTTCGACTCGCACTGATACCATTGGTCCCATTCGCTGCTGATGAATAATGTTGAGCTTCAGAAGTATTCGACTTGGTCGAAGACACACCGGATGCAGACAGCATTGCCTTTGCGTTCTGCTTAGAACCGGAGATGGAGTCTGGCACCGGACCATTCGTTTGCTTGTCTGATGAGTCTGAAGTTTCAGGCTTAATGTAGCTATCTGCAGTTTCCGCTTGCGACGCACTGTGACGAACCGGGGGATGCGACTCGCTAGACAATAGGACCGGGCGTGATAAATCTGCCTCTGACGCGTCGGGTGAAGGCATGGCTGCAAATCTGGCACAGAGATAGAAGCGAATGATGTATCACTCGTGCGGAACACGTGAGAGGCAACTTTCAATTGGCGTTCCTATAGACGCATCGTCGGGTTGAAGGAGACACTGTAGCTATTCATGGACGTTAGCTATTCCTAATCTATGCAGATGGCCGCGACCGCGGAGTGTATGTATGGTACGCTGTCTTGACTGATTGCAGCGACAGCTTTTGCAAAGGGAAGGACGTATATAACACGCCATAAACAGTGCGCTCAGGAACGACAAGGGGAATATTTTTCTTTTCGGGTCCCCATGTTTTTTAAAAGGAACCAATAGAGAGGAGCATCAGTGGAGGACACAAAAGGTCACGTACCAAAACCAGAAACAGATAGAAATAAGTGCGCCTGACGTTGGATGGCAATTTTCGCAGGCAGAACCGGAGTATCACCTTACTGTATCGGCGTATCCAGGCTGATTATGGAGGAGGGGGGGGGCGTGCCAGGCAACTCGAGTCGGGCGAGATCTGGTTTGGAGGAGTCGGTTTGCGGCGAGACTGAGCAGTGTGCGCGCGCGCGCAGGGGCCAAGCGCCACTACTGGAGCGTGGTAGAGCTAGTAATGAAGTGGCGACGAGCAGTGCAGATGACTCGGGATACCGGGCCGGCAGTGAATGGCGTGTTTCTGAATGTTGCGATGTGATGCTCGGTATGCAGCAAAGGAGGAGAAAGAAGGGAGCGACTGAGCCGGGAGCTGTTTCAGATCTTTCTTTCCGCCCTAACTGCTTTCATTGTTAGTGCCGTTCCCGGGCGTCTTTCCAGGACGACAGGCGAGAGTTAGAGAGAGAGAACCACGCAGGGAGCTCGCGCGTCTGCCAGACGAAGTTGAAGCATCTTCGCAGGCGCGACCAAAGCAGATCCTCGCGAGAGTCGAGCGTTCCTTCCTGAGCGCTGCTCGTGCCTGCTGCGTCCAGCACTTAGCTGTATCCATGCCGTCGTACGCATACCGTACCGTACGGGACAAAGCGGGTCTGCCGGCACACGGTCACGTGACTAGCACAGGCGATTCGCATGGTGATTGGCTGAGGGGCCGCCTGGAGTGCCGGAGAAACTAGCTCCGGCGCATGATATTACCGTATTACCGTACTACTCTCGAGCGACCACAGCTATACAGCTATTTACAAATACATACGGTATCGTTGAATTACTGTACGGCAGCTTCAACGCTCTCAAGTCAGTCTCTGCTCAGCACCGCATCTACGACGACGGCGCGGTGGTCGGAATTCCAGACTCCATCATCAAACCGATTGGGCAAGACCGCATATCCCACGGAAGCCCACGGCAAACCGGGGGCGCCCTGCTGCGGCGTGGAAGGCTTCTTGTCTGCAGGCCCTAGCAGAACATAGTCGATTCTCTTAAGAGGCTCTTCTGCATATCCGAACCCAGTCCAGGTAATCTCATTCCCGTACCGTTCTGCTGGCTTTGTCAGCATTTGGCTATCGACCAAGGGCGAGTCTGCAGCCGTCAGCACCTGGTATGCCTCTTGTGTCTCCTGGCTGTTGAAGTCGCCCGTCAGGATGACTCCGGATATGCTTTCGTTGCTGTAAGACCCATCGCAATGCTCAGCGATTTTACGGAGGATTATGCGGGCCGCTTCTGACCGCGACCGAGCGCCTTGGTCGTCGAGGTGGGTGTTTAACACTAGCACCGTGTGGCCCGTGGCTCGATGCCTGAAGACCCCAATAGTTACAATGCGGATCGATGCTGCATCCCATGATTTTGACGGCTTCTCGGGAGTCTCGGAAAGCCAGACTGTTTCCCAGCGGCGCAGGTGCCAGACTTGCGGCCGGTAGATAATCGGCGAGTATTCACCCTTCTTCTCCCCGTCGTCTCGTCCGACTCCAATGTACGCCCACGGAGCATCGTCCTCATTGTTCAACCCAGCGAGAATGTCCACCAGTTGCACGTGCAGGACTTCCTGCAGGCCAATGAAAGACTCGCCGACATGCCGAGTATTGTAGACCAGTTCGTTCAACAGCAGCTGTCTTCGGTCTGCCCACGGCTTTTCTCCTTTGAACGGCTGCGAAGTCGCATACCGGATGTTGTGGGTGAGGATACGTACGGGGAGGCTGGCATCTACTTTCATTGCGCGGGAATTGATGGCTTGTGGTGGGAGGTAGGGAGGTGGTTGAAGATCATGCTGGCAGAGGGATGGATCATGACGTTGCCCGCGGCAGAGAGTTGTTGCTGCTGCCCCACACACTGGCTGCCGCACACAAATTACGACAACCCCGCCAGGCAGAGACCAACTTTTTGGATACACACGACAGTTCGCGATTTATCTAAACCGAGGTACACACACTTAGTAGGATTCCTTCTGCGCGCGAGAGAACATTGTTCGCCATGGCTGAATCCACCGAGGTTGGTGAGTGGGCTTTGCTTCCTTATTCTCGATCTCGAGTACTGACATCGTTGCGTATTATAATATAGACTACACTCTCAACAACCCGGATACGCTCACCAAGTACAAGACTGCGGCTCAGATCTCCCAGAAAGTGCTAGAGGCCGTCACAGGCAAGTCCCAGGCCCTTGTTATAGCGGCAGTCGAGGGAATGTATGCTGACTGCTGTATGTAGGATGGTGCATTGAAGGAAGCAAGATTCTTGAGCTATGCCAGAAGGGTGATGAGCTTCTCGAAGAAGAAATTGCCAAGGTTTACAAAGGCAAAAAGATTACCAAAGGTGAATCACTTCGTTCAATGCTCGGAAAATGAAGAGCCCAGTGTTGACGACGCAATGGTTTTTGTACCCTTCAGGTGTTGCTCATCCTACAACGGTTTCACCAAGTTCATTTGTGACTCCGTACACGCCGCTGGTCTCAGATACAGAGGAAGCCGAGACAACCATCAAAGCTGGCGAGGTCATTAAGATTCAGCTTGGTGCTCAGATCGACGGGTTCGGTACGATTGTCTCGGACACGATCATCGTCGCAGGAAAGGAATCAGCGGACGGTGTTGTTGAGGGCCGCGAAGCCGATCTCGTTCATGCGACACACTATGCCAACGAGCTGCTGCTGCGCTTGCTGTTGCCTCCTGGACTTTTAGCCTCCGGCACAGATGAGGAGAAAGCAAAGGCAGCTGCCGAGAAACCGCCAACCCAGAGTAAAATTTCCAGCCTCATCGAGAAAGTTGCCAAGACATTCGACTGCAATGTCGTTGAAAACACCACCAGCTGGCTGTTTGAGCGCAATGAGATCGAGGGCAAGAAGAAGATCATCCTGTCTCCCAGCGGTGGAGTCAAGGGCGATGGTTCTCCTGAAGTTGGAGAAGTCTGGGGCGTGGAACTCGGTCTCAGCTTGGGCTCAGGCAAAGTAAAGACTCTCCCACAACGGCCTACTCTGCATCGTCGTACCACGACCACCTATATCCTGAAACGCCCCAGCTCCCGCCAGACATTGTCCGAGATTGTCAAGAAATTCGGAACTTTCCCCTTCAGTCTTCGTCAGTTGGAGGATGAAAAGGCAGGAAAGGTCGGCGTTGTCGAATGTGTTCGGGGTGGCGTTGTCCGGCAGTATGAGCCAGCTGGTGAATCCGACAATGCCCCTGTGTCTCGCCTGCTGACCACCATTGGTAAGAGGCCCATTTTTTTGAACCGAAGACTTCAGTCTCGCTAACGTTTGTTTACAGCTATTACTAAGAACGGCCTGACCAGGCTCGCAGCTCCGCCTGCGCCTGATCTGTCAAAGTTCAAGACCGACAAGAAGATCGAAGATGAAGAGATCTTGAAAATCCTTGAAAAGCCCTTGGCCAGGTCTACCGGATCTAAGGGAAAGAAGAACAAGAAGAAGAAGAAGACTACGAAGAAGGCTTCGGGAGAGGAGGAAGAAGAGAGTGATGCGGAGTAAAGAAGCCATCAATCAATGTTACTGTCATTCAAATTTACTATGCACTGCTAGGGGCGAGGAGGATCTTCCGTCTTCCGTCTCTTCTGCTGCTGAGCTGGAAAAAAGAAAAGGAAAAAGGACGCATGGCTGCATAGCCATCCCTCAACAACATAGACAGCCAAGTTTCTTGCAGGCGTGGAGAGGACCAGTCTATTTGCGAACCGTAGTCGAGAGGACTGCAAGTATCGGGCTGTACATACCATCCACGCATGACAATAAAAGAAATAAAGTCAAAACATGTTGCCATTCGGAAACGTGACGCTGTGGTTTTTTTTTCCCCCTTTTTTTTTTGGTGCCCGCATCTTTCTCAAGCTTCTGCTTTAGTATGGAGGTAGGCTAGAGTCTCGTAGATCGGTACACCTTTTATCTATCGCCCAAAAGGACTGGGCTCGACGAATGTAAAGCAGAAATCACAGAGCGCACCGTATTTCTTGTCTTGTTGGCTTGCCTTCGTGTGTCGTGCAGGTCAATGTAGTATTCCTCTCTCCTCAAGGGGAAACTCGGCCGATTTTTGCCGCTCGCTTCCCAACCCTCTTTTTTCCTTCGCTCACGCCAAGTTGCTTGAATGCATGAACAACAACTCTCACAACTCGTTCTCCATTGTTCTTTTCATCGGACCAGCCCGCCGTATCTTGCCAGCCAGTGTTAGGGTGTGCTCTTCCCAAACCATCCTAGCCCCCCCCTTCCCCCCCTGGTCCCCCATCCTGCATCCTTCATCCTGCACTGCAGCCTGCAAACTCGCCCAAACACTCTCCCTCTGCACACTCCCCCCCCATTTTTCAACCCCTGCTCTGCTGGACATCAAATAGCCTCATTCTCTCTTCCAAGGCCTGTCCTTTCTGCTCCGCGCCGTTTCTCTCTTCTTTCCTCCCTTTTTGCTGCCTGTTGGTCATCATCCGCCATCACTCAGGGTGACTCTGGCATCTCTCCCCGCGTTCCCCATTCCAACAGCACAGAAGGACTCTTCCTCCAGATATAACAGCTGCTGGCTCTTCTTGCTCTGCTTCAGTACGCAAGAGTTCTTGTGGTGTCGTTGACCCTCAGCGAGAGCCCCCTTTGTGCAGAGCCTGCGTGTAGCCTCTCGCTCTCTCTTTACCCTCTTCTGCAACAACGCGCCACAACCCCATCGGCCACGCAAGTTCTCCTCCTCCGAGGACTTCAAATTCATCCTTTTCTTATTCTCTCCTCTTCTCTTCCTTTTCAGTCAAATTCTGTCATCTGTCCTCTTGCCACCATTTCCCCGCATTCCCTGCATCCTTCGTGTTCTGAGAATCTTGCCAGAAGTCGCGAGCAAGTGACTTACTCGAACAGCACGCTTTTCTGTCACTTCATTACGAGTCATTGGCTTTGATATCCCTGGAGTCGACTCCTGTCTTCGGATTCCCGCGTGGTCCCCCAGGATTGCTTATTCCGGGAGCCTTGACAGACACAAAACCACCATAATATTCAGCTCATTTTCTCTCTTGCTTCCAGAGAAGCCTAGCAGTTCGTTAGATTATCTTCTCTGCACCTCTTGGATCTTCTGATAACTCTTCGTTCAGAAGACAGAAGAACCCCCCTGAAGTCTCTCCCACGAGTCATTCTTACGGTGAAGTGTCCATATAGTCGACTTTTACGGTGCTGCATACAGACTATTTGGATTTTTTGTTTATTGCAAAATTATTACACTTATTCGTTTGCCGTCCAAGGTGTGCCTTTTGGGGGCAGTTTTTTTACTCCTTACAGTTCCCTTTTCGGGTGTGCACTCTGGGCGAGTGCCCGAAAAAGTGCCTGCTCGACTTTAGTTCCCCTTCTTTCTCCTTCAACCCGGAGCTCACGCGCGGGTACACCACGAGTCCACGGCAGAGCCTGGTACTTTTGCATCCAGTTTGTGGATCACTTGTACCGGTAGGGCTTTTCTTTTCTTCTTCTTCTTCTTCTCCTTCTTTTTTTCTCGCTTTTCTTTGCTAACAATGTCGCGCAGGCGCTCCCCCTGTGCTGTCCTCGGCCCGTTGTCTTGCCTCTCGGTTGCCATTCAAAAGTCGAGGGTGGCCACCACCAACAATATACTCGGAACAATGGCTCCTCACTTGCGTTCAAGCTCTCGAGCTACCTCAAACAATTCTCGCCCTTCTACACCAACGGCCACTCTCCCGTCAACAGAATTTACCTTCGGCGATTCCAGCAGACCGCGCAAACAGCGCCGAACTGGCCGCAACTCTCGCGTTGGTGTGGAAAGCCTGGACGATTCTCGCGAGGCCACTACGGAACCGCAGCCTCTATCTATTTCTGATATTCCGCGCCTTCTTCTGGAGAAGAATGAGCAGGCTAATCAGCGACGAGCTTCCGGAAGGATATCTATCGACCAGTTGATCGCCAGCTCCGACTGGAATGAACCCGCTCTAAGGGAGGCCCAACCGAGTTATAAGGACTACACTTGGTCCAATGCCTGGTATGGCCAGAATGTTGCTTTGTCGACTATGCGGCCTTTAGGTCAGCTGCCTTCGGCCGCGGACAAACGGAAGGCTGGACTTAAAACGCCCAAACCAATCAAGGAGGCCAAAGAAAACAACAACAATATTAATAAGAAAGTGCCCAAAAAGGGAGCCAGCCAAGACAATTCTACCTCTGCAAATGGTCTTCCGTCAAACGTTTCTTCTGATCCAGCTTCTCTCCCGAGTTTCACTTCATCCGAATACGATGTTGACAAGATCCGCTCGGTGGTGCAAACCGCCATTCGCGTTGCTGACGAGGCTGGCAACCGTGCCGTATCCCAAGGGCTTCGCCGCCTTTGGGACCAGGGCGCCACCGATTCTTTTGTGCTTTCCGTGCTTGACAGCGTAATGAGGAAGAATCCCGACGCGGAACAAAAGGCCGCCTTCAAGACGGTCATGCGCCATTCATACAAACAGATATTGTCTTCCGCTGAAAATGTAGAGGCGGAGCCTATCAGTCGGTCCCTTTCTACAACCAGTACTAGTTCTCTGTCGTCTACAAAATCGGCCAATCTTCGATCTGGCAAAGTCACGGTGCCTGGAACTGAAACTGGAATGGGCGCTGTGACCAGGGGTCGAAAGAGAGCCCGAGACTCGGAAGTACTGCCCGCTGCAGTTTCAAACGTAGATGATGTCTCTGGGCAGAAACGACATATTGATGAAGTCTACGATGAAGAAGAGGAAGAGGATGTAGCATCCGTCGCCAAACGCACGCGCCGTGACAATTTCCCCGCCATCACCAAACAAAGTCAAATCCGCTCTTCGTTGAGTAGAGACAGTCCCGTCGGATCAACGGCTTATAGAACCAGGAACAGAGTCTCCAAGTCAGGAATTGAGCAAGCCTCTGGCGAGGCTGCTGCTTCCTCACAAGATGAGTCGCTTGATAACAATGACTACTGTCGACAATGTCAGCGAAGCGGCTCGCTTCTTTGCTGCGACGGATGCGTCAACTCGTATCATTTCTCGTGTCTTGAACCTCCTCTTGATCCTGCCCATCTTCCTGAGGGACAATGGTTTTGCCCATCGTGCCAAATGCGCAATTCGTTTGGCTCTCTTGTCAAGAACATTGCTGAAGGAGAACAGGATTTCCAGTTGCCAGTCCATATACGAGAGTACTATCAGGGCGTGCAAACTGGAAAGGGGGGCGTCTATCAACAGGTCGTGGCCAACTTGAGAAGTGGAACTCACGGCAGGGGTAGACGGGAAGGCAAGGCCGAGCAAGAATATTTGACTCGATTGTTCGATGCCAAGGGCAAGCTTATTGTTTGTATTGCCTGTGGCTTAACGTCAAACGGTACTCGCCCGATGATTCAGTGCGACTTTTGTCCATGCTGGTGGCACATTGACTGCACTGACCCGCCTTTGCCGGGTGCGCCGAGACAGCAATATCCCAGTGACAAGACATACCATAATTGGATGTGTCCTAATCACATTGATCATGAACTCTATGTTGTTAATACTGAGAATGGTGCTTACACTGGCAAGTCTCGCATTCGGCGGCCCAGACACCCCCGTGTTATTGATATCGATGTCTTACCGGAAGATGACGAAGTCGAAGAGTTGCAAGAGACGGAATCACAGGGGATTGTTTACCGGGTTTCTGAGAATGGCTTAAAGCTGAACTTCCTTGAACGCGTTAAACGGGAGAATCTAGAAGCCAGGATCCATGCCTCTGGTGCAGCTCAGTACAGAGATTACGCCTGCCGAAAGCTAGACGACCTGGTCGAACGAGCAACAGCTTTTTACGAAAAATCGGCGCCAGAACCTTCACCCAACACTGAAGCACAGAGTTCAATTTTGACTTCTCGCTCACCCGCAGACCGAGAGGCTATTGCCAATCTCGTCGCCTTTGCAACCGAGAATCGTGATGCCCAAGACGTCCCATCCGATAAGATCAACTATCTCATCGATGCATTACTTGCAGGCTCTCCAGATGGTGCTCCGCATGCTTCTACTGAGCTCGAATCTCTTGAAGCATTGAAAGAATTGATTAATCGCCGCATTGGAACACTGCAAAGCTCCAAATGATGAATTTGATAGACACAACAATACAGCCTTGCAAAATAACAGAGAAGACGTTCAGTCTCCCTCGCGGCAAGATTCCTTTTCCCTCGTGATGATGAAATCAGCATCAGTTGCCCCCCAAAAGTAAATTACGCAACAGTCATGTATCATAAGCATTTTTTTCCCCGTCTACTTTTGGCGTTATTGCAAGATTTTTTTCTTCTTCTTCCTTTTGTTCACTTTCTGTTCGTTTTCTACTTGCGTTCCTTTTTTGCTTTGTCTTTCATTCGAGATGACATTCGGAGTTGTCCATGGAATCTGTTTCTTCCAATTTCAGACGGAGTCAAGGGTTTTCAGCTTCTTGTTCTATTCTGGTTTGTCTCCAGGGGTCACTGGCATATGAAGTAGTTTTTCTTTCTGTTCTCTTTCTTTTTTTTTTTCCCTTTCTCGCGCCTATGCTTTCCGTGCATCTCTGGTTTGGGGCGTAACAGCATTCGTTCATATTCAAAGAGCAATAAACCAACTTGTACCCTAGTATCGACGAAATTCGTTAGTGCAACTCGGAACTCGGGCAAATTGCCCGTTGTAGACTAGCGCCGTTCTATACATAAACATGCAGCTGCCAACTTGCAACGTCCCTTCCACACACAGCCAGCACTAAGTCACTAGTATAACATCGTCAGCCTCCTTGCAAAAATGCCGTCGATGATTCTGTTAAAGGCTTCCACGTCGCCTGACATGGAGGCAAACAACAGTCACCCTAGCCTTCCGCAATGGAGGAACTTGAAGCCCACGGAAGTGGGAGGGACGAGGCCGAAGCCAGCCAATTTCTGCTCACTGAAATCGATATGTCGACCCGTGGCAGAGAACAACACGAGGAAGAGGAGCAGGAGGGAGGGAAAGAACGGTCATCGTCCTCACCAGAGCCGTCCAAAGTTGCGACCTACCTCCAGCGAGAAACAGTCAGCTTCTTGATGATTGCGATCTATGCTATCGCTGCCATTTTCTCCTGGACTGTCCTCTCCATCCTCTCTAAACACGCTATAAACGGTCAACCCTACTCGGTGGATATCTTCGCAAAAAAGTATACTGACCCGGCCGCCTACCACCGCAGTGAACACTATTATCGAGCAGCCCAAGTGATTAACTCTGGTGTATTGTTACTGACAATTCCAGTTGCCACGGCTATCTGTGCGCGGGCAGCGGTCATGTACACGCAGCACCGCCGCAGTGGACTGACTGTCAGGCAGGTCGGGGTGTTGGCGGATCAGGGATGGACAAGTATCGGGTTGCTGGTGGCCCTCCTGCGCCCGCGGAACTGGAAGAGGTACACCACATTGCTGCTCTGGCTCGCGATATTGCTCCATGTGTTAGGTAGGTCCGTCAAAACCAGAAGTCCCTAGAGTAAGAGCTGACTGATTTGCAGGCTTCCTGATCGGTCCCGCGCAACAACTATTCCTCTCTGCATCTACGATCAAGACTCCAATGGATATATTGACGCGAGAAATCTCCGATATTTCAGCCTTGTCAACTCGTGATCTCTCCGTATCAGACTATTTAGGGCAGTTATCGGCGCAACTGCGCTCGGTGCTCGGCTCAACCACGATAATGGACATGCCGGCCACGCTTTGGTTCAATAACTACAAGCCGTGCACCTCTTACTACTGGAATCTGACATCGTGTAATACCTATGAGAATGGAGCACCATCGTGGGCGGATGTTAACGATATGTCCATGTTGCCATTCATTGCCCAGCTTCCCTCCAACTACAATACAGGCCTGATCCGGCAATTTGCTCCGCGCCTCAACTCTACCTTGACCTACACCCAGGTGGATGAGAGTGAATTCCCAGAAAATTGCGATCAAATCACCGGAGCTTTCTACGCGTCATACAATGCCACGGTGCAGAAAGATTACGATTTTTACACGACCGAGGTCTGCATGCCGGCTGATCTGCGCAAGACTCCATGGAACAGCACTCGCTTAAGACAAGATATTTCCGAAACCTTGTATCTAAATATCTCGCAGACAAGTTCTTCTACCTATTCCAGTTCTGGGGTGTACCGAGTGCAGGCCAACACCACCGCAGGCTATTTCGAGCTGCCAAATTATCTCAATAACAACACCGCAGGACCATTATTGGACAATGGCCCCGAAGAGGCGTGTGATCGCCATTGCGTGACACAAGGCTATTATGATGGAGCTATTAGGTGCGTCGCATACGAATCTAGTTTCGTAAAGTCATACTTATTTTGGCATAAAACAGCAATAGCAAATTCGCATCGCTCTACCGCCGCGAGGACACCACTGCACACACAAACGAGTCGTCGGATTTCAATGAGGTTGAAAATCTTTTGAACAAACCGCCTCTCATGGCGGTCGCCCTCGCCTTATTCGGTGGTGGATCCTTCATATCTGATCGCACGCGCACTGCCAATCTTGGCGTGTACAGCAACAGAACCGACAAGAATGAGGAATTGCTCGAAGCCTTCTGCCAGAGCCCGTTGCCTTTAGCCGGTCTATTCGAGGACGAAGCAGACGGGTTGTCCGACCTGACATTTGTTCCGTGCATCGGAAACGTCGAGATAGAAACTCTCATTCCAGAATGGCTCTCAATGTTCACTGGAACCGTGACATCGATATCATACTCCGCATCAGGAATAGTCGACAACACTACAGTGAGCTTTTCGGAGATCCAGAGAGCAATGTTAGTAGCCGTATTTTTGGCAAACGATCTCTGGCTCTCCCAGGTTCTTCCAAGGGGTGCCGAAGAATTGATACTGGTGAATCAAGACATGGGCAGTGATTTGAGGGTTCCCGTGTTGAGCAATGCCGGAATAATTGCCATTTCTACCTTGCTAGCGGTATTTATTCTGTCTTTGTTTGCAATGTGGGCATATGCGACTTATATGCCGGTGTGGACATCTACACTTAATTCTTTTGCCATGATGAGAATCGGGGCTGAGATGGGCACGGATGTACCGTTTCTGTTGGGGTATCATGAAGACGATATTGAGGTTCTCGACTCCACCCCTGGCTGGGTCGGTGATATATACCCGGAGGCAGAAACAGGGCAGCTGGGGTTGGGCGCGGCAGCCCAATTGACAAAAGGGCGAAAGTACGCATCATACCCGGGTCAGTGAGGAGCAAATAGGATTTTCGATAGCAGTGTCAAGCTGTGACAGAGCGAGGAGCTCAGCGGAGAAAAATGTTTTTAAGAGAGGAAAAGAAGAAAAAAGATTTATCTACCTATTATCTGAAAACATGGAGCTAATCTAGCCTGGTGTAGAGCAATAGAAACTGTGAAAAGTGAATGTTTCATCTCAAAGAAAGAACCAATGCAAGGGTGAGCAGCGCGCTGCTCTATCATAATCTCATTTCAAATCTCATATATCATAATTAGCATCTATGTACTCCTCGTCTGCAGGTTCCAACGGCAACCTCGAGACGGGCATCAGCTGGTTCTGAAAAGCATTCCAAAACTTCCACTCTGCCCGACTCATGTGACGGGCTATATCGAACCCACGCGAGCTGATCAATGGATATATCCCCTGACACCACATAAAGCTTTCCTTATCCCCGCAATCGACATAGCATTTAGACGCCTGCGCGATGGAAAACATAACGGTATGCCCTGTCGACATACGAGTCGAGGGTTGCAAGCAATAAGCCATCGAGCGGCAGATCTCGCCCGCATAAAACAGCATACGCGTCGGATTCGGTTCTCTCGAGAGAAGAAGCTTCTCGCATCGATGAATCACCCGGCGCGTCACGGCCGAGGCGATCCAGAAAAGTATATAAGCCTTTGCGGTGCCCAGGTTTTCGAATTCGTACGGATCAACGTCCGAGTCCAGCGGCAATGCGCTGGGCTCGTATGATAATCTATCCCGGCGACAGGGAGAAGGACGTCCGCTGAGCTTGTGCGCTGCTGGCCCATTGAGCCAGTCTATCTGCAGTTTTTTCTCGAGCTTGTAGCAGCGCTGCAAAAGCGCCTCGCATGGGTCTTCTTCCATATTAAGCGGCGTTTGTAGTTTGACAATGCTGTTCAAGTCCCTCTGCAGAATCGCGCACTCGGCAATCACTTCGAAGAGTTGGTCCATGGGGTCCTCTTCAAATCGTAGAGTAAGGCATTCCCAGTCCACTTCGGGTCCGTACTGTGTACTGGTGAGGAAGCAGGCCTGAAAGAGAAAGAATTAAGAATTAAGTTCTTGCCATCTTTTGAAAATCAAAGGTCTGTTAGCTAACTAACCACTGCCCACTTCTGCCGGTTCAATATCGCCTTGATGAGGACTTTGTCCTCGTGCGTATTATAGTCGTAATGCTTTAGTATAGCTGTTGCTCCTTGAATATGGGTTAAACAGTTTCGGAATGTATTCCCATTGCTGCTCAGGGTCTAGAGCGAAAATTTGTTAGACATGAGAAATATTCCTAGACGGTCTGATTGAATATACTGGCTGGCCTACCTCGTACGTATGAAAGACAATGCCTACATAGAGCATGTCTAGTGTTGGTGGACAACCTCGTTGCAACATGCGGGCCATCACGTTGAGTGCACTGCTATAGATCTCCGTGCCATGCCGCCCCAACCGAACATCGCCTGTCTTCTTCCCCAGAAAAAGAGACACCAGCGCAATGACAGCTCGATCCAGCAGGTCCGATTCGCTAGCCAGGGCCGGGAACCGAGTCATCAGCAGGTACCAGGTATCGTCGTCGCCGCTCAGAGAGGAAGTATCCGGCGCGAAGAAAGTGTCCATAAACGTTGAAAAAAGCTGCGTACGAACCTCAGCGTTCATGTTGAACCCGGTCGGCAGTGCAAGAGGCTTGAGATACCCGACAAGCTGGCGCACAGGTCGCTTCCTGGTCTCACCGTTGGATGCGCATCGAGAAACTACCATGTGGTGGAGAAAGTTTCGATTCTTCTCGTACCCTGGGCAGGGCGTGCCCTTCTTTGTGCACCTGGCGCATTCCGGTTTACCAAGATCGCACTTGATTGAAACAAACTTAGCAGCTGAGCGATCTTAGCTAGGTAACGAGGTAGTCGTGATTTTCTTACCTTGATTTTGCGCTTCTTGCAGGTGGCGCAGCCCAAAGACGTGTAGGGAATTCCTCCTCTCTTGTTCCTGTGAGCTGACTTTTCCGACATTGTAGAAGAAGAAGAAGATGATGATGATGACAGTTCTTGCTCCATCTAAGCTTGCTTGCTTAATACGAATTTAGATTTCATCGGAGTTTGGCATTTCCGCATCGGTTACAGGGGTCTATTTATGACCACGTTGAAATCAGCCGCACAGTGCTAGTTAAGCTTTAGTCCCGCGCCATGTGGTGGCTGTGGGGGGCGATCGAATCTATTATTATCCCAAGTATTTGTCGAACTTCTCAACGGGGTAGCATTGGCATTGTTATACATGAAATGATGACATGCAAAGATAGATACAAGAGTCTTCATCATTGTCGCGTTTCTTCTCACAGGTGTAATATACTAAGTGTAATAAAACGTAATACCATATCATATATAAATATATAATCCCATTTACAAAAACTTCTTCGGCATGCTATTGCGTCGACGCTTGTAAATGATATAAGCGCCAGCCAAGAGGAGTTGGAAAGCAATCACGACGCAAATGAAGAGACCCATGCGCGGTGTTGTAGCAGTGATCACTGTTGCCAACGGGTCAGTCAAAGAAGTGGCGGGGCGCGGACAGAAGTAAAAAACTCACTGTTAAAAATAGAAGTCTGTAGAGCTTCCGTCAGACTAACATGGGAGTTTTCAATGGCCTTGTGGAGCTGATTGAATTGGTTACGGTAGTCCCTTCCGGAGCCGTCACGCTGCAGGTCCGACAACACGTTCTCAATACGTCGAAGGCGCTCGTTGATTGCGTCTAAGCGAGCGTCGTTTTGCGGCGAGGATTCGGACGAAGAGCCTGATGAAGAGATCGCTGATGAAATTCTATTGAGGAGTTCCTGGTGACGCTCATCTAGGTGCTGGGAGATTTGGGAAACTTCTTGGCTAACTTGATGGATACGGCTGTTCATATCATCTAGCGAACCCAGGTTGATTTCATTTGACTGAACATTGCTCTCGGAACGAGCCTCGATTGGTACCTGTTGCTGGTCGGAGAACTGCGCAGTGGCTTGAGCAACGGGTGTCACGAGAAACTTGAAGAGTTCAAACGAATCTGGGTTGTCGGGTGTAGCAGCTGTTACACCAAAGACATTACCCGCAGGTAAGGCGACCTTGGGTGATTGAAAGCACACCTTATCATCAACAGCCACCTGGAAAATCGAGCTGGACTGTTCAATCTTGATGACGGATGGGCGTCCTAGGTTTCGATACGCATAATCGCAATGTCCAAAGGCCAGGCTGTCGACATTGGTGTGCTGGTTGTAAGCTATTGAGCCATCATTTAAGAAGCCACGGATGCTTCCGGCCTATCGGACGAATCAGCCCAGTTGCAAACCAAGTAAACGAACGCACATAAGAAGGGAATCTTACCCTGCCTCCATGGGTATCAATTGTTAAGACAAAGCCATCGAATTGGCCCACTGTGTAGATGCTCGAGGCACCAACACTGCTTTCTCCGTCTTTCACATACCACAGTTGAAGGTTGCCGCTACCTCTTTCCGCACCACTAGCTCTGAATTGGAATTCAGACGTCCACTCAGACAGGGAAGCCCTATGAAGCATCAGCACCATTCGAGAGATGAAAGCAATAGCACATACGCATTTTGAGCCCATACGGAGCCTCTAGTATGCCCGGGGTATGGAGGCGTTAGAATGAGTCTGTCCGAGAGCTGAATAAAAGTCAGTCTAGGATTCTAGGTTGAAGAATGATTGCCAAAAAGCGTAAGAACTAACAATCTGGGGTTCGTGGCCCTCGCCCTTGATGGTCCATCCTGGAAGACTGTCTGGATAAGGAGAAAACCTGATATGCGAACATTAATAAGATGAAACAAATCGAGCGATTGTTGCAACCCAACTCACCTCGAGCCATGTCCAAAGCTGAGAGTATCAATGACAGACTGTGCGCTGACAGCCGTCAGGAGAGAAAAAGCAACTGCAACCTTCATGTTGCGTCAAGTGCTCTCGAAACCTGCACACACGACCCGTTGCCGAAAATGGGCAGCTAGCGATTTACAACAATGCTGCGCGCCTATCCAACAATTGACTTTCAATCAATAGCTGTGATGTACTTGAGTACGTTCTGTCAGCCCTTATGGGTCTTTTTTCCTGCGATTTGATGACACCGAAGAGACAATGCTGGTGGTTATCCAGCCAGCTACCAGCACAATCACGCAGATGCGGACTTCCCTAAAAATCGAGACGACAGAAGCTGTAGAGTCAAATCGATGAACAACTTCAACATTCAATGGAGCAAGAGTGTGGCGAACTGCAACGTCCGACATATCCATAGAGGGAGGATCAAGCAAGTTGTTTCGCTGTTGCTCGATGCCGCCGGCCAATGAGCTTCTTGACAGCTTGGCCTCACGGGCCAAGAGCTTGGTCACGTGACAACCTTCAATTGACTTCCTTCGATGACGACGAACCTTGAAACTTTGTCAAGACCTTTGCTGCTTTGCTTCTTAACGCTCCTCGCGCGATGCGAGCTCACTCCGATGCCTGAATTTTATCCCTCACTGGCGCAATGCGCCTTGGTAGCGGCCGCTTTCAAGGTGCTTCTGTTTCCCGCATAGTACGCATTCAATCCACGCCCCTCGGACTTTCCATGAATCGGATCGCATTCTGAACTCTTCTTCTTTAGCAAGTCGACCGACTTTGAGGTGCATCGGAATTGGCTTGCTATCACTCACTCTCTTCCCGTGCAGGAGTGGTACTACGAGGTAAGGAATTCGGAGCGAATATCTCGGATTCAACGCCGCTCTTTTATCTAACCTCCTCGTCCGTGTCTATGTAGAAAACGTCCGAATGGACTCTCGATTACCCGCCTTTCTTTGCTGCCTTTGAATGGATTCTCTCTCGCTTTGCCTACTATGCCGACCCTGGAATGCTGGTTGTGAATAATCTCAATTACGACTCGTGGCAGACTGTCTTCTTTCAGCGCGCCACCGTAATTGTTACCGAATTGGTTCTAGCATTCGCCTTGGATCGGTCAGTGACTTTCATATTTATATTGTTTTGAAAGGAAGGAAGGAAATAGGTGACTAACATCTGTGTGTTCAATAGATTTGTCAAGTCTGTTCCCAATTCCAGCAAACATCTTGCGCACATTGCAAGTCTCTCTATCCTCCTCTCCCCAGGCCTCCTTATTATCGATCACATTCATTTCCAATATAATGGATTTCTTTATGGAATCTTGATTCTCTCTATGGTTTGGGCACGGAAACAATCGACTCTTCTCTACAGCGCAATTACATTCGCCAGTCTGCTGTGCCTGAAACACATATACCTATACCTTTCTCTAGCCTGGTTTGTCTACCTATTGAGAGTGTACTGTCTTGATCCAAAATCGATTCTCCGGCCTCGTTTCTCAAACATAATCAAGCTCGGTCTCTCGGTTGTAAGCATCTTCGGGCTTGCATTTGGTCCTTTCGCCTATTGGAACCAGCTGCTCCAATTAAAAGATCGGCTCTTTCCATTTTCTCGTGGTCTAACGCACGCCTATTGGGCTCCCAATATCTGGGCACTATATGCCTTTGCGGATCGTTTATTGATTCCATGTACGGAGCCCTTTACAAGATTGATGCCAAAAGATTGGCGAGACTAACTTGTGTCCAGTTGCTCCTCGATTGGGTCTGCCAGTAGACCACGAAGCGATTCGTAGCGTGACTCGCGGATTGGTAGGCGATTCTGCATTTGCAGTACTACCGGAAGTTACCAAGGAGAGTACTTTCATCCTGACTTTTGTTTTCCAACTAGTATGTCCTGCATCAACCCTTCGTATTAATACTTTGAGAGAAACTTCCAAAACTGATTTTGAAAAAAAAAAAAAAAAGCTATGTCTTGTCAAACTCTGGTTGCGTCCGACTTGGGATACGTTCGTAGGCGCAGTCACTCTCTGTGGTTATGCATCCTTCTTGTTCGGTTGGCATGTGCATGAGAAGGCTGTCCTCCTCATTATCATCCCCTTCAGTCTGATTGCACTCAAGGACCGCCGATATCTCGGCGCCTTTCGTCCATTAGCAGTTGCCGGACACGTCTCTCTTTTCCCTCTTCTTTTCACGGCAACCGAATTCCCCATAAAAACGGTCTATACAGTCTTCTGGCTGATTCTTTTCCTCTTCGTGTTTGACCGCGTGGCGCCAGTCCCCGAGCGACCGCGGGTGTTCTTATTTGATCGATTCTCTTTCTTGTATATTACCATCAGCATTCCGCTGATACTATATTGTTCTCTCGTTCACCACATTGTTTTCGGCCTACACCGATACGAGTTTGTGCCGCTCATGTTCATGAGTTCTTATTCCGCAGTGGGCATTGTGGGCAGCTGGCTCGGCTTCATGGTGGTGTATTTTACTAATTAGACAGACAGGCCCATTATATTATATACTCGAGATGATTTAAGAGACATCTGCTTTAGAATATGTTTTCATTCAAATATTAGATATAATATAGGCGTTTCCTACCAAGCACCCAATTCGACTCACACAAAACCTCCACACCCCCCAGCCGACATGCTTATCCAGTTATATGTCTATGTGATCAAAAATGCGCCAGTGATTTGCATGCAAGTGCGCAATGCTATAGAATGAAACAAAGAGATTTCCAACACCAGCGAAGTACCGGACTTAAAACACCATAATCCCTAATGAATCGAGAGCCGTCCTAAAAAGGCTTCGACAGTTCATAGACAACTTGGCCTGAAGAGGTAGCGACGTGTTATCCCAACAAACTAAATTTAGAATTTATATCGAGATCCTTGTCGACTCAAAGGTTTACCCTGTTTATTGGCCGCCTTCAACTCTTTGGGTTCGTCTGTCGCCCTCTTCGCTCGTTTTGTAAGGCGAGCTGCGTCGACATGAAGATGTCCATTTTCACTAAGTGCAGTTGTGTTCTTCCACCTTAAACATCGGTGCTTTCCGTCATCGACATTGGCCTTGGTTCTTGTAGACATACGCTTGGCTGGGACGTCCTCAGATTCTGCTCTCTCCGTGGTCTGTGACAGATATTCGCGACGATATTCCATATGCTTCACGATATAATCACGCTGCAATTGCAGCTCCTTTCGCAATCTGATCTCTCGCACGCCGCGTATATCAAGCCATTTAAGCAGATCATCGAATTGGCCGGGCTCATCATAGTATGCCCAATGATGGGCATTTGGAAGACTCGTCCCGCCCTCCTCTCGGCTCTTGCGCTCAGCTGGACTGACCCGGTGTTCTTTGACGTATATTTTCTTGAGGCTTTCAGGTGGCTCCAAAAATCCCTCCCGCTCCATATCATCGGGACCTTGTACCCATAATCGACCGTTTGCATATTTCGCGTCTGCCGTAGAGCTGTTTGGTAGACCTTCATAGGGCATACCATTGCGTTCGAACCACCAATACCGATTGCAAAATCGATCCTTACCCAAGCATCTCGTTCTTGGGCAATCTGCTTCACGAAGATCGTTATCAACCACCGCGATTTCATCCTCCAAGGCCGCAATCTTAGCTTCCACTTCGTCAATTTTCTTCAGTATTCTCTGATATTGCTTAGATCCCTTAGGCTGCTTCGCCAATTGCTCCCTCCGTTCTCGTTCAGCATCCCGTCGTCGCTTGCGTTCCATAATGCGATCCATTCCTCCACGGAGCGATGGACCACGTGGGTTGTCGTCCTCCGTGTCCATTACTTCATCAGTGTCAACATCCTCTTCCATGTTTTCCGCAAGTACGGAGGAGTCTAAGGTTTCATCCATTGACCTCTCATTGCCTGGCTTGTCATTTTCCCTGTTCTTATCACCCCTTTCTGACTCAGGTTCATTTTCTTTCCTCTCAACATGCAGTTTTCGTAACTCCTCGAGACTAAGCGAGGGAAAAGTTAGCAAGATTTCCATGCTGGACCAACCATTGCTTGTACTCACGCTGATTTCCGTGCTCGTTGATGTTCGATTTTTTCCTTGCGGAATTCCGTCATTTGGTTACTACACTCCTCGAGGTAATTCCTGATAGCCTTGGTCTCCAGGCTAAGCATGCAGATTATCTGTAGTGCGCGAATACGGAGATTGACATTGAGTGTCGCGTATTGTGCACCGACACTTTCCTGTGTTGGTTCAATGTCTAGAGGAGTGAGATGTTTCAGAATCTCATCACAAACCTTTTCCATCTTTGGCTGTACAGATAATTGATTAAGAAGCCCAGCCATGATTGATTCCCATCCACCATTACGGAAGTCGCGTTTTCGTAGCCTGTCAATCCAATCATATCGCTCGAAGAGCTCGTGAGCCCGATGCACGTGAGGCTTTCCTGAATCTCCACCGGTACCGGAGTCAAGTTGCGATTGTAAATTAGCAGCTTCCGCTTTAGCTAGACTACTTCTCGTGGTCATTCGAGTAACAACAGGTTCAGGCTCAGGGGTAGGCTCTTCCTCCGCTTCCTCTTCGGAATCTGATTCATCAGATGACTCCTGTGGTAAGTCAGGCAATGAAACCTGAATTGCTCCGCCGTCGTCGTTGATACCGTTGACTAGCTTTTTGAGGATTGCACAATGAACCTCCACAAACAGTTCGCAATCTATTTCTTTCGACGAGAACCGGAAGGCTTTCACAAAATCGTCAAAGGTGAAAGAATCCAGTTGGTATACTTCGCAGTACACGTTCAAGGTATTCCATGTCTCAAGAAAGTGACCGGCAGATTCGGGCGTAATCTCATCCTGTAATAGATCACTATCATGAGAAATATCTGTAATTGAATCCACGCCAGACTTTAGCTTCGGGCGAATTGTTCGAGTAGGGTCATATTTGACGTCCAAATCTTCAATCGGATATTTGATAATGGGGACAGGTGGGAGTTCTGTTTTAACGACAACTGCGGGGACAGCTGGTAGTGTCTTGTCGACATCGGTGTCTTTGACATGACGGGCCAGCCCTGCGCCGGGCTGCTTCGAAACTAAGAAAGATGGATCGCCATTTAGTGAACGTTGATACTCCAGGAACTGCTCGGCTTTATTCCTCGCCAACTCTTGAGGTGTCAGCTTTGTTTTTGGAGCGTTACCAGTGGCCGGCTTCAGCTCGGGAAGTTTCTTAGACGAGAAAAATCCGAAATGTCCTTCTTGATCCGCCTTTTTCATAGCCTTCTTTTCAGCAACACGAGCACCGTATTGGAGGTGTTTCGGAACTTCTGTCTCAATTTTGTACTCTTCGGCAATTATCGGCTTAACTAACCAGGGAGCCCCGTTCCAGGATTCTCGAGTGGTGTTGTTCTTGATAAAGGCACGAAGCATCTGTTTGGAGAAAGTTTTCCGGTCACGCGTGATATGGTCCTGATCCAAGAGTGCCTCCTCATTAGGGCGGTCGAGGATTCTGACCAGATACCGTGCATAAGCCTCCGACTTTACACCCCCGTCTGGATAATACTGCCGTGGAAAATTCATCTTATCACGAATGATACCGTGCAGGCGCGTGTTATCTTCTAATACTGTGGTGACCTGTTCACCAGGGTAAAAGTCCTGCTTGAACTCCTGCCAAGCGTTAGCTCTTTAATCTAGACAAAACACATTTAGACTCACTTCGAATATTTCATCAACTGCATAGCCTGATTAGCCAGAAAAAAAAAAAAAAAAAAAAAGGGCGGGGACTTCACAAGGGACATACCAAGGTGATCAACCCGTGACACAGTTGAAAATTGCACACGCCTCAAGATTGGCTCCTTTAAAGCTTCTGGAAAGGCACTATTAAGCTCTCGAGACTCGGCCATCTACACCGAGTTAATGCTTCTTAATTCCAAATAGCTGAGTCTTACAGCAGAAGGGGCATGCTTACTTCGCTTTGAAGTGCCTCGAAGAATGTCAAGCCTGAATGACCTGTGATTTCACAAATAAACCGCCGCTGCTTGTAGAAATCCCTCCTATGTAGGTAAGACTCGTAATTTGTAAAGACCTCGTTGGTCTCGGGTATGACCCAAACCTAATAGAACGCCCGATCAGTATTGTATTTGAGTATATTTAAGGCGTAATCCCTCAGTGATTATAATCATACCTCGGAGCTATCATCTTCGATTGCAGGCCGCGGAAGGTACTGAACGGGTTTCCTCTTAAATAACACCTGTGGCTTTGATTAATATTACTTGCAATATGCTTCTGTTATGTCGGACGAAGCCGTACCATGATCGTCTATTGCCGGAGACAATGGCACTCTTTCGACATAGAGCGGATGTAGGCGGAGTCCCAAAATTCCGGTGTTAATCCTACTACAGCGAAGAGTTAGATATTAATGAATATTCCGTCTTCTATAAATATCACAGCGACGCGAAAGATCTTGTACACACTCGCTCAGATAAAACAAATCGACGGACGGCTTGCCCTCGTGTTCGAATAACGTGAATCAGGCCACTTGAGGATAGACGGGAAGCGGAAAGAGCTTGAGGACGGAGGATAAAGGCGCGTCGTAGTTCCGTTGCAGGTTTGGAGGAGGCAGAGAGACAAGAGTCCGGAGTAAAACGCGTTCTTTGGCTGAAGCGGGGGCGCCTGCGCATCGACCGTTGTAGAATATTGTGGAGGTGTTTGTCGACAGGAAATAATTAATTGCGGTGTGGTGAGACGAGGTCAGGATGCAGAGAAAGAGATGAAGAAGAAGAAGGCGGAGAGGTCGAGGTAGAAGCAAAGGAAGGCACGAGAGTGAGGTTGAGGAAGGAGCGGCGGAGGGAGAAGGAAAAAAGCTCATTGGGAAAGAGCCAGCGCTGGTGGAGGCCAAGAGGGAAACTACAGACCCTCCCGGCGCAGGGCGCACGCTCATTGGGCCAGACGAGGAGAAGAAGGAAGAGACTGTGGAATCGATGAGCAGCGAGCGTAGTCTAACGCGCGCCGGGGACCCGGACCCGCGCGGGCTTTTCTCTCTTGGGCAGACGCCAAACCCTCTTGTTCCCCCCCGTATCCATGCCCGCTGAGCCCTAACCCAGCCCCCGAGTATTCCACCCATGTTCTTACCCTCGTTCGAATCGTCGGAAGATGGCAAAGAAGATGGATGTATTTTTGCACCCGCACACGACTGTGGTCGACGCGGTTTACTGCAATATCTCTCGGCTTCACCCCTGTGCGGACACCACGCAAGCCAGCCGTGGTGTCCACCTGGGATAACATCAGACAAAACCCAACAAGACACCCCTACAAGCCATATAAAACAGAGTGGTCTAGGACCACTCTTTTCGCAAATCTCATTAACTTCATGCGCCTTATCACTCTCGAGAGGCTTTATTGAATTTATTTCCTATTTAGGTAATTGGGCTCGTCAAGGACTCACACAGGTCGATGACCGGCCTTTCCGCCAGCACGCTGATAGCAAAACTAAGGGAAAATTACAGTACACAGTCTGGAAAAGTGAGATACGTTTCAAGCATTCTCCGTTGGATATTATGGATCACGTTACTACTCATTGCATGCGCATAGGTTGGAAGGAGTTTCCAAATACTTCACTGGCACATGCTATCTAAGCAAGCAGTACCAACTCGGCAAATCTCAGCAAGGAAGTTGACGCGTACTTGAGCACTTCTGAACGACTGGTTCCTCGCTGCATTGCTTGGTTTAGACACACACCGCACGATGCGATGGTTGAGAAAACCTCTATAGAAACCCTAACGGAGTATTCAAAAAAATAAATAACTGCCAATCCATGGATTGCCAGGCTAACGTGTTCGTGCACACTGCCAAGAACATTTCAACCCTTCTAATCCCTCCCATCGTGGCAGATGACTGTTTGAAATATTCATTCTCAATGCGTAGCTACAACATGAAAGGAAGCATGCAGCTCGTCTGACGACGGTAGATTGTGTGGATTGGTGGCTGTGGAGGAGCTAGACCCGTTATGGATTAGCCCAACATTCCGGCTGAAGCTTGAAAGATCGAACGCCTCCATTGGCGGAACGCTTTTGCGCTGTGGGCCAGGCTATGGCGTCACGTGAATAGTAGAGGCCTCAGGCAATTGGAGACGAGGCGATTGTCGCCCGAACAATAATTGCACTCAATAGTTATTCTGAAGAGGCTCGTATTGTATACTCCTAATTATATTTCACTCTGTACCCAGCGCTCCGTCAGAAATGCCTCTCACGAGGCCATTACTTGCCGCGTCTTCCCGCTGCACGTGACCTGCCGACTGCAGCGGCTACGGTACCGGCTCCGGCCCCAAGGGCAGCTCAAGAAACTCCGAATGAACAAAATCTTTCTCTACTTCTTCTTCTTAATGGTCATTATGAGCCTGTTTGACGTCTGATAAATAAATCTATTGTTTGTTCTGTCCATCCATACGCCAAGTACCGTTCCGTTGTATTTATCATTGCAGAGTGAAAATTGCAGATGCCGAGTCCGGTACTTGGATAACCGAGAGCCCCGAGAGAGACGCCAACGTCGCCGCGCCACTTCTGATAAAGACCTCGACATTCTACCCACAGCTGGTAATTACGTGTGATTTTGAACGTACATCTCAACCGGACCATGTTCCGTCTGCATAGCCAACAAATATTCGTTGTCACAGCGCGCAGACAAGAAAACTAGCCGCGACCGCCATCGGATAAAAAGCCATGGAAGCGGGCAGGCAGGCCTCTGCGCTTCCATCGTCAGCAATGACAGAGAACCCAGAGGAAAGCACAGCGCCGGCCATGGCAGAGAAGATTAGATCGAAAGATCGTGTGGACGGTACATCAAAAGACGTCACGCAAGTCGATACGCGAAGCCTCGATTACATTCTGCGGAGTGGATTAGCAGGTGGTCTCGCGGGATGTGCTGTAGGTAGCCTTAAGCATACTGCTAGTGAAATCAGTTACTGACATGGCTTTCTTCCTCTTTTCTTTTTCTAGGGAAAAACCGTTGTGGCCCCTCTTGATCGGGTCAAAATTCTCTTTCAAGCATCAAACCCACAATTCGCCAAATATTCCGGAAGCTGGTCGGGACTGGCCATGGCCATGCGAGATATTCATCGATTCGAGGGTTCTCGTGGTCTATATAAAGGACACTCGGCGACCTTGCTACGAATCTTTCCTTACGCTGCGATTAAATTCCTTGCATATGAGCAAATCAGAGCGGTCATCATCCCTTCTAAAAGTAAAGAAACCCCCTTCAGGCGTTTAATCTCTGGCAGCCTGGCTGGGATAACATCGGTATTCTTCACATATCCACTAGAAGTCATACGTGTTCGCATGGCGTTCGAAACAAAGCAAAATACGCGATCATCTTTTTCACAAATTTGCCAACAAATATATCATGAACGGGCTTCTTCGAGGCCTGTAGCTGCAAATAACGGCCAGTCCATCGCCATGGCCACTGCTCGGACGGTGTCAACATCTATCAACACCGTCACACCAAGCTCTGGCCTCGCAAACTTCTATCGAGGGTTTGCGGCCACCATTCTTGGTATGATTCCATATGCCGGAATATCATTTTTGACTCACGACACTATTGGGGACGTACTTCGTCTTCCCAATCTTGCGCCATACACCACGATTCATGATTCGGACAATCCAAGCCCATCCGGTAAACGACAGAACAAACGACGTTTGCAACTTACCGCGTCTGCTGAACTCTTCTCCGGAGCGATAGCAGGCCTTATTTCACAGACTTCGGCATATCCACTCGAAGTGATCCGCCGGCGCATGCAAGTTGGCGGTGCCATGGGAGATGGCCATCGACTGAATCTCGCCGAGACGGCTCGCAAGATTTTCTTGGAAAAGGGTTTCCGTGGGTTCTGGGTAGGCATTACGATTGGATATCTCAAAATCATACCCATGTCTGCCACCAGCTTTTTTGTCTATGAGCGGATGAAGTGGTATTTGGGGATATGAAGTGGCCTTCACGGTCACCTGCCTCTACTTCCCGCGTATTGAAATGTGGCTCAACGTCCGGTAGCCAAGAGAGAGAGAGCCAGAATTCTGGCCGCAGCGGGTTCGGCAACCCGCTTTCCGATACGCAAGAGAGTATTTCTTCGAGGTATAAGCTTCAGGACTTGAAGAAATTGTATAGAGTAAAGATCTCATATATCTTATACAGTTCTTCCCCCATCTTTCTTGCATTTCCTGCGGAGGTTACCTTGACTCATGGACTCTGTGCGAACACCGTCTTCCCGTTGATATGTCGTGACTATTCATTTGGTATATTATACTGTCAAGCCCAATTACTGATATCAACGGGAAGATCATAGAAATTATACACACTATGATACCCCTCAATAAGGCTTTTCATTGATTGTGTGTATAGTCGCGAGTCAATTGTACATATATTTCGTGTATATACATCATGTTTCACTCAAAAGACCGAGATTATTGAATATCGCTTGCTATGGTTAGAGTCAATTAGATCTGCACATAATTATACCGAAGAAGCTTACCAAATGTCAAGAACTAGCAGTATAAAAAACCTCTTTCTTTCTTCTTATTTCTTTTTTTGCTTTTTCGAAGACCGCACACGTCGATGGTATCTAAAACAATGAAATCATCTAAAGGACCAGAAAATACCACTAGAAGATCTTCCCCAGGACTCTCCTTGCATCCTCGCCAATAGAGCCAAGATCTTGATCTTCCTTCCTCTGTTTAACTTCATTTTGCCTAAAGACTCTGCGAACTTGCAAATCTTCCGGCGCAACATCCCCATCACTAGATTTTGCCGCCGCCGCCGCCTTCTTCTCCTCTCGCTTCTTCCGAATTCCCTCCACAACTTTACCCTTCTCCACCCCAGACAGAAACACCTTGTCCTCTTTACGCGCGCGCATATCCTCAATGCGTCGCTGCGCTTCTCTCGTAGACCTCTCGTTATTTATCTGCTCCATCAGATCTGACCAGCGATAGCCCTTGAGATATTTTATGTTCCAGATATCGTCGTGATACCAACCGCCCTTGCGCCCACCGACGATATTTGCATTCAACGTCTCCGCGCAAAGCTTGGCTGTCTTCTTCGACTCGAATTCCACCCATCCATCTGAATATGTCTTGCGCCGATTGTTGCGTCTGCCGCTACCGCTAGTAGAGGGTACAGATGGAGTGAGGAAGACCCTGGAGATAGGGCCAAAATTTCGCTGGAGAAGTAGTGATTTGAGTGCTGAATAATTGAATTAGCTGATAATATACTTGAATGATTCAATTCAGATACCCAGATGGTATTCCGATGCGACTTGCAAACTTACCGCTCGGCTTTAAATATGGTGGTAGTGACGACAAATAAACCACCCCAGTCTTGTTCTTCTTGGGGGCCTTGACGAGTGGTTTGACAGGCTTCTCCTTTGGCTTTTGCGTATCATCATCATGTTCATCATGTTCATCACGGTCATCATTATCATCCTCGTCTTCCTCCAAGTTTGAAAAGCGGTTATCGATATCTAGAACTTTCCGCCGCTTGGATGCTCGTGTTTTCGACTCCTCTGCAGCTTCAGAGTCATATCCGTAATCGCTTTGCTCTGCATCACTCGCGTCGATGTCGAGGAATTCGTTTCGTTTTCGGGAGGCCATGATTTATTGCGGTTTTGTGGTCACTGAGGAGTTGCCTAGATAACTTAGCTGCAAAAGTTATTTCTCTCTGATTATAGTATTTCACCGCCTTCTTTTTTCTGCCAGTCTTCGTAGGAGATGACCAATCATGAAGAAGGCGGCGAACAAATAAATTTCAATCTAATCCGCTGCAGACAACTTGAATGGTAAAGACCGTAACGTAGTAAAATACAATTGATGAACATTTTCTACCGTGAACCTATGATCCATTGTGCAGTGTATCAAACCTATGTACTTTTCCAACTGTTGAATATAGTCAAACGCCAGAGCGCCAGATCTCACAAGAGATATTAAACAGCCCTTTCATTCCTTCATGTCATCCATTTTAAGAAGAGAAGAAAAGAGAGAAAAATCATGCAACTCATTCCGCATCTTCCATGTTCAATTCATCAAATTCATCCAGTAGTTCATCCATATTGATCTTGGGCGCCTCGTCTTCACTGCTGTCCTCTTCCATTTGATCCTCCTCAACGACGTCCATCTTATCAGCCTGGCGTTTTTCGTTCTTGGCTTTATAGAGTGACAACGTGCTTCGAAGCTCTTGATCTTCTTCAATGTCACGCAAAAACATCTCGAAGTCGGCCTCCAAGCGATCCGCGTCTTGTTTGCGCGCAGGCTCCTCTTCCTCCAGAGCCATGCGTCTGAGTTTCCAGTTACGCGACTTGGGCTTCTTCTTGCGAGCGTAGTATTTCCTGACTAGCACAACGTCTGGTATTGTGGACCCGTATTGGTTGCTCTCCTGTATAGCATCGAAGTTGGGGTCATTGAAATTTGTACCAGTTAAGTGATAACCAAGGACCGAATCACCGACGTGGAGTACACCTCCCAAGTGTGTCCTTGTAAAATAAGTGTTGTCGTTTACTCCCATCTCCGACGCACGCGCCACTGTTATTTCGGCCAAGAAAAAGCGTCCCTTGGATTCGCCCACGGGCTCAATATCCATGACCACGAATTCCACCAGTTCTTGCACGTCGGCTAAATTTTTGAAAGGCTGTCTCCAATACACGGCCGACGGAACATCCGCTGTCTGCAGGGTGGTGGGGTCAAGAAGACTGATTGAGGTGCCGACTCGGAAGCATATCGTCAACGGGTGAATATTTCCTAATGATCTCGCCAATTTCAGTGGTAGAGCGACAAGGTCATCTTTGCAGATAGGTATCAACTCCGCGGCATACGTTATCTTATATGCTCGTGTTGATGTGTGAATGTCCATAGATATAAGTTCCTGGGATTTCTTGACTCGGACGGGGGCCACGGAGGAAAGAAAATCCACCAATTTCTCTGCATGATTCCTCTGCGAGAAGAAAAAGTCCAGACCGTCTTTTGCTTCTTTGATGTTGATTGTGTCTCGATGCGCGTTGTGTTTAAGCATTAACTGCTCCAGATAGAGGAAGCTTCTCTTGTGTGGGACCTTCTGACGCACTTGAACACCTGCAAGCCGAAGATTTCAATTAGCATACAGCCGGATTCAGAACTTAGTAGACTCACAAGCTCGCCAAGAATGATGGGTAAACGATTTGGCACAGTCAGGGCACTGCTGTGTAGATACAACATATTCGACTTCAAATGTTTGTTGAAGAATGGTACCCTGAAACGCCTCTTGTTGAATTGTAATTTTGACCTTCACACGGCGCGAATGTGGTTCTGTCCAAATAAAACTAGCATCGATGATACGAACTCTGGACAAGCCTCGAAGTTTCCGGAGACATAAGGCAAGCAACTCTCGCGATTCGAGGGCCGCGCTGACCCAGGTGTTTGGTGGCTGAAGCCATCGCTAAACAAAAAACAAAAAAAATTCTCAGTAATTTGTCTCACTTGGATAGATGACCTGGACAAACCTCGCAGTCACGGCAGAAATGGAGAGCCGATTCACGTTGAATATCTTGGCTGATATCGACGGTAAGCTTTATACAATCATGGCACAGTGCACCTGATTTCGGTCAGTTTCTATACATTTTCGACAATTATGTGATGGACCACCTACCAGCTGCTGAGGTACCGTCAATCGGGCAGCCACAGTTGCAGCAAAGAATCCTGAGAAGAAGATCAGCATGCCATGCGCACTGAATAACAGTCTCGAGGGACTCACGTTGCTTCCGGTTGTTGCTGCGCATGAAAACCTGCGATGGGAACACCAGGATCCAAATCCATCGACATCTTGACGAAAATTCTCGGTCGAAATGGAAGACTCCAAAATAGTTGGACGCAAGAAACAGACCACGAGAAAGAATGAACTCTCTCTTGCCCGCTTAAAATGGCAGTCGAGTACTCACGACGACTAATAATTACAAATTCGGCGCGGGCCACTTTTTGCCCCTCCGAGAATAATTTTTGCGGGAGATAAAAGTTTGTCTTGTTTGCAACGAGCTACCTAATCGGGAGTTTGCACTGTTTGTTCCGACTTCAACTGTCAGGAGCGCCAAATAGTCAACCTCTGCTCAGTTATTACATTTCCTTTGCTTTTCAGCGTTCCAACGACCTGCTAATTATGCTATCCACAATGGCTGCAGCTGCTCTTGTGAGGAGCGTGAGGTGTCATGCCTGCCGTCATGATGTTCTCCAGTCATTCGTACGGATTTCAGGCCTTCCGGTTGCGCAGAGCTTGCGACTGCCAAACGAGCCGCAAACCAGACGGTTTTTCACTGGCCCGAATCTTTGGATCGAGTCGTCACATTCAAATTCGGAAGAGAATGACAGTAAGGAGTCGAGTCCAAATGCCTCTGCGTTAGACGAGTCCACGAAATCATCTCCATCTGTGCCGTGGTATCTGCAACTGGATTCCGCTACCGAGCCCGTCCACCCCGTGGCAAAACGGCAGGAAATTCCAGCTGTTCCTGAAAATGCACCCCCTATTACACATGATATGCTGCAACATCTCGCTACAGAGATTGGCTTAGATGACATGGCTTTACTTGATCTACGAGGAAGAGATCCTCCACCGGCTTTGGGAGGCAATCTTATCATGATCATTGGAACTGCTCGGAGCTTGAAACATTTGAATGTTTCGGCAGATCGATTCTGCCGGTGGCTGAGATCTACATACAAACTCAGACCCTACGCTGATGGGTTGCTAGGCCGCAATGAGCTAAAGATCAAGCTAAGGCGGAAGGCTCGTCGTGCCCGTCTTGCAAGCAGTTCTGGAGCTATTGCAGACTCATCAGATGATGGTATCACAACTGGCTGGATATGTGTCAATGTGGGTAGTGTGGATGACCCAAGTGCGAGCCAGAATCTCAGAGAAGGGGGCTTCGAAGGATTTGGTAAAGTCCAAGGGGGCACGAGGATTGTCGTTCAAATGTTCACGGAGGAGAAGAGAGCAGATGTTGATTTGGAACAGCTCTGGGCTCCAAAGCGGGACACGAAAACTTCAAGCAACGAAGCGAGAAATGAATCCATAGTTGAAGAAGAGCACCAGGTTTGTTCTTCTGAATTCGATATGACCACCGAGCACAACTCTAACCAAAAAATACCAAATGTTCCCAGGCCACCATTTCACTTAACAATTGATCAGAGACGGAGCTTCGCTACTCACTGCGGGAGAAGAAACTTTTACGTTCAGCACAATTTAAGCCAAGATACATACCGAGATACCAATCTCGTCGACAGTGACACACACCAGCAGGATCTTTCGTTACAAAAAATATCGCTCTATCTTAAGAGACTTTCATCTGAAGATGTTATTGAGAAGTTGGGAAGTGGGCCGGAAGACAAGAGCTCAACTGAATTCTTGCAAAACTGTTATTCGTCTGTTGGCACTGGGTCCGATTACTACGAAGACCACAGCTTGCGTTTGGTACTTGCTGCTGCAGGGGTATCTGCCCAGCATCCAAATTATACGAAGGAATATCTGTGGGCTTCATTCTTGGAACACACCGGCTCCGGATTTAAGTTGAACCACGATATAGCAATTGACATAGCATCCGCTTTTCTTGTTCCACGCTTAGGAGGGCAGAATCGAGAGAGAACTTCCTCTGATTTGGTAGACTTTGACATTGAATCTGCGTTGCGTGTTTTGGACTACCTTTCTCTTGAAGGGGCAGACATGATGACGAAACAGCAGGTTTTCAATTTGATCTACAGAACTTTGACCCTGAGGTTGCTAAATGAGGATGCTGGATCTATCCAGGAGAAGGCGCTTCGGATGCGAAGTTTGATGACAATTCTCGAGATCCCTTGGACAGGCGACATTGCCCGAGAAACCATGCAACTTAGATTGATGGTTGGAGATGTGGATGGCTTCTACGAAATCTGGCACGCCATTCCTTTCCATGAAAGCTCTAGGACTGCAAAGGATTATGAGTTGCTCTTCCGAGTTCACGCCGAAGTGGGAAACCCAGTCTATGCTCGGAAGTGTTTGGCGGATTGCACTTTGATGATGGGAAGAGAAGAGCCTCCAATCAAGCCACAAGCCGATCTTATTTCTGTGGTCGCAAGATGTGCACATGTCGCAGGTTATAGTTCTTCTGATTTCCATCTGACATCAGTTTCAGACGAATGGCAGGAAGCACATCCGCTCATTGCGAAGGAAATGGAATCTCTCGAGCAGTTGGCGTAGCTTTTTTGAATATGATAGCGACTCTGTATATTAGACTACTAAGCAGTATGCTAGTTAATAGCTGTATAATAGACATTCTCATTACTCTGTATTCCTAACTAACTATTCGTAGCCGTTTCCATACTAGTGCATATTGTCCGCGGACCTCGGCTCACGCCACCATCATTCTTACAGTCAGTCACTCATTGCGAGAGAGACAGCAATCGACCACATCACAGCTATCACTTGTCGTCTACGTGGTTGATATAGCTCTATATTTCCTGATAATGTAGGAGAACTGTCCTCTGACCGACGAGCATGGAATACGTTTCCAGCCTGCAAAGTGAAGTTGACGACTTGAAGCCGTCGCTTTTCGGTGAGTGGCCTAGTTTGATGAGTATCTTTGTCGTTTCTTTTATAAGCTCGCATGATCCTCTGACTGCCTTTATTCTTTTGCAGAGCTTCTTGCTGAAGAGCAGCTATCATCCCTTCTTCCTCCATCAATCCGCTACTTGCTCGCTGTTGCGACGCATAGACACCCGCGGTATCTGCTCCGAATACTTAACAATTTCGACGAGCTCTACGCGCTTTTGTCGCTCGTGGTCGAGCGATACTACCTCCGTACATTCGGCGGTTCATTCACGGAAAATTTCTATTCCCTGAAGCGCGAACGCGTCTTATTCACGAAAAATGGCGAGATACCCCGTGCGCAGATGGGCGCTGCGACAGCAGTGCGCGAAACCCTGAGACTGCGGACGTCTGACGTCTGGAAAAACCTGGCTGTCATGGTCGGGCTGCCATATATCAAACGCAAGCTCGATGAAAGCTACGATATCCATGTTGTGCCTCAATCGTCGTCCCTGCTCGGTGGCCCGAGGTACAATCCACACGACGACTTGCCGCCCAATCCGACGATAAGACAGCGTCTGATGTTTTATTATAAATGGTTTCTTCGAAACGTATATCCCTCGGTGAACGCGGCATACTACTTCTCCATCCTGGCCTTCAACTTGGCCTATCTCTTCGATAACACGAAATATTCTTCGCCCTTCCTATGGCTTATTGGCACACGCATTCGCCGGCTAGGCTCAGCCGACCACCGCGCCATTGCAATGGCCATGCAGCCAAAGCCCGGCAGCAAAATAACTCCACGCCCTGGATCCGGGCTGCTAGGCCTGCTCAGCCCGCAAAATATATATCCGCAGCTCCTACAATCTTTACGTTTCTTCCTCCCAGCATCAATATTTGCGCTCAAGTTCCTAGAGTGGTGGCATTCCAGCGACTTTTCGCGACAACTAGCTCGAAAAGTCACCGAGACTCTCGACTTGCCTGCCCCCGTGGTCACTGGAATGATTGATCCGTCTCTTCGAAAATCGAAAACATCCCCCTCCTCCTCCTCATCACCATTGAGCCTGAAACCAGCCCTTAAAACCTCACCGTCTCGGCGCCAACCACCCATCTCATCGACCTCGTACCTCCCCATATTCACTGTTCCAATACCAACACCAGACTCGGACAATGCAGGCGCATGCCCCATCTGTCTCAACCCTCTCACAAACCCGACGGCATGCCAGACCGGCTACGTATTCTGCTATGGCTGTGTCTTCCGCTGGTTGAACGGTGAGCACGAGCGACAAATAGATTTCATGAATGGGGTAGATGGCGGTGCAGCTTGGGATGATGATGATGACATAGACGACTCCGCGGAAGATGATAACAGCCCTCAGTCAGGGGGGCATGATAAATTAGACCAAGACGACGCTCGCACCGCGTCGAATAAGAGTCGACAAGGGAAATGGGAGAGCGGCAAGGGACGGTGCCCTGTGACGGGGAGGAGGGTGTTGGGTGGAACCGATTGTTTGAGAAGAGTTCTAGTTTAAATCTAGATGTGTGAGATATAACTGTACTACGTACTAATTTAAAGGGCAATTATCATCGAAATATGCGGGGTTGACTTCACTATTATATCGATTCATGAGTGAGACGTAACACTGTATGTATCAGACCTAGCGAGCTCTCTTTTCGTTGGTGCAGTAGAGAAGAGGACATTCGGTAGCTTATGGAGTGACTATATAAGGCGTACTATCATTGAAAATCAGGTACGGTCTCTCCGCTGCAACCTTGAGAATGGTTTCCGAGAATACCGAATTGGCCCACGAGAACCACGGTCGTGTATACTCTGTGATGTTGTTGACGTTGATGGATTCGTGAACCAGCCCCAGAAGACTTGAGTTCTTCACAAGGTTGATACAGTCCATGATTTCTGTATCATCGGTGCTTGTGTAAGCTTGCACGAGGAGTGACATTGGCCAGGAATTTGTCAGACCATCTGAGGGTGTAATGCATGTTAGCAAGATACTATCACCATCTATGACGCCAAAATAACTTACCATGAGGACCACCAATGCCATGGAAAGCTGAGCCAGTAAGGTAGTACGGGTTGGTGTTGGAATTCAGAAGCATTTTACGAGTATTCTGGTATATAGGATCATCGACATCCAAAAAGCCCAAGTAAGGAAGAGACAGCAAAGAGGGGATATTGGCATCGTCCATTATATTTCTTCCACCGTATCCATCGATCTCATAAGCAAACACTTCACCCAAGGTCGGGTGCTGGAAAATGCCCTGGTCTAAAATGGCCTTGCGGAGATTGTCTGATCTTGTACGCAAGTCGGTGATGAGCGTCTGGTTCCCTCCAGTGGCTGCCAGAGTATCGGCAGTCCTTCCCAATTGAACTGACATCATGGCATTTGCAGGAATAAAATACCCATAGATAGTTGCATCGTCACTAGGCCTGAAAGCACTACGGATCAAACCGGTGTTTCTATTGAGAGGGTTTCCAACGCCGCTAAGGGATAAGGTTTCTGTTCCAAGAGTGGTTACTCGCTGAAAAGTGTAGGCATTGGTGACGAATTGATCATCGTGAGTAAATGTAGACTGCGCCTCGTCATCTAGTACTTTTAAAACGGTATCCAATGCCGAGTACCAACGATCCGTCAGAAAAGCAGTAGATCCGGTCGCGTTGTAGAATTGGTTTCCGAGGGAAAGGAAAGCTGCCAGCGAGTCAAGCTCCCACTTGCACTCGTAGACAAATGAAGGGTCATAGCTGGGGGTGACGGTATCATCTTGTGTATTGTTGGTTGGTGATAACCCACTTGGAGGTGGTGGCTGGAAAGCTTCACAGAATGGGCTTGTAATGACAAACTCTACCTGAGTGTTGATTGCACCGAGGATTAGTTGATACAGAGCTTCATCGGTCTTTGCCAGCGCTTGGTAGTTCACGAGCTGGTTCATGCTGTCACGCAACCATTCTGCATTGATGTCGCCCGTAATCACAAATGACTGAGCTCCCGCCCACGACTCATTAGTTGCTCGTCTGTCCATCGACCGCTTGGACGAGGTAGAACTCGTGTCGTTGACATGCCAGGAAATGGTTGTATCCAGTGTGTTTGGCAGCGCATTGGTAAACAGCATGGCGAGATCTGGGTCCACAATGCGCGAAACCACATCAGAGAGGACCTTTTCTACAGAGTACGATGTGTAGGTCCGGCACTCTACAGCAGGGCGCTGGTAAGGGAGATGGAGGGGGCCATCGCTGTATGGAGCACTGTTTATTGCTCATTAGTTTCTAGTCTGCTGTTGAAGAAGACGTGTCTGGCAGAGACCTACTGCGGAACTTGGGAGTAGTCGGTGTAATCGGGACATGCTCGACGTGCCAGAGCCGATGTATCCCGTATCGCCGCAGCGCCTGCACCAGGAAGAGACATGAGTGCGACTGCGGCCACAATGGCCGAAGTTGATGCCGAAGCAACCATGGCGCGAGAGGGAATATGCAGAGTGCTCTGTTGGAAACACAGCAAGGAGCCTCCTAGAAGCAGAGCCTAGTTATACAAGACCCGCCAGGTACCGGTGCGGAATGGACAATTTAAGTAGAGACTGCATCGATGAACCCCCGCCGTCAGCGGGCATGTGCAATGGCGGAGTGAAGCCGAGATGAAGATGAAGACGAAGAAAAGCATTGTTTACGGCCTTTCCCAACTGGGCAGCCCCAGGCTTGCTTCCCCGCGCCAACAGAGGAAGGCACGGACCCGCCGATCACCTGCCGGCTGCTTTTAGTGCTGCGACGCTGCTTCAAGCTTCATCTCATTCTAGCATATACATACATACCAATGCCTAACGTTGCATGCTTGGAATGGCACGCCCCGCTCCTGGTCATTACACGATCCACTCGAGCTCTGGCGGAGAGAATCTCTCTCTCCTTCTCTCTGTGTGTGTGTGTGGATTGATAGATTTGATTGTGCTGACAGCTAAGCTTGCAAGGTATGCATACACGTGGGCTTGCGTCCCATCGTACGGCTGATCGAACGGCATGGATACTATTATTTCTTGGAAAAAAACGACATGATGCTGCCCTGCCCCGCCTTCTTCCCCGCTGCGCTGACAGCAGCCTTCTTTTTCGGCGGTGGCGCCGGTTCATCTTCAGAGAACGATTCCCATGCGGGCTCTTCCACGGTCACTATGATAGGCGTCTGCATTAGTTCTTGGTTCTATCAGACTATCGCAAAGCGCTCGGGGTGCATACCAAGGTAGCCTTCGTCATCCTTGACAGTCTTTTTCTTCATGATTTTCCGCTTGCCGCGACGCCGTCCGCCCTGAACAGTAACTTCTTCTTTGGACTCCGGTTCGGGCTGTTTCTTCTGCTCGGCTTCTTCGTTTGCAGATTCAATAGGCGCCTCGGAGGCATCCGGCATGTCTTCATCTGAGAGGAGTCAGTGACAGCAATAAACGATTGCACTGATTCTAGGACGGATACCTTCATCATCATCTTCCATCATCTGCTTTAATTTGGCTTCTCGGTCTTTCCGTGATTCCCGAGCTGAAATGCTCTTGGATTCTCCGCTATTTGAGAATGGTTCCTCCCCTTCAGCCTCTTCGGCATCGTCGTCATCACCATCAAACATTCCTGTGTTGAGTCAGGAGAAATGATAGGAACGAGCATTTTGAAGACATAGTTCTCACCTTTCTGTTGGGTATCTTCTTTCACCTAAAAGCCAGGCGTTAGAAGCAGATTTAATCTTCCGGTTTTTTTTTTTTTTTTTTTTTTTTTTTTTTTTTTTTTTTTTTTTCTTTTCTCAACAATACTCACCGATTTTACACTAGATGCAGCCGAGTCTTCTTTCTTCAAATTTGACTTCGCCTTTGCATTGGCAAACGAAGAGAATAAATCCCCTTTCTTGCCACGAGCAGGTACCTTTTCATTGCTTTTTGCTTCTACCTTTTGCAATGATTCCTTTGACGAAGTTGTAATCTCAGTATTTGGTTGCACAGTTTCCTTCTTTGGAACTTCTGCCTTTGGTGGAGGTGGTCTTGCTGTTTTTCTCCGCTTGACATTTTTATTCTGAATCATACCCCAGTGCTTCCCCAGCTCCAGAGGATCTTCACTTCCGAACGACGTGAGAATCTCTCGGCTGACATCAACCAACACATTAAGATCCTGGAGCGTGCTTGGTTGTAAGCTGTAGATATGTATCGTTGATATTGAGTCGAATGTAGCTTTCGCGTCTGTGAAAATCCATTTTTGTTTCAGTCTCGGTCTAATATTCCGAAGTAGTCGAGAAAATACCAACCATCCAAATCCTCTTCCCTGGCCAAAACGAACGAAGTTGTGCGGACAGGGCGCTCGATTCCGCCTCCGTTGTCGTCCGGCTGAGGCACAGAGCTCATAAAGGGGCTGCTTCTCATTGTCACATCTTCACCATCGTGCGACCCTCCATTTATAGCCTGTTTTCGTTGCGACAATTGAACCCCGCTAATCAGGTAAGTGGCAGACACGCTGTTCGGTTTTTTCGCATTTTCCGTTCGACGGAAATCAAATAACATCCTGGATTTGCTTCAGTATAACCCCGACAGGCCCATAGAGCACACGATCGAGCTCAACTCACTGCTTTGCAAGATTGCTGTGGACTTTCAAAGCCCGGCCGAGCAGTCGATACGTAACCTGCCCGCAGTTAACAACGGATGAGCGATCGCCTGAAGAGCTGGCAAGTACATACGGTTCGGCGCTCATTGAGAACATTCTCAGCTAGGTATTTCTTATAATCGACTGCCATTTCCAATGCAAGACAGTAGTTCCTTATCGCAAGCCTGAGCAAAGCAAATTGGTTGTCTGGACTCTGTGACAAGATGTAGCGGAGACGCGTGCCGAACCACTTAACGCGTCTCGGTCTTGGCAGCTGCTTGCGGATCCTCTCAGGCAGCATCAACGTTTTGAGAAGCTATCGTGATCTTGACATGCAACTGCTATTATTAATTCCGATTTTGTCTCGCTCCCGAATGACCGGATAATGGATCAATCTTTTGACTTGCCAGATTCCACAGACTGGCTCGCATCGTCCCTGCCTTCCGTTGCGCCGCTTGAGTCCGCTTTGCGATGCCAAATCTGCAAAGACTTTTTCAACAACCCCGTTATCACATCCTGCTCGCACACCTTTTGCTCTCTGTGCATTCGAAGGTGCCTGAGCACTGAGGGGAAATGTCCAGCCTGCCGAAGCTCAGACCAAGAGCTCAAACTAAGGCGCAACTGGGCTGTTCAGGAAATCGTAGAAAGCTTTCAGAATGCTCGACCGCATGTTCTTGCGCTTGCACGACAGACCCAGACTGCGACGATAGCCGAAGAGAATATCGACTTGCCACAACCCGCGACTAAAAAGAGGCGTCTAAATGAACCGGAGGAGGCTAATGTTCCCGCCCAGCAAGACGTGAGGAGGACGAGGTCGTCGCAGAGCAGACAACTCGAGCATCCTGCTACACCAGCAATACCCGATGCAGTGGACGACAGTAAAGATGAAGATTACGTACCGGGTACTTCTATTCTTTGCACCTAGTTGAAAAGAAAAGAATGTTGCTTCTAACAGATGATCTAGATGACGGCTTGGTCCCATGCCCAATGTGCAATCGGCGAATGAAAGAACAGGCCGTCTTCAACCACCTGGATACATGCAAAGGCCCGACCGAAGAACGAATACCACAGCATCATAGCCCGTTCATACGGTATGTCCACCTCAGGAAATGCGAGAAACAAACTGGAATTCCATACTTACTCCCAGCAGAGCATCTCCACAGCCATTCCAAAGTCTACGAACTCGAACCCCTGCTAAAACACCAGAGCGTCTGCCAACGCTCAATTATTCACTGTTCAAGGAAAACGTCCTGCGTAAAAAGATGAAAGAACTAGGCATCCCAGATTGGGGTCCGCGGGTGCTCCTGCAGAGACGTCATACGGAGTGGATGAATCTTTGGAATGCCAACTGTGACGCCAAAATCCCCAAGACCAAGGAAGAACTTCGCCGTGATCTAGACGTGTGGGAAAGGTCTCAGGGTGGTGCAGCACCACAGTTTGGAATACCAACAGGGCCAAATGCAGTGATGGCCAAAAGTTTCGATGCGGCTGCCTGGTCTGCAAATCATGATGATGACTTTAAGCGACTGATTGAAAACGCGAGGAAGAAGAAAGAAAACAAGAATGCTCCGGCGCAAAAGGCCCCGGAAGAAGCTAGAGATAGCTATACCATACAGCCAGAAATCAACATTGACGGAGAAAGCCATATGCCTTCTACTGCTGAAGGGCCGATGGAGGTTGGTGAAATACCAGGAAATGGGCCATATATCCCTTTCGTCGTGAATGGAGACGTTAGCCATCGTGCTGAGGGGGACAGTAGTAGCTATCCGCCAACATGAATCCATTTCTTTTCCTAATCAATTTTGTCCATAGAAACTTGATGTGTATATATACTTCTCGCTTTGAATTTCGTATCGTATCATAGAGACCATAATTACATTAAAAGCGCTGTCCGCACACTTCATCACTGTGCTGGTACAGGCTGTCTATCATCTTGCTGACCCTCTCTATCTTCAGCCGGGTCGTTCAACGACATATGCGAGAGCTGCCCGATGCTCTGTGCCAATTCCGGGTCCTCTTCCACCGCCTCTGCTGTCTCCGTAGGCTTGCCTGCCTCTGCCAATTTCGAGGTCGCTTCTCTCGCAGCCTGTTCGTGACTGTCCAGCTGCTTGAGTTTCTCTCGAGTTGCCTTTGCTTCTTCCTCGTCTCTGTCATGGAGTTCTTTGACTTCAAGTGCCTTGAGTTCCTCGTCGATTTCTCCTTCGTCAACCACAGGGCCAGCCTCGTCGATGACATTGCCGACCTCGTCGACCTTGGACATCTCTTCACGAAGGTTCTCAACCACATCCTCCACCCTTTCGATGCCACCCATTTCCGCATGAAGACTGCGAAGAACACCGGTGCTGGCTTGCATGACACGCACAATCTCAACCTGGTCAGCTGACTGCTCAATCTTGGAGTAAACTTCCTCTAATTGACTGAGTGTGTCAGAGCGTTGTTTTAGGTTATGTTCGGCAATCTTTCTGTTTCTAATTGCTGAGAGGGCAGATATGCGGTTCTTATCGGCAAGTGCAAGCTTTGCGTTGCCGTTCAGCTCTCCAATTTTCTGTTCGAGTCGCGAAACTTGTGCAGTCAAGCTCGAGATGAGGTCCTTCATGGAAGCAATGGTTGTATCTTCATGACTGATTGGTGATCTGTCGTTACTAGTGAGGAATTTGATCGTCTGTGGAGAATTATTAGTCAATTACTCTTCTTTCGCTATATCGAACTCGATGTTATGCCAAAAACGCACCTTTCCGTCATAAGAAATGGCGTTGATATCTCGAGAAAGATGTATCAATAGGGCCTCGACGTCATTATCCGAAAGCTCAGTGTTTGCGTCTAGCACCGTGCTGAAATCTCTCACAAATCTTTCCTTGGAGTATATCCTGTCCAAGGAAGATGTCTGCCTAGTTCCTAGGCTGACTACTTGCTTTGCGGCCTCCTATATTGAAAAACAAATATTAGCCATTGACGGCTATTCAAAAAAGCAATTATCCCTCCCCGAACGCAATTCATACAAACCTTTAGGTTATCAACGAGAACGAGTTTCTGTGTGCGAAGCTTAGTGGTATCCGTCCCAACCACTAGCCCCTTGAGCTGTCTGAACCCCCAATTCATGACGTTCCACGGGCTAAGCGCCCCGGGATCAAGCACCCTCCATCGACTAGTAGTTAAGCTAAAGTTATTTGAACTGTAGAGTCCCAAAGGAACCATTTTTCGCTTCTGTATAGCCTCGTCCTACATTGTTCAAGACCCGTCAGTGACAGAATAATGGTTCGAAATAGACGCGGACCACCATACAAAAACGCTTGCCAAGGCCACTGGTCTCCCCCATTCTGGAATTTCTAACATGTGTAAAAGATTCTCATCTGCGTCGAGGATTATATGGTTCCGTTTCTTGCTCGAAGCATTGCTGGACGTCACATGCCCACTACGCGCCGCGTTCGTGAGCGCTTTTTCCCACGCCGCAACATTCACTGCGTAGCCATCGGGATTCGTGGTTTTCTGTACGGAAAAGTCGGAATATAGAGACGGTAGTCGGTTTCTAGAATAGTGATGCTCATGTCAGCCCAGGTGAGCTCAGTGCGAGAGAGAGACAGGCTTATACTTACTTCCTAAAAGCATCCTCGTGGGATAGGATGTAATTCAGAAGGTCGCTCATCGCGACTCCGATGTTTGGGAAGGCAAATTTGGCGGACTGGAATTAGCGAAGAAAGTGAATTAATCAAAAGCACGCACGAGCGTATTACTTCGTCAGACGATGGTAGAATGAGTTCACCATCATCGTTGTAGGTAACGGAAGTCAGCTATCGACTGCTTTTGTTGCGGGCATGTGCCACAGCAACCCTATCGATAAGAAACACCACAGGCGCGAACCGCACGTGACTCATTCGCATATACAATTATTGATTTATTGGCCAACATTTACGCTCGTATTAAATTCCGCATAAAGAAACTCGTAAATGCCTAAGCTGTATCTATGTAGTGGTATATGGACTGTATGGCACGTGTACAGTACTTATTCGAAATCATCATCAAGCGGTTTGGAGCCGTTTCCTTCATGCTGCATAGGCCCGACATCAAGGCTAGCAGGCAGGAGTAATGATTTGCGATTGGCCCGATTATCTAACTTCTCGCTGGTCTCCTCTGTTCCAAGCTGGTTGGCGACGACTACCTCGTCACTGGTATCCACGCCCTTGGCCTCGAGATACTCAAGTTTGACGGCGCGTTGCAAATTATCGATGAATGTTCGCATTTCAGGCATGGGAACAGCACTATCTTTGTCGTAAACTTCTGCATACAGACGATCTGCTTCCTCCAGACAAACCGAAGCCAGCGCGGGTTTGCCCAGCTTCAACCAACTATCAGTAGCAAGCACACTCCACATGCCAGCTTTTCTGTTTCGCGCCCCCCATTTCGCGCCTCCGGTACTCGTTTTTGAAGCATAACAAGCCGAGACTCGTTCGGTAAGAAGAGCTTGTCCGATGGGGCCAGCAAGCCCTAATTCTATGGCACGCATCGCCCATTTCGCTGCTCCTTCAGTAGCAGAACCGCCTCTAGATTTGAGCAATTCAATGGAAAGCCCGAGACAGCGTAGAGTATTAACGGGATCGGTGCATCTTGTTAGATAGGAGTAGCAAGCTGTATCGATCATTTGGTCCACACCATCAAGCTTGCTTCTTGCAGCAGATGTCAATGGGTTGAGCAACGTGCTCATTGCGCACATTTCGTGTGCACCTGCATGGTACCTCCACGCCTTATCATTTGCGTAATCCGAGCGAACCAAGTCGTATGTAGATGCCGCAAGTTTATAGTCTCGTAACATGAAAGCAAAATCAGCCAACTTCCGAAGGATCGCCTCAGGTGCATCATGCTTATAAAACCCATTCAGTGTATTATAGTTCCCGGTCATTCCCCCAGCGGGGCCCGACGACGTCGTTGATCTTGAACTGGAGCCAAAGCCAGCCCATCTTCTAGACATTGACATAAATCTTCCACTAATCCCTCGTCGCCGCGATGCTACCTGATCGTTCCAAAGCGCCACTTTGTTTTCCATAAAGGGTATGACAGATTGTACGACTAGCTCGCGTACCAAAGACTTGATAGCAGTAACGTCACTCTCAGATAGATAATTAACCCCTGTCCCAAAGTCTATCAACGCATCTAAAAGTCGTAAGTGAGCGCAACGGAGTTAACTAGGAAGATATATCCTTACTATTCTCGTTCATTTCCAAAAGATCCTCCTCTGGGGATAACCACTCGCATGATGGAACCTCAATACTATCATCATCTGTGACTACACACTGACCACTGCGCAGTCTAAGGAGGTGACAGTGAAGACCAAAATGCCGTTTCATCTGGTCATAGAGCCTGGTAGATTCTTCTATGTTGCTTCGATCTTCGTCATGGACTAATACATAGTACCGAAGGAATTCAGGGTGCACATAGGAAGGTGGCGCTGTATCGCCTTGGGTTGTCTGAGCATAGAGCTGCCGAAGTGATTCAAGTGGAGCTTTATTATGTGAACTAATAGCAATCACACAGGCCACCGGATGTAAGAAGGTTTCGTGTGGCGTGGGGGCATCTATAGATAATAGTCGGCGAAGTAGTAATTGATATAGCGGAGAAGCAATGTATTTGTTGGTGAGTGGTAGTTGATTCAGACGTGACGACCGATTCGTTGAGTCTTCGACAAAGTCAAGTCTTCTTTGCAGCACTTCTTCAAGCTGCGACAACGGTGATGTTGAAGTGGCATGGCTCACTCGGTCGCTATTAGTCAATAAATTCACGAAACGAACGCCATAGTCTTCCCAGCTGCGGCTCAATCCTGCGCTGTCCCTGACAACGACCTTCCCCGTGATATTCTCACCAAATGGTCTAAGAAGCTCCAAAAAGCCATTCTTGAACCCCTTTTGCCTAACCAAATCCTCCGTATCATCAGAAGCAAATATCCCGATCGAAGGAGCAAAAGCACGTATGATCAGAGACCTCGTATTATCGGAGCTGTCTGGGAGGCTGCCAAGCGGTGAACTCAGTGATGCTCTGCTGGGAAGGAAAGTCGAACCCGATAATCGATTGCTCGGAGATGCGGAGCGAGACTGGGATTCGCTGCGGGAAGAGAATAATGCTCTCGGGGATCCAATGGACGGAGGCTCTCGTAGTTCAGAGCTGAGAGGCCGCGGCGACTGAACCGAGTCGGCCTCGAATCTTGATTTTGGCACGACAATGGGAGCTCCTGAGAAGGATGGCGGAGGCTTGACCGGCGCTGCATCTTCCGGCGATGTCATGGACGAAGATGGAAATCCGGTAGCGCTGCGGAGGGATTATAATTGTGCCAGGGCGACTTCCATCTATGCATTGATTGTCCAAGGCTGGGGTTGGTGACTGCGCAGAGGTCGTCCAGTTAGTTCTGTGTTGGTTGGGTTGGATGCTTTGGTATGTTGTGGGTAGTTGGTTGGTTGGTTGGACTGGGAAGGCGCAAGTTGCAGCCCGGCGACGTCAAAAAGCACGGAAGCCGCGATCGGCCTTTTGATTGACAGCTGGCCACCAACAAACAACTGGACCTGCGACTTAATGCCGAGTGCTACTTTCTTTTTGCTACACGACAGAGACAATCCATCCTCGCGGGTGATATCCAGTATCTAAAAAGTGTCTACAGCTTAAGATCGACTCTCGTCTTGGCACTCGCCTCTCCATCCACACGCAACCAGGGCTGACTGGCAGTTACTTGCCCACGACTTGTCTGGACAATAACTCGCACCACCTTTTCTGCTGGAATTCGATCTTTCGGATGAACGGACGACACTGCAATCCGCAATCACACAGCCCCTTGTGCGACCACGTCACTGAAGTGAGTCATAAAGGCTGTGCAGAACGACGACGTTTTCGCTTCCTCGCGCGAACAGACGGCCCCTTGAGCAGAAGGAGAACAGAAACCCTCCGCAATGATTGTATATTCATAAATGTTGAGGACTTACTTGCGCCCGTGGATATCTAGCCCCAAGGTCAATCGTCTCCTGATCCCCGCCTGCAAAGTGCCCGCACATGGCGGGCATTCCCACCACAAAGCTTTCTCCTTCACAAGCCCACGATTCGCCCTTTCCATGCCACCGTACCTAAAGAGGAACACAGACTCCAGCCGCGTAACGAAAAGACGCCGTCTTAGCAGGTCTGCGCCTCGGAAAGACAAGATGTATGGCCAGGAAGGGACACAACAACTGCCGACAATCGAGCTTACTCCGCTTGAACAAACTGTGAGAAGACTCTTGCTCGACGTACAGGAGTACATAGGACAGACGAGGCATGCACAATGCAGTGCAGTACAAGGAGACATGGTGCTACGGTTTACTGGTGGTTGGGTACGAGACAAGTTGTTAGGCGTTACGAGCCACGATATCGATGTCGCAATTAGCACAATGACTGGGCTTCAGTTTGGAACATACCTGAAGGAATATTTGGATGATCCCGAAAACCTGGAGAAATATAAGAATTGCGGCCAATCTGTTCTCAGCGACGACATGCTGAAAATACACAAAATCGAAGCAAACCCGGAAAAGTCCAAGCATTTAGAGACAATCACCACAAGGCTGTTTGGCCTGGATATCGACCTAGTGAATCTCCGAAAAGAAACATACACCGAGGACAGCCGAAATCCGCAAATGGAATTCGGTACGGCTGAAGAGGACGCTCTGCGTCGAGACGCAACCGTCAATGCAATGTTTTACAACCTCAATACGTCGATGCTGGAGGATTTCACCGGGCTAGGAATCGAAGATATGAGGAAGAAACTGATCAGGACCCCGCTCGATCCGTATCAGACATTTAGAGACGATCCCCTACGTGTGCTCCGGCTTATACGATTCGCTAGTAGGCTACAGTATCACATTGACGAGGAGTCTCAGAGGGCTATGCAAAATGATGACATAAAACAGGATCTCAAGCTAAAAATTAGCAAAGAACGTGTAGGAACAGAGGTTGAAAAGATGCTCCAAGGCAAGTCTTCAAATTACACACACGACAGTAGATAATACTAATGCCCATCCAATTAGGGCCGGATCCTAGAACTGCATTGAAGTACATAGGGGACCTTGGGCTCTACTCTGTCATATTTGAAAACCAACAAGATGACGCAGAGCCGAATATCGCTTCTTGGTCTCTGGCCTACGATGCCCTAGATGGGATAATGCGCCTTCCTGACAGGGAGGATCACCACTCGTTGAGTGTCAAGCACATCAGAGATATCCTTATGCGAGATGAAACTGAGCGGAATCATGCCTGGGTCATCGCTGCATTCGTACCATGGGCACTTGTACCTGCCCGTGAACCGAGATCGAAGACGGAGAAGCCGCCTGTGATGGCACGGGCTGCTGAAGTTGCGAGGGACAACCTTCGTATGGACAACAAAACTATTAGTCTCTTGCGGGACGCAGCTACACATTTTAGAGATGCCAGCGCTCTGAAAACATCTGTCGTCTTGAACAGCATTACAGGCACAGCAGCCGAAGTCAGGCAGCATGTTGGCCTTCAAATCCGGTATTGGAAGAAAGATTGGCGAATGATTGTGATAATGGCACTCTTACAAGAGCTTGTCGCAGGAGCCGAATGCTCTCAAGGTAAGCTGGTGGTTTGCATCATCTAACCCCGTCTCTAACCCTGTCTCTAGTCATCCGAGAATACGACGTGTTTCTTTCATATTTAGAGAGAGAGGAACTCCTCGAGGTAACAGAACTAAAGCCGATTGCCAATGGCAATGAAGTGTCTGCTGCCCTTGGAGTTCGCGGAGGGAAATGGATGAGCACGGCTCTAGAGATGCTGATCAAGTGGCAGCTGCTTCATCCTGAGATTGCTGAGAAGGATCAGGCATTGGAGGAGTTAAAAGACCGACGAGCGGAACTTGGCGTATAAGATAGATAGATACCCATTGTGTATTTTACAATCAAAAAAGGAAGGGTACTTTTGCTCTAAGTGTACAGAGCTTTTGCAACTATATTGAGTCCTATGGTTACAAAAGGTTACGATCCTGGAAACTCAGCTAATTACGTTTATTGCTATCAATAGACAAGGGAAAAACATACACTCATACAGCTCATGAAGACATAAAAGCAAGAGAGCTAGCTAGGGACTATCGCGCATGTGGTCTGGTCTGCCACTAAGAAATCATCCCGCATAAATCGAAGCTTCCCACTCCGCCCTCCAGTCAACGTCATTCCACTCTAAACCACCACAAGCCATTTATCATGAGTTGGGAACGCCGTCATTTACGCTATGCAGTTAGGGGCAAGCCATGGAGAGCCTAGAAGAAACCATGCGGGCAGCTGCCAACAACAGTGCCCAAACTGTGGCTGGTGATGCTCCGGCATCCCAGCAACCGCCGCCGGCGCCAGAAGAACTGAGGACCTCGCTCTCAGACCCTTCGCTAGACAGAAGCAAGATATTCCTAACCGACTCTATCGACGATCCTTCTACAGTCCATTCGCCTTCGTCAAAAACATCTCGCACACCCGACCACGATGCGCTCGATGCCGCTCCAGAGCGATCCTTCCCGCAGCTGTCTTACAACCCGTCGCTATCTGCCGAAGAGAGGGACTTTGCCGGCGTCAACGAGGAACCCACAGCTCCCTCCTTTGATCGATCTGGCTCGCCGGTGACCTCGACTCAGAAGAGCAAGGCATCCTTCTATGAGAAGGTCGGCGAAGAGGGCATTGTGCGTATGCACAAATTCACTCTATACGAGACATCGACGAAATACTATCTGGTTGGGATCGATCAACTAGACACACGCTACAGGATACTCAAGATTGACCGCACCTCAGACTCGGATGACTTGAACTTGGTGGAAGACGACATCGTTTATAGCAAACATGAAATGAACCAATTGCTGGAGACCATTGAGGACGGTAACAAGAGCTCGGGCGGCCTGAAACTCAGATGTAGCGCGTGGGCATTGCTTGGTTTTATCCGGTTCACGTCGGCTTATTATATGTTGCTGGTTACCAAGAGGAGCTCCGTCGCCAATATTGGCGGCCACTTTATCTATCAAGCAGATGCAACGGAGTTGATACCTCTTATCACATCAGCATCGTCTCGTATCAAGCTCGAGAAGAATCCCGACGAGGCTCGCTACATAGCTATACTGAACAACCTCGACCTTTCTCGATCGTTCTATTTTAGTAACTCATACGACATCACACGTACGCTGCAGCGTAACATTGCTCGAGAACGCCAATCGATTCGGGAAGATCCTGACAGACTCCCCTTATATGACCACAATTCCATGTTTGTTTGGAATCACCACCTGCTGGGTCCTGCTGTGGCCAATATGAAAACCGCATATGATTGGTGTCTGCCTATTATCCATGGCTACGTTGATCAGTCTGTCCTGTCAGTCTATGGACGATCAGTATATATCACTATCATTGCTCGTCGGTCCAGGTTTTTTGCTGGTGCAAGGTTCTTAAAACGCGGTGCCAATGACCTGGGTTACGTTGCTAATGATGTCGAGACCGAGCAAATTGTCTCTGAGATGACAACCACATCTTTTCATTCGCCAGGGCCGAAACTCTACGCAAACCCACGCTACACTTCATACGTACAACATCGTGGTAGTATCCCTTTATACTGGACCCAAGACAGCACTGGTGTGAGCCCAAAGCCTGACATTGAGCTGAACCTCATTGACCCCTTTTATTCGGCGGCTGCATTGCATTTCGATGATCTTTTCGAACGGTATGGGGCACCGGTGTATGTGTTGAATCTGATAAAGGCGAGAGAGCGGACGCCTCGGGAATCAAAACTGCTCAAAGAATACACCAATGCCATTACATATCTCAATCAATTCCTACCAGAAGACAAGAAGATAATATACAAGGCGTGGGATATGAGTCGGGCTTCCAAGAGCCGTGATCAGAATGTTATTGACACTCTTGAGGATATAGCCTCAGATGCTCTTCCCATTACTGGCTTCTTCAAGAATGGAGACGACAAGGAATCGGGCCTGCAACTTCAAAGCGGAGTTGTGAGAACGAATTGCATTGACTGCTTAGACCGAACTAATGCTGCCCAATTCGTTATTGGAAAAAGGGCATTGGGACATCAGCTACATGCTCTCGGCGTTATTGAAGGCACACAGATAGAGTATGATACTGATGCTGTCAATATGTTTACTAATATGTGGCATGATCACGGAGATACGATTGCGATTCAATATGGTGGATCGCATCTGGTCAACACGATGGCGACATACCGCAAGACAAATCAATGGACGAGCCAATCTCGCGATATGGTTGAAAGCTTCAAAAGATACTACAATAATTCTTTCTTGGATGCGCAGCGTCAGGAAGCATACAACCTCTTCCTCGGCAATTATATATTCAGTCAGGGGCAACCCATGCTTTGGGACTTGTCTACGGATTACTACCTGCATCATACGGATCCTCGTACATGGTCCAAAATCAAACGCCCGAATTATATCACTTGGTACACGCCAGAATACCTTGAGAAAGGGGATGAAAATGTCAAATGCCCCCCTCCAGTCACGATCAAAGATCATTCTTTGACATATTATGATGACTATTGGTTAGAATACTACCGCCCTACATCAGTGACGTCCTTTGGGAAGATCTACCCACTGAGGATAAATTCAACTATGAAATACCTGCCTTTTCGCTCTACACAAGGTGGTCGGTACGACTTGAGCCCTTTCGTTGTCCGAATACCCCAGCACGAGCCAGCCAGTCGAGAACGAGCAGCTGCTCAGCAACAGCGACCATCATCATCGCATCAGAGAAAGGGAGTAACGATCCAAGAACCAGATGTCGTGAATGGGAAGTCGAGCGGTACTTATCGCGGCGCCAATGTTATGGATCATATCCACACTTGGCAGCACCAGCCGCCGTCTGCAGAGAAAATGCCTCCTCCATCAGGTATCATGAAAGGAGCAGTGGCCAGAAACAATCTAGACCAGATCACTAGATTTGCGTCACTTCAATCACCGTCTCAGGTAGACAATGCTGGCACAGAGGCGACGCCAAGTAAAGCCCAAATTGCCCAATGGACACTCGGCCAGCTGGTAACAGAGTCTCTGAACCCGTCTGTCACCACCGCCGAAGCCGAAGAGTACGAGCGCTACATCAACCATCCGCTGAAAGTGCCCCTCGTCGTCACATCAGACGATGATCTTGAAACAGCTTCGTCTCTACGAGAACGGGGCGCCAGCCTTGAGTTGTTGGAGTATGTCAATAAAGCAAGCGGTGTCAGCTCTGGGGGGATGCGAGATTCATTTGTTGCAGAGGAAGACTTGAATGATTACGTCGAGTTTTTGAATGTGAACCAGGAAGGGTTAACAGTTGTAGCCGATGACTATGATAAGAAGAGGTATAAGAGATATAGACAATGGCTGAGGGGGAAAAGCCTGTTCAAACAAAGGGTGGACTTGTAATAATCCGTGGACCATGTTATAGTTCGATAATGGATATATTGATGACCGTGATGAAATTCATGATACCCCCTCCCCCAATCTCTAAGGTTGTTTACATGCCAATTGAAGATACATATCTAACTAGCAACTGCTGCAGGCGTTTCATACTTTAAAAGATGATTTCAATCAAAGAAGTAGGCATTACCCAGATCTCTATCAACATCTATCTGGAGGAGCGGTTTCAATTGTTCATCCGCCTCAACAAGGGCTTTGACATCGTTTTCTGTATCAAGGTTCTCTTCACCATCAGCACCCATCACACCTTCTGACTTCATAGTAACCGCCCCCTGCACGCCCATCTTCAACAAGTACACCGTCCCCTGCAACTTGCACTTCACCGTACGCAACTGATCCTTCTGCGCGTCATCACCATAACTCGTTCCTAATTCATCCTGCAAGACATTAATCCAACACTGACAAACGGCAGCCAGAAAATCCCCTCTATACCGCCATATCCGCGGATATGCGTTCAGAATGACCGCTTGCGCAGCAGCAACACCAGCAAGGAGTAATGGCACAGACGCCGTTCCAAACGGGTTCGTCAACGTAGTATAAAGAACAGGGATGATTTCTTGTAGATATTTTGTTGTATGGATACCAATTTCTTTAACTAGTATTCTCAGTTGTTCGAGCAGGAATGTCGATAGTCTCAGGTATGGAAATGATGCTAGAGACGACCCTCCCTCAATTGCCGATGCAGGGCTGTATGAACTGATATGGTGGAAAGATGATATGACGCTATCGCGCAGGAGGGTTATGAGGCGTGTTATGTATGCGGTTTTGTCATCGCTGTTTTTTTGGGTACGACTGACATGATAACGGGCCTGTAAGGTTAGAAGGAGGGCTGGATAGGCTGATCCAAGGAGTTGTAGAGCTTCTTCTTCAGGAGTTATTGAGGGTAGGGACAGGAGGCATGGGGTAAGTGCGTCGTCGAACACAGATGACAAGTTTGTGCGTCGTAGCAAATCTGAATTACTTGTCCGAATTGGTGCGAGGAAGCTGGCGAGAAGCATGCATCCACGATACTTGAAAGAGGCACTCTCGTCATCGATTAGAGACAGGATTGGTGGAACATAGAAATGGAATTGGTTCTCTAGGCGATTGATATCGGAAGACTATAACTTGTTAGATGGGTTATTTGTTGCGAAACATGTTATGGTTAGCAATGATATGACTTACGTTGTACTGTCTAAGTATCCATTCCAGAACAGTTGTTGCATAGACGTCTTTATGCTTCCATGGCTTGCTTTCGGGATCAAACAAGCTATCGTCAAACCTCTGTCGGGGCAAGGGATGGAGGTTCTTGCGACCGGTAGCTGTGATAGCAGCATTCTTAGTCTTTGCAAATATCGGTTTTATGTTTGATTCGCAAATACGCTCTAAAATTGGCCAACATCTGGAACGCCTTTCTGGTTGCATGCATAGCTCAAGGACTGCAAGAGCATCATTGACACTTGTACTTGTTGTCCATGGGTCATGTAGAGAGGTGAAGCTTGAAAGAGACATGAGAATGTCCACCGAGTTTGATGCCTCGAGAACAGGCAATACGTCGTTTAGATACTTGATGCATGAGATGGCAAGGTTGAATGTTGATTGCTGGGCTTTGAGTTTGGCCGGCAGTTTGGAATTTTTATCTTCTGCAATAAAATTAGTCTATGTAAATTTAAAGGAAAGGAGTCGCTATAACGACTTGCCATTTGCTGAATAACGGGCCTCAAGGGCTGACGCGAATTCAGATGATGGCAAAGATACTTTAGCAAGCCAAGCATATAGTTCCTGTGCAGAAGCTTTGTCGTGATCCGCCAATGATGCCTCACTGTGTCTATTCTTCAGGACATGTCGAATAACCAGTAAGCCCTCATTCACCTGGTATGACCAATTAGCACAACAGAGGTCTTGAGGGTCGTTTGGTTAGGTTCATACAGCAGTTGCTTCTTGGGTACGGTGTGAGGACACGTCCGCCCACAAGGCATGCAGACTGATTGAGTCAGTCTCACTGTAGGCAAGTTCACCAAGGTCTTCGGAGTTTGCAGCTTCAATAGAGCTTCTCGCGGCAAGACGAATACCATCCATCTAGCGAGTAACCGCCAAGGCCTGCTAGCGAGACGGATTACGTTGGTAGAGAGAATGTTGGATTTCGAATTGGCCCAGCTAGTAAACACGTATAAATATATGGTCTTAAAATTAGTTTAATAGATGAAAGAGGACTCGTGTGTGTGTCAGTTCTGAATATTGTTTTTGATGCTTTTGACTCTGCGGCGAATTTTATAAATCCCGCGGGCAGCCTGAGGCAGCGAGCCTTGACAGTGTTACTTTATTGGGCTAGTGCATGTTCAATATCTCGTCTGATTGGTCGGAGGCCGACGTATACTTCATTCTGGGTCACCATGCAGCAAACTTCGTTGGTGATAACCTTGGTAGAGTAGACAGAGATAGAACTTTCTAAGGAGGAGAAAGGGTGGTTTTGATTTGGCCTGCCAGCTGGTGAGACTTTGAAATCATGATAGGCGGTCAAAACGCTGTAACACTGTGTTACTACATACAACTTTTGCGACATAAATATAGACTTATATACATGTTTTCATCTTTTTCCATAATTTTCTCATGGCAAGAGTGCTAGAGGAATACAGCTTATATCCCAAGAGATGCGTTAAACTTCGCACCGAGTGGTGTACCGTCTGCAGGTTTTAATTCTGCATCAGATCAAGCATGATCCTCCTGGCCTTCTCGGCCTGCTCTTCAATGTCGACATCCCACAGCCAGCGGAACCTCTCCTGCCATGTGTCCTTCAACTTCTGTCCGTCGTCGCCGACACCTTCATAACACAGACATAGCAGATCTGCATTCTCCTTACTGCTTGTCACGACCCTCTGGCTGCGTTCCCGCCGCACAGCATCATATGCCTTGAAAGCGGCAACAACATGATCCGGCGACGTTACGTGCGGATCTGCCAGTAACTCGGCCAGGACATGAGCGTCCTCAATGGCTTGGCCGGCACCAGCTCCCTGATGCGGAGTGGAGGCATGCGCAGCATCGCCGAGGATCGCGACTTTCGATTTTGCGAACGTCGGGATGGGAGGATGCTCGAAGATGGCCCATTGGGAGGCGTCGGACATGTACTAGGAAACGAAATGAGACGCACGTTATAGGGGTTGTTTATGGTAGAGGGTATACCTTCATAATCGAGTTGACGTATTCCCCCATATGCCCAAAGTCCTTATGCATATCCTCCTTGCTGGCCGGGCGAACCCATGCGTCGTCGACGTTCCAAGCATCATTCAGCGTGTACAGGCCGACGTTGACCTTCTTCGCGCGCATGATGGGATAGGTAATTGCATAGGCGCCGTTACCGATATACCATGTCGAGACCCTCGCACGCTGTTCGCCCACGGCTTCCACCATGGTTTCCATGTCGAGAACGGCGCGGTAGCCGTACATGCCGCTGTACCGTGGCTTCACTCGCTCGGGGTCGTCGGGAAACAGAGACTCCTTGACTTTGGAGCGGATGCCATCACAGCCGACGACCACATCGGCCAGGACGGATGTGCCGTCTTCAAATGTCAGACTGACGCCGGCCGAGTTCTCCTCCAGCTTGGAGAGGCGCTTTCCGAAATGGGCCACGCCGGGTGGAATCAGATTGATCAGTCCGCTGAGGAAGTCGGAGCGGCGCACCGTGGTCTGGCCGGAGGGCAAGGCATTCAAAGTCATGAGCTGCTGGCCAGCATTTTCCCCCGTGGCCCAGATGACCTCGAACCAGGTCTGGCGGAATTGCTCATAGCCTGGGCTGTCTGCGTGGGTGGTGATGAGCGAGTCGTAGATATCGCGGACCTGGGGATGAATGAGCGGCATGGCGCGATGGGCAGCTGGGCCAATCGACAAGCCCAGCCCAATCTCGCCAAACGCCGATGCTGCTTCATAGATCTGCACTGAGACGCCGCGCTGCAGAAGGCCAATGGCCAGAGTGAGGCCGCCGATGCCACCTCCCACGATAGCGACGGTGAACCCTTCCGTGCGGCTCATGTTAGAGTCCGGGATAGATGCAATGTTACCTAGGTATGCAGTTGAATGTATCTAAAAAAAAAACATATATATATATATATATATATATTTGTACAAATAGTCTACCAGGATCTCTACCGGGGTGTTGCCGCTTACCCGTGAAACATGTTCTTTGTTCGATGATTTATTTAGCATGTCTGCATTCCACAACGTGGGAGTCAAAGGTCGTATTCTGCAAATTTCAGCTCAGTCTGGCTGGGGGCTTGGGCCGCGCCATCATGCCATGCATGCAGAAGAATGATGCGGCTTTACTAAGGTGGTAAACCGGTGTACAGGGGTTGCATTAGGTATACAAGGGCTTATTAACTACAATAACTATCAATGAGCTAAGATTATATAATTTATTACTTAATTAAGTCATAGTTAATTTACAGAATTATCTAGGGAACCGCCTCCTATCATCTAGTTACGCTAGTTATAACTAGAGTATATAGTCCCTACTTAGTACTATATGGACCCTGGACCCTGGTCTAAAAGTGGTCCCCCAATCTCAGCTTGCAAGGATCTACATCCATGCATGCCTGCAGGCGAATGAGGCGTCGTTCTTTTACGAGTCCAAGAGACAGGGATTACCATTGTTTTGTGGAAAATTTTCCCGTGGCCTCGACACAGGCTGTATCTGTGTAACAAGTCTGTAGAATATGCAGCGCTAACAGGGGATAAAAATCAGCAACAGCAGCAATAGTTAATGCATGCACTAGCTAACTGGGCGAACCCTTGGCCTGGATGTATGCCGACTTGGGGTGTAGCCAGCCTTGCGATATAAGGGACACGCCGCAAGCAGTCTCGCTTCTCTCTCCATGAGCACTCCACGGCGACTGCGTGTCAGGATCAGCTATGACAACGGCAGATGTGAATAGGGCCTCTGAGCTCCTTATACCCACCATCCTGACCAGCGTTGTGGCCTTCATCTTGACCGCGCTCCGGATCTATGTGCGCCTGCGGATTATCAAGATGCTGGACTGGGATGACTTTTTCAACGTGCTAGCCATGGTGAGCTTATGTTCTGCATAGTTGGTGCAAAATTAAGAAAAAAAGAAACATTAACCTCCTCTAACTACAGGCCACCACGTTCGTGACGATGGGCTTGGTCATCGGCGGCACATCCAATGGAGTCGGTCGACATATTCAGTTCTTGGAGAATAAGATCGCCGACGCAACGTATGGCATCATGCTCATGCGGATTGCCGAGTTTATGTTGATTATATCAACAGTGTTTGTGAAGATCTCGATTAATTTGTTCCTGAAACGACTATTGTACGTTTTTAAACACAAGAACACTGCACCGACGCATCTGGCTAACACTGTCGTTTCGTTCTCACTGCAACAGTCCCACGAGCAGACGATGGAAGGCTTTCTTCTGGGCCTTCATCGTATTCAACACTGTCACAAGCTTTGTCGACGCCGCCGCCATCTTCCCACAATGTACCCCCGTTGAATACAACTGGAACAAATCAATTGACGGGCATTGCTGGTCGGACACGGCAATCGACGCGCTTGGAATAGCCCAAGGATGTGAGTGCCGTGTCTCAATTTGCTTTTGCACTGCTATCTATCGAGTCTAATGCAAAGTGATACATAGCCATTGCCGCCGCGACCGACTTCATTCTTTCGGCTCTGCCCATCATGTTCCTCTGGAATGTCAAGATTATCTTGAGAATCAAAATCGGCGTGTGCGCCATCATGGCGCTGGGATTCGCGTACGTCGGCCGAAAATCGTCATATAGATATGGCTAATGTATATACAGGAGTGGAGGTTTTGCCCTTGCGCGTACTCTTTTAGTTCCTAGCCTAACTTCTACCACGGATCCAACCTGTGTGTTTATTATGTCCTATCTTGTCTATAGTTTGGTTTTGTCACTGACTTATTTGTTTGACTAACAGGGGATCTTATTCCGCTCTTCAAGTGGGCAGAGTAAGTGTCGAAATCTCAGAATCGGGTGAAAAAGTGATACTAAGATTTGCCAGGCTCGAAGCAACATTCGGCGTCATCGCAGCTGCAGCACCCTCTGTTCGTCCCTTACTTGGTCATAACGCTGTTACAACGTACTACTCGAAATCAGATCCGCGATCACGCTCCATTCCTCTCAATAACATGTCCCGTTCCGGTCAGAGGTCCCACCATTCCTGGCTCACTACATCACAACACCGCCAGATGCAGGAGTTGCCTGACGAACTCGGATCAGACGGCGACAGTCATAAGAGGCTGTGGGCGAGCAAAGGCCATGGAATCATCAAGACGACTGACGTCCAGGTCTCCCACTCAGATCGCGAGGGCCCAACAAACCGATCCAGTGATGAAATGCTGGTATCGGACGTAGCATACCAAAACATCAATCTGTAGACGGCCTTTTACATAATGGCATGTATACATAACTATATGAGCTCAAATTACCTACGTAGGTTAGTATAGCGATATCACATCCTAGAATGCCTACCTAACCTAGGGAGTCAAGGTTAGGGCTACAATCATAAAGATAATAAAAAGTATAGAGGCGCATAAGCGAGAATATGCTAAGTGTTAGTTGGTGAGAAAGAATTAGGGCTTGGCCGTGTCCCGTGCGGTAATGGCCTGTATTGTCACATACCCTCCCTGGTAGCATTTAATCTGGAAAACGCCACCAATCCTGAATTATTAACCCGGCTGAGCTACAGCCCCGACGGCCAACAAAGTTGTACAGCTAGAATCCACCTTTGTGCATCATGCTTGGCCGTTGCAGCAGCTAGAAGATGAAAAGTGCGCTGGGCACGGCCGGAGAAAGGGAGACGATATATTCCCTTTGGTTCCTTTCTATCTGTACATTCCTCTTCTGCTTCATGTCACACTGTCACAAGCATTGCCATCATGTCTGAAACGGCTTCTGAGGAGATAAAAGGCACGCTGACTACTGCCACACCTCAAAAGGTGGTCACTGACAAGCATGGTCGTGATGTCGTTCTGATTCCGCAGCCCACGGACGATCCAGAAGATCCATTGGTAAGAATCAGATGCTTGTCCTGTCCAAAAAAGAAAAGAGAGAAAGAAAAGAAGAAAAAAAGGAAAAAGAAAAGTCCATGACCTGACAGCGCACAGAACTGGCCGATGAGAAAGAAGATCATCATCTTCGCCAGCGTCTGTCTAGCTGCCTTTGCAGCTCAGATGTCGCCCAATTCCAACATGCTCACCTTCATGTCGCAGGTGCCAGCTTACAACAGGACGGCAAACGACCTGCTCTACTCCGTGGCCGCTGGTCTTGCCGGCTGGGTCGCCGGCCCCTTCTTCTTTATCCCCTTGGTTGGAGTGATCGGACGGAGCGCCGTCATCTTCTGGAGTCTCGTGGGCATCTTCGCGGGCCAGATATGGGGTGGTGAGATGACTGGCGCCAATGACTACATTCCCTTCACCATCTCCAGACTCTTCACCGGCCTCTTCGGCGGTATCCCGGCCATTCTGGGCAGTGGATATATTGTCGACATGTTCTTTCTGCACCAGCGTGGAAAGGCCTTTGCTGTCTTCGAGATTATAGTCATCTTTGCTGTCGTCGGCGGAGGAACGCTTGGAGGCTTCATCGCCAATAACAACCCTTGGGACCTTGTCTTCTGGTGGACCCTCGGCCCAGTCGGCGCTGCAATCATTCTCGTCTTCGTCTTTGTCGAAGAAACCACCTACGACCGCGATGCCGTCGTTCCTGGCCGTGCTCCCCTGCCCAAGAGCTGGCTAGCCAACAGGATCGCCACCTACCTTCCAGGCATACGTACGCAGCCCGCCGGCAAAGGCAAGGAATTTGTAAGTTATCATGATGATGCCTTTGTATCTGCACATACTCTTCTTACACAGAAAGCTGAGCTAATCTACGAGCAGGTGCAACGTGCCATCATCCCTTTCCAGATCACTTTTGCTCCCATCACCCTCTTGATGGGGACGTATATTTTCATCGCCCTTGGTCTGCCCGTCATGCAAGCCTCTACTCTGGCTACATATTTGGAGCCTCCCGTTGCCGCCGGGGGCTATGGGTTTTCTTCGCTACAAATGGCCTTCTTCACCATGGCCGCATGGGTTGGCATCTTCTGCGCCCAGGTGTATGGCTATTTCTTCAACGACAAGACTCCTCTCTGGGTCGCTCGTCACCGCGGTGGCACCTGGCACACTGAATATCGTCTAGCAAACACTATCCTGCCATCCCTCCTGCTGCCCATTGGCCTCGGTCTATGGGGGGCTGGTCTGCAATACCATCTGCATTTCATGGTCCTTGCTGTAGGTTCCTTCATAATCTGGTTCAGTGCTCTTCTCGCCTTGCCGGTCTGCTACAACTACATCATTGAATGCTTTCTACATAACCCCGTCGAGGCTTCCGTCTCGCTGAACGCTTACCGCGTCTCCTTTGGCCTGATCTCCGTCTTCATTTCCACTGACTGGCAGACGGCCGTTGGCGTAGGCTGGATGTGGGGGATGGGGGCCTTCTTCATCGTCTTTGTCGATATCATCATGATCGGTCTTATCCTCAAGGGCCATGTTGTCCGTCAGTGGACTACCATATTGAGCAGGACTCTTGCCTTTACTGAGGATGGTGCAACAATTAGCAACAAACATGACGAGGCTGCTTAGTCGTACTCGTATATAGGTAAATAATATTTACAAAAGCCCCTGGCAGCAGAACCAAGAAGCAGACGTTTGTCAATATCTGGAGATCTTTCATTTAGCTAGGCACTAGCACTATGTTGGAAAATACACCTAAACTGTATGTATATATATGCGTAGACACCATCTTTTCGCGTAAAAACAAAGCTTACTTTCGAAGAAAGGGCTCCTTCTCTATCAGCAAAACTATCTCTTGCAGGGACTTGCGAACATCTTTACAAGTCCATCGTCTCTGAGTGTCGGGCTCAAGCATTCCTTTAATACAAGTCGACACTGATCTAGCCACTGACATGCCATTAGCCAACTTCACCCTGCCACAATCAATCTTATCTTCAAAGTCGTGCGGGATTCTGACAATGCCATCCTGCAGGCCCCGGCGAGTGAGCTCGGACAAAACAAGCTGTCGCTCCATTTTCGTATCCAGACGATAGAGAAGCTCAAACAAAATCACGCCCAATGCAAACACATCTAGCTTCTCATTTATCGCAGAGTAGTCACTCGATTCCTGACCGGGGGTAGATGCTTGGGGTTTCTTCGGTGGATAGTAGAATTCCGTACCGACGTGTCGAAATCTCCTATGTTCTGCCGTACTCTTCTGTACGGTGACTACGCCATCATCGGAAGCCTGCATCTCGGTGCAATGAGAAATATCTGCAACAAGTCCGAAATCACCTATGCGAGGACGGTATTGACGGGCAATGCGTCCACTATTTGTGCCGTGGCATGAATGGCAGATATCCTCGTCGTCTTCACGTGTTGAGAGGAATATGTTGGCCGGTTTCAGGTCACGATGAACTATCCCTTTGGAATGGAGATACTCTACTCCCGACAGTATGCCAAGTAATATTCTCAAAGAAGGCAGAAGGTGAAAGCAATGTCGCACCAAGGGCGGACGGCCGATATTATTGTAATTGCCGTGCCTGGGATTAAGGAGCGTGCTGAGGGTAAGCGGATGTAGCGACATCTGGATATGAAGAACAACCGTCTGATTTTGTGGTTTATCGCGGCGTGTAAGCTGGAGCTTTGATTGGTCGTCGCTCATGTCATTAGTGAAAATATCGGTGTCGGTAGGATCCCAGGTTGAAGTGTAATCGTGGGAGAGAACTCCGGCTTTCGGGATACTGAAATTGCGCTGAATAGACTCGACGTCCTCATCTTCGTCTTCACTACTGATTGCTATGCTCTTCTTCGACAGCGAAGACGCGTTTGTGAAGCGGCTACCTCGACGCTGGTGAGGATCAGACCAGGAGCCGACTTCTTGACTGTGAGAATACGATCTCCTATTGTTATTGCTGTCGCTGCTGTGCTTATTGTGATCATCCTCGCCGTCGTTGCTAGACAGGCCAAAAACAATCCCAAAACTCTGATCCTCTTCCGCAGGATCGTCGCGTTTAGGCGATTCCAATGTCATATGCATCTCTTCTCCTTGATCCAACGCTTCGCTTTCCGGATACGCATGTCTCTCTTCAATCCAAGCGCCGAAGTAGCGAACAACATTCTTATGTTCCAGGCGAGCCAACGTCCTGATTTCTTTCAAAATGTGCTCCAGATGCTGCACGCCTTCTTGCTTTAGCATTTCTAGTCTCCACTTGCTCAGCGGTATCTTCTTCACTGCATAGCTCTGGCCATCCACATGATGTTTTACTTCGAAAACCTGTCCAAAAGAGCCGCGACCCAAAAGTCTTACCTCCACAAACTCCGATGCATATCGCGACGTACGATCGAGTGGGTGTTCGACTTTGGTGCTAACTAACGCCATAGACCCCATGTTATCACCCCCGGGTGATTGAGGCGATCGTAGCAAGTTGTTCAAATGAAGGAAACCCTCGGAATGCCCATGGTAGCCAGGAGCAGAGACCGGCTTGCGTTTTTGTATGTTCCATTCGTTATTATACGAAGGGCCAGGCTCAGTACTCCCTTGATAGTACCTTGAAGTGGGAATGAGTGACTGAGTTGCCAACGTATCACGAACAACATCATTCGTTTCTCCTTGAGAGACATGTCTTCCAGGGACATGGCCTATATTCGCCGTGTCGCCAATGGCTGCATTCCCAAGCATATCCAGATTGTCACGATAATATTGGCGAATCTTATCCCAGTCGTCATCTTCAATACCACCAGCTACAATGCCATGATTCGACAAAAATTGCGACTTATAACGAAACATTTTCTTCGCAAGTTGCTTGGTTTCCACAGAGTCACGTGTAAATTGACCATATGATCCAGGCTGTGCATTGAGGATATCCGCAGCACGACTGAGACAAAAGAACTCCAGCAAGGCAGATGTCATGACAGATGCATGCCCATCAGCGTCCAGATCCAAGGCCCCTCCAAGCACGTTTCCTGGCTCAAGGCGGCTTGGAGTAGGGATGTCGTAGTCGTCCTCCAGGAGTAGCTCATCTAAACTGGCCGAGGGCGGAGCTGCGAATTCATTGGCGTCGACATGGATTTCTGACAGATTATCATTGTCACTTCCATAGTCCTCCGAGCTAGACTCTGGATCGGACGATGAGATATCCGCTGCAGAGCGGAACATGGACATGTCGACGGATCTGACACACCGATAAGGTGTAAAGTCCGTCCTCTGTCATGAGAAAGTTCAAGGAAATAAGAGACAGTATGCGAGATAGTTTACATGGAAATAAATTCTAATGTGAGAGCATCGCAAGAAATGCTGAATATGTATGGCGTTGAAGGAATGTGGGAAACGACCGTGGCGATTCTGAGATTTGACGACTCGTAGCTCAACAGAGCTCTAGTTCGAAGCGCACGAAGACATCGTGAAGGACCAAGTAGCGAAAGACACTCTCGGCTAGATGAGAGTCTAAAGTCCAATTGTTGTTTATTTGAACAGCTCATCTTCTCTGCCTAACGCAATGACTGGTTTCGCATAAGGTCACGTGCGGCGGGGCTGTAAGGAGCGAATCAGAACGTACTAAGATGTATACTTCTAGATGATTCTGTATAAATTGTGAAGATGTATCTAATTTGGGGATATTCATGCCAACGGGCTATATTAACTTAGTCACATCAGACATTAATCGTGACAAGCGTTCCTGGCCGTATCTTGACCGGTTAATTGTACTCGTAATAATATTTCCAAACTCGATTCAGCTTCCCTTCCTCATAATCCAAAGCCTGCGTAACATTAGCTAGTAGCCAAAAATAAAGGAATAAAATATAAACAAAAAATGAAATCAATTAAGCACGACAAAACCTACCAAGTTCTAAAAAAATTAGTCCACCAAAGCGTCCTCATCCTTCAGCCATTTTTGTTGCCACGATGTAAGAGGGCTGTTTTCTGGGAACGTCTGAGCAGTATCAAAATCAACCCAGAGCACTCTCTCTCTATCTGGCTCTAGAGATACCATCATATTCCGGGGCGAAGCGTCACCATGCTAAACTCCTGCCTCATGCATGTCATCAAGAATTTGGCGAAGTTTATCAGTGCGATCTTTGGAGAAGTTTTTTTAAGCTTACTTCTTGCAAATTTGGGATGCATTCGATAAGAATAGGATCAGGAAGCAGCTAGTCGTCAAGAAACATAGACAAACTTGGCCAGTAAATAGGCTGGATCTGTTTAGTTATCCCATAAAGGTCAGGAATAACCCTTCTTTCACAGAAGCCTCGTTGTTTCAGGCGGTTGTAAGCGGTCGATTCCCGGATAAAAAGATTGTATTCACGGCCGGGTTGACTGGCTGGATTTCGAGCCCTACCATGATATTTTGAACCGTCAGTGATGCATAATAAGAATAAATGATTGACTCTACCCACCACCTTGAATATACATAGTGCATGGTGGACGAGAACCTTAAAAACAACCGAGTTTTTACCTTGCTTCAGCATCTCAGGGAATGTGACATCCGAGGGTTCCAGGTTAATCTCATAGTCGGTACTATTGGCCATGATTGACTGTATCCAGAGGCACTTGGAAACAAGGGGCAGAGAGAAAGAGGGAGAAGTAGGATGAATGGTATACTGTCGGAAGGACTGAACGTGTTGGATTAGACTAGATTGCACCTACTACTCCTGATGGCGGCTACTAGTTAGTTACTAGTTACTGCGAGCTAGGCGCTCCTGTAGGCTGTAGGAAATCAGCACCACATAATAAGTGGAAGATGTTTAGGTGTAAGTGGGTAAATGAGTGCTTCTGTAAACTAATTGGCACATTGTATTCCCAGAATCACAAGATGTTTGAGGCTTGTTTGAGAGTCAAGAAGGTAGTCCCATGTAGTTATACATTACAATGCTCGACATCTCTCTCAGTAAAAATGAAGGAAAAACAATATGGGCACATAAATTGCACTCCGCATGATTTCTCTTCGCCTTTTGGAACTCACATAGTGAGTGGATATAGATGGAGCCGACTTTTTGACGAGTGGGAGCCTTAACACGTGTAGTAGTTGCAGAATGTTCACTATCTGCTTTGACGCGGTTGCTCTTGAAAGTAGTCATCAATACCCGAATTCGCGCCTTGCTCCACCACAGAAGGAGATGAGATGAAAAATAATGTATTTAAGCCAACAATCCCAGAGCCTCTAGTGGCCATCGTATATGTTCTCTCCAAGAAGGATCAAGCAGACTATATATCGACTGCAACAGACGGCGGGGCCAGCCTTTTAGCCACCAGCGGTCGTCCATTTCATGTAACAATATGCAATAATGTGCCAATGCAACCAAAGCCATCGGCCGTCGGTCTCTTAGATTAGCAAATAGAATAGGCTTCACGACGATGGGCCACCTAAACACAGTAACAGCGTCGTAGCCAGAGTGCAGTTGCTGAAAAGATGTTGAGAGCTGAGAAATTGCCTCTTCACATGCAACCGCTTCCTCAATGTTGAAACCAGTTCTTGTCAAGTCAGCATTGAGTTTGAACACTGCAGAGAGCTTTGCATCGACATCTGCGGGAAGAGGATGGATTTTTGCTGATCGTCTGCTGGACAGCAGGTCTGAAATCCAGCTATTTGAGCCCTCCATCCACTGCTTTGATGTTTCAAGGATTTTTGCAATTCCCCGACATAAGTTGGCAATCTGAAGCATCTCCTCGATTGGTGACAGTGAGTGTACCCGAGATATCTGTTGAGAGGCAAAGGCTAGTATAGTTGCAATGGAAGAGAAGACAAACATAGCCCCGCTATTGGCTGGCGTTATATTATCTAGCTCTTTCCTAAATAATGCCAATGCCAATGTCTGGTGCCCAGTAGCAAGCTCGTCGTATTCATTAGCTCGGTCACTGTTCTTGTTCAAATATGCCAGATGCAGCGCAGACAAAGCCAGAATTCCGTGCATCAGGAACGGATGTAACATGGCGACCTTGGGGACTTCATTTCGAAAAGGCTCTGCAAATTCGTCATCCTGCGAAATGGTTCTGTAGCTACTTATACAGTAATGATGCATCAATTCCAAGTCCCGTAAATGTAGGTCCGAAGGAAGTCGACCGTCTCGTTGGGGGTCCAATATCAAAAGAGGGTCAGAGTTCCCTAGAGCTACTGATGACGACGTCGTGTGACTTGCATGGCCGTTTTCAGGCACATTGATTAAATTCGAAGAAAATGTGCTACTACTGCTGGTAGGATTTGCCTGCGTAGCTGCATTCTGGGCCAACAAGCGACTTTTCACCGGCGAGACAGAGTATATGCACTCTATGCTATGTTTGAGGCAGTTATTGCAAGTTGGCCTCTGCTCACCACACTGCTCACAGAATTAACATCGAATGTACCGAGACATGGATTACGGCTCAGTACCTTGATCCGCCGTTGCTTACACTGAACGCAGCCGAGTCTGCTCTTCGTATGCGTTCGACGTGATCTCAATGTTCTTCGGCTCTCCGGAGCGGAAGCGTTGCTACGGAAGAGTAGATCAGACTTAAGAGTATTGGTTGGAAGCATCATAAGATTCGCAATGCATTTTGGGCCCACGAGGAAGGGCAGCTTAGAAGTGAGGTAGTGGTTTTGAGCCATTCGCCGCCGTTCTTGAGATGCGGAGAAGGACGGCAGTCCGGAAGCAACTGCTGAGGCCTTTTATTGGCTGATGCCGAGCAAGTGGGCTGACGTAAGTTACGGGTCACGTGAAGTGTCCCGAGACGCGTAAATGACTTTCTATAAACGGCTTAGCGTGGTTGCCCGTCACGTCACCAGCGCGACACGAAATGCCCTTTTTCCGCGTCCATCCAACAGATAGCAACTGTTCAATACTTTCTATGACCGCCGTTCTACACCGTTTATTTGGCGCTGCCATCGCTTAATCTCTCGCCATGACCGAGACCTCTTTAAAATCGGCGCAGAAGCGCATTCTTACCGATGCCACGATGACCTCCGGGAACCTGTTACCGAACAACGCGTCCAAGAAACGCAAGCTTGATATAGATGAACCGCCCGCTCGTCTGGGGGTGCCCCCTCGAAGCAGCGGCCTTAAAAGTTTTGGCTCTAGTCAGGTTCAACAGAAAAGTCGTTTCGAAGAGGACCTAGAGAAATTGACGCAGGACATCAATGGGTTGAAAGAGAACAATTCGGAAAAAGACCAACAATGGGATCGACCGCCGTTGGATGGCTTCGACCCTGCCAAGGATAAACTGTGTTTTCAGCAAATTGATGTTGAAGAGGGAACTTTGAATGAGCGTGCGACTGTGAAGCTTTTCGGAGTTACAGAGGTAAGCGCCTAATTAAGTTGACTGCGGTAACTCCTCCCTAACGCTTTGCAGAAAGGAAATTCTGTTCTTCTTCACGTCGAGGATTTTCAACATTATCTATTGATTGCTGCACCAGTGGGATTCCTTCCGGAAGATTGTCCCAAATACACCTCGTTCCTAGAGCAGAAGTTCGCCTCGCACACACGCATGATCCAATCCACACATCTGATGAAGAAAGAAAACCTTTATGGATTTCAGGGGAATAAGAAATCATTCTATATTAAGATTACGGTCACTGAGCCTAGACATATCAGCAAGTTACGAAATGGATTAGAAAAGTCTATTGCGACATACAACTATAACGGATTGTGGCCTTCAGCAGATGACGGAGGTATCATGACTTTTGATAATATTCAATACGTGCTGAGGTTTATGATTGACACTGGGGTGAGATTTTTTTTTCTCTTCTCAAATTCAATGAACAAGCTCTAACTTTCGGGCCTAGATTTCTGGCATGTCCTGGGTAGAAGCCAAAGCGGGAGATTACAAGTTGTTGCCCGCGCACAAGCGACAATCCAACTGCCAAATTGAAGCATCTCTCTCTTATCACAATCTCATTGCGCATTCGAACGACGGAGAATGGGCAAAAATGGCGCCTTTGCGAGTTCTCTCATTTGATATTGAGTGCGCAGGCCGAAAAGGAATTTTTCCGGAACCGAACCAAGACCCCGTTATCCAAATTGCTAATGTTGTCACTCGTTATGGGGAGTCGAAACCTTTTGTGCGCAATGTTTTCGTCTTGGATACCTGCAGCTTAATTGTGAATACTCAAATCTTCGAGTTCAACGACGAAGCAAAGATGCTCATGGCATGGACAGAGTTTCTTCAAAAAGTCGACCCAGATGTCATTATAGGATACAACATCGCGAATTTCGACTTTCCGTATCTGCTTGATCGAGCAAAACATCTAAAATGCCGCCAGTTCCCGTATTTTACCAGGCTGAAATCTACGATATCTGAGGCAAAAGACACCAATTTCTCGAGCAAGCAAATGGGGAACCGAGACACAAAATCGACCAACACAAATGGCAGAATCCAATTGGATCTTCTCCAATTAATTCAACGTGATCATCATCTCCGAAGCTACACTCTAAACTCTGTTTGTGCCGAGTTCCTGGGTGAACAGAAAGAAGACGTTCATCACACCATGATCACGGAACTGTTCAATGGAACCCCAGATTCGAGAAGACGGTTGGCTGTCTATTGCCTCAAAGATGCTTATCTTCCACAGCGACTAATGGATAAGCTGATGTGTCTCGTTAACTATACTGAAATGGCGAGAGTCACGGGTGTGCCATTTAATTATCTTCTGTCACGTGGCCAACAGGTCAAGTTCATTAGCCAGCTCTTCCGCAAGGCTAGAGAGCAGCAATTAGTAATTCCAAATCTGAGCAAGCAAGATGAAGGCGATTATGAAGGTGCTACGGTCATTGAACCCATTCGAGACTATTACGACGTGCCTATTGCGACTCTTGACTTTGCATCTCTGTATCCTTCGATTATTCAAGCGCATAATTTGTGCTACACAACGCTTCTGAACAAGAAAGCAGTGGAACATTTTGGCTACAAAAAAGACGAGGACTATATTGTCACTCCCAACGGCGACATGTTTTGTACCACCAAAGTGCGGAAAGGTCTGCTGTCGCAAATTCTGGAGGAGCTTCTTAGTGCGCGAAAAAGGGCAAAAAAGGAATTGGCTACAGAGACAGATCCATTCAAGAAGGCCGTCTTGAACGGTCGTCAGCTTGCACTGAAGATCAGCGCCAATAGTGTGTACGGTCTTACCGGTGCAACCGTGGGCAAGCTTCCCTGCTTGGAAATTGCTAGTAGTACTACCAGTTATGGCCGTCAAATGATTGAGAAGACGAAGGCGGAAGTTGAAGCCAAATATACAATAGCGAATGGCTATTCCCATGATGCCCAGGTCATATACGGTGACACTGACTCTGTGATGGTTAAATTTGGAGTCAAAACACTTGAAGAAGCGATGAAACTAGGCGAAGAGGCAGCAGATTATGTCTCATCTAAATTCATTAAACCCATCAAGTTGGAGTTCGAAAAGGTTTACTTTCCGTACCTGCTTATCAACAAAAAGCGGTATGCCGGACTCTATTGGACCAATACAAAGAAGTATGATAAAATGGATACCAAGGGTATCGAAACAGTTCGGCGAGACAACTGCCGACTTGTACAGACAGTTATTGAGACGGTTTTGAACAAGATTCTGATTGATCGAGATGTTAATGGCGCACAAGAGTGAGGGCTCTTTTTTATTCTTCTTTCTCATTTTTACTCATAAATTATTGCGGTCATTGCTAATGATGTTTCTACAGTTATGTCAAAAGTACAATTTCCGATTTATTGCAGAACAAAGTAGACATGTCGAAGTTGGTGATCACAAAAGCCCTGTCGAAATCAGACTACAGTGCCAAACAAGCCCACGTTGAGCTTGCGGAGCGTATGCGCAAGCGAGATGCTGGATCTGCACCTACACTGGGTGACCGTGTTGCCTATGTCATTGTTAAGGGTGCAGGAGGGTCAAAGAATTATGAAAAATCAGAGGACCCGATTTATGTCTTGGAGAACAACATCCCTATTGATACCAAGTACTACCTGGACAACCAACTTGCAAAGCCCCTCGGCCGTATCTTCGAACCCATTTTAGGTGAGAAGAAGGCTTCGCAGTTGCTGACTGGTGCGCATACCCGATCTATCTCTGTCGCTGCGCCTACTCTAGGCGGGTTGATGAAGTTTGCGAAAAAGACGCAAACTTGCATGGGTTGCAAGAAGCCTCTAGTTGGAAAAGACGAGATGGCTGGCGCAGTGTGCGAGAATTGCCGACCTAGAGTTGGCGAGCTGTACGCTAAAACGTTGAAGAAGACGTCTGATCTCGAGGTACGCTTCGGCCGGTTATGGACGCAGTGCCAACGCTGCCAGGGTAGTTTGCATTGCGAGGTCATTTGCTCTTCAAGAGATTGCCCGATTTTCTATATGCGTATGAAGGCCAAGAAGGATGTTGAGGATGCAGGCAAAGAGTTAATGAGGTTTGACTACGATTCTGGGGCATGGTAGCCACCGATTGTTATGATTATAGTTTGGAACTTGATGGATTGGAGGCGCCTTCGTCGATACTTGTATGGAATTCTATGAAATAATACATCTCATTGATGCATTATCACCAAACTCGTATATAGCGGTTTTCTAGGCAGCAAAGTACTATCTAGCGTACAGGGTATAGTGTAGTAATACAAGAGCCGGAGATAAGGCCCGTGCTGTGGGGATAAGTGACGAATGCGTCACGGATCCCCTGGCGGCGATGCTTGGCATGCAGCTAGTTCGAGTGGGGACCTTCCCAGAAATGTTTTGATGCTTAATTTCGACTTCATCTCTGCACCCTGAGCAGTGAATAAACCACTCGGGAATTCAGCTTACCCCATAGAGACTGGCTGGTGGCGTCTATAGCAGAATGAGGAGATGGCGCCAGTGCTGAATCATGTGATATCGCCTACTGGCCAAGAGCCGACCGAAAGCTCTGCTGCGACAGCGCGACTCTCGGAGGTGAGTATCTTTGACCGTGTCTGACCTTACAATGGCTAAATTGCCATCGCATATCCAGACTTTAGACTATCATGAGTCTAGTCTGTCATCGCATTTGCATCTCATTGAGTCGCTCGACTCCAACAAAACACCGCAGACTATTTCACGGATCCTGGAAAGCGCGCAAAAGTTGGCTGACCAGTTTACGGCGATAAGAAAACAACTTGTAAGTTATTTCTATGTTCTTTTACTCTTCCGTCTACTTATACGGTTTATTTCCTAGACTTCTATTGGTATTGGCAGAGCAACTGCGACAGGAAATTTAAGGGAGAAATTGAAAGCGAGAAAGCCACGTCCGACCACGAAAATCAACGGAAAAGGAACGAAATGGAATATTGATGAAGCCGAAAGTACAATGAGCGAAGGTGGTGGGGCTAGGAAGCGATCCCGGGAGAGCGAATTTTCGGAATCGCAAGTAAGCACCGATCAGGGTAGCCAGTCATCACGAAAACGGCCCAGGACGAAACGGGAGATCCCCGGAGCGCAGGATGATGTGGAAGACTTTGTACCCGTCGCGTTGCAGAAGGACGATATTTCGGAGGAGGTTGAGCGGCGCCTGAAATTGAAGGAAGAGAGACGAAAAAAGTCGAGCGCCGAGACAGACAAGAAGAGGAGACGGGACAGCACCTCATCGAGGAATGGCTCTTCTTCTTGGTCGGCCAAAAATAGATCAAAACGTTCCAAGAACTCGAACTAGCGCGATGGGAACGAAATAGGCAGCCAGACCGGACGTCTTGTTCTAGGCTGATCTCTGAACGTATCCAACAGGCAATCACAGCCGGCCAATTGACTTTGCAAAAATTGGGTTTTACAATTGTGTTCGCAGATTTTGGTTTTCTGGGGTATTTCGAGTCATATCCTTACCCGTACCTGGTCGAAGCGGATGCCTGGGGGATCCCGAACTCAATTCTGTTACTACAGGCAGCATAAGACCATTGAATCAGCGATATTTGAACTTTATATTAGAGAACTTATCGATTTGACTTGTAGCATAGACCATCCTAGTGTCTGACTCCGCGAAGATTTGGCTGCCTGCCTGTCAAAAAGACCCTGTCGATCATTGGCCCATGGATCCTAGCAAACTCAATTTGACGGATCTCTCAGTACTGTTGATCCCCCGCCATTTTTATGTCCTTTCGATCAAAAACATCAGGATATGCCTAGAGCAGGCAGCGATCACAGTCGACAACGAACCATGGATACAGTGCTTGAGATTGTCTATAAGATGAGCCTGCCACGCGCGCCCTCTTCCTCTTCCTTTTCTTTTCTTTTCTCTAGGCACATTGTGACCACTTGATTGTACGGAAGGATAAAAGATTTCGAAGAGAAGACCCTGTGCGCAGTAAAAGTTCAAGATTAACCGGGTTTTGTGCGTGTTCTGTTAAAAAACCTCAAAAACGTCAGAAAAAAACCAAAAAAAAGGCTGAGAGGACAATCGTTAAATTGATTTTATGATATCTGGGATCTTGGCGCTGTGAAACTGAGGCTTGCACAGAAACGAATATACCTATCCACCATCAACTGCTCTCACCTTGCACCTCAAACTGCTTAAATCCATTCGCTTTTGTCTCCCGAAAAAAAGCCTGTTGACTTGGACTCTAGAAAAGTCACTTTATTGAAGAAAGTTCTAGACTTGGACGCTTAGAAAAGTCATTAAACAAACCGTTGACTTGGCCTATCAGAAAAGTCACATAACCAATCTTGACTTGGACTGTTGAAAAGTCATTCAATTCATTCGAATTCTGGTCACCTATCCAACTCAATTTCCGGGTAGACCACAGGAGCAAAATCTGCATCTCTAAACCCAACTTCAAAATCAATCGGCGGGACTTGCATCCCATTCAAATCTGTGCAATCGTCTGTTCTCCGGAAGGGCCCCCGGATAATAGATCCAATCTTTGTCAAAGTTCTAGTCAATTCGTCACCGTCCGATTCTAGTCAATTCGAAGTCGAAATCCAAACAATTTGCAGAACCTCGTTAAAATAGAATCAATTGATCCCAAACATGGCACGATTCCAGAAGCAATTCAACAGTCAACGCAGCTACAATCCTTACAGGGCACGTCGCCTTAGAAACAACAGGCAACCCCTTCAAGACATTGATAGAAACATCGTCATGGGCGGCATGGAAACTGCAGCTCCATCGCCGGCCGGGCAAGGACAAGCACAAGCACACCCTGGCAAGGGTCGTCGAAACCGCAACCGCAACCGCAACCGCAACAGAATCGGCCAAAATGGCCAGATATCAAAGCACGGCCTGCCTACGATGACCGGCCTAAACAGACAAAATTTTCGGGGAAAGCCAAAATGGACCCCCAAACAACAAGACATCGTCATGCGGGAGGCCCCAGCGCTCATGGACTGGAGCCAACAAGTCACGTACGTCAACGTCGATGGCATCCAGACTCCAATTGACGGCAATGGGGATGTAGTCATGGGCGAAGCCCCATCCCTCACCGTCTGCCTGCTTGCAGAACTCGTGGAAGTGATGAACCTGTGCTCGTGATCACAGTCATCATGAAAGGGAACTTGAAAGTGAACTGGACATGGGCTCGTGATTCCATTCCAGTTCTTGATAAATGATGGATGAGAGCATGCTCGTGATCGTGCCATCCACTTCTATTTCTCTATTGGCTGCTTGCCATACAATTATATACCAAGATCTTACACAATCTGCCGGCATCTGGCCTGTCCGATTTGCCATATTAAGAGAATATTTTTTATGATACACTCTGGGGGGACGCTCCCAGCGGTGCTCAGATACTTTGGGATGGATTCAAAGGGACGATCTTGCCCTAAAGGCTTGATACTTTTTTCGGGAGGTTGCCGTGGACCTGAGGCCCGGCGTATCTTTTTCATGGATAAGGACCGTATAAATGGTCCCAATATCTGAATCCTGGTTTACCGATGCAAGTCATCGGTTTTATACTTATATAATGTGTTATGTATTTGTTGAGGGAGGCGGGTAGGCGGGCATTACTCAACAATATTACTTTTGTGTGAACGAATTGCATGCATATCGTGCATGGAGTTGGTGTTGAATGTTATGTGATGATGATACCCTGCCATATGACAAGGCATATTGGCTTGCATGTATGGTGTTTTGGCTATCTTTGCATAAATAGAATTGATTCTGGATCCGTGCCAGCCCCGAAACTGGCCTTCCTTCCTGTTATAAGACTTCCCTTCTCAAGTAATAGCAAGTAAATTGTATTTATTCCTGTAATAACATTAGGATTGCATCGTGAAAGAGGATCGGGTAATGCAAATTCGTAATATTCATTAAGTGTTTCTATTATACAAGATTGAGTAATCAAGAGCAGAAAAATATAATACATCAACAGAACGAACATCCATCATGAACTTTCTTCATTGTCCTTATCTCTCTGCGCAATCTCCTCTCTCTTCTTCTGATCAGCCGGCTTCCCCCAATTCCACACTTCCCAGATATGATCCATAATCAAATCTCCATAGCCTTTCCCTTCATCCAAGGCCTTTTGCTCTTCGCGCAGTCGCTTCTCCTTCCAACCTTCTGGCTCGGAGCCCATCCAGATCTTCTCCGGCAGCGATCGATCCTCGAAGCGTCTGTTGATTTTGTATTTTTCCAGCTCGTCTTCGTTGTGAATAGCGGCTTCCTTCGACGCTCGCAGCCTGGCTTGCACTTCCTGTGCTTTCTCCGTGGGCAGGGCATTGAACAGATTGGCAATGCCCTGCGAGCGCGGTGGCTCAGCCGACTTGCCGAGGTATTTCACGCCGACATCGTCGATGATGCCGCGGCCATAGGGGTTGCTGTCGCGGTAGAGGTGATTGGCCGACACGGCGAAGGCGGCTGACAGAGCGACGGTGTTGAGGTCCAGCTTGCGGGGCGGCAGGGCGATGAGGACGGGGGACGCGACGACAAAGGTCCAGGCAGCAATGCGCTTGAATTTGAAGTAGTCGCTTTCGCGGGTGCTCTGCAGGGAGGTGTCAGGGCTGTCTGGCGCAGACATTGTTGGGTGATTTGCTTGAAGTCGTAAGTCCAATAGCAGAACAATTCATTCGCTGGAGCTTTTCAGACTGGACTGCGGCGTTATGTAAGCGACTTTTTCCCATTTCCCATTCTCCACCGGGGAAAGCTTGGCCGAAGCCAAGACCACGTGACCGGGCTATTAATAGAGCGCGGCCTCCTCCCTGATACAGTACGGTAAGCACTCCGTACGGAAGGTCGGATAGTCGGATAGCAGATAGGCTATGGGCATGCTGCGCCATATTCGGCATTCTGTGAAATGAAGATAGGTAAGACCTAGTGGCATTAGCGCGCGCCCCAGCTCAGCCACTGCTTGAGCAGCACAGCCAATGGCGGCCGAGTGACGTGGCCGTAGCAGGCCTCACTGGCCCGTCAGCTGTCGCGTATGTGTAGATACACAGCGGTTTAATGCATTTAATGCACATGCAGTAGCGATCAACGTTGATTGTTATGAATATGATGTAGCATATGCAGCTATTATTAGGAAATTACGCGTATTGATACGTATTCGGCTGTTTTGAAACACACGCTCTCTGACGTCAATTGACCCCTTTTGCTGCCGCTAAAAACAAATCAACAACGAGAGTTCGGGCTCCGAATGCTTAGCAGAATACAAAACGAGAAAAAGGTGGATGGCCTGACGTTGTGCCTGTGGCTGATGCTTGTCGCGCATTGGCAAGGCCCCCGTTTTCCCCCGTACCGTACGGTACCATACGCACCTGCCGGGCCAATCAGGAGCCATGCACTATTTTTGTTGGGTTACAACTTGCCTTTCAAGGCTGTCAAGCCACTTCCGTATGACCCGCGCTGATAAGTCAAGTCAGTCTTGCTTGCTCTCGTTTCTCCTTTTAAATCCTGCTTGTTCCCCCCCCCTTTCTTTTCTGACGTCGACATATCACCACTGGTTCTCTTCAATCAACTATTATATCCTCCGTCCTCCGTCCTCCTACTCTAATCCACAATCCAAAGACAAAAAGTCATCAACAACCAACAAAATGTTCCAGAACGGCTTCTTCGGTCTCTTCAAGACCTCCCAAGAGCAGGAAGAGCCTCGCTCCCAGCAATGGAATCCCACCACCATGGCCATGGAACAGCCCGCCAACTACGCCGGTAACCAGGAGTCCACATCCGTATGTTGTCAATGCGTCCTGTGTTTGTCGAGACTGCGAGTGCTAATGCAGAACAGGCCTCTCAAGAGGAACAACAGATGAAGCTCCGTGGTGGTGAAGGTTGCTGCGATGTCTGCTGCGGATGGTGAGTTTTGTCCTATCACATCAACCTTTCCTTGTTCTTGCTGAGTCGGCGGATATATGGCTGACTACTTTGTAAAGCTGCGCCGGTCTCCTTGCGTTTGAGTGCTGCGAGGAGTGTTGCTAAACGGTTGCCGCACGAGTCTGCTGGAGGCGAAGGGGTACGATGATGATGATGATGAACGGACGGGATGGGTACATGATTGCAGGTCCAATACTATATTAAGCTCGTCACGAATTTATTCATCTCTCGCTCCCGCTCTCTCATCTGTCTGTTGCGTATTATCAAACGTGCTTTTCTTTTCGATACCATACTGAGTAGCTATACGCAATATTGATGAATTGTTAACCATTTGACTTTTGGATTTGCTGTAGATAAATTGTTTTGAGCTGGTCGGTACATTGTAACGATATAAACCTATTATCCACTCGAGTCGTATCAATACCTAGCCCTACGCCAGACGCTAGTTGACTATATCATGCTAGCATTGACCCAACCCAATTTGGTACGGCCTAGAACCGAGAGAAAGGTAACCTGAAGCGGCGGACGTGAGCCTAAAATCCTTTAACATGACCTAAGACGATACACTCACCATTTTCCTCGCAAGGTAATGACAGCCCAATTATTGCCATCCGCATCAGTCTCCTTCTCAACCTTAGTTGAGAACGAAATGGCGCTCATAATGCCATCGCCGAATTTCTCATTGAGCACGGCCTTGTACGCATACCCATAGTTCTGCACAATCTCATACAGCCGGTAAATGAGCGGTTCGCGCGGCGGCATCTCTACCGACCGTCCACGATCCGGAAAGCCACTGAGCTGCTGCTCGAGCAGATCATGCGGAATGTCGAGCGCCTTGGACAGGCTTGCGATGTCCTCCGGCGAGGCTTTGGCCTGGCCATAGAAGATGGCTGCCGTGGCTACCTCGTTGCGCCCGATCTGCTTGGAGATGTCCTCGAAGCTGAGCTTCTTCTGCGCCTTGGCAGCAAAGAGGGTCTGCGACGATGCCGGCAGATAGGGGTGTTGCGAGGCCTGTCATGCTCGTTCTCAGTTGTGGAATAGCGGCAATAATAACGAGGCAGTGCACTTACGTCTAGTGTGGCGAGATTCGACATGTTGTTCTGTGTTGCCTTCTTCATTAGTTAGATATACGACGACGGCAAGTATTTTGTGCAGCAAGTGAGCTTATAAGAAGAGGTTCGCCATGACTCATGGTTATATAATGAATGCATAGTGAAGTCAATGAGGAGGGGAGAGGTTTTGCGTGCGGGGTATGCCTCAGGCTCTCCGCACCGCTGCCTTTCTCCAAAAAGTACATACGCTGCCGTTGCTTTCCCGTACTACCGGGTATTATTTACAGTCGACCACCAACTCAACTCTGGTTGCTGCGCCACACTCCTGGAGTCCTGTCTCGCCAGTCTCCACCAGCCACGTACGCTCTGTTTATTGCACGCTGCACAGGGCACTCTGCCAATGCACAGCACAGCCCAGCCCAAGCGACGAGCCAATGGAGAACTCTCGGAAGTCGAGAGGCACGCGGCGGGGCAGGCTGAGAGAGGCCGGCGGATGGCGGCACACGCGGGGTTGGGCTCAGCTAAAACATCCGGACAGATCATAATATGACTGTTGACATGGCCTGACTCTATTCCCGCAGAGAAACCCTTCCAAACTGTCTTCGAGTGAGTGCCCAAGGAAGAAACAATGTCCGGAGAACAAGACGCCCTGGCCTATGGCCGCTACTATGGTGGCCGAGAACAAGGCAGCAGCGAAGCCGGAGAACGCGGCCTGGGAGACTCAGCGCGAGGCTTTCTGACTGATGGCCTCAAGAAATTGAAGGATCAATACTCCAGTCATTCGACCGCCGGCCAGCAGGGCTATTACTCGTCTGGTACAGGTGCGGGACAGCCGCAGAGTTACCAGCAACCTTACCAGTCGTCCTATTCGAACAATCCCCAGTACCAGAACAGCCAAAACCAAAACCAGAACCAGAACCAAAACCAAAACAGACCGCAGAAACAAGGACTGTCCAGCTTCCTCGATCGCTTTGAAGAGACCGTGTCGGATGTCGGCTCGCAGCTGGCCCAGAGAATCGGAACCACCATCGATGCCGACGCCTATGCAGGCTACGGGGCCACTAATAACCCTACCAACAATCGCTTCAATAGCTTCGCGCCCCCTCGGGGAAACAACGAAGTCAAATGGCATGTCGATGGCTTCAGCTATTTCTGGGCCGTATCAAGGGCACTCGAGAACGCGAGGGAATCTATCTGGATTTTGGACTGTAAGTTCACCCAATTTACTTTTCATTCGTTTGATGTCGCTAATATCCACAACAGGGTGGCTCTCGCCAGAGTTATATTTGCGACGCCCTCCAGCTAAGAACGAGCAGTATCGTCTGGACCGCATGCTTCAGGCAGCGGCTCAGCGCGGCGTCCATGTCAACATCATTGTCTATAAAGAAGTCGAGAAGGCTCTGACATGTGAGTCTAGCGTTGCAGTTATTGACGTTCGTGCTTGTCCTGACACGAAGATCTCCTTCTCTAGTAAACTCCGCGCACACAAAACACGCTCTAGAAGCGCTTCATCCAAACATTGCCGTTTTCCGTCATCCGGACCATATCCCAGACGGCGCCGAAATCAAGAACTCGCTGGCCGCCTCCTTCCAGAACATGTCGCTGGATGCTGCAGGGATCAGCAAGCTGCCCGGTGACGCAGTTAAAACCTTGTACGGTACCAAGGGGGACACCGTCTTGTACTGGGCTCATCATGAAAAGCTCTGCCTGATCGACGGCAGAATTGCATTTATGGGCGGCCTTGATCTGTGCTTCGGACGATGGGACACCAACCAGCATTCTATTGCTGACGTCCATCCTGGAGACCTTTCGCAGATTGTATTCCCTGGTCAGGACTATAATGACGCCCGAGTACTCGATTTCCAAAACGTGTCCCAATGGGAGCAGAACCAGGTGGACAGGAAAGTCACTAGTCGCATGGGATGGTCCGACATTTCTATCAGTTTACGTGGTCCTGTAGTGGAAGATCTACGAAAACATTTCGTTGACAGGTGGAACTACATTTATGATAGTAAATACCGTGACCGCCATCAGCCAAGATATGAGAGGCTCGACTTGTACCGAAAACAAGGGGGCCAAGGCAGTCAACCTCAGGGAAATATCAACGCTCCTCCCTCGCAAGTACCACAACCTCCTCAACAGGCACAACCGCAACAGGGACCGCCCAACCAAGGCCAACTGAGTCAAGAACCGCACTGGCAACAACCGCCGCCCGCGCAGTCACCACAGCCGCCTTCTGGACAGCCATACTATCAAACGCCCCCCGCGAGCCAGACTCAGCAGCAGCATCAGCAACAACAACAACCCCAATGGCAGGGCCAATCATACCATTCTCCACCCCCAGCAGGTGATGCACAACAGCAGCAGCCTGCTGCTCAAGCGTACCATACCCCGCCGGCTGCATATGGTCAACAACCAGCACCACCACAGCCATCATCCCAATGGCAAGGACAGCAGCAGCAGCAGTACCAAAACCAACAATCCTCCTACGGTGGGTACAATAACCCAAGTGGTGAGGTTAACCAGTCCAATACAGGTCAATATGTTCCCCCGCCACCCCCAGGGCCGCCTCCATCCCAGGCAGGAAGCAATAACCCAAGCCAGTATCAGAACACGCCATATTCTGCTTCCCAGTCAGGGTATGACTCAGGTCAACACAGCTCGCATGCGTCGACTCCAGCAGCGCAGGCACAGGCTCCATACTTCCCACCTCCACCAGGACAAGTGCCGCAGCAGTCTCAGACGCGGGGCTTGTCCGAAGAGGATGGCTCTCGAGGACTTGGAGGCACTCAGAATATTCTGGGGGATGTTCGAGGTTTTGGTCATTCGCTTCGTGGGCAGCTAGCCGGACAAGTGCATCAGTACCAAGACCGTTACCTAACTAACCTTGGTCGGAATTACGGCAATGAATGGTGCCAGGTCGTGCGAAGTGTCTCGCAATGGAGCGGAGGTATACCGACCGAGCATTCCGTTCAAGATGCGTACATTGCTGCCATCCGTAACAGTCGTCATTTCGTGTATATCGAGAATCAATTTTTTATTACGGCCACAGGTGATAAACAGAATCCTGTTCAAAACAGGATCGGAGCAGCTCTTGTGGAGCGCATCCTCCAAGCGGCCAGGGCTGGTCAGAAATTCAAGGTCATTGTGGTCATCCCATCTGTTCCTGCATTTGCAGGTGACTTGCGAGACGAATCGACACTTGGAACTCGGGCTATCATGGACTATCAGTACAAATCCATCAACCGAGGTGGCAACAGTATTATGGAGATCATTGCCAGAGAAGGATATAACCCAATGGAGTACATCCGGTTTTACAATCTCCGCAACTACGACCGAATCAATACCAATAGTACCATGCTGCAGGCCGAGAAGACTAGCGGTGTGAACTACGAGGATGCCCGTAAACACCACGATGCTGCCCAGGTGGGATACGGTGGCTATGAGCCCGGTGCGCCTCCCGGAGGATACGATACCACTCAGCCATACAACCAATATCAGCAGGCAGCAAGCGCCCACCCTTCGGCAACCTCTGGTCGCTGGGACTCGGTCAGTGAATGCTACATGCTCGGGGGTCAAGATATCCGCAATGTCCCGTGGGAGAGTGATCTCCCTGAAATCGACGCTTTCGTCACGGAAGAGCTCTATGTGCACAGCAAGGTATGTATGATTCTCAGGTATATGACGTTCAGATTCCACTAACCGTGATTTCATGGAAAAAAACAAAAGGTCTTAATTGCCGACGACCGTATTGTCATTTGCGGTTCTGCTAATCTCAACGATCGGTCGCAACTTGGCACTCACGATTCCGAAATTGCCCTCGTGATCGAGGATCCCACGCCACTTGAATCGAGCATGAATGGTCAACCATGGCAAGCCAGTCGCTTCGCCGCATCGCTTCGACGCGAGCTGACCCGCAAACATCTTGGCCTGCTCAAGGCACAAGATTATACGCAGCCCAATGCCAACTGTGAACCAGTTGGGGTCCCCAATGAATCCGATTTGACTGGACCAGAAAGCCAGGTCGTCGCAGACCCTCTTTCCGATACTTTCCAGAGTCTGTGGAATTCGCGCGCACGGACGAACACGGAGGTTTTCCGTAAAGTGTTTAACGTCGTGCCAGATGATTACATCCGTAACTGGGATGCGTACAAGGAGTTCTTCGAGTACAACTTCCGTCATGCTAGCACCGAGGCAGAAGGCAGGCGCGTTATACGTCCTAGCAAGTACGAATGGGGCCATGTTGTCCGCGACAACTTTGCGCCTGGACCCGAAGGGGCGCAGCAGGTCAAAGAACAGCTGAGTCAGGTCAAGGGCACATTAGTCGAGATGCCGTTGATGTTCCTGATCGAAGAGGACATTGCTAGAGAGGGGTTGGCATTGAATAGCCTGACCGAGGAACTCTACACGTAGGCTATGACATTTTGGACTTAATTGAATGAATGTTGTTGTTTTTTTTTTGTGGGACTCTACAGTGCCAGATTGATTTGATGATGACATGCTTCTTCTCAATGTAAATTGCAATAACAATAACAGTATTCGCTATTCTGTTTATAAGCACAGACGAGTTCGACATAACTACCACGCGAGCTGCAAAGAGTCTAGAATCATTCGAGAAGAAAACAATCCGGAAGACGACAGACGACATAAAGAAACAGAAGAAAGACCCAATATGAAAGGAAGAAAAATGAAAGCAAAGTTGCTAGACGAGGTGATGTTTTATTGTTCCTGTGGCTCCCAAGCCCTAACCCGCGCGCGCGGATTGGCTGCAGCAAGAGAACAATACGAAGAGAAGAAACAATCGCCGGTCTGGGAAGAGACAACAACGCATCATCATAGGAGCATTTTCTGTATTCTGACTCAATTTTCCCAAGCAGTCCCCTTGTTTTACGAAGAAACCCTTCCAAGACAATGCATGCGTGTCGCTTAGTCTATGGCATTGTCTTTGTCTGCCGTATAACTTCATCTCCGCATTTTTTACGATGCACACACTCTCCCTCATGCAAGCTTTTAAAAGATAGTGGCGTTCAGACAAAGAGTTAGTCTTCCTACTCATCCGAGCTGGATCAGATTCGTTCTCGTCGACACGGCCATATTGCTTTGACATAAAAAGGGCGCCCCATGCATCCTGCGTTTCATCCCTTTCTTACCTTGTCACACATCCCTCGGCCTCTTTGAGCAATTCGGAGCAATTTTCTTAAAGGATTCAAAGACTCTCCAACGTCTGGTAAGAAGATGCCTTCAATCTATATTTAAGAATAGAGCGCAGAACAGGCTGACATGAAAGGAAGACCAGACAAAATCATCGAAACGATGTCTCCCAAATTCAACCCAGCTGAAACCGGTATGATCTTATGATTTTCATCAAGAAATATGTCTTTTTTTTTTTTTTTTTTTTTTTTTTTTTTTGGCGTCGGCTTCATTTCTAACATAGAACCGCAGTCTCGGTCAGCTCCGTCGCTGGTAACGGCTGCGTGATCCTCTAATCCGAACAACTTCGAGGGGTATTCAGGTATGTGCCTAGATGCATAGCTGAAGTATTGATTGCATACTAATAGCATCTTCTAGCCCAGTCACTGAATACCCAATGATGAGAGGGGAAGAAGAAATATGATACTTTTTTTTCTTTTTTTTTTGTAAATACGCCGCGGAACCAAATCCTTTTTTGCTCCCTCTTTTATTTTTCTTCAATCAAGTCTTGATGAGAGAGAGGAGACGATATGTCTCCATGCTGAACTGTGATTCAAACTCGACATTCCTACTTATGGCCGGACGAGAGGCATCTCCGGTTTACGAAAAGATGCAGCCAATACGACACATTCAGTTGACCGCGAATTTCCGGATCTTTCTCTCTCTCTCTTTTTCTTTTGCGACCTCGATCCAGAGACATTACCATCGTATGCCTGACTTGATATGATCAAGCTTGCTTCATCGACCCTCAGTCTGGTGTACATACATACCTCTACTTCGTTCAACTGACAGACTGGTCCTGTTGACCGCATGCTCGCATTTAGTTCTTCTTACAATCTTCGCTGTGACATAGTTCTTTCTTTTTACATATGTCTTTACACCCCCCTTCTTATTCCTTCATATCGAATTCAACTTTGATATGCCAACAGACAAGTCATGTATATTGTTCCATATACCGATGTACATAACCATCACTCTCTTGAACCAATGTTGATATGTTCTTGGTTTCCCGATGCCGTCATTTCTCAAGACGTAGTTATCTAGCGACAGTTGAATACTAAATTTTATTCCACACTACACAAGGCTTTATTCACTAACTGTCTTATCGCCTAGCTTCGCTTCAACCTGCTCGATAATATGATACAGTAGCCCAACAGACCTCGCCATCCCGACTTGGCACATATCTTCGCCTACAACGGCTTCAATGCGCCCATTGCCCCCGTTCTGTGTCAGATCTGCCTCAAACGCGTTGCAGACTGATTTCAGTGGACCGAGAAACTCTTTTCGAAACGAGGTATGCGATGTGCCTCCTATTTTTAGTTTATCACGTAGCTGCGAGGAGCAGATAATCACATAATATAAGTTCAGCGCGGCGTGAAGGTAGGGTGCGAGAGACCGTGAAAACCGGATCCATGAGAAGACGAGTCCTGTAGACATATCAAGAGAGTCCAGCTCGATTTTATTGTAGAGGGCCGCGAAGAGGATAGAAATATAATGATGATCAATGAAGATGGCGCTGGCGTTATATGTTTGGCCGGAATGGAGCTTCTTTGCTGCCGCAAGGATCTCATGTTTGAGCCAGCTAACTGCGCTTTCGCGCGCATAGAGCAATTCCTCCTTTTCAAAGATTTCTTGCATGAGACCAAGCCGGTCAATCTCCGATTGGTTGTTGTGCACTATGTTGGCTGGGATATTTCGTAGTGCATTGTAGCTTTGGCGAGAACTGCACGCTGTCAATGCAAGGATTAAATCGCTGTACTGCTTCTGGTCAGTTGGCTGCTCAATTCCACCGTGAGACGAGATTGCTGTCAATGCTAGGAGGGCATCGTGAAGAGCTTGTGCCTGTCCTTCTTCGACCCCTCTTGTGGTACTGGGCATTCCGACGAAATTTGATAGGATTACTGCCAGATCCGGGTACACAGGTACTCGGGCTGTTTCAGCCCCAGAAAACAAGAGAGCGGCAGATGAGCGCGCGGCCAACAAGAGCAAAGCCCCATGACGTTCTAACGGTATTGCGTCTGGTGTATTTGGCAATTCGTCGAAATCTAGAGGCGGTGGATGAGAGGCTGCTGGTGTAGACACAATACGCAGCATGTCTTCGTCGGTGATACCAAGGTCTCGTGATAAAGCCTTCTATAGTTAGATATTTTGTTACCAAACAAGGAATCGACGAAGATGAAACGCACGCAAAATTTCCCAATAATCAAGTCTCGTTCCTTGAGCTGTCCATTCTGAGTATACATGTGGATTTTGGATCGCTGGTCTGTTGATCGCCCTTCCTGCTGATCTAGCTTCTCTAACAGCCTCAGCGCTAGCCACAAACCTGAGTTGTCTGAAGTCGAAAGACTCAGCCAATACGACTTCAGAGCTTCAACCAGGCCAAATTGAATCAACTTGAGCTGTACTTGTTTATCGCCTGCAGTAGTTGGTTCATCATACGCAGCTTCCGGGTCGGGTGCAGATGCTTTTGACACCCGCAAGACAGAGGAATCGCTTGTTCCGCGGGGCGGCAGTGCGGGTCGTTTTGATGGAGACAACTCCCATAGAAATTCCAGAAGGGCACTGGTGGTCTCGTCTGTCGGCATTGAACTATAAGCTTCCAAGGTGGCTTGCAGAGATGTTGCAATAAAACGGCTTGGGTATTTTGTTTTGATGCGACGGTGAAGGACGGAGAGCATGGAAATCAAACAGTTGAATTGAGTCACATGGCGTGGAAGCTCATTTCCCTGCTTGTTGGAATCGGGCAAATCTGCCTCCAGTTCTTCTGCATCCTCGTCCTCACTCTCATAGCTAGGCTCTAGCTTCATCAAGCTGTCCGAGACTCTCAATATAACCTCGCGGGGGTTTCCCAGCCGGGCAATGTCTTGGAGACAGTCTCGGGAGTGCGGCAGCATCGGCAAAAGGAGCTGGACCAGGTCCCAGCCGATGTTTGTGGTCAAGACCTCATCTTGCAGCAGGCGATGCAGTGTCGGCAGGCGGGCGGGGGTGAGCTGGTACTCGAGCAGGGTCAGGTAGGTCAGATAGTCGGTAGCCGGGGGTAAGGCGCTGATGAGCGGGTCATCGCTCTCGGAAGCCATACCAAAGATGCGACGGAGTGGCTAGGCCGTGGGGTGGGAGGTGGTGATGATGGAGGATAATCTATCGGAGTTGGCGTGGTGGATGAGGTTGAAGATGTGTGCTGTGCTCAGGCCCCGCACTAGCGATGACATCAGCGGCAGAGCCGCGACAGGCTATGCCTGACATTGCAGCGTGGGTGACGGGGGATGGTAGGGTTGTAAGAGCCGTAGGCTATCATGAAACTTGTATGCAGCGAAATGACATTATTGTCGTTGTTTTGGTTGTTGTTGTTGCTGTTGCTGCTGCTGCTATTAAGGCACCCGGCAGTGACGTACCAATTCAGGCCGCAAGGCAGAACCTCCGAGGATCCGCAAGCTTCATTAGTAAGTAATCATTGAAAATAACTATCGAGCATTGAAGAAAGCAGCTCAATCTGCCGGAAGAACGCAGTTTTCTCACTTCGACTAGCGTCCTGGCTCTAGCTTTCGACAGGCAATACGCAGTCCCTGTTCATTTCTCACGTCGACGAGTCAATACTTCGTCACCAGCAGCGACGTCAAAAACAGGAAGTTTTTTTTTTTCTTTTTTGAGTTCCTCTTGGGGTTAGTGTAAGTGATCTACGCCACAAGCAGTTAGCGCCCGCTGCCCTAGTTCGCGCTAGGCCGATTTTGCCCTGCTTTAGGGCACGCACCTTGCCATATCTGGAAAGGCTCGCCCGGTGATCCGAGTTCACGTGAAGGCCCAAGCTCCGAAAGATCCGGCAGGCGCGTCGAGGAAGAAATACTATACAAGAAGGGACGAAGACTCTGCCATTGTCCGTGGTTATTGTGCACGGCGCTCTGTTTATTCTTACTCCTGCAGCCTCACGTTCGGTCTCGAATCGTCCCTCCTTGACCAATATATAGCCCTTGAACCATCCACGTTTGCGTCGAGATAGCTAGCTAGCTCCGCAGGGGTCCTCCTTGAATCGAACCGGCCAATTCTACCTCTCTTTTTCTTGCCTCTTTGGCCCCGATCTCCCCGCCCAAGTTTGTCTGGATGCCTTGTCGTTAATCCCTCTGTGAGCTCTCTTGTCGCCGCGTCTCCTTCGTGCAGCTGGCAGATCCCCTTTTCTGAGTCGTACTTCACAGCCAAAATGGCCACCAGAATGCGTTCTTTTTACACGGCCCCTACCTCAGCTCACGGCTCCACCCACTCCCAGCCGATAGTAGACGAGTTGATCAGCAAATACAACTCTTCCATATCAACCAGCACGCGCAGTTGCTCCATGTCCTTTAGCAAGCGCCGCCGCAATATCCTCCAACGCTGTCTCGACCGTCTTTTTCTGGAGTACTACCGCTACGAGGTGACATTCGGTGTTTATGTCATGACTCCCGGCGAAAAGTTTGTTGCCAATGCCTTTGTCTTCGTAGCCCTCACTCTCCTTATCTGGGCCGTGCTGTTATACTTTCCACAACACTTGTTTCGAAACATAGGCCGCTTCGTCTGGATCTTGACCGGCCACAGTGAAGACGTGGCCGCACTTTTTGGTATTTTTGAACAGAGTAGTATAACGGCTACCATTCCGACAAGCTCGATCGTGTCGTAACACGCCCGGACGTTTTGCTCTCTTTTCCTCCCAATTGATTGCTAGCGCGCAGCCTGACTTTGCTTTTTTTAGCCATTCGATGTTCATTTCGCGCTTTGTTACTGTGATACCACTTCCGCTCAAGCGCGCGGGGATTCGTCATCGATTTTTCTCAAACGCATCCCACATACGATACGACCTCTGTTAATTCCATCTTTGAGGCCCGTTTTACGATGATGAACTAGCGCAATCATGGAGTTTTTGCTTTATTGCTTTTTTTTTTGGGCTTTTCGGTTCCTTTCCTTTATAATGGACGAACACAACGGCACTGGACTTGCTGTATATAGATATATACGAAGAGGAGGATTAATGCACGGGCAATGAATGAACGGCTACGAAAGGCATCAGGGAATGCCATTGTGGTGTGAGTCCTTGCTCATTATTTTTAATGCTATTACTTAGAACGAGAAACATGAAACGCATGATATTCGGGGGTTTTTTTTGGACTTTGTTAGCCAGCGGGAAGTAGTCTAATACATAATAAGCTGTTTGACGTTTTCCCATCTCACTAGATAAAGTAGCCGGGAGTGAAACTATCGCGGTGGACTTAGGGCTGCACTACGGAGCGTCTACGGGCAACACTTCGGACCAGATGTCACGTTTCTTGCAGGGATTTATAACCCTAACGGCCGCTGCGCCACAGTGATCAAGACAAAGATGTCACTTTTCTGTCATGCTTGATCTTCTTATCTCCATTATCGGCCTTCATCTTTTATCTCAGCCCCCACGAGAACGCCCACTGCCCGCCCGAGCAACGCAACCAATGGGCATACAAATGAAGTCTTCCTCCCAGGTGATACGACATAAAATTTGTGAATTGGATAATACGAAGATCCGGACCAGGCATAACCAATCGAAGATCCTGTTGGACTTGGGGCGCTCACTAATACACCGGTCCGATAGCCCCCCCTCGTGCCGTAGCATCCATCAGCAAGGCTCCATTGGCTATGGGAAACGATACGCTCGCACCAAAACCCGGTGTCAAGAGTATTAATCGTGACCTGCTTGAGTTCAAGGTTTCAGACCAGAGTGAACGACGCTCGTCATGGACGAACGTGATAACAGTCAAGGAGCTCCCTTGGCTTGATGACCATAAATTAGGAAGTACGACTGTATTCCCTGCAGCAGGATACCTAACCCTGGCTGCCGAAACACTGCTCCAGTTGCATAGAGCTCGCGAAACAACATTCCTGGGGGTCACTCTCCGCCAAGTTGATATTTGCCGCATCCTTGTTATCCAGGAAGAGAACGATGATGCCTCGATTGTTACAGAACTGCGCCCTGCACGGTCATCATCTGTTGAAGAATGGTGGTCATTCAAGATCTGCTCTTTCGTTGGCAGTAATACAACAATCCATGCAACCGGCCAGATAGCAGGCTTGTCTGAAATATCCGTTCCTAATCCAACATTCGACAAATTCTCAATTGCATCTATGGAAGACCAGCCTAGGCAGGCATGGTATGATAAATTGGCCGAGGAAGGATTGCGGCTGGGACGTCAATTCCAATCGTTGGCCAGGATCTACAATGACGGAGCTCAAGGATTATGTCGAACAATCTCCGAAACACGCCTGTTTTCCCGAAATGACGGAGTTGGTCAGAGTCGGCATTCGAACTCTCTCTTACATCCAATCACCCTCGAAACGCTGCTACAAACGGCACTTATTGCCTCTGCGGGGGGTGTTATCTCAAATTTTGAAGCAAAAGTCCCAGTCGCCGTTGAAACTGTAGAGATCATGCTCCCACCGCCGGCTACGTTTAGTAGCTCGTGCCGCATGTATGCCGATTCCAGAAGTATTGGCCTTGGGGTGTTCAGCATCGACGCCGAACTAAGGAGTTTGTCCAGACTCGTGCTTATTAAGATGAGCAATATTCGATGTGTGCCAGCTTTTGAGTAGGCTCTTATAGATAGGCTATTATCATTGTATATAGAAGTTTACAGTTCGGCACCGTATCGGACAGTGCTTGCAAGTCGACTTATCTTATAGTTCATGAAATCTTTCGTATAGTTACATGAAGTGTATAAAAGCATAGCGAATTGTTTGGCTTTCTTGGCGAGCAGCCGAACACATTTAGCGCCGCCGCGGGGTCAGATTGCTTCTCTCTTACATGTGAAATTGAGATAACACGCAACATAAACGTAACATCATGCCGGCGCCTTTTCGCAGGTCCTGTACTAATTGCGCCAAATCGAAGCGACGGTGCAATCTGAGACGACCCCGCTGCTTTCGATGCCAAGTGCGCTCGTTGGAGTGCAATTATCAATCACCGCCACCGACTGCTTCGTCTGCAGCTGCAGCAGCTCAGAATTCACCGCAATATGCCGTCTTCGACAGCACGGCCCCAGAAGTCAACCCGCAGGGGAGTTTGCCTCCTATCGAGTTGGACATTTCGCTAGCTACCTTTCCCGACTACGACCTGGATTGGGCGGATGTCATGAGTAACATAGACGATTATATGGTCCCCGACGACCTGAGACCAGCGTATTCGCCTTCTACGAGTGTTGTTCCCGGGGATATCTACCAGGAGCGCGTCATATATCTAGTTAAAAGATTTAAATCGTACCTGAATATTTTCGTTACGCGAGGGTCAACGGCGTTTGTTCATTGCAAATTGTTTTCGGAATACACGCCCACCGCTATTGAGGATGTTCTCGGAATCTGTGCATTTTATGGCCATAAAAACAAGGACAACGAATATCTCATATTCCGATCAATAAGTCAAAAAGTATTGTCTCTTGTCCGACTTTTCGATCCACAGAGGCTTTCAGTTCTTGATCAACTGGCATCCGTGCAAGCGTTGATCTTCTATCAAATTATTAGACTGTTCGATGGAGATATCCGCCAGCGAGCTGACGCTGAACGAACCGACCGTGTTCTATGGGAATGGACGCAACAATTGAAAGTCGGTCTGACCCAGTCCAGCATGTTACAAGGAACAAATGATACAGACCCAAGAAATTACACTTGGCGTGCCTGGATCCAGGCTGAAAGTCTCCGACGAACGATCCTTGTGAGTCTCCTATTACAAGGCCTCTATTCTTACCTCAAACACGGGTGGAACAAAGTCCATTTTGAGATCAAAGAGCTCTCCTTCTGCGGTCAGCGAGCACTGTGGGAGGCGCGTTCTGAATACTCGTGGAAGACAGCACTCGGCGGATACTCTCCACTATTTCTCAATCTCAGCACTTGGGATGCGGACATGCAAAATGCGAAGCCGTCCGACGTGGATGATCTGGCGGTCTTAATGATGACAGTGACGAACGGGGTTGATAAAACGTGTGATTGGCTCGGCGAAGAGTACATAGAAACATTTGATCTTCAAAGATAATGGGGCCTCTAGCCAAAGTGCATCACGAGAAACCAACTCCCAATAGATAGGGGGCTAGGCAGTACGTAGGTATAATCCCACTGTCGGAGGTTAGGGCTAGCACGGTGGCACACCTTCCTAATACGGCATAAGATGCGGAACCCCGGCGGAAGACTTGCTGTGCACAGCAACTCTCGAGCGGCGGCGGAAGTCATGGACATACAGTACTCAGATATATAAATGCTCTGAATTGGCCCTATTAAATGGAACTGAAAATGCTGATTAGTACATCTGGCAGCAGAACCACGGCCTTCTGTGTTAACCGCCATGACTTTCTCGGAGGCTGATATACCAAGGCTATCTGGCAAGGTCGTTATTGTGACAGGTTTGCGTCTTGAAGTCCGCTTTAATGTATAGTACCGGAGCTGATTCGATTTTCAGGAGGCAGCAGTGGTATTGGCAAGCAGACCGTTGCCGTGCTTGCATCCCAAGGAGCCAAAGTGTATCTAGGAGCTCGCTCGGCGGACAAGTATCAAAGCGCTTTGGATGATATACATGCGACGCACCCGAAGACTCTTTCGGCAAACATCAAGTTTCTAAAAGTTGATCTTTCCAAGGCCGAAGGGGCAAGATGTGCTGCCGCAGAGTTCTCTAGGTCGGTCTACAGCTTTTCTTCTCTGAAGTGGATTACTAACAATCAATACTATCCAGACAGGAAAATTCGCTTCATATCCTCTTCAACAATGCTGGAGTTATGGGAACCCCGAAAGGCAAACTTTCCGACGATGGATACGAATTTGTAAGGTTCCTTTGAATTTATACGGGCAGTGTATTAATAGCGGAAATCTAGCAATGGGCAGTGAATATGTTTGGCCCTTTTGTCTTCACAGAGCAACTTCTGCCTTTGCTATTACAAACAGCACGCACAAGCCCAAAAGGCAGCGTTCGCATTATCAATACAGCCTCAAACGGCGCGAAACGGGCACCAAAGACGGGTATTCCACTGGGAAACCCAACAGCGTGGTTGTCCTGCACACCCTTTGAATGTTATGGCATCAGTAAAATCGGAGTGATCTTATGGACGAGACACCTCGCCAAGATGCATCCCTCAATTCTGAGTTTCGCTCCTCACCCAGGCCCCGTGCAATCGAATCTTACGAGAGAGCTCAAAATCCCGAAGTTAGTTATGTGGATATTGAATGTAAGCACTCTTTATACATTCACATTTGACATACGTGCTAATCTGGTCCCAGAGAGTCGTCTTCAAACCGGTACAGCATGGAGCTCTGACCCAACTGTATGCAGGAACATGTCCGACTTTATCCGAGAACGAAAATGGATCATACCTTGAGCCAGTAGCGTATGTATAGATCCATGTATAAGAATATTAGCGCAGTTGCTAATGTTTTGGAATATTATATGCAGGAAAATCCAGCCCAATCTACCTCATCCGCAGTGCAGTGATGACACTTTTGCCGAACGTATATGGCAATGGAATACTGAAGCAATGAGGAAGGCACTGGGGGAGCTTCCTGAGGCATAGATTATTGCTTATATTCTCACAAACTAGTCTCCAATTCTATCCTTCTTGTTGTTTTCTTTGTACAGGCCAGTAGTAATCCTAACGCTAACACCGGATGCTATTTAGCTCATCTGTAGATTTTCTGGGAACCTGGCACCGGCAATATTCGAGAAAAACTTGTTTATATTCTAAGAAGCATAGCAAATATCTTTATGAGCATGATTCATAATCTCCAGCTGGTCTGGTCGATGCTGGACCCCACCTAGAGTCGCTGACTAATACAGGTTGCTAATCTTCCTGCGCGAAGAAAAATCAAGTTGAACTCTTCTAAGAATATATACACGGAGAGTGAAAGGGGAGCTATTTCTGTGACGAAGTACTCTGCGGAACCATGGATAGCAACTCGCCTAGGGTTTGTCTGACCTGTAAGGCAGGAAAGCGAAAATGTGACAAGGCTTTGCCGGCATGCTCACGCTGTACGAGGTACCAAAGGCAGTCCATTCCCACCAAACGAGCGTGAACTGAACAACTGCTCCAGGTTGCAACTTCGATGTGAATATGAGACACCCATTGGACCAGTGCGCGACGATGCAGCGAGCCGGCTGATTTGGTCTCTAGCTACGAAGTATTCGCACCTAGTATCCGGGATTCGCACAACGTACGCTCTAATGCAGTCTGATGATGAATTCATAGCCACTTACTTTTCCACTGTTCATAAGTGGCTCCCAATTATTGACAGGGATTCCCTAAAGGACTGTGCCGGCGTGCAAGCTCCTGATCCCAACCATCTCTTGCTGCTTATGAGCATGCGCTTAATTTTACAGCGCCCTGACAGCCAACCCGAGCACGGCATGATGGACAATGAACGATATCGCGCCACAAAACAATTTTATCTTAACATGTTTATGGATATAGGCTGTACTCCCTCAACCAAGTTGCTCCAGAGCGGCGTCCTTCTAGCCACTTATGAATATGGACATGGAATGGTTGGTGCGGCCTGCCATACGCTTAGTTTATGTATCTCTGCAAGCATGGCTATGAGTCTGCACCGGTCTAGAGCACCGTCAAGTCTACCTCCAGATCTTTCAATAGAATGGTGTCAGCAGGATGAGATATGTCGTGTCTGGTGGGCGATAGTGATAAGCGACAGGTATGTGTGTGCCTTGCAATTGGACTATATGACTGAGGCCGGATATTGATTTTTTTTTTTTTCACTCTAGGTTGTTTTCTTTATCTTATCCCCCAGGAACGCGTCTACCTTTGACAACGGTGGCAAATGAGGAAGACTTCCTTAAAGATTTGGGAGCTCCTGACGAGAGTAACATCTTACAGGAAAAGGGCGTCTGTTTCTCAGGCAACTTTTATCGTCAGGTGCAGGCCGCCATATTAACTGGACGAGTACTATATTCACTCCACGACACTGAAGTCTTTTCAGACTCAAGTCAGGCTCGGTTCAAATTCCTAGATTACCAGATTCGAAAAGCCATTCAGTTCGCCCTTGAAAAGGAAACCGCACAGATAGACTCCATTTCAGAGGCCCTTGCGCTCAACAGAAGGTAATATAGACAAAATGACTAATTAGAAGTTGTGATGCTGACAGACTTGTCCTCAGTAATTTGCTTCTGCTACATCAGTGGCGATATGATCATTCTGCGCGGACGAGCTACATCCAGGAACGAGCAGAATCGAGAATGGCTATAGACACCATGACTCGAATTATGATTGATACTTGCCGAAGCTTCATGCCGCGAATATATGCCGGTTGGACCAAGTCAAATCATCCACATGGAACCCACTTGGTCTTTCTGGCTGCTTTGCATATAGTGCGTTTACCTCCCGAGGTGGCTAGCCGAGAAGATTTAGATATCTTGAAGGAGATGATGCGTATACAGTCTGGAAGATGGCACATAGCAGGTATATTCGATTCATATTTCTTGTCCTACTATGAGTATCTGACATAGGTATAGCAAAATACCTTGCCGAGATACGAAGCTTTGAGGCTTGTGGTATCCAATCTCTTACCTACGTATGAGTCTTCCTCCCACACCCACTGCTATCTAATAGTGACAACGGCCATTGTGCACACATGCTATGGATTTAAAACGACATGTCCACCCCACCCTGCCAGTTTCCCAGCTGCCAGAAGGGCTCCCTGGACAGACTCTAAGCCGAATTCTTGTGTCTCATGAATACCTGCTTTCGCCCCCAATGGAAGCAGTCCCGATTCAATCATTTGTATAAGACACTGTATGTGGTGCCGATCATACATGAAACGGCCCTGGAGTCGGATGCTCTTGAACATGACCTCGAGATACGGAATTTCAATATTTCCTGGTGTCCCACCCATAATGGCACATCGCCCAAAGGCGCGTAGAGCACCTACCGCAGAAGCTAGAGGCGAATTACCCTGAGCAGCTGGTGGTGAGAAGTCAATATATGCATCTGCCCCATCGGGCTTTGCAGCTGCGGCACGAAGCAGCTCGGTGTTGCGCGCGGGATCGCTAGTGAGCGCCACTGTCCTCAAACGAGTAGTAGAGTGTATGTCCTCAAGTGTCTTTAGGGCTGCAGTGTTTCGACCGGCAGCTACAACGGTAGCACCCATGGCAAGCGCCACAGCGACCGCAGCGCCTCCATAACGGCCAGTCGCTGGAGCCACGATCACGACCTCTCCTGGCTTGACATCAACTTCCGATAGTCCTCCAAAAGGAACAAGACATACCGGCATAAGACACAGATCATGGATGCTATAGCCGAGTTTGTTCAGTAAAAGCTCTTCATTGAGCGGATACAAGTTCTCCAGCGGGAACCTAGCATATTCCGCATAGGTCGCATTCCTCCATTCTCCGTCCATGAGCTTCTGGGCCGCGGGATAGCCACCACCGTGAATCCCATATAGAATAGTGACGGATGGATTGTCTCGGGCTCGAATTGTGATATCGCAGAAGACCAACTGGCCTGGTGTGAGCTGTACAGCATCGGGCCCAACTTCAGACACTCTGCCGATGGCCGTGTTGCCGGGAGTCATAGGGAGCGATAGAGGGTATGGGCGAGAGCCGTCCAGGACTTGGGACATGTAAGGCACCATATCAGCGGCCAAGATGCGCACCACTGCTTGGCCAGCTTTGGCTGTCGGACGAGGGACATCTTCAAGGACGAGTGGCTTGTCGCGGGAATGTAGTACTAAAGCTTTGTGGGTTGCCATGTTCGATTTTCTGTCCCTGTTGTAGACTTTGCACCAAGATGTAGCTTTAATACTTTATAGTGCTTCAATTTGGCATGTCTGGCCACCCCCAGGTATATATATTCCCTTATCCATCGTCCTAGAACTGGATTTACAGTACTAAATCCGTCAATTCCGAGATCATTCACACAGTTAGACAACCTTAGTTATAACCACAAATTAAGTCCGACTCAACGCACACGTTTATGTTTGTAGAGGTGGCGACAGATGCGGCCGCACCTCAACCCTAATAACAGGGAACATGGCTCGGTAGTCTTAATATCTAATAGGACACTGCGGATTCTATAGAAGCGGAGATGAATTTTTTTTTTTAAGTATTTAATATCAAACTTAATCCTCCGCCCGTCTTCTTATGATTATGCAGTCCACGATTCATGTGTCGTGCGGCTGCATGTGCGGCTGCACTGTTCGGTGTTGCATGGACTTTTTCTGTACAGAAATGGCTTGGTTATGTAGTTCAAGGGTCGATATATTGGTAGTTCATATAGAACGACATCTTGCAAATCGAAATGCAAGCATAGTAGCTAAGATGAAGTAACATGCCTGTCTGTTGACCTTGAAATAACTAGGAAGGCTACGTAGGTAGCATAGCAAATGAATGAAACCCATCAGATCACTTACTGACTCATGTTGATCATACACCGTCATTTTGAATTCTGTTAACTTTCTTGACAAGGTCTTTCAGAAATCTCCAAGCGCCGAGTCTCTTGTACGCTTGCATATTCCAGTCGCTTATTTTCTTCGGGAAGAAAGGCACAACATCCAATAAACTAGCATCATGCGCAATGATAACAAATACCTTGGCGGATCCATCTAGGGCCTCCATATTATCAAGCGAATTTCGAGCCTTTTGTAGGTCCACACACCCAAACTCTGGTAGCTGGTAAAAGGGAGTGGTTCGGCAATGCCCAGCTATCGCCGCGCTGGGGTGGATCTTTTCAAAGACTGATGCAGGACAGATAGACGTGGGTTGCAACTTGTGGTCTAGTGGTGATGGACTGATCTCTGTCGGAAGAGGTAGATATTGTGACGGACGATACTCACCCGGATAATGGGCAATATCGCCAGCGAGAAAGATGTAATGATCTTGAGAAGTGCGAGCTAGAGCACTCATATGTTCATGGGCTGTTTCATGTCTCAACATACGCTTCCTGTTCTGAAACGCTTTTATAAAAGAAAAGTGCGACTTACTGTGGCCCTCTGACTGCAAAATATAGAAGCTACCGTCCCCGAAAAAGTCTATGGCCGGAAATCCACCGATATTCAGGCTGTTGGAGAAGTCAAGTTCGATAAGTTCTCGTCCCTTGAATGCTTCGCCGTCAATCAAAGAATCGGGATTCTCAGGATAGCCAGGAAAGGTAATATTGTTCTTCTTAAAACCGGGACCCAGCACAAGGGACGTAGAGGAGGGGAAAAGGGAGGGGTCCCCCGTATGATCAAGATGATGATGGGACCAGATAATTGCATTTATTGATTCTAGGGGAATGCCAGCATCACGTAGCTGATCGGAGACATCATGCTGGACCTCCAATTTAGCCTGAGCGGACTCAATCTGACTATGGACTTGACGCAAATAGAGATCAGCATGTAGGCACACAGAGATACAGACGTAAACACCCACTGGCAGGAGGCTCCTTCTCCCTCCAAGCCTTCATGAGCCCTAGATCAAATAGGACCTTCTTTCCACTTTTCTTGTTCTCGATCAAGAAGCTGTAGCAAGGCATCTCGAGCACGTCATGACCTGGAAGCTGGTTGCTGAGCACATACGCAGTAGGCATTGTTATTCGACCCCCATCAATAATTGAGACGTCCACGGTAGACCCTGTGGGTATGGGAAGGGTTGAGGAAAAGGCCATTGGAAACACGTTTCCACGCTCAGGTTGTCTTTGTGCCTATAGAGACCAATTTTTTTTTTTTTTTTTTTTTTTTTTTTTTTTTTGAATATATCAATTTGTTATGGAACTGCCGAGCTGCACACGGGTAAATGTCCAGAGTGTCGGCAATGCTAATTGATGTTAGAAGTATAGAAATGCAATTCATCTAAGAAAATGCGGTCATCAAGTTAAGCGCCGATCATATCTCTACTGAACACTCATTGAACAATGTCCTGCATGCCAAGTCAAGAAGGTACTGCAAGGAGCCGTTTGGCCATATTTCTAATCCAACAATGTGACAAAAGAAACGCGTGACCTATAAGCCGAGCTCAGGGAATTCCGTGTCGATGGTTACTGGACTAAAAGCCGGTCAATATGCCACTGCAAAGAGAACAGGTGCATTACTCCACCTATAGTCTGATACGGGACGCACCAAATAAGGAGGTCCGACATTCCAGGGTCGAAACTGCCAGGATTCGCTACGCATTTTCATTACCTACTGAGAGTGGCCCTGTTTCGGGAATTGCTTCGATTTCCATATTATATTCCTTTCGGAAGACGCAGTTTCTGAGTCATATGGTACTGACGTATCTGACAGTTGCATATGACGTTAATTACCTAGGTAGTGAATGGGCCAAGACCCTTGCTTCTTAAGAGCCGGAAGAGGCTCCTACGCTACAATGCACGATTTGATCATCATCTTCAGCTTAGGCAGAGCTTTTCATATCTCTCTCACTCACACACACATGTATATATATATATATATGAGAACTAGTATGCATATTGTTGAAATTCCCATTCATAAAGACACATATCAGAGAGGGAAAACGGTCATCGCCGTGGTAGTGAAATCAGTAGCAAGCTTCTAGAGGTATTTACGGGTTGTGTCAACCACATATTTGGCAAATACCTCTGGATAAGAGACAGATGGAAAGTGTGAGCCCGGAAGAGTCTTGATATCAACGCCAAGCTTGGTTGCTGTGATAACATTGTCCATGAAAAGCCCCCTTATTGTCGATACACCAACTGTCCAGTCCAGTGGTCGTTCCTTCAGGTCTTCCAAATTGCCAACCGGCGTAGAAACCGGCAAGGTGACGGGATACCCGCATGCCCAGCGAACACCATTCTTGCGAAGTCGTGCCAGGACCTCATCACCGGATCCCCACTGAAATGCTCGGCGTTGAAAGCCATCAGGTTATTAATGGCCTCTTCATCCCTCTTGGCTAAGGCCAGGAGGTTATCTATGTGGTAGGTAGGCGCCTCGTGAGGCATCGCGTTCCGCACACGGTGCGGATAATCGACCACCAAGGCCAACACGGTCGAGGCACCGGAGCTACAACCCCCAAAATGTCGCAATCTCAATCTTCAAGTGATCCAGCAGGGTGATGACGTATCGAGCTAGCTTCTGGGCTGTGACTTCTCCGGCGGAGCATTGGCAGATCTCGACATCCCGGGCATGTCAAAGGTGGTGACCCTGAAGCCACATGCTGCTATGAGCGAGACTGACTTGTCAAAAAGTTGACACTCGCCCAACCCATCAAGTACGATGACCACATCCGGGCCGAACCCTTCCTACTCGTAATACCAAGTAATACCATCTTGGGTGGTAACGGCAGACTTGGTACGCATAGTGAAACGACAACGACTTCCTTTTCAGGATTTATTGAGGTTGCTTGGCTCGCCAGCGGCCATTTCAGGGGCAGCAGAGCCTTATTTTATGCGCAAACGCTCCGCCGTAAGGGAGGAGTATTCCATGGATTGTCAAGGATGGTCCGATTGTCGATGTTTGCTTTGAGTTCTGCATTCCCCGCGGGCAGCGGAAGTACGGCAGACAGCGGCCCCACCCCTTCAAATTCTCCGCGCGTATTTACCTGCACTCACTATTCATCGTCAATTATCATCGAGCAAATATAAACAATGATTCAGCCCGACAGGCGCGAAACGCACAAAGGTCTTGGGAGCTGTTGGGATTGCAAGCGGAGGAAGGCAAGATGCGTATTCATAGGCTCTGGAAATAAAACGTGCGACGGCTGTCGGCGCCGGGGCACTCTGTGCATCAGCCTGACCCAGGCAGCTCAAGCCAGCCAGACCATCGACTACATCGGGTTACACTCGAGAACACTAGGTCTGCCCTATATTATTCACCGTCCTTAGATCAAATATGCTTTCTTGCCAGTACTGCTCTCTGTCTTGCTTGCATGAATGTCGACAAATATGGACACCATGACGCCTATGTTGCCTCCTTTACTCATCAGCGACAGACCGACCGTTGCATGATGAAGCAAGCACTTGAATGAATGGAGTGCAGGGAGCGCCTCAACTGCGACACTACCTCGGTAAAGATCAAAAGTATTCTTCAGCAGGTTCTTGCCATTGACGCCTTGGCGACAGGTGGAATCAACTATAGTTTCAGTGTCGTAACCAGAGACCCCCGTCACACTGATCAATTCGGTGGCGAGGCTACCGGAGATGGCCGTAACCTTCGAATTAAGATTCCTCCGTACGACACTATCTTGATTGAGCACTGCAATGATGCATGCGCCATTGAAAATATAGCACCTATTTCTTACTTCCATGGGAACCAGCGAAATCTGAATTCAATAGTAGATACAGAAGCTGACACCTTATTTTCTCAGTGAGTATCATATGCCGGATAGCTTTGCAGTTGACGTGGATACCCAAGAATTGGCGCTGTGAAGTGAACGGACGTATTGCCACCACACTTACCATCACTAGGGCCGTGGGAGGGATGTGCCAGACCTTACGGCCATGATTTAGCCTTAGAGAGCCGAGTTCAAAGTGAAATTATCACGGCTTACAGCCACGAATGATGTGACAATTGACGTATAAATGATTTTTGCGGTCCCTCAACTCCGTCCCGACTTTGGCTGCGAGCACGCGGCATTCAGCCTCACCCCAACCTAAGACCTTGCCAATAAAGCCCAGTGAATAGACCTCAATGCCAGCAACCATATGTTCTAGCCAAAATCGACCCATTTCTTTGAGACGAGGATCCTTCGGCCAGGATCCAATGGGTATCTAAGCAATAGTCATTAACATGCCAGTTTTCACAATTGTTGAGTATCAAGGAGATTGTTGGGCAAGGGGTAGAGCGATGTAAAAGGAAGAAAGGCCCCGAAATCTACCTTGATTATGTTTTCTTGTACGTCGACGAAGCCCGCATCGATTAATCTTTGTTTATGCGTGGGCGCTAGATTGATGTCTTTGCCAAATTTCTGCGCTGCCTCCACACATTTGCTTTGAAACTGAATGGTGTATTCACAACGAGCCATGCTATCGTCGTCTGCCGTTATCCATGATTGTGGTTCGTGTAACTCAAGCCAACCACCAGGTTTTAAATGCGTATAGGCTTGCCGGACAAACTTATCCCAATCGCCGATACTGCCACCTATCACTCGGGTATGGATCAGGTCAAACGAATCATCAGGATCATATATCCACTCCGTCTCTGCATCTTCAATATAGAATTGAACATTGGGCGGCACCCATCCAGGTTGTATGGGACTCAAATCGGTACCGATGACCTGGGCGGAAGGGTACTCATCGGCAACGTCGATAGCCCAGAGACCAGTTCCCGTTCCAACGTCGAAGATCCTCTGGGGATCATGAAGTGGAGAGATGAATAGCCGACCATCAAGGGCAAGCAAAAATACGTGGTGGAGCATATCGAGGCGTTCTTGCTCCATTTCGTCATTGGGAAGTAGGTATGCGCCTTTTTTATATGCGTGATATCGTCGTCCATTGGAGTACTCATAGTCTCGAATAGACGAGAGAATTGACGTGCTCGTCGTTGACTCGGACTCCGAGCCAAACGCAGAGTCCTTGTCGTCACTGGTATTGGTGTTGGTATCGACTTCAATCGCCTGTGACTGTGTAAAGAGCGAGCCGGAGCTTTCATCGTTTACTGCTGCAGGAGCCAACTCCTCCTCGTGGTCGGGATGATCGGCCATTTGTTGCATCTTACTGGACGTTGTATACTTGTTGTAGACCAATTTAATGCTCACCACTATGAATAGTAAATTTCTAAATAACCGTGGAAGATATACTCCGCGCCAGGACAGCAGTCTTAGTTATTAACTTTAACGAAAGACACAGATGTTTAGTCACGAGTCGGGCCCCACCTTAGTTAACTAGGTTTTCAGCTAACAAAATAGTCATTACTAGTATGCTCCGCACGTATACATCGCTTATTTGAGGCTATCCCAAGTTGAATACAGCACCGTACATAATCATTTAAACAAGCTCAGCTCGATCCGTTGAGATTCAGACGAAAGCTTGTTGTTGCCAAATGAGAAATAGTGAATTCCTTATTAGACTGCACGAAGTACTATATGGATCCGTGCAATGCGATTACGTACATACTTCGCCGGCCTCACGGAACCAGCGGATGTTGGAGCAAACATGCCCAATTAGCAGTCAGCAATTCCTTCGATCCTTTTAAGTTTTTGGCCCACATTTCGTCAATTTTGTAGCGCTAGACAGGGGGGCACAGACACCTGCCGAGAAAAACCTCCACTATAGTGCAAATCCCAACCTGTGATTAGTCCAACGCCGGATAAGGACACGGCCTGTATCCGTCTACCCGCAGCGAAGTTTGTAGATTTAATTGGCTACTTGTATGCCCCACATTGGTTCTGCAGACTGTGCACCACGGAAATTCTTCAGTCCACTTCATACTACGTAGTTAACTACGGAGTACGTCAGTACATAGAGTTTCGCATATCACCTCACTGTGGGTTGTAGGCTGAAGCCGGCACGGGTAGGTCACAACCATAATATATACCTTATTAAAGCTAGGAATATAGTATGGATGGAGGAGGGTCAAGCGCAAGCCCAGGGGGCCAAGGCAACTATCGCTGAGGTATTGTAATGGTAATCCATTTGCGAGACGATTCGAATCGTCTTCGTTCGCCTGTTTTTTTTTCCCCTCGAAGTTGTAGGGTCTTTTGACTATTGCATTGAAAATTCACCGTCATGGTGAAACTAGAAATGATCGATCTTGTTGAAAGGACCTCGATCCTTGTGCTATTGTCTGCAGCCATTTTGGCGTGCCCGCTGTACCTTGTCGTCTTATCGGTGTATCGTCTATATTTGAGCCCAATAGCACATATTCCAGGTCCGAAACTGGCCGCCCTGACAAGATGGTATGAGGCCTACTATGAAATCATACTGAGTGGACAGTATTCTTTCCACATCGATAAATTGCATGGCATATATGGTAGATTTTTTCTTCTGCCCCGGTTTATGTGTCGTAAACAACATGTAACCATTCTGGTGAAAAGGTCCCATTATCCGAATTGCGCCCGATGAAATCCACATCCGCGATCCCGAATTCTATGATGAACTGTACGCCAAAAACATGCAGGTTGAGAAGCCTGGGTGGGATGTCAAATTTGGGAGTCCGTCGTCTGTGTTCACGACTGTCGATGCTGTCGTGCATCGAAGGCGACGCGCGGCTCTGAATCCAATGTTAGAATTCTTTGTCTTTTTCTATTTGACTGAATCTGCATCATATTGACAGAAAAAGGTTCTCTCGCCGCTCCATCCTCACTCTGGAGCATCTCATTCAGCAACGCACTGAGCTGCTATGCAAAAGAATTGCCGAGTTCAGAATAACCAAACAACCCCTCTCGATGACGGAGATGTTGCCCGCCTTCACCGGTGATATCATCATGCAATACGCCTTTGGTTTTAGCTATAATCAGCTCGAATCGCCCACATTTGAGTCCTTCCATGAGGCATTCATGGCGATTGGGAGCTCAGCGCACGTTGCGTCGTTCTTCCCATGGTTAATTGCGGTACAACTTCCTGTCCTAAACTGACTTTCTGTGCAATCGTGGGACTGACATAATGAAAGGTGATGAACTTATTACCTGATAAAATGATAGAAAAAGCCCAGCCAGGCATGATGTGCTTACTTCGCCTGAAACGCGTATGTCCTGGGTTTCTTTATTCCTTCGAAGGGTGTTGAATCCGATTTATTCCGGGAATCAAAGGGAATCTAATGTTACTACTTTACAGGATCAATGGTCTATCATAGGCCGCGCAATCGAGAATCAGCGCAAGGTAAACACGGAAGAGGAAATAGAGTCCAAGGCCAAGACAAATGTGTTTCGTGAGATACTCTCTTCAGTAAATCTCACTGCAAGTGACAAAGCACAACAACGCCTTGCTGATGAGGCCAATATCCTTGTCGCAGCCGGCGTGGAAACGACTGCCTTTGCTCTCTGTGTCGGCGTCTTCCACATTGTCAGCACACCAAGCATCTACAAGCGACTTAAGAAAGAGTTACAAGACGCCTTTCCCGACGGCGATAGCACAATTCCCTCGTTACTTGAGCTGGAGAAGCTCCCTTATTTGAAAGCATGCATACAGGAGTCTCTCCGCCTCTCCTACGGAGTGTCTGCGCGTAACCCACGTCAACATCCCAACCGTGACTTGCGGTATAGGAATCAATATATAATTCCCAAAGGGACCAAGGTTAGCATGACCATTGTAGATGTGCATCATGACGAGACCATATACCCGGACTCCTATCGCTTCGAACCAGAACGGTGGCTTGGTGAGCCCAAGGCCCCCGATGGCCGGCCCCTGGATCATTATTTAGTGGCTTTTGGGAGGGGAACTAGGTTATGTTTGGGAATGAAGTAAGTCGTTTCGTTCAAAATAGCACCTCCTTGTACAATTCTGTGATTTCAGAATAGCACTGACTGATGCAACGAATGGATAGTCTCGCTTGGGCGGAGCTTTTCTTTGCCATGGGAATGATGTTCCGACGATTCGATTACGAGCTGTACCAAACAGATGAAAGTGACGTGCGTTATAAGTACGACTTCTTCACGCCACGTGTGAAATTAGACAGCAAAGGAGTCAGGGTCTCGGTAATTTGAGTGTGTTTTGAAGCGTTATGTAGATCCACAACGCTGCCTATGTCATTCATTACCAATCAATATTCATATGCACATAAATTTATTAATGCGATAACCCGAATGTTCCAGGTTTAATTCATTAGATAGAGATTCTACGGTATTTACCAAAGGATATGGAAACGGTGAGACGCTGACCATCAGAGCCCTATGGCCTGGCCCTGCAACTCTGTAGAGAATGCTTCTTACCAGTCATCGATTTCTCCCAAGACATACATGTTGAGGAAATGAATAGCGTCGTCCATTCTCGTTGGCGAGTGGAACCAGTGCCATCCCCTCGAATATTCTTTCATGATAACATCCGCACCGTATCCATCTAGCACATTCTTCAGCTCTCTGCCTTTCTGGACCAAAACCAACGGATCATCGACGCAATGCTCAAGCAATATGGGAGTATTACGAATGACACCATCGTCATCTAAAACGCCTTCAAGACCGAGTACACTACGTGTCTTGGGAAGCGTCCTCCCGGAAATGGACACCGACAGGAGAATCCCATGAATGCAGCAAGCTTACCGCCCTGCGCAGGTGAGATGTTTAGGTTAAGCAGCGTGTGTACACCTGTGGCTGCACCCATACTGGTACCCGCCAGGATGATTCGATCCCACCGTCCGTCTAATTGGACAGCCTCGCTCGTGATATCGTCGATGACGGGCACGACTTCCTTGAGCCCCACAGCCTGGAGCTCCTCTTGTTCGGCAAAGTTTTGTACGTTCCAGACGTCGAACCACTGTGGTAAAATGTCGGGAGAACTGGCGCATCTGCGCATTGGGGCTTGGGGAATACCCAGCGGAAGGAAGAAGAGGCGTTGATCAGCGTTCTGCCCCGCGAATCGCACGAGTAATTCAGCATGGAGGCGAAGTTTTGTGCACGGTCGCCGCGGCCATGCAGGAAGACCACGGTATGCGCGTGTGGCGCAGAGGGGGTATGATGGTAGACCATGTCAAGCTTTGTTATGGAGGGAAATCTACATAAATCACAGTAAAGTAACTATCCATGGATTGCTGACACCCTGCTGCCCTTAGGATGACACCCCCCCCCCACACACACACCCGTCGGGTGGGGCCGCGTGGCTTCAGCCGTGCCGTAGCGGGGCTGTTTGAACTCTGGGTTGAATGGCAAACCAGGCAGATAGTCCTAAAGAAGTATTCAATTCAGATTCAGTTATTTCAAATGAATTATCTCTGTTTGCGGGCTAAAAATATTGACTAACATTAAATTGTCTAGTCAGTACGGGTTGGAGCCTAGAAATTCTTTGCATGACAGTTTGCATCTAAGAACAGAATATTGGAGGACAGATTACGTTGACTGGAGACACTTAACTCCCGGTGTCTTTGAGTAACGGTGTCTTTCTAATCTGCAGGGAAGCTTTATGACAGAAATCTTGCTGCATATATTGTGTCGCGTCTCCAAAGATCGTAGCCCAAATTTCTCTCCTTCCTCGTAACTACGGGTGGGTCTAAACATGCCAAACTTGGGAGAGTCAACTTAAAGAAAATGTAAGAGCAAACTAGAATGAGAAAACCATATGCAGCAATCTCGTTACAAAAGAGTGAGACCCAACGGTGGAAATACCCTATTCAGCACACAGTGCACAAGTAAATCTGTGGGATATATGGGTGACTGAATTCCGAAATGACTACCGGATTAGACTTGTAACGCAACTCGCTCTACTTTTTTAAATTCCTTGGCACGACCTTTGGCCGTGTCCGTGAAATGTACTAACAAGAGTGCAAGCAAAGCGAGGAGATGAATGACGGTTTCTGTTGGCACGAGTTGCCAACTTACTCAAGTCCGGCGCGATGCTGCTACACTTGCGATTTACCCCCCAGAATGGTGAACAGAGAGGGTCTGATCTTTTCCGAGTTCTTTCATGCCCCTCATATAATTCTTCGTCCTTCAAACAATCTGCCGAGATTTGATATCGGACCAAGAGAAAAATATGTGTACTGGTGTTAGTTATTAGGGGATAATCCGTTCGCTCGCCGCACCCCAGCCCTTGACTCTGGGTACTCTCATTTACTCTGTCCTTCATCCAGCTCTATACACTAATATCTTTTGAAGGCTAATCACAAAATTTGAGCGGCTATCATGGAACTTCATTTGTCCTTGGTAACTCAGTGGCAATCGCACTGCTTTTACCAGCCCTCGGCAGCTTGGCCGACCTAGGTCATGGAAATCATTAGACATCACTATATGGAAAAAATAATAATAAAGGAATTCACCACCGCAGCATATTGGAAGTGGTCCCAGAGAACATTCATCACCCAGTCACATTTCTATCCTCATCTAAGAACCAAGGCGTTTCGAGACCGTAATCTCGCCCGTGACATCAAAGGCAAATACTTGCAACCATGTGCTAAGATCGCAGGTGGCATTCATAGCGGCAAACTTGACTTCAATCTGTTCAAAGAGAAGCCGGATTGTGCTATCGACGAATGGCTCAAACCCGACCAGGTTGGTCATGCTGCAAATACTTGCAATTGGCTGGCTCAAACGACGGTTGGTATTTTCGTTTTGTGTTGCGAATAGCATAGTTGGAGTGCAAATGTGGGCTGCTCACCGAAATGAAAGCATTTTCGGAGAGGATGTCGATAAGTGGCGTGCGGAGCGCTGGCTGATGGACGAGCCTAAGCATTTGGCCATGGAGAAGGCCCTACTTACGGCATATGCTTCTTTTTTAGACAAATTAAACCAAGTGACCTTGAAAACATCACTGACTTTAGATTTGTCTAGCTTGGTGCTGGTAACCGCACATGTTTGCTCTGGTGGAGATTTACAAGCTTCTTCCAAGCTTCCTACAGCGGTACAAGGTATTTATTCCCATCACACCCCCTCTATACACGATCGAGTCAGCACATAGCTTACACGCACGCAGCTCGAGCTGGCCAAGGACGAATGGATCTTGGAGAGCGCTTGGGATTGTACACCAGCGCGATTTCCTGGTACACTTGTCGAAGTGAGAGAAGTTTAAGGAATAAAGGGTCCTATAATGTGCTTCTGAATAGAAGCTGGTGATTAGTCTTCTATGTGTGAGAAAAGGGTTGTCTGTAAAAGGAAAGCAATGCAAGTTAAAAGAAGTGTGAATGAGTAGAAGGGGAGAACCCTAAGTTTGTAGATGATTCGTTCATTATATACACTACCAGGAAAGAGCTAGTACTTATGCGTCAAATTTAAACATGACTGCATTCCCCCAAATGAAAGACCTAGAAGTCAATAGATATACCGAAAGTTGTAATGTTCGCTTTCAGCTTTCACGGTTTTGAAGTACATAAATTACAAACGCCTCCATCGATGATCTGCGTGTGTTCCAAAAGTATGCCTTCTAGCTCTGCTGGAGCAACCTGAGCCTCCCTTGACTTTAATAAATTTCTTATCACGTTTGAGTCAGCACTATATTAGCGCAGATAATGGGAGGTGAGTAAACCTTTTTCCGGTCGACAGTATGGTATTGCTCATTACTGTCGCGGATGGCATTATCATCGGTCTTTAGCCACCCATCTTTGGTGATAACGTCGTTTATCGCCTCTGGTTTGTGCCAGTATCCCGTCATGGTACTTGGTCCCTGAATCACAGCTCTCCCGTCTCGCCATCAGGCATTCTTGTAGTGCCATTATCGCTCATGATCATGGTCTCATAATTAGGCACCAGCTCTCCTGCGGCTGCCGACTCGGACCCCTTATTTGAATTCCACACCACAGGAAGGCCGGACATTCTGGAATAAACATTAGGTACAGCAGAGCTTGGGAAAAGTTTTGTGCATAGTAGTATAGGTTCGGTCATACTCAGTAGGCTCAAAGGCTTGTTTCAGGTTCACGGTATTAGTAGACCAAAGCTGTTCAAATGCCTCGGCCTGCTCTTTTGCTAGCGCTGCGGCGGCGCATATAACTTCTCGGATGCTACTCAGGTCGTACTTGCCAGTCTAGCTTAGATATCCTTCGAGATTCCGACCACGATGGGCGGAACTGTGTTCAGGCCAGTCAGCCATAACTTTTCAATGGCAGACAGTATGTTGGGATCTGGGGATGCGGAGCGACAATGAGATATACCAACGCAGCCAGCCCGTGATATATGGGAAGACAGCAAAGCCAGCGGGATGTTGCCCGGCCCTTCCGGTTTGCCCAGCTCGCTTGCTATCGAGATCAAACATGTTGCTCATTTGCATAGCATTGGCGAAGAAATTGTAATGAGTCACTTCGGCTCTCTTGGGGAGACCGCTGGTGCGGAGGAGTAGAGCAGCATGGCTGTGTCTTCGGAACTTGGCGAGTTCTGTGCATGATCTTCACAGTTAAAGCCAGCTGCTTCCTGCAGGTTTGCTAGCACTGAGAACCAGTGCTTCAACCCCTGGGGTGCGGTCTGCGTCTGCGACTCACGAAAACCACGCTGTAATACAAACACTCCCTCTCTCAAGCACTACTCATGTTGCATCCTCTTCGCACAACACGAAGCACAGTTGCATGGTGTTCATCTGATGACTGAGTTCTCGTGTTACGGAATTCGGGTTCGCAGGAATGTTGATGCTACGATGGGCAGAAAGACACTGTTCCGGGTTACAAGCATCACCCGATCGCCTTCCTGTAAGCTATTCTGTTGAAGGCCGCTGGCCAAGCGCTTCGACCACTACCGGAGCAAATGTAGGATTATCTGAAAGTCGTCGGGTGCCGATGTGTCGATGTAGAGCAGGGTGTCCGGCAAAGCTTTGGAGAGCGACGGAAATAGGAAGGAGGGAATTTTCGTGCGAGGAATTGGGACGACCCATCGAGACCGTTCTGGTTTGCTCGAGGTCGACTTGATTATGGACACAGTGGCGACAAAGCGTATAGTTGGCAGTTACCGATTTGGTTCTTGACGAAGATGATGAGAAAAGAGGAGATATATTCCCGTTTCAAGTGGGGAGTGCCTAAACTACCAAGATTGGACAATGACTCGGGGTCCTAGCATGGTCTGATAGCATTCAGTATAAGTGACAATCCATGCTTATAATGCGGATTGGTTCGTCAATAGTGCCCAAAGAATACGATTCGGCTCTGATCAAGTTAGTCTACACCACTTTTAATTGACCGTTGACTTTGTTGCAGCATATCCGTATAAAATCGACAATAATGCTGTCGAAACGAAGGGTATGAGGCCTTAGTGTGCTGTTTGGCGCCGAAGTTAGTGGCATAACTAGTACATGTATATGAACATAACTAGGGTATAAAATACTGACTCGGGCCCAGGGCCCAGCAGGTTCTCGTCTAACCTTTCTCAATCTCTCTTTCTCTCTCTTTTCCACTGAACCCCGGCTGGCTTGAGCGCTACAAAATCCTCGCAGGCGTAAACTAGACGGGACATGACTCAGGGTTCCAATAGGCTGCGAACGCATTTTCTACTTATCTCTATACTCGTTGTACTTGCCGGCCTCTTTACCGTGCGCAGTCACTCTCCTGCGCCGCTTTCCTCCGACTATAGCATGGCAGCCAGAGCGGCCAACCAGTCCATGCGCGCCATAGTCGCTCACGAGAAAGGCGGACCGGAGGTTTTGAAGCTCCATCAGAACTACCCACGGCCGGTGCCCAAAGCCGGCGAAGTGCTGATCCGCGTGAAAGCGTTTGGCCTCAATCGGGCCGAAATGTTCACTCGACAGGGCCACTCCCCTGGAGTGGTTTTCCCGCGCATCCTCGGAATCGAGGCCACGGGCATCGTAGAGGAGGCACCCTCTAACGAGTTCGTCAAGGGCCAGACGGTGGTGACTGCCATGGGCAATATGGGCCGCATGTATGATGGCGGCTACGCGGAGTATACATGTGTCAACGCGACGCAAGTCAAGCCGATCCAATCCACCACCGTACCTTGGAACGTCCTGGGCGCGCTGCCAGAAACCATGCAGACAGCTTGGGGGAGCTTGTTTGGCCCTCTGAAGCTCCAGTCTGGCGACCGTCTGCTCATCCGTGGCGGCACCACGACCATCGGGTTGGCTGCGGCCGCCCTGGCCAAACACCACGGTGCACACGTTGTGTCTACCTCGCGCAAGCCTGAGCGCGAAACTATGCTGCGAGACCATGGCGCTGATCATGTCATCATCGATAGCGGCTCCATTGCCAATGAGGTGTTGGCACAATATCCCGAAGGCGTTGACAAGGTGCTCGAGCTCATCGGCGTAGTCACCATGGCAGACTCGCTGAAAACCCTCAAACCCGGCGGCATACAGTGCATGACGGGCATCGCAGGCGGCAAATGGGTTCTTGATTCCTTTAGCCCGTTGCCCACGATTCCCAAGGGCCGCTACCTGACGACATACGGTGGGAGCAGCGATGACTTGCTGGCGACACCACTCGATGACATTGTAAAGCTATTTGAAGATGGAACAATGATTTTGCCTATCAAGACGTTTAGCATGGAAGAAATTGTGGAAGCGCATCGGTTTATGGAGTTCGAAGGCGGCGCCAAAGCAGTAGTCCTTGTAGATTGAAGTCTCATAGAGCTATGCTACCAGATGAATATGAAGAAATCATGTTTTGTGATTTTGATTCGACTTGGGCTTTCATTATTTTACAAACAGATCTACCTAGGTAGTAAAGAACTACTTCTTCGCATACGACTCGGTGATACCATATGATCCTCCACCGTGATGGCCTTGCCACCCTCCGGCGGACTTCCATCCAGCGAAGAGAGAGGGCGGCCTGATTGCCATCGAGGAAAAAGACAATACTATAGCGATCGGTGCCACCCTCGTTGACGACGCGATGTACGCTGCTTTTGTGAAAGCACCCCGTCCACACCTTGGGCCTCATGAAGAAACGCCGGGCCACCACGGCTGGGCCACTGAGGCCATGTCGATGCCGAAGTAGTATCCCTCCTTGAGATCGGGGAGGAGTCCAGCATTGTAGTACTGGGAGGCCAGGACATTGTAGCCGCGCATGCCAACGTTCTTTTTGGCGTCGAGAGCGCTTTTTTGGTCGAAGGGAAGCGCAAAAAGGCGACGCGCAGCTGCAAAGGCGGCTTGCTGGGCCTGCGACTGCGGCGAGGAAGGGGGTAACATCGATCGTGGGAATGGTGCCAGCGCCGGTGGTGACAGGCGTGGGTGTACAGGGCTCCGTGGGCGAGAAGCTTTGTAGAGGGCGACCGGCACCGGGTGGCAGAGCTGAGGAGACTATAGAGTCTCATGGCGATGGAGCATTCTTAGTTTAGTTGCACGTTCGTAGCGCATGGGCTGAAAAAGGTTTATCTCTCGAGGCGGACCCGGAATTAGGGCTCGCTCGCTCGCTCAGCTGCTCAGCCCCAAGTTCCAACCAGACCATACGAAGTATACATAAGCTTGAATCAAGGCTGTAACTACCTCTCAGGCTCTCTATTCCACGTCATGAAGACTACGGCAGATAAATCTAGCGACTATGTGCTTTGCTAGCGAAGTTGTTATTAGCCACAGGGATATCTATATTTTCTCGACCATTTCCCTCTGCAGTCATGATTGCCGGATCCGGTAGTGGGCGGGACAAGTGGAAATAGCCCTAAAAACAAGACTTCGGATGCAAAGCCTAATTTAGTATGCGTAATTCCACACATGCAAACTGTTCAAAGAGTGCAAACTACAGGGGTGCGTGTCTAGGGGCGGCGCTATGCTCGGACTGTCTCAGTTAAAACAGATGCAAACTTCCTAAAGAGGTGCAGCTCTGCAAGATGCAAACGCATTCTGGATACCAGGATACAAACCCTTGCAAGAGGTCAGAAATGCAAACTGTGCAAAAGGTGCAAACTGCCTAGCTAGCACTGTCTAGCAGAAGCACTAACGTAATCCACACCCGAGCGGATCACACCACCGAGCGGATCACTCAGCTCCAAGAAAGCGTCTTGTATAGATTTTAAATCTTAATTTTTAACCTAAAATAATAATTATATATAAAAAATTAATTAGTAATATGATTAGGGCATTAAGGCCTTCTATGCTTAAAAATTCTATATTTACTACATTGAAATTGATGACGTACACGTGGTTGAGAGGCTAGAAACTTAGGCTTGGTTGGAGCAGTAGTAGAAGCTTAAGATACCTTAATTAATCTATTTATAAATATCTAAATATCTTCTCTAGTAATTCTTTACTTATAAGATATCTACTTTTTAGATTATATACACTTTCACTTCTCTTTCTTATGTATAGCTTGTAAATCATGAACTTCCTTTCATATAATAAGAAACTCATTAATATTAGTCTTATATGCTTTTGATATACAATTAATTACTTTATTAATAACTTTAGAGAGATTTTTTGTATACTAGCTAATTCATTACTTAATTATATTTAATTGGCGTTTAAATTGATATGGATTTTGAGGTATCTATAAGCATGATGATTAAGAATTACTAGATAGATTAAAAAATAGTATTAGAGTTTTTAATTAGATAATAAATTGACTATAAACTTAATCTAGATTTAATAAAATTAATTTAGTTACTTTAAAGCTATTCTAAATAGTTTTAGCTTTATATACTATTATATAGGCCTTTAGAAAAGTAGTAAGAAAGTTAATTTTATTAATATAATTAAAGCTAAGTCTTATCTGCTGCTTAATAAGCTTTCTATATTGTTGCTTTAAAACTATAAAATAGCTAATATTAAGAGGTTATAAGAGATATAAGAAATATAAAAGTATATAAATTAGAATAATTTTATTCTTAATATATATATAATTAAATTCAGTAGTTAAATAGTTTTTATAGCTATTAAGAATTAATATTTGATATTATCTAATTATCTAGCTATTTATATAAGGAATAAAGTGATTAATAAGCTAATTTATGCTAATCTAATCTATTATCTATCTATTATTACTAATATTAATCTTCTAATTATCTAAAAGGGTCTTAAACTAGTCTTTTTAGGAGTATTTAGTAGCTTTAAAGATCATATATAAAAATAAGGCCTAGTTAGTAGAGTTGACTATTTTAATTATAATTATCTATTCTTAATTACCAGGCTATAGTAGATATAGATAGTTATATTAATTGCTTTTAATAATAATCTTTACACTTATATAAAGGCTTATTATAAAGCTAATTTTATTAAAATTATAGATATTCTTTAATAAGATTTCATATTTAGCTATAACCTTTTATACATAATTAAAATATTTCTTAATTATTTTTAAATCTTTATATTTAGCATGCTTATAATTATATCTTCATAAAAATTATATTTTTAGCTCTAAGCAACATTTAACTAGATTATAAATCTAGTTCTCACCAACTGTTTAATTTTTATATTAAGAAAGAAGAATATTAGCCATATCTTATACCATAAAAGATCAGGGAGATAATCCTTGCTTATCTAGATCTAATATCCATTTAATAAATAATTTTTCTTTAAATTAAGTCAATTTATGCTTATTTACATATATCTCAGCTTTCATTAGGATATTATTAAGGCAGCGCGAGAGAGTTATATATGATATATTATAAGTGCGTGCTACATAATAAATTGATGATAATTTTCTATTTTTAAAATTAGATATAGCTAATAAGATTCATCCTTCTTGTTCCTAAGAATTTAATTGATTTTTATTAGGAATTAGTGGCATATTGGCGCGTTAAATATAGAGAGTTGTGTCGGAAACTTGTCGGAAACTTCGGTTCGGTTACCGTCGAGTATAGCTAGGATAGCTATTAATGGGCGAAGTTAATAGACTTCTAAGGTTGAAAGGTCTCGGTAGATAAAAGAAATAAGAATAAGGCTATAAATATCTTAATTAATAAAAGATTATATACTTAAGTTATTATAATTAATTTAAAATAATAGAAGAAAATTAAATATATAATAAATAAGCATCCTTATATAGCTTTTCCTCTATTATAATCAATATAATAATAGCTCTATCCGCTCTATCTTAATTAATATAATTAATATAACAATGATTCTGCTAGCTCTGTTGCCTTAATCCTAAGATTTTATAGATAATTCTTTATTTCAATATATATTAGTCCTATAATAATTAACCTAATCTATTAGCTATAATATTCTAATTCTCTAATAATCCTCTCCTCTAAAGACTAGCGTCTTAATAGCTCAATAAATAGCTTATATCCCCTAAAGTATAGGTAACTAATCCTAACTTTCTAAATATTCTAAATATGCAATCTTATGGTCTTATATTAACTATATCTTTAAAATAAAATATCAATAAGAATAATTTTATACTATATATTAAGTAATCTAGTATAAAATTATCTTTATTTTATTTTTACTACTTTTTACTAAATAAAATTTATATAAAATTAGAAATATTATTATGTTGTAGCAAGTGTATATAAAATAGTCGTTATAAATATATTTTAATAGCTTTGTTTAATTTTATATAGAAAAAACTTCTTCGCACTTAGAAGCGCTTGGAAGAGGATGGGGATAGAATAAATACTAAAATTAAAGCTCTCTTAGTGAAACATGCCCATCTCAATAAATAATAGAAGTTATTACAAAAATATGCTGGTCAATTCATCTAGTTAGATATAAAAGATATTAAAGAGTTAAAAAAATTAAAAAAAATAAAAGAAAAGATAAAAGTAAAATAAGTAAAAAAATAATAAAAAATTAAAAAGCTTTTAATTACTATTTTTACTTTGTAAAATAATAATCTTATCTTTAATATTAACTTTAATCCTTCTATCTTTTTTAATTATATTTCTATCTCTATTTTTAAATCTTTTTAGAATAATTTAAGTATTTAATAAATTTCTATATATCTTCTTCAAGTCTATATCTTTTCTATTTTATAAAATAGTAAATATATCCTTTTTCTAACTTATATTATAGTATTCTTTTAATTTTATATTCTTTATTGTCTACTATTTTATCTTTATTTATTAGATTAATAATTAGTTCTAATAATGAGATATAAAATATTAGATATATTTGCATTCTTACTAGTAATTAAAATTTATAATTATTATTTATAAGTTTTTCTTTAATAATAAATAGTCTAAATTTAATTATATTAAATTTATTACTTAGTCTTGTACTTTTAATATTAAAATTTTTTAATTCTGATATTTATTATAGAAAATAAGCTCTCTTTTTCTTTTTAAATACTAGCATATCCTTGCGCTTCTTATTATAATATTTTTTTATTCTTATTTCTATCTATTTAATGTCTTTTAATAAATTACTATATATTAATTATATATATATTACTTAGATATTTATTTTATTAAATATTCTTTCTTATTTAATATTTTCCTAACTCATCCTTGGAATTCTTTTTAAATTAATGAAATATAGTATTTGTCTTATTGATATATTTATAATATTATTTATTATAAACTAAATAATTAATAATAATTCTATTTAATTATCTTAATTCTAATCTAAGTAATATTTTAAATATTATTTAACTACTTAAATTATTCTTTTAGTCTAGCTATTAGTCTATTAATAATATATAGTTAATAGATTATATTTTATTTTATAATTTTTTATAATTA